TCGTGGGTCACTTTGTTGTCTTGTCGCTTTTGTTGCTTTTGTTGCTTTTGTTGCTTTTTGCTCTTCATCCACCCTTCATCGCACCCTAATGTACTCCGTATCTTGCTGCAGCTCCGACATCCGTTCCAATGGTCACATATAGCAGTGCGCCGACCGTCCATATCAGGTCTTGTGATCTCGGGGGACAGAAGAAAAATATTCACGTCGTACATTTGCTCAAACCATTCTTATCGCCCCATCGGCCATGCTTTAGGGGGCCATATTTCTGGGGCGTGGGCGACAAGAGGATGATTGATGGTGGGGGTTTGGAGGTAAGAGCGTCTTTGTCAGCTTCGGCCGCACTGCTTACCCGCAATCAGCAGAGCGTGACGACAGTGCCTTTCAGTCGTAACGGAGTATGCACAGCGCCCTCGGCTTGCTGAAAGCAGCACGAACCCGGGCATGCTTCTCCCCACGCCTTCGTCCGCCTGACACAGCCTCTCGGTCCTCTCCCCAGTTCCCTCGAATGGTGCGTGTATTCCTTTCTAATCATTTACTCCGTAATATGGACCGTTTACTACCTGCCTCGTGGGCCGCTATTGACGCCGACGCCGGATTGCGACGGATTGAGGCAGAGAAATGGCGCCAAGTTGCAACCGGCCAGGGGATGAGGGGTGGTTTGGCTGTCCGCGTGACTGCCATGGAAGCACCCCCGCCCCGTCTGTGATACGACGAGCCGGAAAAAGTGAGAGAAATAGTGCTAAACACGACAAAAGACGCTGCCCCCTGCGCCGCTGCTGGCGCCTGTGACAGAGAGTGGTACCCGTGAAGAGACGCGCCGAGGGAGGGCAGAGAAACCACGGCAGAAAACGGGCTCATCCGAGACTGCCCATGCGTGTGGATGGCTGCTTTGTTTTCGTCTTCCCGCTGCTATCTGCATCCAGCACTCTGCACTCTGCACCCTGCCATCCTGCCATCCTGCCTTTCTGCCATTCGGCCCCTCGGCCGCTCTTGGATGAGGAGATTGTGCATAAGATTAAAATAAATACGCCATGTGGAGTGCAGGATGTATGCTCACTAACATCGCACTTGCGTATGAGGTATGTCATTGTCTGAACGTATACGAACAAGCACGATACGAGTAGCTATCCGTCTGTTGGCTGGGCGTGAGATCGGGTCTGAGCGCCTGTAGCTTTCCGCCTCCTGTATCTCCGATTTCTTGTGGCCTCTGCCCCCCCTGGCTCCCCCTGCCCTGCCCTTCCTGCAAGACGTTGGTCGTCCTGACGCATCATGATTTGCGCTGCAGATTTCCAACAGCAGCGAAAACAGGTGGTAGGGATCATTAAAAAGTGTGGGCTGAAGCTGACCAGGGGTGACGGTGGGCTTTAGCTGGATACGGCGTTAATGGCCCGACTGGCTGGGCACAACCCAACCGTTGCACTGAGCTTTGCCCACCGCCCCCGATTTTCTCGTTTCTGTCATTTTTGTCGTTTCTGTCGTTGTATCGCCGTGCACTTGAATCGCCGCTGCTGCATTGGCTGCTGCCTGCCTCTTATCCGGCGCGTACGAGTGTTCTCGCAAGAGATCCTCGCGTACTCACATTGCGGAGAACTATTCGTATGCACGCTGCACACATCCAGAGGGCAGTCCTGTCCGGCCTATCAGGACTGTCCTGCTTGGCGATCCGACGCAGCATGGTCTGATTCTGAGGGAAACCCTGGGAGAGGGCAGCGAGAAGGGGTCAGCATCGGCCATTGTGCTCAGGCATTGCAAGTCCCATGACCCCAATTGAGGAGGACCTTGCCGCCGGTTGTCTTTGGGTTTTCGACTTTGTACTCCGTATGCAGCTACCCATCGAAGATCGAAATGTCGGTGAGGAGACAAAAATGCCAGTGGCGTCGACGCGCTGTTGCCCAACAACGCCTCCTGTCTGGCTGCCAACGTTAAATTTAGACAAAAGGCGGAGGAGGCGCAGAGCTTCTGTGCGACGGGGATTGGCCGGCTGCATGCCCCACGATACCTTCTACCGAAACATGTGTGTTCCGGTGAACATGGGGGGTCTTTGTCCATTTTCGGACTCTACCCTTTCCTTTCTCTAGCGCTTTGCTTTTTCTCGTATTGGGCACATCAGTGCTGGGACGGACAGCGCAATAGGCAGGCACGCAGGCAGACTGAGCAGAAAGGCGCTTATTACCGACCAGGAAAAGCAAGTTGCGAGAGCAAGGACCCGGGGTTTCGGTGGAGCGATTGGAAGATATCACCTGGGTTTGTGATTTAATTGAGCACTACGTCATTATGGAGACGCTGGCGACGATGCCGGCGCTGACCGTTCAGCAAGATTACGATGCACAGCGTCAGGACACCTGCGTGGTGGGCGATTAGCGCGCACGAAAGCTCTCCTCTGGTTCGTCGTTGGTTCAAGATTGGGCTATGCCTACACCTATTTCTCCAGCAACCCTCCCCCCTCCATCTGCCATGAGCAACCATTCGATTCGGTTGGGCAGTTTTAAAATGGAAAGGAGGAACCACCCATGTGCACGGAGGTTGTGGTGGAGTCGTGGACAAGGTTGCCGGGAACAAGGCTGCATATCTCGTCCTGTAACTCTCGTATACGCCGATGTACAGTACATCCGTTCGTCTTCCCTGCACACTGCGGCGTTGGCATGTGCTGCTTGTGACTAGGCGTTTCGGGTGCCGATTAGGGTGCCCGATGAGAAGGCAGCCCACGTCGACTGTACCGATACCTTTCGGCATGGCTGACCGTACGCTCGGTATACCGGTAGAAGCATATTGTCGACAATCTGCCGTATATCTAAGCCATGCGTGGATCGCAGCCCGCGCCCTGATAAGTGCCGAGCATCTCGTGCGCGCGCTGTCCTTTTCGATGCAGCACACGGACGCAGGCCGTTTTCGCCGTTTCATGGCTGTCAACAGACGTTGTTGGCTGGCCTGGCGCAGTCCGTAAGCCGCATCGCGCATCGCATCGTACTATGCAGCCTACATACATAGTTCGGTGTTCGTATATTTTGAGTGACATTGCCCAAGCAAGATACGAATTGGTTGGGCTAGTACGGAGTATTGATCAGACTCGTGCAAGGTACTTTAGGCGCCTAGCATGGGCTTCCGACTGTTTTCTGCCGCGAAAAAAAAAACACGATGGTGGATACTGGTGTTATACGGAGTACAGTGCCACTTATGTGTACGAGTGGCTGTACTCGTACGTGGATGCTTTGCCTCCCTTTCCTGGCACGTGCGATTTAGGTAATGGGCGAAACATTACGGTCGCTGGCCTCGCCTGCCCTTTCCCATTTGCGTTCAAGGTGCATCATGGCATATGAGGAAAGGGATAGGATATGACCGGGTTGTGTCTCACATTCGATGAGCAAAGAGGGGACATCGACATTCTTAGGTACTCCTACTATGTAACGCTTACTCCGTAAGTTGCGAAGGGATAAGAGGGGGATAATTCGCTAGATCCATGGCGATTTTCGGAGGGGTTGAAAGAGGTTGTTTTCGGGCTTGGCGATGCGGCGCTACGTATCTTAACCTATCCGGGGGTGTGTTTCGTGTTTGTGCTTGTCCGGGTTTTCTACCTATTGCGGAGAATGTATCGGTACGCACAACGTCACCAATGGCAAAGAAATGTCTTCGTCTGGCATCGTAGATCCCGATGCGAAATGTATCGCTACCTAGCGCCAGCATCTGTTCCTGACGTTAGGGTAAGACATCTTTCCCTCTTCGGGGCCCCTCTAATGTGCCGACGCTGGGCGACATCATTTGTTGTGGCATTAGAGGTTATTAGCGGTACTTCGGCGATACCTGTCCTTGGGCATATTCTGCCGTAAGAAAATCTTTTTCGTCAGGTACCGTGTGTGCCCCTTTGCCTGCGACGGGATTCTTGCGACCTAATTCGCCTGGGGCGGTTCCAGTCGGCCACCCCTCTTTTCAGCCCTTCGAGAATCCTTTTTTTTTTTTTTTTTTTTTTTTTACTGCCGCGGAGGTACTTACGAGCTTTCTAGTTGGCATGCCACAGCACGCAGAGTACTCCATATGCTTATACCAAGGATGCGCGCACTAGAGCTGGCGGTATCTTACATTCCATCCTTCACACAGCAATGTAAACATAGGTATCACATACGGTAGCCGCCATCTCTGGTGAGATAACTGGGACCGTCCGACTGCGCCTGGTGGGACATTGGGGAGGAGACGGAAAGAGCAGGCACGAGCGGTGAAAGGGCCGTGGCAGCGACCTGCTTCAAAGTGGCAAAGAAAGAACGATAGGACTGCGAAGCCGGGGACAGGGGGGTAGGCGCGACTTGTAACGGAAGCCAGAAAGCGGAGGAAGAAGGCAATCCGCGTATTCTGAATGGTGTGTGTGGTACGGGCACTATACCAATTGTGCGGTTACAAACAGAGAAAGGGCGAAACGACTTGATGAGCGACGACCCAGGTCCTCGTCACCCTTCGTTCCTTCTCTGCCCCCGGTCGTTTCTATGTAAGATAAGTGGGGAGCTTGTGTGTCCCCACTGATCTCCACAGGCTCTTCGTACCCAACATGAGGCGCCTGCTTTGTGCGATTCGCTTTTTTCTCCTTCCCTGCCGAACTAGGCCGGATGTCTCGCGAATTTTCCATGATCTATGCGTCACGCACTGCCTTCTGTTTTTGTATACGGAGCACGGCGTGCCCATGCGGTGAGAAATACACTACGGTGTGCTAATCTGTGGCCGAACCTAATTACAAGCGGGACGGTTTTCCTTCACAGCAAGCACACACGATAGGAAGGGGGCCCTATTTTAATATTTTTTTTTTCCGCGCTGGTCATGAATCATTCCCCCATTACCGGTACCTCCTTTATTAAGTATACTGCGTAACCCGCCTTTCGCTTCCCTGCCCTTTCGACCGTTCAACCGTCGTTGCTTCATACCATTCTCACCGACCTTGCACAACATCCAAGACATACCGCATACCGCATACCCTGTGCGCTCTGTACGCCGTGCACCCACAAAACAGCTGTTGTTGCATGCTGCGTGGCACTGACAGCGAATACATCATCCGACCCCGACCTTACCGCATCAAGTTGCATCAAGTTGCCTCGTTCTGTGCGACTGCGCATCTTTTGGTTCACAAGTCGTCCTCAGCGCCCAACCAGCGCCAGAGGCAGTGTGCATCAGGGCCGCTGAACAGGAAGACGGAACGGACTTAGGAAACGGCAGCCCCAGAAGAAGCAGAGCGCCCCTCTCCCGAATCCGCCAGCCGTGTCGATTGCCCACTACGACGCGCCGAAAGCTGCTGTTCCGACCAGCATTACGGCCCTCCCGGAGACAGGGGTGCAAAGAAGCATAGAGAGCCGGACGGCAAAAGTGATTCGTCGCCAGGCCGAACCAGCCGTTACCCCAGCAGAGCAGCTTGCAGCTTTGCAGCTTTGCAGCTTTGCAGCTTGCAGCTTGCAGCTTTGCGGCCTGCTAGAGAAAGAGGCGCATTTGTGTGCCCTGACGCAGAAAGACGTCACCACCGAGCCCGACGCCTGGCATATAGACACGACTGGCAGCAAGCGCATGCGACTCAGCACCTAAGTGCCAGCGGGTCCAACGTCCAAACCACAAAAAAAGCAAGAGCCAAAAAAGTTACCTCCCCCCCCCTGGAACAGCCTCCTCGATCTTCGTGGGCCTGTCCGGCGAAAGGAACGGGACAGAACAGCACCTTGGCTGCCCATCGACAGCGGCACCCTGTCGACTCCAGCGGACGCCACCGTCATGGGAGGTGGTCTTTGTCGCCTTGAGCTCACTACACCTGTCATCCTTGGTTCAGGTTGTGGGACACTGCCGGGGTTGTTGTAACCCAAAACAGCAGCCTGCATACGCCTGCCACCTCATCATTTTGTCGTTACTATCGCAGCACGGCCGCTTGTCACTGCGGCCCATACCCGCCCCATCCTCGCAACAGTGCAGGCGGAGAGGTCTTGGGGCGTACCTGTACACGACGTGTACCTGTTCGTCAGGTTCCCTTCGGCGCTCTCAGTCTCAGTCTCACCCTCACCCTCGCTTGCTGCAACGCTTGCCGCTCGCTCGGGGCAGACGACAGACAGCTCCACATTTGCCAGGAGGACCGGCCACGACGGGGACGAACAAGCTGCACCTGCATTACCTCACTGCCACCAAAGCCAGTGTTCACTACACGGTCAGAAGACGCTCAGAGCAGTGACTAGCAGCTCTCCATTACGCATAAAAGCCACCTGCCGGTCAGACCTGCTTGCCTTTTCGACATTAAAAGCGCCGCTTCCCCCACTCTCCCTCGGCTTCCTTTTCTTTTCGCTTGTGGGCTGGACTCGCCTTAAAATTTAATTTGACCTCCGTCTTTCCACCCCGGCCGCTTTCCAGCAGCCTTCCAGCAGCCTTCCAGGAACATTCCACCCACACCCCTGCTTCTCCTCACACCCCCCCCCCCCCCCCCCCCCCCCGCGCACTCCACGCTCCTTCTCCTCATATATACCCCCTTTCCCTTCTCGACTTCTTATTCAGATTCCGTGTTGAGCCTCCGTCTTCCTCTCGACAATGCAGCACACATACCTTTCTGCTCGTTTATTATAAACGCCATCCATGTCCTCTTGAACCCGGGCCCTTCCTCGAGTGTCTGAAAAGACTTGCACTGCATCGGCACAGAACCATGTCTTACTCTGCACTTGTCCACCCAAGGTATAACACCTCTGCCACCTCTTCCACCACCACACTTTCCTCTACCCGTACGGACTCTTCCTCCAATATGGCAAGCACAAGCAGCCACAAAAAATCCATCAACAGGGCCATGTCCTTCAACACCAGCCCGATCCGCGGGAGAAAAGGGTTGACCCTGGCTCCCGGGACACCGACCCGCCGGTCGATGACCACAACGCCTACCAAGTCGCCGCGTCTGCACCTAGATAGCATGACGGCCGGCCAGACGCTGAATTCTGCTTTTGGCTCTGCGCCAAATTCGGCCTTTGGCATCTCCTCAAGCTTGCATGCCTCCCCCATTCTGAGTCCGGATGCATCCGTCACCTATAGCAGCTCCCTGGTGCCTTCGCCGGAACCTCTCCGCGGTCGTGAGCTTGAGCCTGTCGGCGGACCGTCCTTCCAGCTGCCGGAGTCTGTACTATCCCACAGGCTGAGCGCGACATCACTTCAATATGTACCATCCTCTCGAACACAGCCAGGGGCCGCCCTGCACGAAGCTATGAAGCAAAATTCTAGCATCATCCGGCGGCTATCCAACAAGGCCTCCAAGGCCATTACACGACGCCGCACGTCGTCTGCTCACCCGAACAGCCGAGACGTGAGCGTGGGCCCGGGCATCTTGCGCAGGCGAAGCGACAGCAACAACACTGCGCTGACGAGCGACATCTTGGAGCGGCCAGCCTTTGACACCGATTCCGAGGGCGACACCGACGAGCGAGACGACGGAGAAAGCATCTCCGTGTCTACTTTCGACAACAACGGGGCCACCGCCGACAGCTCGCCCACGACAAACACTGCCTCTTCTTTGAGCGGTTCGGCCTGCCCGTCCTTGATGTCACCTTCCGAAGTCGGCGGCCCTGTGATCCCCCTGGCTCTCCTCAACGGAGTTCCGATCACCGGAGTTCCGATCACCAAAGTTTCAAAGAAGAAAAACAGCAAGCGCCTTGTCTTGGCATTGGATGCCGAGTCTGGCAAAATCACTTGGGACAGGAACCGGCCGTCCAAGTGCATCTATATTGACGACATCAAGGAAATCCGCACCGCAGAGGACATCCGCCAGTACCGACTTGACTGCGGCATCTCGGCGGCGGACGAGCCTCGCTTCTTCTCTATCCTGTACACCGTTCCTGACACGACGCAGACAAAGCTCATGCACCTCATCGCCGACAGCGACGCTAACTTTATCAACTGGACCACCACGCTCAACGCAATCTACCGTCACCGCCAAGACTCGATGGCGGCGCTCATGTCTTTTAGCGACCATGCCATCCGCGCGTACTGGGACCGGGAGATGGGCAAGCTGTCTATGGACAAGCCCAGCAGCCCCGTCTCTTCGGACGGTTGCCTGATCGACCTTTCTGACATTGAGCGTATGTGTCGCAACATCCATATCCACGTTCCGCAGGAGGTCCTTCGGGCCAAGTTTGCCGAGGCAGACGTGTTTCGAACAGGGCTTTTGAACTTTTCTGGTTTCCATGAGTTTGTCCGCCTGATGCGGAAGCGGGAAGACATTATCGCTCTCTACCGGGCGATCGCATCCAACAACCATCTGGGCATCACGCAGGACGAGTTTTTCGACTTTCTTCGTAACACGCAGGGAGAGAACGTGGACGATGAGCGTGCCTCCTGGGAAGCTGTGTTCACCTACTTCGCTCGCCGTCCTAAGCCGAATGACGCGATCGACATCATGGACGACTCGCCACGGATTTCTCAGACGGGTCTCTCGAATTATCTCACATCGTCTTATAACGTTGTATTCATGAAGGAGCCGCTGGATTACAAGTTTGACCGGCCCATGAACGAATATTTCATCTCCAGCTCCCACAACACCTACCTGACAGGCCGCCAACTGGCCGGCACGTCAAGCGTAGAAGGCTACATCTCTGCTCTATCGCGCGGTTGCCGCTGCGTTGAGATCGACTGCTGGGATGGTCCAGAGGGCCAGCCCATTGTCGTGCACGGAAAGACGCTGACATCCAGCATCTCGTTCCGGGAGGCGATCAATGCCATTAACAAATATGCTTTCCTCAAGTCCAACTTTCCCCTGTGGATCTCACTCGAGGTACACTGCAACCCGGAGCAGCAGAGAATCATGGCAAAGATTATGCGCGAGGTGTTCGGCTCGAAGCTGGTCACCGAGCCGCTCCCGTCGGCCACGAACAGGCTTCCGTCCCCGTCGGAGCTCCAGGGTCGCATCCTGGTGAAGACCAAAAAGACGCAACAGGCTGCACAGCTGCCACAGCAGCCGACAAGCGAAGTGGCTGCAGCAGGCAAGGCCAGCGGCGAGTTCCGCGGCAGGCGACGGGGCAACAGCCTCCCCACGCCCTTTATGAGGCCGATGAACGTCGACATCGGGGTGCATGGTAGCGGCTTTCTTCCGGCGGCACAGCCGTCGCCGCTGTCGCGCTCGGGACAGTCCAGCCCCGTGTTGAGCCCCGGACCGATGAGCCCGCTGCCTCGGAAGCTGAGCATCTCCAAGGCTCGGGTCAACACGATCACCGAGGGCGAGGTGCACCAGGATGTGCACAGCAACAGCACGAGCGACTGCGAGAGCGGCAGCGAGAAGGCAGTCAAGTTCAAGCAGAGCAAGATCGTGCCGGAGCTGGGCTGCCTGGCGGTGTACTGCGTGGGTGTGCACAAGGCGACGCCGTTTGACGACGCGGAGTGCAAGACGTTCAACCACATTCTATCGTGGGACGAATCTGTGTACGACAAGCAGACGAAGTCGCGCGAGCAGCGGAGGGCGGTGCACTGGCACAACATGCGGTACCTGATGCGGGTGTATCCCAAGCCGTATCGGATCGGGTCGTCGAATTTCAGCCCCCTGGCGCACTGGCGGCGCGGCGTGCAGATGGCGGCGCTCAACTGGCAAACGTACGACCTGGGGATGCAGCTCAACACGGCCATGTTCACGGGTAGCACGGACCAGTCGGGCTACGTGCTGAAGCCGCGGGAGTGCCGGGAGTTCCAGGTGGTGCCGAATCTTCCGGGGGAGAGCAAGCCGCGGGAGCTGAAGCGGGAGCGCAAGAACGTCAACTTCAGCATCGGAGTGATCTCGGCGCAGCAGCTGATGCGGCCGGTGACGTTTGCGGATAAGCGCACGCTCGATCCGTACGTCGAGGTGGAAGTGTTTCTGGCCGACGACAAGCGGGACTCGGACGAGCGGAGGACGGTGACGGATGAATGCACGTCTTACCCTCTGTTGTACCGGACCAGAATCGTCCCGGAGAACGGGTTCAACCCGGTGTTTGACCAGAAGTTCAACTTCAGCTTCACGACCAAATTCCCCGACCTCGTGTTTGTGCGGCTGAGCGTGAAGCTGGCCGAGAACGGGCGGTACAGCAGCAGCGTCAACGCGACGGCAAGCTTTACGGCCAAGCTGAGCAACCTCAAGCAGGGCTACCGGTCGATTCCGTTGGTGGACGTCAATGCAGACCGCTACATGTTCTCGACGCTGCTGTGCGAGATCCGCAAAGAGCCGATCACGAGCGTGTTTGTTCCCTGTGCCACGGACATGCCAGAGAACACGCCCAAGTTCAAGAGCATCCGCACGGTCTTCAACCGGAGCGCCAACATGAGCCCCAAGTCCAGCCTGGACAGCGGCCATTCGTGACGACGGGTGTTACCGTGTACTATCTGTATTTTCTTGTTGCATTTTCACATTGTTTTCTGTCCTTGTATCACCATCGGCCTCTGGAGAGGCGACGATTCTCCGCTTATTTCTTCCCTTGTTTGGTTTACGCGGGAGTTTTGCAGACATGTCCGAGGCAGGCATACCATCAGCATGACAGCGGTTGCATTTGAGGGTCGACATACACAGCATCGGTTTTTTTTTCACGTTGATTGTTTTACGTTTTGTCTTGCTTTTGATACATTTGTCTAGCGATTTGTCAATGTTTATCAGTCTTTACGTCTCTCTGTGTTCGCTTTCCTTTTTTTCCTTTTTTTTCCTTTTTGTTTTCTGATCTGCCGTCTGTCGTCTAGTCGGCAGGGACAAATGACGATTGCATAGACTGCAAAAGGTCGGAAATCAAGCATTTCTGGACTGCCGCAGGGAACGAGACATTGGGGCACGGCACAAAAACAAACAGCATCCCTGTCTCTTAGCATTCGGGTTGGGCGCGTATATGGTATGCATGGAACAGGCAGAGCAGAGTTCTGGGATTGGGAGAGATTCTATGGTTCTACACACGGCGTCGAGAGATGAAGCAATATGTGAGAAACGGGTATTTGTCATGTCATTCCTCTTTTTCGGCCTTTTGGGACCGTCTTATTCGACTTCCCCGACGGGGCAGGAACCTTTGTCTTCGCATGTTCTCTTTTTTTTCCCCACCTTTATGGGACACAGCTGCAGAGCATTGGCTGTCCATTTCTCTTCTTCCCTTTTTTACCCGTTTTTATTCTTCTCTTTGCCATTGTATTTTCCTCCATCTCTTGAACATGAACACATCGCCATGGGAGTACGCGAAAGGATTGGGAGCATTATTATTATTATTACACAATATCACATCAGGCAGCTCGCGCTGCAGTTATGACCACACGACGCGCCTCCAATTGGTGACTGTACTCTGTATCCTGTACGCTGTAGATGCCCACGTCGTGAGATGCTGTCGCTTTGATTTGGATGCTCTGCAAGACAATAGATGACAAAGAACAGAATAAACACAAAAGTACAGAGTACACAGAAAACGCCCATCTATCAAGACAAAAAAGAGGTCCTCGTTGGCATCGAAGCCATCCCGCGTCGTGCGTCCCGCTTCACGCTTCCTGCGTCGTGCGTCCCTTGTCCGTAAAGAATGCATGTGGTCTAGCCGGCCTGTCTGCTAGTCGACCCCGCCGTCATCCGTGTCGGCTGCCCTGCTGTCGCTGCTGCCGATGATGCTCACGCTGTCGGCTGTGCTGATCCCGGCAGCGACAGTCCCGACCGATCCGACGCCGCCAGCTGGTCCTACGCTGCTTTCGCGTGACGGCGACACCAGCGGCGACGTGGCGGCAGACGAGGCCAGCGACGACGACGACACCGCGGCCGTCGTCTGGCGCAGGAGCAGCCCGCTGGCACCGGCGCTGCGCTGTGGCTGCGGCAGCCAGCGGGCCCGCAGCGGTGCCAGCGCCTGATGGGTCTGCTGGTGGAGGCGTCGTCGGGCCTCGGCCGCTGCAGCCTCGTCCTTGGCCTTTTCGCGGCGCTCCTCCTCGTCGTCCGAGTCGACGTCCGTGTCCGAACCGTCCAGGATCGAGTCGTTGAGGATGCGCGGCAGCTGTCCGCGTCGAAGCGCCCGACCCGATGTCGTGAGACGCTGCATCGAAAAGACGGGCGCCGAAGACGTCTCGGCGGCGGCTGCTGCTGCTGCTGCTGCTGCTGCTCTTCTGGGCGTCTCGTCCGAGTACAGGCGCGGGTCTCGACCCAAGATCCGATCGGCTTTGGACGTGGAGAAGCGGCTGGGCGGACTCGTCGCACTTGTCGTGCTGTCATAACGAGGTGGTGCCGTCGGTGCTGTGCTGTAACCGTTCTCGTCTTCTGCCTCTGGCCCTAGCCCTAGTCCTGGACCCAGTCCCAAACTCTCTCCCCCCTCCTCTTCGACCGGACCCCAGCCGGCGGCACGCTCACGCGCCTTCTGGGCCTCACGATCGCGTAGGATGCCGTCCCGGGCGGCCAGCCAGCGCGGACTTGGCTCCCAGGACCAGCCGTCACCGGTGGTGTTGCAGACCGGCAGAGCCCAGAGCCACGGCTGTGGTCCCAGCAGGTGCAGCAGGTTCTGGCGCGCGCCCAGATCGAATGCGTGCGGCAGCAGCTTGCCGTCCTGCTCGTCGAGGTACTCCTGGTGTCGCTTCTGCGCACGATACCGCTCCATCTGGTCGTACGTGAGACGGCGGCCGAGCTGCTGATCGGGTCGGTGTATACGATCGTTGTGATCATGGGGGCCGTTGTCGTCGTAGTCCGTGTCGTTGTAGTGTCGGTTGCTGTCGTTGTCGTCGCCGTCGTCGGCCGCATTCCCAAACAGGCCCTGCTCCTCGTCCGCCAGCGGCTGGCGTTGGCGATGGACGCGAAAGGCACCCCCTCCGCCGGTCTTGCCGCTCCATCCACCGCCAGCTGACTGCCGCAGCGGCGACTGGTACCGGGTCTTCTCCATACATTCGATCGTCGTCTGGCCGCGACAGGCCAGGTAGATGTGCCAGCCGGTGAAGAGGCCGAGGACGAGGCCGATGATGCCCGAGATGACGCACAGCATGATGTATTGGATGGGCATCAGCGAGTCGTCGTACGAGTCGTACGTGGTGTCGTTAACGACCTCAGTCCAGACCCAGGCGGTCGACGCAGCCAGACAGAGCCAGGCCAGCAGGGTGGTGTAGACGAGAAAGAGCACAAAGGCCTTGGCGTTGTGCAGGCCGACACACGTCGCCAGCCAGGGACAGTGATGGTCCATCTTGAGCACGCAGCGCCGACATGTCGAGCAGTGGTGTGCCCGGTCCGGCTTGCGGGCCTGGCACTTCTTGCAGAACCGCAGCTCGCCGTTGGACTTGACTGTGATGCCGGCATGGCTGTTGCCGGACCCCGACATCGCCGTCGGTGGCACCGTGCTGTAGCCGTGGTCGTCTGTCGTGCTGCCCGGTGCCGTCAACACTGCCGTGCCGTACGACCACATTTGCAGCACGTACAGCACCACCGCTGCTGCTGCCGTGCCTGGACCGACCCATGACGCTGCCGTGTCGCTGCTGCTGCTCCCCTCGCTCCTTGTTCGGCTGCCCAGCCGCAGCATCACCCAGCATGCCCAGCTGCTCAGCCCGATCACAAAGGCCAGCGGGAAGTAGTGTGCGCACAGGCAGCAGCTGCGCTCGACCCGCCGCGCGAGCCGTCGGGTCAAAAGCATGGCTCGGTTGTGGTGGCCGTGATGGCGGTGATGGCCGTCGTCGTTGTGCTCGCCGATGCGGGCTGCTTGCTCAAAGTGCTCAAACGGCCGTGGACGGTCGCTATTTCTGTCGCGGTCGTGGTCGTCGCGATCTCCGTCCATCAGAACAGGGCTGTTTTCTGTCGGATTCACCGGATAATCGAAAAGGAGACCGACAACGAGACGTGCATCGTTGCCAAAAGCCAGGTGAAGCGACAGGCCGATCGGCGATAATTATAGCTGCAAATTGAAGTACCGGGTCTCTGCTGACACAAACTCGTATTATCTGTCACTGCGGCACCCGACACTTGACAGCCAAAAGACGCGAGAGAGAGAGCGTCGTTGGGGGCTGTGAGAACAGATTAGAGACGACGCGCCAGCTTGCAGAAGGAATGTGTGGGGCATTTGTGACAAAGCAATGCTGACTGCTGATTGGCCAGAAGCCCCTGAGGAACTGCAGCCATCAAACTAATACAGGGCGACGGTATATTATTCATGCAAGCTATGCACCGCCTCCACTTGGATGTTACTGCTCATCTGTGCCATCTGCGCCTTCTAGATTACATCTCTCCGTTCGGCAGCAGGTCTCTGACCGCGCCGGGCTGCACCTCGTATGCGACGGTCAGGTCGATGTTGCGGCCCTGCACCGCGACCATGCCGCCTGTTAGCGTGTCGAGAAAGTGGTGAAACTCTTCCGAATCGCGAAGGTGGCAGCGGGCCGACTGTGACTCGCTGTGCTGCACCAGAGCCTGGATCGTGGTGAAGTAGCGCGAGCACGACGGGCACTGCACGCGCAGCGATGTGTGAGCTGCGTCCGACCGCAGGTGTGTGATGAAGCCAGAGGCCGATTTGAACGATTTCCTAATGGTCAGCGTGTGTATGTGTGCGTATGTAAACTCCAACTCACCCTGCTCGTCTGCATCCCATGTGGGGACAGTTGAACCTGCCCGTGATCCGGTTCTTGTACCGGAACACGTCAAAGTCGGGGTGGCTCGGGTGGTTGGGATCGAGCGAGCTGCCCGCCTCGGCTGAGCTGCCGGGCAACGAGACCTGCTGGGAGCGATTCTTGGGGGCCGTGCTGCCGCGATGATCGGCCGGCGAGCCGATACTCTGGCGGGCAAGGAGCGCGTGCTTCGGCTCCACGCTGCTGCTGTTGCTGCTGTTGTTGTTGTCGCCCAGTCCCAGCATGTCCTGGCCGGACCAGACGTCCAGTCCGCGGTGTCGTCCGTCGGCCGGGCTGTCGGTCAGCAGGTCGGGCAGCTTGGAGTCGCCGTGGCGGAACTCGCGGGCTGTGCGAGCAAACGTCGTGGCCGTGGCCGTGGCTGCGACCAGGGCCTGCGACGGCATCGCCGGACGTGACTTTCGGCCGGAGCCTCCCTGTCGAATCGCTTCCCGCCTGCCGTCCTCGATCGCTTTGGGATCTGCCGGAGGCGGCGGCACGTCGAGGCCCATGTACTGGCCGTAGCCGGCCGCCGGCACCCGTCCACCGACGTCAAAGATGCCAATCTCGGAGGCGGCGCTGGACGCGTTGCCGGCAGCAGCGGCTGCCAGGGCCTTGCGCATCCGACGGTCGCCGACCTGGGCAGCCGTCACGTTCGGACAGTCGTTGCCCTCCATGTGGTCCATCAGCAGGTGGAGACGAGGAAAGACGGTGCGGCAGCCGGGACAGGCGAGCTTCTGCTTGGCCGGATGGCTCTGTTGCGCGTCAGCAAGGAAAGAACTTCACAGTTGATGAATTCTGCACGTTCTGCAAGACGGAGCCTCACCAGCTGATAGTGGCGGATCAGGCCCTCAAAGGTGCGATGCTTCATGCCGCAGATGTGGCAGTTCATGTGCTCCCGCGACATCTCGGTGCGGATCATGTCCCACTTGTGGGCCATGAGCTCGTCCTCTGTCGAGAAGATCTGCACGCCATCGGGACAGTCGAAGCACTGGTGGAACTTTTCCGTTTCCATGGTGGAGGAGTGGAATGGGTCGAATGATGGACAACGAGGCGCTGGCTATGAATGGTGAATCTCTGTGCAGGCAATATTGACGTGCACGATGCAGGATGCTTGTATTGTCGTGGGCGAGGTACAAAGAGCCTGCATCGCCGACCTTTATACATGTGGTAGACTACAGAGAGTGAATACAAAGTGAGAAAAGTTCAAGGCCATCTACAAGATTGCAGCCTGCAACAGAAGCGAGAAGAACGGCAGGCGCGCGAGGTTGCGACCGGGCGCTCCTTCCGTGTCTGGACAGCACTTACACGGGATGTGGATGACATCATTATTCAGCATGTGGCTTGCACTGTGGCGCCAATTCGCGGCTTCTGGTTTCATACACGGTGGCAGGAAGTGGGCAATTAATCATCCACGTTTTGGCGTAGTTGTTTCGTGCATGGAAAAGAGTTCGCTCTGTTTCTTCTTTTCCGGTATTCACACCATTTCCCGTTTGCTGTCTCTGGCTCTGTCCTCTCTCATCCACGCGCCTATCCACTCGTCTCACCCACGCGGCCTGTCTTCACCGCCCGCGATGGCAGCTAAGCCCAACTCCAAGTCGCCGACCATTCGGCGGATCCGTACGTGTTCCGTGGTGTCCATGACGCACATGACATGACGTCTGCGAGGCTCCATGGCCCGCTTCTTCCCCCTTGTCCGGTCGGGTTCGTGCAGCTGACCGCGTCCCCCTAGTCCGTGAAGCCCAGGAGCTGGCGGCGGCGCCGTCGGCCGACTTTGCAGCGGCGCCGCTCGAGTCGGACCTGTTTGAGTGGCACTTTACGCTGCGCGGACCACCCGGAACCGCGTACGCGGCCGGACAGTACCACGGGCGGATCGTGCTGCCGCCGACGTATCCGCTGCGGCCGCCGTCGTTTCGATTTGCCACGCCGTCGGGCCGCTTCGAGGCCAACCGCGAGATCTGTCTCTCCATCAGCGGCCATCACGAAGAAACCTGGCAGCCGGCCTGGGGCCTCCGCACCGCCCTCGTTGCCCTGCGCGCCTTTATGGAGACGGATCCGGCCGGCCAGCTCGGCGGCCTTGACGCCTCCGACGCTACCCGTCGCAGCCTCGCCGCCGCCTCGCCCGCCTTTCGCTGCGCTGTCTGCGGTCGCTCCAACGCCGAGATCCTCGCCGAAAACGCCGCCGCCGAGATTACCAGCCCGAGCCGAGCATCGACCGAAGGGACTGTCCAGGGTGAAGGCTCTAGTGCTACTGCACCTGAGATCCCCCCCGAGCTCAAGCTCGTCTGGCGAGATGAGCTCGACGCGGCTGGCACGACCAACACAGCAACTCCTCCAACAGAAGCTGCAGTTCCTCCAACAGAAGCTGCAGCTCCTCCGACAGAAGCTCCAACAGCTCCTCCAGTTCCAGCTCCTCGTCCATTCCTTCGGCCCACTCCCACCGTCCCCCTCCCTGCTGGCCCCCGCGGCCTCCCCCTTCCTCCTCGACGACAGTCCGCCGACATGCCGGTTTGGGTCGACCGCTGCATCGGCGCTCTCCTTGTCGTGCTGGTGGCCATGCTACTCAGAATGGCGTTACGGTGATGGGACCGTGTCTTTGTGGGTTTGGATCACGTGATTTACGTTCTTGTCTCTTCTGCCTGGCGTTGGATGGTATACCTCATAGTCGACTGCTCTACTCTAGAATGCGTTTTCATCGGCAGCCAATGACCTTGTGCACTGTAAACGCTGCCGTCTGCTTCACCCTCAGTCCAGCCCGCAGATAACGCGCCAGCTGTCGGTTCTGCTGGAGCGGCCGACGTCGGCAAGAGGCCCCTCGTCGCCGTCATCTTCGTCTTCGTCTTCGTTCTCCTTCTCCTTCTCGTTCTCGACCTCGACTTCCATCTCGTCCTCGTCCTCGTCCTCGTCTTCGCCACGGCCGTCCTCGCCGTGTTCGCCCTTCTCTCCGCTGGCCGTCGTCTCCTCGCCGTCCAGCCCCTCGTACATCCGTCCGATCAGCAGCCACCACCATTCCGATAGGTGCCAGACTGTGCATTCGTCGCCGCCTCCCCTCTCGAGGATCCCCACCGCCACCGCCCAGTCGATCAGCATCTGCACCTCAAACGGCTCCAGCACCGGCCGCAGATGGGCTGCCGTCTGCCGCGGCTCCACGGCGCCGCCGCGTGTCGCCATCGAGAAGACCACCGCACTGGCCAGACGGACGAATCGGCTCCGGTCCAGCACGCCAAAGAAGTCGCGCCACATTGGCAGCTCGCCGTGAGGTCCGGGTGCGGGTGCATCCATCAGAGACAGCCGCTCTCCGTCCTCGTCCTCGCCCTCGTCCTCCCCATACACGTATCGCTCGGTCGGCACCACCCGCTGGCGGAATCGCTGGTAGTGCTTCGGAAACTTGCGCGTCTCGTAATTGCCCGGCTCAAAGCCAAACGGCACACACGGCGCATCGACCGCCTCGACGGCCACGCGGCCGTGGGCCTGCAGGTTCAGCAGCGCCATCACCATGCCGTCGTCGTTGGTCGACGGCGACAGCTCGACGGTCTGGTCGGCCCGGAAACTGTGGTCGAGCCGCCGCTTGAACGCGGCTGCCTGCCGGAACTTGTCCTGCTGTGCTGCCTTGTCCAGCGTGCTCGCGTACGCCTCCGCCAGCAGATACATGCGGCCACCCAGCGCCACCATCGACTTGGTCCGCCGCAGCACCCGCTCGTTCTGCAGCTCGCCGATGACTGCCTGCAGCTGCCGGTTGATCGTGTCGGGACTCTCGCTGTGCTGCCGCTCGTCCCCGCCCACCGCTCCCAGCGTCAACAGCTTCTGCTTGATCCGCGATGGCCGGTACCGTTCGTGTGGCGTCGCGCACAGCGCCCGCAGCCATGACCGAGCCACCAAGTGTCGCAGCGCAGATCGTGCCGCTGCTGCCTGTTCTGCCTTGCCGCCTGCTCGTGCTGCCTCCATCGCTGCTGCGGCCTCGGCCGGCGTTGACAATCCGGGCCCGTCTAGCGATAGCACGGCCGCCTCGCCAGCCGCGTCCTGCAGTCGGTTCCACACCGAGCGTGTCGGATGGTAGTAGTCTTCTCGCCAGGAAGAGAGCGGTTGTGGTTGTCCTCCCCCCACGACATACTCTCCCTCCAGCTGCTCGCGTGTTGCCGGCAGCGCGTCTGCCTCACCTCGCCGCATCAGTCGCAGCGTCCACGCCACCAGGCCGGCCCAGTCGTATGCCAGCACATTGTTGTAGTCGAGCACGGCTGCCAGCTCGCCGCGACCGTACGCCTCGGGAAACGCCTGCTGAAACCGCTCGGCCAGGCCATCGACCACGGCTGCCCGCTCGCGACGGGCTGTGCTCCAAAACGCCCGCAGGCCTGACAGCTTCCGCTCGGGGAAGAGCCGCATCAGTAGGCCCCAGTCCACTGCCTGGCTGAGTCCGCCAATGAGCGTCTTGATCGCCACAAATGCCGCGATGAGCGTCTCGTCGGCGGACCAGTCGAGAGTGGTTGTGGCCCTCCCCCTCAGATAGTCTCTCTCTGTCTGTGGATAGCCGGTCAGCTCTCGTCGGGAGCTCGCCAGGTACGTTGCCTGTCGCAGTTGAGCAGCCCGTCCGCCGGCCGTCCAGCCTCGTCCCCATCCGCCTCCTCTACCCCATCCACTCGCTCCGCCTCGTCCGCTCCATCCCGCACTACCGGCTCCTCGCTCGCCCTCCTCCGGCGTGCCGGACGGGACCGATGCCAGCCCGAACTGGTTCCGCTCGCTCCATCGCAGCACCGGACACGCGCTGCCCGTCGCCAGCCGATGCTCCCCGCCAAAACCGACGTGCAGAAAGACGTGCTCGGGCGCGACCGTGGCGCCGCTGGCTAGCAGCTGGTGACCGCGCGGCGACATCTCCCACAGACGGCAGCGCTCGACGTCCCGGAAGAAGCGGCCGGCCGCCGTGCTGACAGTCCTGCCGATCCGCACACTGCCGCGCAGCTGCTGCTCACACTCGGCCACCGTCTGCGGCAGGCTGTCCCGCAACCGCTCCGTCCGACCCGGCAGCCAGCCGTTCATCGTGAAGCTGACCCCCTGGCTATCCGCCTGCTTCTCAAAAAAACCATCCGATAGTGCCGGCCATACGTCCCGCGACGCCACTGTCGCTCGCAACACCACCAGATTGGTGAATGTCACGTGACTCAAGCGGACACGGTGACTAATCTGGCTGTCGACCACATTGTAGTCCATGCTGTCTTCCACTCCCTTCACTCCCTCCTCCATCTCGTCCACCTCGTCTCCCAACCGTGTGTTCGGCACCAGAAAGCGGATCGATGTCAGCCCGTCGAACACGGATGTCGGCAGACGTCGTCCATCTCTGTCGTTCTTGTCTTGGCCTCTGTCCATATCCACGTCCTCATCGTCCTCGTCTTCATCGTCGTTCTCCTCATCCTCATCCTCAACTTCCTCATCCTCAACCTCATCCTCTTCCACGTCTTCGCCGTCCTCTTCACCCGTCAGCTGACCTCTCCTCTTTCGTCTTGCCCTCTCCGTCTCCATCTCTCTCTCCATCTCTCCTCCCTCTTCTCCCTCTCCTCCCTCTCCTCTCTCTCCCTCTCTTTCTCGCCAGTCGTCCTCTTCCGCCTTTCCCGTGATGTAGTCGGCAAACCGGGCCGTCTTTCGCCGCTTCTTCGCACTGCTGCCAACGTCCTTACCGATGGCCTTACGCTTGCTTCCGCCACCGCCGCTGCTGCCTCCCTTTCCGCTCGCTCCTGTCGCTGTCGCCGTGACGCCCTCATCATCCTCACCACCCCCGCCATAGTTGACAATATAGGCTCCGTTGCGTCCTGGTCGGTATGGCTGCGCAGTCGCGGCATGCTCGTAGAACGGGGCGTTGAGCACCTCGATCTCCGATGCCAACGATCGTCGGCCACGTTGTGTCTGCTTCGACCCCCCCATCCCTCCCCCTCCCTCAACCACATCCGCTCCTTCGGCTGCCGCTGCTGCTGCTGCTGCCTTGGCTGCCGCCTCCTTGTCGTACACTCGCAGCACTGCCATGTCCTTGTCCGACGGCGCAAACTCGGCCGGCACATACGGCTGTGGGTGGCTCTCCTGCATTCGCTGGCGCATCGCTCGTGCCGCGTCCGACTTTGGGTCTTCGCCACTGCTGACCAGCAGTCGGAGGTAGATAAAGTGGCCCTTGGCGTCGCGGAAGCCAAACGTGTGCTCCTCCACCGCCTTGGCCGCCTCCAGCTTCTTCATCACCGCCCGGCTGACGTTGAGCGTCGGCGGGTCTTCGCCCGGAAAGCTCTTCGTGTACACCCCGAACACGGCGTACCACAGCGACCGGTCGCTCGGAAACACCCCGCCGGATGACCGCAGCAGGTGCTTGACAATCTCCGCCACCCGCGTCGACCGCAGCATAAACGACGTCATCCGTGTCGTCACCCGCACTAAAGGCATCTGGAAGCCGGTCAGCGCGGCTGCGCTGCTGCCGTCCAACCTCTCCGTCTTGCTAGCTGTCTTGCTGGCGGGCGTGCTGCTCCTAGCTGCTGCTGCTGCTGCTGCTGTTGCGGCCGCCAGTGGAAACTGCACGCTGCCCGTCGGCAGCATCGACGCCTTGGGCACTTGTGGCGTCCTGAGTCGTGGGTCAATGTTGGCCACTTCGCCTTCGAGACTGCTGCTCTCCAGCTCTCTTCTTCGTATAAAGGCTGCTGTTGCCGCTGTTGCTGCTGCTGCAGTTGCGTCCGTCTGTCCGTTCTCCCCTTGGGGAGGTCGATTGTCCTTCTCGCTGCTCGCTGGCTCCGTTCGTCTGTCGACTGCCAGTGCTGGGTTGCGAACGATTCCTCGCGGCGCCACAGCCCTCGAGCTGCCGCCAAACAGTCTGCGTGCCGGTCCCATGGACTCGCCTCTGACACGGCCTGCGGATGGCGACGACAACAAGCTGGACCCATCGCCTTCCCGGTCGTGCGTCTTGTCCCTCCGCTCCCGAGTCTTCCTCTTGATCTCCATGATCGGCGGCGGCGCATAGTTGGGATTGCACGACGTCCGTGCCTTGGTCTGGTGGTATTGCAGCCCCAGCAGATTCTTCCACGTGCCGCCGCATTTCTCGCAGCTGTACTCTTTCGGCCCCGACGTCGGCTTGCCCTTCTTCAGCCCGCGGCCTTGCCTTCGGCCGGAAGCAGCTGTGCCAGCAATTGCAGCATCATCGCCAACGTCACCGTCTTCGGTCTCGTCATCGTCCTTGTCGTCTTCAGCTGCCTTACGCAGCTCCGTCAAACGACTACAAAGCGCCATGGCCTTTTTGTGGTTGCCGTCGGCGCCGTCGAGGATAAAGACAAACGGCCAGACTGGCTCCGACTCCTGCCGGCCGTCTCCTTCTCGGGCCTGCAGCACCAGAGCCTCGCCGGCACCTCCGGGAGCATCCCGGATGCTGGGATCACCGACGATACTGCCCACGGCTATTGTGAGCGGCGCTTTATCGGACGCCTTGGACGCCGTGTTTCTGTCAAAGCTGAAGAGAAGCCTCAGGCTGCTCGTGTCGACCGTCAGACGGCCGGGCGATCCGTTGTAGTGTGATACCACAGCCCCTGGCGCTGACACCTCCGCGACGGCGTCGACTTTGGCTGCCGGTGTCTCCTCGCGCCGAGGCTGTTCAGGGACAACAGAGTCACCCAGCTCCAGGACGGCCCGCCAGTCTCTCCGCACAGCTGCCGGCGCAGCCTCTTGCGACAGGCTCTCGGCCGCCTTATAGCCCCCGCCGCCCTCGAGAAAACCGCCGTCCTTGAGCTTGTCGAGCTTGGCCACGAGCACAATGGACCGCTTTGGACGGCCGTCTACTCTCAGTCCTTGGTTCAGCGATCCTGGCTTGCCTACCAGGACATACGGCTCATCTGGCTCATCTGGCTCGTCTGGCTGCGGTGCTGGTGCTTCGACTTCGCTGGGCGCCGGTATCTTCCTCGGTCGTCCTCGTTTCCGCGGTGGGTTGGCGCTGCTGCTGTTGACGGCCTCGGTCTCGTCCCCTTCATGTGGCTGTCTCTTCCGCTGCGCCGCCTTCCCTGCCATCGGCTGTCTCCGGCCAATGGTACGATGGTGATAATGGCGCCGTTGAGAGCCGCCTTGCGTGGAGACGCTGCCGGCAAGTTCTGACAGAGTCCGTCCTTCGGCCTGTCTGGCCGTGGTGTCGGGTCGTGTGACGAAGCCGAAGCGACGGCTCAGATCGGCCACCGGGTCGGCGTCAGATCGCTCAGACACCAGCTGGCTCGCCGTGCTGCTCCTCTGCGCCTCTTCTTCCTCCATGCCGCTGGCGACGAACACGTACGCGTTGTTCTTGCCCGTCCTGACCGGCGCGCTGCGCAGCTGGAAGCGGCCCAGATGCTCCGGCTGGTTGCCCAACTTTGCCAGATCGGCCATGAGCGAGAACATGTAGCGGCCAAACGAGGCGCCCACGGTCGCCTTGCAGATATCCGGCGACGTCATGCCGCGTGGACCAGCCTGTCGGACGGTGTCGTAGATCAGGTTGGCCAGCGGCTTCTCCGGCACCCACGATGGCAGCAGGGCCGAGCCGATGCCAACGACACCGCTACCACCACCGCCGTCCTCGTCATCTTCATCGTCGACCATGTCGTCGTCGTCGCCACCCGTGCCTCGGAGCAGCTGTCGCTTCTGCTTGGCTCGCAGTTCCGTCATCGGGATCCGCTTTCGGCCGGCCGCCAGGTAGATGGCCCATTCCTCCTTGGTCGGGTCGCGCTCGTACTTGATGCAGTCCTTGAAGAGACGACGCTCGTCCTGACGCACAGCCGCCACGTAGCGCAGCACACCCGACGCCACAAACTCGCGGCAGGATCGGGCGAGCGTGCGCATGTGCCACGGCCGGCTGTGGATGCCCAGCTTCTGCTTGAGGTCGACCAGCCGGATGACACCCCAGGCCTTGGTCACGGCCAGGATCGTCTGGCCAAACGACGCAAACTCAATCGACTCGCCCGTCCAGCGGTTTCGCCACGGAACCGGCTCTAGGTCCTTGGTCAGAAAGGCCGCCGAGAAGTCGATGCCGCCCGACGTTGTCATCGATGGGTCTTCGGCCTCGGGCAGCTCCACTGGCGCAAACTCGGTCAGCCACAGCATGCTCGTGCGGTAGCCGCGCGCAATCGTCGTCCGCTTGATGGCATAGCCCTTAGTAGCTAGAAAATCGGTCCGCTTCGGCACCGACCGCTTGTCCTGGTTGACGAGCGCGCGCAGATCACCCTGCAGGATGCCGTGCTCCTTGGCCGATGCGATGCCCATGAGACACTTCCACTCCAGTGGCGGGATCTTCTTGTAGTCGACGTCGTGGCCCGTAACCGTGTACCAGATCGTCTGTTCTGTCGCGTAGAGCCGCGGCCGCGTGCCCGCCTGCTCGTCGGCCAGCTGTGATGTCGGTGGTGTTGCTGCTGTCGACGCTCTCTTGCTGGCAGCACTCCCCTTGGCTGGGGCCTTCTTCTTGTCTTTGCCCTTGTCGGCTGCCTCAACAGGTAAAGGAGGCTCAACCGGCTCCGGCAGCGCCAGCACATCGTCCAGCGACAGGCCCTTGCTGCCCGGCTCGCCACGGCCCACCAGGATCTCTGGCCGCTCCATCAGCCACTCCCACGCCTTGCGTGCGAGCTGCATGTCCGTCTCGCCAGAGCTCAGCCCATCGGCGTAAGCTGCTGCGGCCGCCGCGCCCATCTTCTCGCCATGGCGGTCGCCATGCCTCGCCCTCCTTCTCTGCTGCCGCGAGCTGAATCTGCTCACAGCCGCCACAAATTCTGCTACTGACTGGCCTGTTTTTGAGGCGTTTGCCAGAGCTCGTCAGCACAATCTCACATCTCAGCCTTGCCAACGATGAGCGCAAAACAACAGCGCAATCCGGGCGGGAACAGCAGGGAGCAAACGCACCCTTTTCTCCAGCATACGCCGTCTCTTCCACGAGCCAGTTGATCAGATCATCGAGTCCTTTAGCCATGCTGCGGCGTAGCGCGACGCGACATGTCTCTCTGTTAGTTGTTTTTTTCTCGTGAGCCAGTTGTTGCGGAAAAAAAGCGACAAAACTCTACGAATATGAGTAGGAGCGGGGCTCGAACACGAACGGCTGCAACTTCCTCGCTCGAATTTATTTCACTCAGGCGTTTGCTCTACTTTGGGATTGGTCACGTGAAGAGGTAACAGTTGCAGCGTTCGTTGATCGTGCCAAATATCACATGACTGGATGCGTAATCTTTCTGACTAATATTTAGTCGAACCTGTCCCTACACTTTACGCAGTGCTTTGTCCATCAATGGTTTGTTAAAATGGACTAAAGTACGGAGTACAGAGTAATTCTTTTTACTCTTGCTTTACTAGGAATCTACGGTTACTATACGATGAACTAAGTCAAGTGCTCTATGCTCCGTAGGCAGTTTTACGGAGTACGAGTACGCATCTTGGCCAATTTCCACTGCCTTCCAGCGCCTTCTCATTCTGCATACCACTTAATAACACGGCGAAGATCAACAAAAGATGCTTAATATATTACCATCGACGTGCGCTAAGAAGCGTAGCCAGCGGCATAGCGATGCGAAAGGCAGCGAAGACATAGCTAAAACCTTCAGCGGTGCAGATCTGGCCAGCAAACGCACCAGGGAGTCGATGAAGGGCAGCAGAACCAACCGTCTTTGTGGTATCGGTGGCAACGATCGCGCAGTCTTCAACGAGATCTACATTGTTGCCGGGGGGGCTCTGTATTGTTGCACTGTGTATCTTTCAAACACACTGCACAGGTCTCTACATATAACCCAATGCGGCACTTTCGACAAGATTGCCGTTGATCTCGCCATAACAAACTGCTTCTGTTGTTCATCCTCCTCCTCCAACAATTAAATTACAACACTGATGGATCGCGATCAAGCACTCCGCGAATTGCAGGAGCAATTAGACGCGGAGCGTCGTATCAGCCGTCAAGAAAAAGAGCGACGCGTGGCCGCAGAAAACATAATCAAGAAAACCGCATTTGTCCCCTTCCTCTGCTACTGCTACAGAATACTTTTTCGCCCAGTATCAGTACAGAAAGCACCCAGTCTCCGATCAAGCGGCGGGTTCACCAAAGTCGATGGCCGCTACTACCCGCGGGAGCTCCAAACATGGACGGAATTTCCAGAGCTGCATGACGAAGCTTGTGGCGAGTTGGAGGCTCTTTTCGGCGAGCAGGAGCTATTCCCTAGCCAGTTAGTGATTGACCATGTCCTGCGAGACCTTTCCCCTAGCCCTCTGGCGAGCGAAGAAGATCTATAGCTTTTCGAGGTAGCTGCCATTGAGCTGCGTGCCAAGGATGTTATCACCCAGTACCTCACAAGGAAGCCACAAGAGGTATCTCGTGTAATTTTCCGATCGAACTCCTATAGCCTCCTCCGACACAACATTGTGGAGATGTTGCATGATCGCATTCAGACCCGAAGCCAGGCCCGAAGCAGAGGTCGAAGCCAGATTAGAAGCGGCCGTCGATCATCGAATCATTCGCCTCAAGGCTCGGCAACTGTCGAACGACGTATCGTTCCGGACCGCTGGTGCATGGTGCAGAATGCCGACAAGGTGCGGTGCGCCTTGTTCACGGTCGAATATAAAGCAGGACACAAGTTGATGCCAGAGGCACTGATGGCAACGCTGGACGGACGACTGTCCGATCAGGTCCTTTTTGCCGATGCGGCTGAGGCAGCACGTCTTACAGAAGAGAAACGCCAGCGAAGCAGGCTTGGGGATGCTGCTTCTGCAGAGGAAGAGGGCGCAGAAAGTACAGTGGATATTACCACGGAACAAGAAAACAACGAAACATCGCCATCACCATCCCTGAAAACAGCTCGGAATCGAACAGCGCAGATCTTGACGCAGGCATTCCATTACATGGTTGGTGGACAGCGGGCTGGCCTACAGCTATGTATCGACTGGCGAAAGCCTAATTTTTCTGCACGTCAATTATGACGACGACCCGTCGGTCTTGTACTATCATCTCTCTGTACCAAAGAAGGAGATCCACCTGCCCGAGCTGCAAGAGGAGGACGTTGTAGATCATGGGTCGATACAACACAGCGCTGCCACGGCAAGGCAGACGCCTGTAGCACTTGTCCTGACGCTTATCCTCTTGGCGCTACAAAAAACGGGTTCGAGCCTTTCCCAACCCATATAACAGCACCGCAGAGGCACCAGGCCCGAGCCAAGCAGCAAGTACTAATCCCGCCCAGCAAGGGGCCAGACAAGGGGGTGGACAAAGCGGTAGCAGCATCGAAGCTCACACCGCGCGCCTACCACAACAATCATACTGCACGCAAAAGTGCCTGCGTGGGTTGAAGTCCGGCCTTGCCCTAGACCATGCCTGTCCCAATATAGCACCGCACCGGTGCTTGGGTAATGAAAACAGGCACGGGATTACCCATGCACAGCTGCTGTCGGCGGTCAAGGAGCAGCTAACCAGAAACCTCGACGACGGCTGCGCGGCCCTCGACGGACACGGCAAGTTTGGGGCCATCGGGGCGCTCTTCAGGGTGACAGCATATCCGCAGGGATACACGTTTGTGGCCAAAGGCGTCCAGGACGACGACCGTGAAAGCCTGGACCTGGAGAATCGAGTATACCAACAACTGGCAGTGTTGCAGGGCAGTGTTGTGCCGGTATGCCTCGGCCTGGTGGACCTGCGACGGGCATACGTGCTGACAGGCGGAGCACGAGTGTTGCGGCTGATGCTGCTGTCGTACGCGGGCGAGAGGGCGCAACCAGAGCAAGTAAGCGAAGAGGTAGAAAGGGAACTGGAAGGGACGCTGCGGACACACGGTGTTGAGCACGGCGACCTGCGGCTGGCCAACGTTCTCTGGAGCGAGGAGCTATGCAGGCTGATGGTGGTGGACTTTGACCGGGCGACGTTGCACACAAAGCGGAAAAGGGGCGTGGAAAAGGAGCTACAACAGGACAAAAAGTCGAACACTGCTTGGGCCAAGGTCGGGTGATGGACGGTGTCGAATCACGACTCGTTGACAATTAACCCTGACTGGCGAGAGATGCAAGAACACAAACATTATGATGAATAGTCTTTACGCAGCCTTCTAGTGTTCAAGTACAGACATACAATGGCTACAAAATTGTACCCTCATTCTTATTGCAAATCCACCACGAGAGCCTCTGATGCCTGCAGCGTGAAGCTGGCCTGGCCGCCCGACACGGTGGCCGTCTCGTACGTCTCGGTGCCGCTGACGACGCAGTTGCCGTTGGTGTATGTCTGGCCGGCCCACGTTGGCAGGCTGCCCTTGTCCTGGCGTGCGAGGGCGCTGGCAGCGGTGAGCCGTCTGGCGCGGACAGTCGAGCCGGCAGCGATGCCAGAGAGGCCAGTGAGGGTGAAGACGGTGGCAGAGCGCGTGCCAGAGCCGCCGTAGTAGTCAGAGTTGTAGAGCAGCGCCCGCAGCGGCTTGCCGGCCGCATCAAAGGTCGCATAGGCCGCATAGGCCGACTTGCCGTCGTCGAGGGCAGCGAGGCTGCTGGCGCCGGCGAGAAAGGCCACGGCAGCCGTGGCGCCATAGTAGGGGGCGCCCATGTCGTGGCGGCCCCAGAAGCAGTACTGGCAGTTGCCGATGGTGCCGTGGTGGAAGTAGGTGCGCGAGATGTTGGCCGCGGCCGCGCGCACGGCAAAGTCGAGCGTCCAGAGGGCGGCGCCGTAGGTCGGGGACACGGAGGAGGCGCCGCCTCCCGTGGCCGAGTTGGTCTCGCCCAAGACGTAGGGCCGGCCGACGGCCTGGGCAGCGGCCACGTCGGCTGCGAATCCGCCAATGTTGGCGGCCACGTTGGCGTGTGCCATGAGCGACGTCAGCGAGCCGCCCGGATAGTCGTGGTGGGCGTACGTGGCGACGTAGCTGCGCGCTGTCGTGTTCTCGGTGGCAATCAGCGCGGCTGCGCCCCAGGTCGACACGCTGCTCAGCCAGTTGCCCGCCTGCACGAAATGCTCGCGGCCAACGGCACGGCCCACCAAGATGTCCCAGCTATTCTGCGAGGCAAAGTCGTCGGCCACCGTCCGGCCCCAGTAGTCCGGCTCGTTGCCCAGCTCGACGGCCAGCAGACGGTTGCCGATGGCCGACACGGCCGCCTGGGCAGCTGCAATCGTGTTGCTCACATTGCCGCTCTCGCGGTTGAGGCCCAGCACCACGCTGCCGCCATACGTTCCGGCCAGCGCCAGGAACGCGGGCCCGTACGTCAGCGCGGCCGGCGCATCGGTCGCGCTGGCCACGCTGTAGACCACGTAGGCCGACGTCGTCGGATCGTACGTGGCCCGGTCCTGGGTCGTGCCACCGATGCGGATGGGCGGCCACACTCCCGTCAACGCCTCCCAGTTGGCCAGGCACTGCAGCGTGGCCGTGACGTTGGTAAAGTACGAGGGAAAGGCGAAGAACTCAAACGAGATGCCCAGCGACGCTGGCTCGACCGTCGCGTAGGCCGTGCTGCCCGAATGAACGCTCGTCGGCACTGCATACGAGACCGTGGCGGCAGACGAACGCCCAATCGCTGTAGCCAGCGCCAGCAGAGTGAGTCGGGAGATGTGTGCTGCCATTGTATGCTCTGCGATTGCAAACTGTCTGTTGCAGAACGGAGTGTGCTTGCTTGCCTTGGGCCCGCTGCAAATAGTGCAGCCTGGACCTTCTAAAATGCTGATCTGATCATCATGGACACCGCTCATCCCATAATCATCCGACGTCGACTTGTCAATTCCTAGCGACTGATCGGCACGATGTCACGATACCCGGATGCTCTGCCATCACACCACTTTGACCCCTGCTTTTGCGGGGAAGTTGTGGGGAAATGTAAAAGTTGACTATGTTCTGTCGAAGCGAGGTGAGAGAAGGTGGTCGCTGAAGTAAATGTTTGCATGGACAGAGATAGAATCAGAAGAGTCCAATATCGTCTCTACCTAACACGTCACCATGGCCCGTGTGTAATCGGCAAGAAAGGCGTGGCAAGGTCGTCCCTCCATCGTACCTGCCACGGCTGTCCCGAGCATTCAAACGCAATGTGGGTGACCCCACTCGACGAAATGCATGTCCATAAGCTGTATGGCAGTTGGCGAGGCAATCTTCGGTTCGGATGCAGCGTCGTTGCATTCACGAAAATCATAGACGAAGTCGAAAGAGGGGAGCAATCAGAAGAAAATTTCCACGAATAAGCAGCAGAGAAAGGGGATACGGGTTGGCGCCGGCGATGGGGTATCATCATTTTGCTATTTCCTGAATGTTTCTGCGCTTCACCTATGCGTATTGGCTGTGATGCCTCGGCTACTTTTTATTTCGCTGTCGACTTGCTGTCGATATATGCAAGAGACTGCGGGCCACCAAAGCGGATCCTACTGGAGAGCTTCTTCCGACTCGACAGCATGCTGGAACAGATGGCTAGAGCAAGGATATGAGTGAGCACAGATGTCGTTTCCTTTTAATGCAGTTGTGCATTCTCCCTTTTGGGCATACAGAGATTTGACTCCGCGCTCCACCACACATTCTTCACTTTTCCCGCCTCTGCGGCTTCTGTGGCTTCTGGTGCTGCTTCTGGTGCTGCAGTCGCCGCACCTCTGACGCCTTGCGGTACGACAGCAGCACGTCCTGTCGTTGGGCCAGCAGTTCGCGGCGTGCGACCGGGTCGACGACCGACCGGGGCACGTCGTCGAGCACGACCCTGGTCGATTTTGGTCGTCTCTTGAGTCTCGGTGCCGTCGATGCTGCCGCAGCTGCCGCTGCCGCCGCCTTGTCGGCCGCCGCCTCCAGGCCCGGCTTCCGGCTCTGGAAGAACTTTTCGCTGTTGATCTTGGTCAGCTGTGGCGGCGCCGTGACGACGTCGTGGATGCCGGCGCGAACGGCCTTGGCAGCGGTGGCGGCCCGCTTGCGGTTGAGCTCCGCCCACATGTCGTCGTCTAGCTTGCTGTTGCTGCCACTGCCGCCGCCACCGCCGGCCGCCTGCTGAGCCTTCTTGACCGACTGCTGCAGGTCCAGGCGCCACTTGACACCGACGCTCTCGTCCAGCTCCATCTCGCGCTCCTCGGCCAGGTCCTGCTCCTCGGCCCGCCGCTCCTGCAGCCGCCGCTCCTCTTCGTGCCACTCCGCGTACAGCTTGTGCATCTTGCGCTCCTTCTTCGTCCGGAAAGCCTTCTCCAGCCCCAGCGGGTCGCTGGCCGCCTTGCCTTTGGGCACGAGTCCGCTGATCGGTAGTGCCGCGTCCACGCGCGCCGCAAAGTCGGACATCCGCTCGCCCGGCCGGATCTTGAGCGGCTCCGGGGCATCGGCCGCTACTGTGGCTGCTGCTGCTGCAGCTGCTGCTGATGCCTTGGCTGCACCTGTAGACACGTCGCCCTCCTCGGCCGCTTCTGCTGCTGCTGCCGCTGCTGCTGCCGCCTTCTTCTCCTTCTTGCTCTTCTTGGCCTGCTTGGCAGCCTCGATCGCACCGTCGTCCAGCCCCGATCGCACCCTCTTGCCACCAGCCACCGCCATCAGCCGTCTGAAAGCCCGTGGCGCATCGTCCTTGCTCGCTGCTGCTGCTGCTGCTGCTCGCTTCCGCTTCGTCCCCCGCGAAGTGCTGACTGCTGCCGCTGCCGCTGCTGCTGCCGTTGCCGCCTTGGAGCCCTTTTTCGGCGGGGCCGTCTCGCCCCGAGAGGACTTGTTCACGGGGAGAGGACGTGCTATTTCGGTCGGCGGGAGATCAAAGCTGCCACGAACAGTATTAGCTTTGGTCAGAGACATACGAAATGCTCCTCATGAAACATTTGCGATTGGCCGCTAGATACTCACGCGGATGGATCCCGCTCCCGGCGGGTGTGTTTGTGAGGCATCGGGAAAGCACAGAGATCGAGATGGTGTGTCGGAGTCGTGGGCCAAAAGCCTGTCTGTCGTTGTGCCTTGCTGCTTATCACGACTTTTTTTTTTTGATAGGGATCTTTTTTTTTCCTGCAGGAGATGAATAAGCGGTCCTCTGATAGCGCCAGCGCTAAGCCCAGACTATAGTAGCCACAGTGTTTCAAGCACCGTACAGTACTAGCGCCCGCAGGCCACACCGCCTACCGGCCAATCATGGAATGTCAGGCTGAAGAGGAGGGAGGATGAGCGGACAAATAATGAAGTCATCGTCATCCGGGCGCAACAAATTTTGCACGCACTAAGGCCGAGAATCTGCCAAAGAACGACCGATAGACGGAGGACAGCCTGTTCGGAGGGTCATGTCGTCCTCCGATCGCGAACTGGCCGAGCTGCTGCCCATCCATGTTCGCCTCGCCACACGAGTGTCTTGCCGTGCCGCGTTCTTTGTTCTTTTCCGTCGCTTCGTCAGTTTTCGGTCTGCTTCCTTTTCTGCCAGGCCTGTCCACACCGCCGAAGCAGCCGGTGGCTGCCCTGGTGACTGGCCTGAGACTGCAGAGTGGAGCACGATCGCTGGCCGGAGAACCACTAAGAAGTCACCGCTGTTCCATGTGCACGGAGTCTGACCGTGTCTCCAAAGACGTGACCTGTGGGCAGAGCGTTCCTTTGGCAGAGCTGCCTCGATGCACAAGTAGTACGACCATGCAGCGCCGTCGTCATCCATTCACCTCTGGCACGACCGCACTCGCCTGCTCGGTCGAACAACCCCACCGAGATCCGCAGCCTCTCTGGCCGTCCAGCCCGCCAATCTAGACCGTGCGACTCCCCACGACCTCTGCTGGCCAGACACGTTGCCGTCTGCTTCCGGTGCGCTCGGCCCCACCGAAAAAGGCCTGGCGTCTTTCTTGTGCGAGCTCGTACTTGCACTATTTCCGTTGTCCCCCTCTTCCAGCCATATCCGTGATATCGACACCGCATTGCCTTAGTGCGTAAACCGCTCATAATCGCTTAGAAAGCCCGATCGATATAATCCTCCGTCTTCCTGGTCCGCATGTCTGGCTCCATGCCCGTCTTGCTCTCCCCATCCCCTTTCCTCCTCTTCCGGCTGCCACCCGTACTTCGAGCGCCGTCTTTTGCGGCCTCCATCCTACATCCATTTCCATCTGAAACCGAAAACTGCCCCCTTCCCTGGTCCTGCCCTGATTGCAACCGGCCGAACGAGGAGAAAAGCCCGGAGGCTGGACGCTTGCCGCTGGATGCTCCGAATGGCAATGGCCCTTGCTCTCCCCAGCTGCACACAGTATCGACAGCGCCGACTGCAGCATATCCAGCGCCAAAGCTTTTCCAGCATCCGCAATTGATTCGATGATCAATACCTGTTGAACGGCACCACAACCGAAAGCACGCAGCAGTAACCGTTGACCGGCAGCAGTGATCGAGAACTGCCTGCAAACACCCCGGTCTCTTTCGTATTCTCCGCCCACCTCATTTCTCGACTATCTCCTCTTAATCTCTCTCCCTTCCGGCGTACTCCGCTCCCATCCTCACATACTAGGCGCCAGTGCAGAGGACAGGAGCTGCTGCTGCTTCTCTGCATTCCCAATGGCGTACTCATCCAGCTTGCCTGTTGCAGCCACCTCCTCCCTGGCTACGGCAGCATCTCCCTCAGCTCCATTACCAGGAACTCTCCCGCAAATAAGGTCGCGGGGCCTCTCGTGCGTCTATGAGATTGCCAGTATCCTGACGGGCTCCTCTCGACGTCGACGAGGTGGCGAGTATGAGCCGCTGCTCGGCCGGCGCGTGTTTGTCGATGTGGAAAATCTAGGCTCTAAGCCTCTCAAAACCCATCGGCGACAATGGGTGCTGTGCGGCACCGTCTACGGCCTGGTTCTGCTGTGAGTCTCCCTGCGCTCTCTCTCCTTGTTTTCACCATCTCCGTCTCTGCTGCTGACGGGAAGAAACAGCACCGTGCTCATCGTCCTGAACGCATCCCTCTTCGTCTGGCAGCTCGCCTATGCCATGCGGTCGGATCCCGACGCCATCTTCAGTTCCTGGGGGCTTCCCGGCACCGGCACCGAGCACCTGGCCTGGTACCCGACCGACTTTCTGCGCGACGTCATTCCCGTGCCGTGTCACTCGCACAACGACTACTGGCGCAACGTGCCACTGTTTTCAGCCCTGTATGCCGGCTGTGTCGGCGTCGAGGCCGACGTCTGGCTGCTCGACGGCTACGAGGACGAGCTGTACGTCGGCCACAGCCGCGCCGCCCTGCAGCCGAACCGCACTTTCCGGTCGCTCTACGTCGACCCGCTGGTCGAGATTTTGGCGCGTCAGAACAAGGACCACCACTACTTTTCGGGCAACGACAGCAGCAGCAGCGTTCAGCCGCGCGGCGTCTTTGACATCCGCCCCGATCAGACGCTCGTCCTACTGGTCGACATCAAGACGAGCGGGCCCGAGACCTTCCACAAGGTGCTCGAGGGGCTCGAGCCGCTGCGGTCACGCGGCTGGCTGACGACATACCGCGACGGCCGCCTGCACCAGGGGCCCATCACCGTCGTCGGCTCTGGTCGCACACCCTTTGCCGACGTCGTGGCCAACAGCACGTATCGCGACGTCTTTTTTGACGCGCCGCTTGACCGGATCGAGAACAGCCAGCAGTACGACCAGACGAACTCGTACTACAGCAGTGTGGCCATCGGCGAGGGCCTCGGCACCATCTGGTTCGGCATCTTCCGTGAGAGCCAGCTGCAACTGCTGCGCCACCAGGTGCGCCAGGCCCATGACCACGGCCTCAAGGCCCGCTACTGGGACCTGCCGGCCTGGCCCATCAGCGCGCGCAACCGCGTGTGGGACACGCTCGTGAGCGAGGGCGTCGACATGCTCAACGTCGACGACCTCAACGGGGCCACCAAGAGCAACTGGGACGACGCCGGCTGGTTCGGACGGCTACTATAGAGGGAGACAACCCGGAAGCCATCAGGAGGGCTTCTGCGTTTGGCAGCCGCGCTGCTTTCAGACTTAATCGGGGCACGGGTTTGGGCGTAATGGCGAAGAAATCGCCGCGGAAAGCCAAGAGCTTGCCAAAACACCAGCGTAAGACCCCATGCTTGTATATGCATGTCATGTTTGACATAATAATGTAGTTTGAGACGAAGAAATGATACCCAGATTTTATACAAAGCTTTTAGGAACTGCAAGTAAGGATGAGCTCCTGCTATTTGCGCCACCCCAAACCTCTAATCTCCGGGTTAGCCTTGGGCATTCACCCTTCCTATCTAAGCCACCTGCATCGCAGCCAAAACACAGGAAGGATTGGGCACAAATGGAACTGCCACCGTCGCTGCCCAACGGACGGCTGGCCGAAGGAGGCTTGGCGCTGACACCGTGGGATGGTCAAAAAAATCTGCTGCCCAAGCGGCCTCCTGGCTGTTCTTATCTCGATCATTGCTTTCTCTACTCAAAAACGAAGCAAAAAATGGCTGACAACAACGACCAAGAATTTTCGTCGACCTCCTCAGCGGTAGCTGTTAGCAATGCCATGGCGAAAGCTGGAGAGCCGAGCTCTGTCGCAGAAACTTTCCCATTTGCCCCGCGCCGTCAGAAATTGAAGCAAAAAGCTATGCGTTTATTCAGGCCCAGGAATATGCCACCTAAAGCAAAAGCTGTTGCCAATACCATTGTCTATACCGACCAGCAACGAGCAGGCCCAAGCAAAATTCCCAACCCGCCAGAGGAGAGCAGCGTGCCTGTGCCCTTCCCGGATGGCATCAAAGTGCTACACGACTGCTCCGATGCTAGAGTTGATGTCTGCTTCATCCATGGGCTGTCTGGTGACAGAGAAAAGACCTGGACTGCTGCAGGAGAGTCTCAGCCTTGGTCACAAACCCTTCTTCCTTCTCGTCTCCCTGGCGCCCGCATTCTCACCTATGGCTACGACGCATACGTGGTGCGCGTAACCAGCGCGGCGAACAATTCGCTGACCAACCATGCCACAAATCTTCTGAAAGACCTGACGGATGACAGAGCGGCTTCCAGAGCGTCTTCACGGCCCATCATCTTTGTGGCCCACAGTCTCGGTGGTATCGTGTGCAAGAAGGCCCTCCTGCTTTCGCGCAACAACCGTGATGCCCACTTGCAGAGCATTTTCAAGTGGACCAAAGGTGTAGCATTCATGGGCACTCCACACAGGGGATCCGAGGTGGCGGACTGGGCCATGCTACCCGCTTCGGCTCTAGGATTCATGAAGACTGTCAACAAGACGCTCCTCGAGGTTTTGCGGACAGACGACGTGATGCTCAAGGACACTCGGGAACAATTTGTGGCAATGATTCAGGACTTGGTCTTGAATGGCCGAATTGTCGAAATTGCGTGCTTTTGTGAGGAGCTGCCTATGAGCAACCTTAAAAAGTTCATTGTCACTCAGGACTCAGCCACGCTCGAGGGCTACAATGCGTTCACCATCCACGCCGACCATCGCGGCATGGTGCGGTTTCGTTCCGAAGACGACAACGGCTTCAAGAGGCTGTTAGGCGACCTGGTCCGGTGGACCTTACCGCAAGAGCCAGTGGTTGAGATTCGTAAGAGTCATCGCCATTACACTTTTAAATGACCCCCTACCTAATTCTAACGATAGTCTAGCTCTGCAACCTGTGCTCTCAGAACTTGACAAGGATTGTCTAAGCTCGCTGGCTTTTCCGAAAATGAACGATCGCATGAACGACATTGAATCCGCCTTTGACAATACATGCAATTGGCTGTTCCAGCATGAGACCTACAGCAGCTGGGAAGCCACCGATCGAGGTCTACTTTGGATCAAAGGAAAGCCAGGCTCTGGAAAGTCTACCTTGCTACGACATTCCCTTAACAGAACCAACAAATTGCCACCCTGTGGAAGCCAGCCACCCCTCATTCTCTCCTTCTTCTTTCACGGCCGTGGCGAGGAACTTCAAAAGTCCCCTCTAGGTCTCTTTAGGGCGCTGCTCCATCAGATACTTTCGCAGGCACCAGATGCAGCAAAAGACCTTGTCGCCACTTTTCAGGACCGGCGCAACACCATGGGCTCAGCAGGCGGACAGTGGAAATGGCATGCTCGCGAACTACGGGATCATTTTCAAGCGTCTTTGCCGCAAGTCATCGAAAGCCGGACCGTCTGGATATTCGTCGATGCCCTCGATGAGTGCGGCGAACAGAATGCAGTTGAATTGGCTGGACATTTCCAGCGCATCCTCTACCAGCTTCCCCCGACGGCTGGGCAATGCCGCATTTGTTTCACCTGCCGTCACTATCCCATTCTCTCTCTAGACCCTGCCACCTTTGAGATATGTGTCGAGCAAGAGAACGGACTTGATATTGAGACTTACGTATACAACAAGTTCTCTTCTTTCAATGTCCCAGCTGAAATAGTGGCAACCATCACGAGCCAAGCATCCGGCGTGTTCATGTGGACATATCTTGTACTCAACACTGTTCGGGACTTGTTGCGTGGGGGGGCAGGGTGGAAGAAGATTGCCTCCAAGATATCCGAAACTCCCCAAGATCTTGATACGCTTTACGACGAGTTGGTGAAGAGCATGGATGACACGGAAGCCTCCCTGAAGCTATTCCAATGGATCTGCTTTGCCAGACGGCCTCTTTCGTTAGATGAGCTACGATGGGCTCTGATCCTCGACCCAGGTTGCTCTTACACATCGGTCCAGCAATGTAAGAGTGCAGATGAGTACGAATGCGATATGGAGAAGCACCTGAAAACTCTCAGTCGTGGTCTTGCCGAACTCACGCAGTCATCCGATGAACCCGTTGTGCAATTCATTCACCAGTCAGTACAGGATTTCTTCGTCAACAAGGGCCTACTGTCTCTACATAACAAGAAATCGGATGCTGCCGAAACGGTTACGGTTGATTCAATAGCTGGGATGGCGCACTACCAATTGTCCAGAAGCTGTATTCGCTACTTGGCGATGGACGAAATATATGACATTGGAGACTGTAACGACACCCTTGAATTTCCACTGTTGCTTTACACTGTATCGCGCCTGTCAGAACACATTAAAGAAAGTGAAGCACAGAACACGACTCCGGATGACCTCCTATCATTCTTTGGTTGGCCATCAGAGCATCTAATACAGTCATGGGGTCGAGTCTCTACGGCATGCGGAAATTCCTTTAGAATATATATACCATGGCTAAATCGAAAATCAACAATGCTACATCTATCAGCACAGCATCAACTTACCAGACCATTACAGGTAATCCTTCAAGATACTTCCGCAGACGTCAATGCCACAGATGGAATCGGTCGCACGCCGCTGTCGTATGCGGCCTATGCTGGCAATGAATCGACTGTTCATCAAATACTTAAAATAGGCAAGGTAGACGTCGATTCAGAGGATCAATACGGCTGGACGCCGCTCTTTCTAGCAGCCAGATATGGGCACCAGACGGTGGTTAAGCAGCTGCTCGATACAGGCAAGGTAGACGTCGATTCAAAGGATCGAGACGGCCGGACGCCGCTCTCTTGGGCAGCTGAAAATGGTCACCAGACGGTGGTTAAGCAGCTGCTCGATACAGGCAAGGTAGACGTCGATTTAAAGGATCATTACGGCCGGACGCCGCTCTCTTGGGCAGCTAAAAAGGGTCACCAGACGGTGGTTAAGCAGCTGCTCGATACAGGCAAGGTAGACGTCGATTTAAAGGATCGAGACGGCCGGACGCCGCTCTCTCGGGCAGCTAGATATGGGCACCAGACGGTGGTTAAGCAGCTGCTCGATACAGGCAAGGTAGACGTCGATTTAAAGGATCATTACGGCCGGACGCCGCTCTCTTGGGCAGCTAGATATGGGCACCAGACGGTGGTTAAGCAGCTGCTCGATACAGGCAAGGTAGACGTCGATTCAAAGGATCGAGACGGCCGGACGCCGCTCTCTTGGGCAGCTGAAAATGGTCACCAGACGGTGGTTAAGCAGCTGCTCGATACAGGCAAGGTAGACGTCGATTTAAAGGATCGAGACGGCCGGACGCCGCTCTCTTGGGCAGCTGAAAATGGTCACCAGACGGTGGTTAAGCAGCTGCTCGATACAGGCAAGGTAGACGTCGATTCAAAGGATCGAGACGGCCGGACGCCGCTCTCTTGGGCAGCTGAAAATGGTCACCAGACGGTGGTTAAGCAGCTGCTCGATACAGGCAAGGTAGACGTCGATTTAAAGGATCGAGACGGCCGGACGCCGCTCTCTTGGGCAGCTGAAAAGGGTCACCAGACGGTGGTTAAGCAGCTGCTCGATACAGGCAAGGTAGACGTCGATTCAAAGGATCGAGACGGCCGGACGCCGCTCTCTTGGGCAGCTAGATATGGGCACCAGACGGTGGTTAAGCAGCTGCTCGATACAGGCAAGGTAGACGTCGATTCAAAGGATCAAGGCGGCTGGACGCCGCTCTCTTGGGCAGCTGAAAATGGGCACCAGACGGTGGTTAAGCAGCTGCTCGATACAGGCAAGGTAGACGTCGATTCAAAGGATCAAGGCGGCTGGACGCCGCTCTCTTGGGCAGCTGAAAATGGGCACCAGACGGTGCTATCCCTATTAATGCAAAGTGGTGGAGATGCTAAGCGTGGCGACAATGTTGGGCGCAGCCTGCTGCTAATTGCCGCAGAGAACGGAGACGAGCCGACAGTACAGCTTCTCTTGTCTGCGACGACTAGTCTAGACAGCAAATCCTCACAGACCGGGACTTTGCCAATGACGCTGCAACAAGTCGTGCAGGGCGAGCTCGAAGCCATGGTGAGCTTCCTCTCTCAGGTCGACGCCAAGTCCGGGGTTGATGACAGGCGGTATGAAACGGCGCTGGTATGGGCCTCAAAGGCCGGATATACAGACGTCGTACAGCTGCTGTTAACGATGGATGGAATCGATGTCAATCACAAAATAGATGGTGAAACGGCGCTGCTACAATCAGCGAAGAACGGTCGGGTGGAAGTAGTGAAGCGGTTGCTGGCTGCAGACGGCATCGACGTTAATCGAAAAAGCTGGAAGGAGCAAACGGCGCTAATGAGATCCGCAGAGGAAGGGCACACGAGTGTGGTAACGCTGTTGTTAACAGTAGACGGCATCGACATTGCTTGCAAGAGCCGGTACGGTATGACTGCGCTGGACCTGGCTGCAAAGGGAGGCCACTTGGATGTGGTGGAGCTTCTTGAGCAAAAGCTGCACGGCTGACGACCGAACGATAGAAGCCGAGAAAATACACAAAAGAGCTTTATGCTGATTTCTTCTGTGGCTTTTGAGCAGCTTTGCGCTCGGCTTCTAACCGTGATTCACACAGTAATATATATCTCTACTGTGTATGAAGATTCATCACCATAACAGGCCAGCTCGGCTTGTCTTTATTGATTGGTCGCCGGGACTTTTAGTAGGCATCGTGCTTGATACCGCCCCTTTCCATCTGCCGCAAAAGCCTGGGTGATGTATCGGTCTCCGAGGACGTGAACATGTTCTGCAGCGTGCATTCACTTGCACATCACCTACTCCAAAGCGCCAGGTTATATACTGTTCCAGTCTGTCCTGTCCTATTTTTTCTTGTCAAATGTGCTCCTTGAACCGTCTGGCCTGAAATCGCAAACTCAAGCTTACTGTACTCGTGGACATTTTTCGGCTTTCGGCTTCAGCTCTCCGGCCCCCTCTTCTTAAAGCAAACGTCCATTACTCATTGCACACATGATCTCAAACTCCCCAAAAGTCACCAATCTTCGCCATGCCTGAACAACAGAAGCTGCTTGCATCGCTCGACGTGAGTTTATTCCTCGTTCCCATTGCCATCGTCGTCCGTCATTGCCGATATCATTGAGTGGCTGCTGCTCAGTTCCGACTGGTGTTCCCAGCTGCGGCCGCTCTTGATGACGGCAAGACATCGACAGCCTGATCGTGGCAGTGTGCTAACAATCCCCCCAAAGGACTCCATTGCCTCGCGGCTGCCATCGCACTCGCAGCAGCTCTTCCAGGCCAAGACCGCCCGCGGCCTGACCTTTGCCGAGCTTGCCGACGCCCTCGGCCGCAGCGAGGTGGCCGTGGCAGCCATCTTTTACGGCCAGGCGTCGCCCTCGACGGCCGATGCGGCCAAGCTCAAGGAGCTGCTGGGGCTGACCGACGAGCTGACGGCACAGCTGACGGCGGCGTCGTTCCCCGACCGCGGCCGCGCGGGTCCGATGCCGCCGGTCGAGCCGCTCATTTACCGGCTGTACGAGATCGTGCAGAACTATGGGTATGCGTACAAGGCTGTGCTGAACGAGAAGTTTGGCGACGGGATCATGAGCGCGATCGCCTTTAGCACGGGCGTTGAGAAGGAGGTCGACGCCGAAGGGATCACCTGGGTGAACATCCGGATGCGTGGGAAGTGGTGAGTTTGGGCCCTGTCGTGGTCTTTTCCGTGCTTGTTGCAGTCTTTGGTCCTTTGCTAACAGGCAGGCTTCCGTTTTCGCGTTTTTAAGCAACGGATCAGATTTGGTGGAAAGGCGAAACATCAGAAGGCAATTTCAAGAATGCGTATGTAATCAGAAATGTACCAACGGAAGCCACATGCAGAGACGTGACTTCCCTTTGCTGTCCTCCATCCAGACCGGTCGTTCGATCCAATTGTCCGTTGCAAAATAAAAATGAATAAATCGAGCGGAAGCTTCTTTGATGTGATACTTTGCGGGACAAGGCGAGGAAACCCAGGGGACAATACTAAGAGTGGAACAATAGCAAGGCTAAACCCGTCACAGCCTCGCTTGTGACTGCCAACTTCACCACCACATCTGCCAACAGCTATGACTTCCAACTACAGCACGGGTTGAATTGGATCATTCAAGTAATTTATCGAGTTTAGACCAATACTGTCGGTCACGGGAGAACATGGTGAGCAACCAATAGGTCAATGGGTCGGGGAAGGGACATAAGACGATGTCGGAGACAAGCATCATGCACAGTAGACAAACAGCAAAGTGGTTTCTCCGATCAGAAGCATGTGAACGGAACCCGCTCGAGTGATCATGGATCATGCTTTGAGGCAGATAAGAACAATACTACCGGCAAGGGACAATCGTAAACATGGACAAGGACGTCCACCCAATATTGAACTGCATCAGGACACGATCCTTGCTGCTATCTTTCGGTTCCGCTTCCTCATTCGCTGCCTCGAGTCCAGGGACGATGGCCGGCCATCCAGACTCCTGCATTCGGCTTCGTGTCACAATTTATCTTGCGTGCCCCACTGTCCAATGCTCGCACATGTGCGTGTCCGCCGAGGCAGGCCCGAACGAAAGAACGAAAGCGGCCGTTGCGGTCTCTGCTGCCTGTTCATTGCACGCATTGCTTCTTACGATTGTTCTTACCGCGTGAAAGACAGGACAAGACGAAGCCGGAAGCCAAGAGAAAACTCGCCATCACTCGTGAACACGCCTCTGTGGGACTTCCTTTGAGCTGTCTTTCTTACTCGACATCTCTTTGACCGGTCTTTCTCTCGATAAGCACCCCCTCTCTGCCTCTACTGTCTCTCCGCATTGCATGACGTCTGCCTCAATCTTCTCTGGCCGCGATCGGTAATCTCATACCCCCCAGCAGTCAACAGCACCGAAATTGTCTATAAAAGGTCCAGGTCCTTCCCACATTCCTCCCAGCTTTTTTTCTCCTCACCCGCGCTATCATCTTCACATTCAATCAATCATCTTCAACAACTTTCCAAAGAAAACCAACCCCCCCAACTTTCAAAATGCAGCCCAGCTTTGTCAAGAACGTCCAGACGGTGAAGGCCAGCGCCGGCGGTGACGGCCTCATTGGTGGCGGTTACTGCGTCGTCATGTAAGTTGCCTACTCTTGAGGCAACTTGCTTGAGATGATGAGAGGAGAAGCTCGAGAGAGGCAAAACAACCATGTCACAGACTACAATCCACAGCAATGCACCCCAATAGCGAGGATTGGGCTCCCCTTGTCTTTCCAGCTCTCTCTACCCTCCTCTACCAGTAGGATACCTATCCTTGACAGAAAAATCATCACAAGACGACATATCGACCCATCTCCTGAATCACTGATCTCTTCTCGCTCATCTTTCTTTTCTCGCCAACGGAGGAACTCATTTGACAAAATCGATTTTCTCCACACACCGGCAACCTCATTTGGTATACTTTACACAGTACTCACAACTCTCACTTGCCTTCGGTTTATTCGCTTCATCCTACTGGTGTCTGGTTCTTGCTTATTCTGTGATCTCTTCTGAGTGGAATGGCCAACCATTCTGATCGGACGATCCCATAAGAGGTGGGAACGAAAGCACCAGGAGTACGAAACATTTTACTATCATGGCCTGCTGTGTATACGCACACTGGGTTCTTTCCATTTGCTGTGTCAATATTTTCTGGCCATCTTTGTCTGGTGGAGACAAGAAAGGTTTAAGGGAGGAGGTTACGGATGCCATTTGTGGACCATTCAGATAGTTGAATACATGCATTTGGGATCCTACACAAAATCTATGATTAATTGATTGACAGCCGTGATTACAAGTACCGCAGCTTATGGACGAGTTGCAGCTTTTCGCTTCTAACCAATAAGAAGTTGTAGTGGAGGATTGCAGTAAAGCTTCTTATCTTGGAAAAAACCATATCAAAATTTAGAAATGGAGGCACAGCTTCTACTTTAAGATCGCGTGTGGGCGGTCTGGTTGAAATTCCGATCATACTTGGCATGGCAGTCGTGTAAGTTGGCACGTGACGATAGTGACCTTTTGGATCTCCTAATGCGTACAGGCGGTGAGAACTTATGGATCCATCTCCAAGCATAGTGTGGCAGAAAAAGAAAATTTCCAGGTAGAAAAAAAAAGAGGACGGAGATTGCAGAGTTACGAGAGGTGCCAGCCTACGACAAGCTGCCAACAGAACGCAGCTTTCATACTCAGACACCACCACTACGATGGGACGAAGCGCATTGAGAGCGGCATTGGCGGCCGAGAAGGGTGTGGATTTCAAGAAGTTGAGGGAAAAGAAGAGATACAAGCAGGGTGTGAAGGAGAAGACAAAGAAGGGAGGAGCTGGCAGCGTGTCGAAGAAGGATGCGACAGACGAATGGGAGGACGAGGAGGAGGAGGCGGAGGAGAGCGATGCCGGGGATGAGGACGAGGACCGGCTAGGAGTAAGTAGTTCTGTCTCTGCAGCTGGGCAGATGAAACAGGCTATGGGATATGGGATACTGACCAACTCTTTTGCAGGCCGACTTTATTGCTGCCGTGGACGATTCGGACGAGTCAGACTCGGATGTCGAGATGGAGGCAAAGATTGTGCGGGTCAAGGCAGCCGCATCACCGACACCAGCAGCGACCCGGAAAGAGAAGGCTGCCAAGGTGACTAAGGTGGCCAAGGCGACCAAGAAGGTTTCCAAAAAGGCCGAGGATGAGGATGAAGAGGAAGAGGAGGAAGAGGATGGCGAAGAAGACGAAGAAGAGGACGACGATGCGGGCGAGGACGAGGAGGTCTCGTGGTCGGACCTGGACGAGGAGGAGCGCGCGGGGCTGGCGGTCCAACGGCGACAGACGATCAACAACGCGGCAGCGCTGACGGCGGCGCTGGTGCGGATCCGCGTGCCGACCGACAAGAGCGTGCCCTTTAGCACGCACCAGTCGGTGGTGCCGTTGTCGGAGCCGACGGCGGCCTCGATAGCCGACATCCAGGACGACGTCGCGCGCGAGCTGCAGCTGTACCGGCAGAGCCGCGATGCGGCCGTGGCGGCACGCCGGCTGCTCCGTGTCGAGGGCGTGCCCTTTTCGCGGCCGGCCGACTACTTTGCCGAGATGGTCAAGGACGACGAGCACATGCAGCAGGTGCGGGCGCGTCTGGTCGAGGCTGCGTCCGCCCAGAAGGCCTCGGCCGAGGCCCGGCGCCAGCGCGACCTCAAAAAGTTTGGCAAGCAGGTCCAGGTGGCCAAGATGCAGGAGCGCGCCAAGGCGAAGAAGGACACGCTCGAGAAGATCAAGACGCTGAAGCGGAGTGAGTGTCCCGGTCGGTCCTCTGTCTCGATGGTCTGCTAACCGCGCTAACCCGCCAGAACGGTCCGAGAATGGCGCGACCAACACCCACGAGGCCGACCTGTTTGACGTCGCCGTCGACACCGAGATCGGCGCCAAGCGCGGCGCCTCGTCGGCCCCCGGCAGCCTCAAGCGTGGTCGCGACGGCGGCCGCAGCGGCGGCCCGCCACAGCCCAACGCCAAACGCCAGAAGAAGAACGAAAAGTACGGCTTCGGCGGCAAGAAACGGCACGGCAAGTCCGGCGACGCCCAGTCGTCCGGCGACCTCAGCGGCTTCAACGCTCGGCGCATGAAGAGCGGCGGCAGCGCCTTCAAGGCTCAGCGGCCGGGCAAGGCGCGGCGACAGGCAGCAGGCGGACGGCGGTAGAGCATTCTGTCGGTTTGGTCGCTTTTATGTCATTATTCGTCATCATCGACTGGTCTCTTCTTGCTGTCTGTGCTTGCGCTGCTGTATACAATCAATCAGGCCCAGTGTGTTTTGGATTGTGGCTGCTGTTATCAAAAGAATCGTGGTGTCGTCATTTGCCTCTCTACCATAGCATACGTCTGTCAGGGTCTCGATACAATATCCATATTCTAACACTACAATCGATACATGCCGTATTCCCGCATCCACGCCGCGTTTTGTCTATATCTACAACCATACAGCATCCGTGCTGTCGAGCGCCCTCAGCATGGGGCCAGATACATGATCACCACCGGCTTGCAGAAGAGAAGATTGGGAAAGCCTTCGTGAATCGTTTTGCATTCTTTGCATAATTGCGTCAATACACGCCTATGGCCATGGCCCCGGATAGAGAATGGGGGGAATAATCTGCAACAAGAACGCGGGGAGCATATGATTTGTAATGACATGAGAAAAGCAGGGAGCCAGGAGAGAATGTCGGCTCGGACAGAGATGCAGTGGTACCGCTGCAGCAACAACAAAAGCAAAAGCATCGTTTCCTGGTGACAGGATGACTAGAGCAGCGTGCATGCAAGCAGCAAGTAAAAGACAAAAGAAAAGGTAGACAGATTGTCGAAAAAAAACACACAGGGTATTCGTTTGTCAAGAGGCAAGAGTGTTTGTCGTTCGGGTTCCTTTTTCTTCCGAGTCGTTCGCGTGTTGACTGTGTAGAGGTCGTGCAGAGGCCGAGACGTGATGCTCGGCAGAATCATCGCTGCTGATGCTATATGTGCAACACCGCGAGCCGGACTGCGGCCATCCTGACCAGAAAGTCTGCCCGACCCAAAGAACGTCGCCTCCCAGCATCGTAAACAAGACAGGCAAAAGCACCCAACAATGTCGTCACCCTGCACATGAGGGTTGGAAAATGTGAACAAAATTCGGCAGCCAATGCTAGGTAGAATGAAGAGTAATCAGGTAGGTTTAATAATGATAAAAAAAAGCACACAAAAAACACCGTGGTATCACACCAGAGACGCCGATCGCTCAAATGCTCTTTTTGGTTTTTGCAGGCCCAAGCTCGGCTCGTCAGGACGGCCGACGCCGAAGCCAGAAGATGAAACCGCCATTCGTTCTGGGCGGAAGGTCGACCGTTCGCAGCTACTGCGACGCGGCAACACACCAGTGACGGTGGAAGGCCCACGCACTCTTCTGGCACTCCTTGCTGCAGTACTTTGTCCTCCGGCAGCGGCGGCACTTGGCAAACTGCCGCGTGAACTCCTCCCACTTCCCGCACTGGTAGTAGGCACACTGGCGGATGCCGCCCCGGGTGTCGTCCTTGCGGCACAGGTTCCGCATCACCACGCCCGCCCAGTACTGCATGTCGGTGCTGTGGTAGCGCACCGTAAACTTCTCCACTAGTGGGAAGATGTTCAGGTCGTTGGGCAGCAGGTATTCTTCCTCCTCCTCCTCCTGGTCGTCGTCCTCGTCCATCAGCGCCGCGAAGCCCACCGAGTCTATGCTCGACAGATCGTCGCCGTCCAGCAGCTGGAGCTCCTTGCCGATCTTAAGCCGAGGCACCAAGTGGCTCTTCTGGAAGTATGTCCGCAGGTTGCAGTACTTGGACACGTACGCGAGCAGCTGCAGCGACATCAGCACGTCTTCTTCCCGCGGCATGGCCGCGATGATGTACGGGTTAGCCGTCAGCTGTCGCTCCACAAGGTAGCGCGGTACGCTCGCGTTCGGCATGATCGGCTGCTGCGCCGCCGCCATGGCCGGTCGGTTCGGCGAGAGCCCGATTGCCGGCACCGGCGTCGTCGTCGTTGTCGGTGCGTTGATGATGCTGCCGCCGTCGATGGGCGCACGGTGTGTGATGTTGAACGTGCCAGTTTCCTGCGTCTCCGAGACCGTCGGCGTGGTCAGCTCGATGCCTGTCGCGCCCAGGATGCTCTCCGACTCCTCCATGGCGATGTCCTGGATGTCCACCGCCGGCTGGATGTTGCCGGTGCCCGACATGTCCGTGTCTGGTGTCTCGTCCGACTGCACGCTCTCCGCGTTGATGTCGTCAGCTTCGCCAGACGTCGTCGAGCTCTGGTGCCGGATGGACGGACGTCTGCGAGACCGGCCCGTCGGGGCGAGCAGCGACGTTGGTCGGACGGTCGGCGACCGGAGCTGCGGCGGTGGCAGCGGCGTGGTCGGCGAGGCGGGCTGCGACGTGACGGTGAGTCCCAGGCGCGCCGCAAAGCGGTCGGCGTCGCGGATCGTCCGGGCATACGCCTGCTCGCCGCCATTCTCGGCAGTGGCTGACACGACGGAAGCCAGCGGCTGGATGCCGTTCTGGAAAGGCGAGGAGATGGTGTGTCTCGTCGACGCATTGACAGCGTTGGAGGCAGCAGTAGCAGAGGCTAACACGGCCTCATCCATGGCTGCGGACGACGAGGGCAACGACGTCGACAGGGAGCTGGTCGAAGGGCCCGGAGCGCTGGTGGCATGATGATGATGGTGATGATGGTGATGGCTGTGCTGCTGGTTCTGGCGAGGAAGGATGGGAATGGGAGCACGGTCGGTCATCTGGGTATGCGACGAGTGCGAAGACGGCGAGCCCAGGGCCATCTGGCCAGACAGGAGAGCAGTTGGCACAGGAATGGGCACCGGAGGCGATGTGATATGGAACTGAGACATGGTAGGCGTGGCGTCATTATCGGCGTTGCTAGCGCTGCTCGCGTTGCTGCTAGCGGTGCTGCCGTTGTCTGCTGACAAAACAGTGCTGGAGCTGGGTCCCGGCACGGTTGGGTCGACAGGAGCCGGGACGGAGAGGCCGACCAGGGCAGCCGACACGTCAATGGACGGCGGCGGGGCCTGGCGACGGAAGGCGCGGTGCTGGTCGATCTCGAAGCGGCCGCTGCTGGCTCGATTGGCAAAGGATGAGGACTTGCTGCCGATCCGCAGGTCCTTGACGCGGTGATGGCCCTGGTGGTCACGGGCCTGTCGCTGCTTGGCCTCCTCGGCTCGCTCGCGGCATTTCTCGATCACCTTGATGTAGTTGTCGAGAATGGTGGCAATGACTGGCACCATGTCGGCCTCGACCACTCTCGTCCGCACCGCCTCAGTGCCGCGCACGCCAATGTTGACAACGCACTGAAAGGCCAGGTTCCACTTCCACATGTCCATCATGTCTCGGCTGCGGCCCTGCTTGAGGATGCAGACCAGGCGCTCGATGCCGCCATCGACGGTCAGGATGTCCCGTATCCGGGCCGACGACGTTGTGAGATAGGCGAGGTGGTTGAGCGAATTGATGAGCGGCAACGTCGACGTGCAATCGAGGGCACGGCGGTCGTAGAGGGCCGTCGTGATGCCCACCGACGCCTTGTTGACGTTGGGGATGCTAAAATTGACCTCCCTCATCTTCACGGGAGGCCGGCGGCACGCGAGACGTCGTCAACGGGTCGGGATGGCAGGATGGGAGAAGGCGTGTCCTCGTTGTGTGGATAGGAAGCAAGGACAAAGAAGAAAGGCGCAGAGCCGGGAAAAAATGGGTAAAAAAAGAGAATTAAAATAAGGTGTGGTCCGAAGGCCAATGGCTCTACCGCTTTCGCGTTCCCGTCAGGACAGCCTGCTCGGCAATCAAAAAGTAAGAATGTAGAGGCGGCCGGGTGGCGGCTGCAGATGTGAGGCGATGAGTTTTCAGGAGGCGGGTGCCGATCGGAGGCGGCAAGGGTAGATGGAAAAAAAGGAGGGAAGGGAGATTAGGCGATGGCGAGTTGAAGAGTAATTTCGCACGTTCCTCAGCAAAACTCCTCTTTTTTGAGTTGTTTTTGTAATGTGTGATGGAACCGTTCTGCTAAGCAGGAGACCGGTCGGAACACTTTGAAGGTGAGGTCGGGAGGGGGCGAGCGATAGGGAGAGAAGTGTCTCGCGTTGTGTGTGGTCGTGTAGATAGACGTCTGGTGGTGCAGATAGAACGGCGTGGCGTGGGCGAGTCCCGGATGGCTCTTTCAGTGCAACAACGATTGCATGGCTTGCGAGAGTTTGATGGCTCGCAGGCGATGGAGACCAAGATGCAGGCAGGGAGGAAAAGTCGGTTGAGGAGTGGGCGGCGGTGGTTGTGGTTGGGAGGAAGAATGTCGGATATGTGTCGGATATGGCCGCTTGGGTCGAGAGAGCGTTGCAATTGATGGCAATGGCTATCGGTCACGGGAGATTGAAGAAGAGAGGAGCCACGGCACGGACAAGGGCGGAAAAGGAGGCGTGTCAGGATAGGACGGGAGAATAGTGAGGCTTCGGGCGGATGCTGTCACTCTCCCGGGAATGGGTGCAGATGACGGAGATGCAGCGTGAAGGAGACGATGTGGGATGCAGAGAGAGGAAGAGAGGAAGAGAGGAAGAGAGAGAAGGAGAGGAGAGCGAAAAGTGAGGGAACGAAAAAGGAAGCCAAAACGGAAAGGGTGCAACGGAGTAGGTTAGTCCCAGCAGGCGAGTTTTGGGGGGGGAGGCGGGAAAAAAAGATTAGGTTTAAAAAATAAAAATAAAAAACGGGCAGGGAAGGCAGGCCGGGTTATAGCAGGACAGCATTACGAATAGCGGGATACTAAGTATGTTGGCGCTGTTGCGGCGCGTGTGGTGCTAACCAGCTAGGGCCTGGCAGCGTGGTGGCGCCTGGAATGACAGGTGGGCCTCTATTCGTAATCGGAGGCGAGAGCGGCCTGCTATGAAGCGACGAGACTGCCGTTGAAGCTACGCGAAGATGGTGGAAAGCGTGATGCTGGCAGCCAGCGCGAAGAGCTCAGAGCCGGCACTTGCACTGGGGGCTCGGCCAGCCAGCCGCGAGTGCACGGCTCCTGCTACAGAGTGTGTGCTGCAGAGCGACCAGCTCTCCGGATGCGTCGCCACGGCAGCCCTGGTCTCAACTTGCGATGCTCAGGTGCTTCGACTGTCTCCAGCACGCGGTCGTGCGGTCGTGCGGCCATGCAATCTCCACGGGCGGAGCTCCAGGTGTCTGCAGTCCGATCTGGCTCGTCTCTTTCCTTTTTGCTGATCTTTTTCTTTTTTCTCTTTCCCTCCCTTCTTCCATCCTTCTCACCTCCTCTCCCCGTCTGCTGGGACGAGAGCCCGACGCGATGTTCCCTTCTGCCTGACCAGTCGTCCTTCTGCCACGCTTCCTAGCTCCATGTCCGTGTCCGTGCCCGCGGCCGTGCTTGGTAATCGGACTCGTATCTTGCATCGTAGGCCCTAGGCCAGCTGCGAATACTCTGTAGCTGCGTTTCAGACACCCCCACCCGAAACCCATTCTCTTCCCGCCACCGGCATTTCGTCCTCGTAAAAGAGGGCAGCTACATGTACGGTGTGTATGTGTGCACAGTATACAGGTATGGAGCAGGTCGGACGATGCATAAGGAGACACGGGGGGAATACTCGCACATATGCAGAACAAGCGGTTATACAAAAACGTCCGGAGCTGTTCCGGCTGAAGAAGACACACAGTGCAGAGTACTGTGCGCCGTTGGGCTGCTTGGGCCCGCATGACGAGCCAGAGACAAGGCAGAGGCGAATCGTCGCCGGCCAATTTCCCTGTGTTTGTTTTTCCCAGTTCGCAGGCGTCTCTTTGTGATTTTTAATACTAGTTGCCTCTCCCGTTGATCGACATCCTACATGATACGGCGAGCTGGTGCAAGAAGTGTGGATATCCGCGCGAGTTTTGTCTGCGAGCATTGCCAAGCAGGGAATCTATCTAGAGGCAACGCTTGCCGCTGTCTTACTCTGCCAAGGTATTGTGCGCTTTCTCGTACGAACATGTGGCACCACTTGCCACCGGCCTGCCACCGCCGTTCCTCAGCTTGCACATATTCCGATACTTCGTGCCCAGCATCCTTCCGTGAGCTCTTTTTCTCCCGGGCTATCGGCCACTTCCCGCCAAGCGAGCTACGGCCAAAATACACTTTACCTGTCACATTGCTGCGCGCGCGCGCGCAAGAGAACAGGGCAGAACCCGGCATGCCAAGGCGGAGCTCGCGCTGCCAGGGCTGTCCGGATGGGAGAGCATGGCCCACAGTTCTGCCATCAGGACGCGGCTATGGCGCCAGCATGGCTGCAGCTGCTGATTCGTCCGTGCTGCAGGCCAGCGAGGCACTGTCGGTGGGGTCCCAGGCCGACCATCGGCTCGATTTGGCGCCGGGCCCAGCAGGAGGGAACAAAAAAGGGAAAAAAACACAAGAGGGACGCGAGAGGCAACAGTGAGGGCGTCTGGAGGAACATGGTAACCGCCGACACGACAAGACACTGCAGGAGAAAGGGGTGTCGGCTGCAAGCGCCAAACAGTGACAGGGGCTCTGACCGGCCTGTTCGGGACTGGAAACGTTTCTGGACAGCGACTAAGGCTTAGGAGACGAGCGGGCCGTCCCTGGGTTACTCTGTGCACGAGTCGTCGTAGCGACGGAGCCTTGTTGCCCGGTGTTGTGCATGGGTATCGTGTTGAAGCATTTGTAAGACTTGCAGATGCGAGAAAAGTGCGTTTAGATTCAGCGATTGGTAGGCTCGTACAATATAGACTCAAAGTTGTACAAATCAGCCATCCGCATGCACATCTTTATACGTGCCACAACCCACACCTTCCAGGTGCCGAAGCGCTGGCCGAGGGAGGCAAGGACAGCGAGGCCGTGGCGAAGCTGCAGAGGGTGATGACGTTGAAGTCACCAAAATGGTCGGTTGGTTGAAGGGGATGGTCCGGCCCAAGACGGATGTGGCACTAGGAGAGAGATGAGAGAGAAGGGACAAGCGGGATAAAAAGACCTGCTCGATCAGAGACATCAGGGCAAAGTCCAACGCCCAGTAGCCCACATGAGATCGAGCTGGACGGTGAATATCCAGGAGATATCGGGGAAGAATAGTGGCGGAGAACGCCGTCTGGCAGGACTTTTGGAAGAGATTGATACTGGGGAGCTTAATGAGGGAGGAGGGCTATATAAGAATGAGGAACATAAAGACGAGGAAAATGGAAATGATAAATACAGTGTAGGCCTTACACTCACGCTTTCTGAAAACCAAACATGCAGAAGAGACACAAAAACGCCCCTACCGCACACAGGCATCAGCGGAGCCCCTCCTCAGACGGCAGGTTGGACGTCAAAAGGTCCTCGAGCGCGGTCGTCTTTGCTGTCTCCACGATCGATAGCGTATCGCTCAGCTCTGCCATTCTGTGTCGACTATGCTGGCAAGCCTGTTGACGTCTTGCTCGACCGGACCGCAGCAGCCAGCCCATATACGCCCGACGGCGATCGAGCCTTGCTTACCATTACGACGCCTGGACCCCGGCGACACATCTGTCGAGACACGAGACAGCCGGCCGCAGCCTCTTGTAAGTTGCCCACACTCCCATTGGCTGGCGGAGACGGGCTCTTTCCCAATCGGACTAGCGGCGGCCGACTAACGCCGCCGGCTGCATTCGTAATGGTGATGCAAGTGTTTTCCTAGATGCTCCCACCATCTCCTTGATGTGAAGCCAGCAGCCTGCTTCCTTGTCGCCATGGCGGCCGGCAGACAGCCGACAAGCGCGCCGTCTGGTCTGCCTCGGTGCGGCCGCTGCATCCGGTAAGCTGTGTTGTGTTGTGCGAGACGATAGCAAGAGCCTGGACTATGTGTATGGCTGCGGTTCCGTCTCCAGTTCCGGAGGATATGACCAGCAGAAGCGCCCGAAACAACACTAACACGCACTCGCCCTCTTTTCTGCTGCCCTTCCTTCCACACCTGTTCACACGCAACTCTCCCTCTTCCGACATCCACACCATCTCCTCAACCCCCTCCTCCCCTCCCCCTCCCTCCACCACCCGCTCTTCGCACATGGCCTGGACGACGTGGTGATGGTGTGGATGGACTAGCCCGGATGTTCACGTGCTGGCTTGACATCCATGTGCTGGGCATTTTCCGTTTCTTCCATCCTGACCTCCTCATCCTCTACAGCCACCATTCCTGGCCACCTTTCCTGGCTAGAAGCCCGTCTCGCCCGCTCCGGCTGCCGATATCCGCTGCCGGTCGAGTCCCAGGTCCTCGATCGGATGGGTTGAGCTAGCTATAGGCCTCTCTGTCTACCTTTCTGTCGCCTAGTCGCACGACAACATTCATGCCACATGCTCAACCTCCCGCTCAACAACACGCAAAATGCCTCTACCACGCCACGCTGTAAGCACGTGCGCACTTACGGACGAAGCTCGGACGATGGCACGACTGCCTGGCGCAGCAAGGCCGAAGCCCTCTGCAATGAAGGCCGACTAGTGTCCCGTCGACTGTCCGTCGTTCGCCCAAGAACCTTAATCGCTCGATCCTGAATTCCGCATCCTGGATCTCCAACCCTGCACCACCAACCTTGCACCAACCTTGCACCCCAACACTGCCCCCGAATCAACGCATGTTTTCGCCCGGAACATCAAACTCCTCTCACATTGCAGCGCAGATAGCAAAACGTAAACGTATCGTACATCATATCCGGTCCAATCCCGCTCAAGCTCAAGTCCCGATGCGCCAGATAGTCCAAATGCCCACGCCCAAAAACAAAACGCCAGAATGCCAATGCTGACCTGTCTCGATCGTCCAGGTCCAGTTTTCCGACCCTGGTCCCCTTTTCCGACCGTTGGCCCCTTTGGTTTGGCCATGTGGGACGCCCAACTCCGTGTCGTTTGTTCGTGAGGTGTTCTCGTCTTTGTCGTCTCCTCATCTCAGTTGAATAATATCCTCGCTCCCTTCACTTATCCTTCACATCCTCCTCAACTTTGTCCTCTTCTCACCTCACCTCTTCCCTCTTCTCTTCTCTCCTCGCCTCTTTCTCCTCACCTCTTTCTCCTCATCTTTCCCCCTCTCTTTTCCTGTCTCTTTTCCCGTCTCTTCTCTTCCCCTCTCACCTCCTCCCTCTCACTTTCCCTCTCACTTTCCCTCTCACTTCCCCTTTCACCTCCCCTCCCCCTCCCCTCCCCTCCCCTCCTCTCACCTCCCCTCACCTCCTCTCACCTCCCCTCACCTCCCCTCACCTCCCCTACTGGCACACCCATTCCGCAAACACACACCATCGTGCCGTCCGGTCTGCCAACACCAGTCCCCGCCACACTCCCCGCTCGCTGCACTTAATGATCGTCTCCCACGTGCCGCCATCGCTGGCCTCGTCGTCACTGCTGACCATCGCTGCCCGCCCACCGATGCCTATCCCCATCCCCAGTCCCATCCCGCCACCGCCACCCCGCCGGTCTTCCTTGCGCATCAGCCGCAGAATCTTGCCGCCCGGCGTCTGGATCGCCAGCTTTGCCGGTTTCTTGCCCACAATCGCCGGCCCTGTCGCGCTGCTGCTGCTGCTCGCCACGCTGCCCGCCGTCCCACCGCCACCCGCCACGCTCGAGAGGATGCTCATCGCCGAATTTGGCCGCGCAAACGGCACCGGCGACGCCGCCCCCATCCGTCCACTTGTGCTTCCCGGCGTCGGTGTCGTCGTCGCTCCCAGCGAGCTCGGATGCTGCCGGATCGCAAACACAAACGTGTTGTTCAGCGCCAGCCGTTGGCACTGCGGCTGCACCACGTAAATGTCGTGTCGCTGCGCATGTGGTGTCGGATGCCGCATCACAAAGTCGTAGGCCGGGTTGTCGCCCGTATGCACCACCGGCAACGCGAACGCCAGCGGGTGTGGAATGTCCTTGACGCTGTGCATCAGCCCTCGCCGTCCTGCATACACTCGCAGCACCCCCGTGCCCTCTTCGCCCGGCAGCAACGCCTTGATCGTGTACCGCTTCGAACCGCCCACCCAGTCCGCCTGCGCCAGTGCCCGCTTGCGCACCACCTCGCCGCTCTCAAAGAAATCGCCGTCGGCGTCCCGCGCCAGCGACCGCACCTCTACCTCCGCTGCCAACTCCACTTCCTCTGGCACTTCCACCCGCAGCTGTACCATCTCCAGGTCTTCGATCCGCACCAGCGCCGTGTTGAAATCCGCCAGCCGCAGTCCATTCCGGAAGTACGGCGGTCCTGCACACGGCAGATTTAGCAGCACCTCGTGCGCCACTGCTGGACACAAGTGCTGCTGCTCGTGATGTTCAGGGATGTGCGTGTAGCACGCCTCGCTCGGCCGCGACAGGAACCACCACCCATCTGCTGTCGTTCCGCTGCTGGTGCCGCTCGAATATTGTCCCCGTCGTGGAAACGACGGGCTCGCCACGCAGCAGTCCATTATTCGCCACTCCCCGTCCACCACCACCGTGTTCCACCAGTGGTTCGATCGTGGCATGATTCCCAACTCCGGCAGGTCGCCCGGCGCCTTGAGGTAGCCCCGGACCACCTCGCACAGCAGTCCGGCTGCCATGCACATCTCCATCACGAGCACCGCGTACTCCCGCGCGCACCCTCGCTTCGTTTGCAGCACCCGCCGCGTGTCCACCGCCCCGGTCCCCTCGTACTCTTCCTCCCACGAGATCTTTTCCGCCACCCACGTGAAGATTGCCCGCAGCCGCTGCACGTCGCTGCGGTATGGCCGGCACACATACATCGTCGCCACCGTGATAGCTGTCGTCGTCGGTGGTAGGTTGCTGATGAACCGCGAGTTCTTGTCCACCTGTCCGAGGTTGAGTCCGCCATAGTCGATCGGCTGCAGTACCGGCATACCGTCCACCCCCTCGTCACCCTGGATCGTCCCGTATAGCTCGTCCACCGGGTCCATTGCCGGGTAGTCGAGCATTTGGCAGCGGTCTCGCATCTCGTTTCGCTCGTTGCGGCTCATCGAGTTCGATCGGTTGACGTCGCGCCGCACCTGCACCCAGTCTGCGCTGCTGCTGCTGCTATTGCCGCCACCACCACCTATCTCGCGTCCCGAGTCGCGTGCGAGCCCGCTCGCCGGAATCCCGGTGCTGCTGTGGTTCTGCCCATGTGCGATGCCGCCCACCACGACCCCAGTACTGCCGCCAAAGCCTGTCATCGCGATACTGCCGCGACTACTAGCCACGCCGGCCTTGGCGGACTCGACAATTTTCTTGAAAAACCCAGTCTTCTTCACCGACTTGGGCTGCGTCAGTCCGCCGAGCCCCGATAGCTCGCCAAGTCCGGGCATGTCGTCAGCACCGCGCTTTCCCAGCTGTGACCTCGATCGTGGATAGTCCGACGCGTGGCTGCTGTGGTAGGTCACCCCCGTGAACGGAGATGCAGGCCGGTCGCTGTCCCAGTCGGCTATGTTCAGTGCGCTCTGCGCCCGGCTTCGGTTCTTCCGCGCCAGACTTCCCGCGCTGGTTGCGCTGATCTCCCCGGCCGACACCCCGCTCATCAGACTGCGATCTGTGCTCTGCGTGTTCGAGCTGCTGTTGGTAGCTGTGCTGCGTGTGCTTACAGATGTGTTCGTCGCGTTGGTCTTGGTCGTGAGCGTGCGCCCGAGCATCTGACGACCGACATCGTATGCGGACCGCTGATGCCGCAGCCTCGGATCCGTCGAGAGAATCGACATGGACGATTTTGGCCGCTCGTACATGCCGCCCTTTGACGGTGGCGGCGGCGCATCCGACTCACCATCGTCGAAGGGCGTCACCGACTGCTTCTGTTCGTGCATGCTACGCAGCCGCGACTCCATGCGCTCCACGTAATTGCTCAGCTGTGGCAGTGGCTGATCGTCATCCTGATACCCACCGCTGCCTGCCACGTCGTGTGACGAAAGCGCACTGCCGCTGTAGGTCTCATAGCCCTCGTCGACAGGAATGCCCATGGTAGACAATGGACGTCTGATCTGGTCTCCGCGCTCGCGCTGTTGCTGTTGCTGCTGTTGCAGTTGCTGCTTTCGGGAACTCCGGTGGACCGTGTCGAACGACGCTGGAGACCACGGGTCAAACGCCGCGGCTTCTGCTGCTCTGGACTCCTCCTCCTCTCTGGACATGCCAAGGACTCCGAGCTGCTCCATTACGCCATCCATCGCCTCGCGCAACGGCGACGGGGTAAAGCCAGACTCGCCGCCAGGCGAGAGCGGACCTGGAGAGGGCCCACGCGGTGTCTGATAGCCACCGGACCGATGACTCATATAGGACATGTTGGATCCATGTCTTTCAAGCCCGCCGACGGATTCACCATAGGAACCATTCGACCCGTTGCGGCCCATGACATGTCGATGTGGCGGAGGCGGAGGAGGAGGGGCATCGGCCAAGTCGGCACCAGAACGGTAGGGCTGGTACACCTTCTCTGGTGGCTCCTGGTAAGACGCATGTATGGGTGGTGCCGGCGAGAGCTGGCGATGATGGGGCTGCATCTGCTGGTCGTACTGCTGATCGGAGGGTGCGCCGTAATAAGACTGCTCCAGCGGCAGCGAGTGCGAGTGGTAGTGGCCAGGGGGCGCAGGAGACGCCGCTCTGTAGTCGTAGCTAGCTGCCGGAGGAGGAGCTGGTGACGGAGCTCTAGACCCATAGGCAGCTGCTCTGGGAGGGGCGGGTGATGCGGTACGGATCCCGTAGACACTCGGCGGCCGAGCAGCAGGCGAAGGAGCTCTCATGGGGTAGTTTGCGTATGAAGGTGCAGGCGATGGGGCACGGTAGCCTGCAGCTGGAGGGGGAGCCGGGGAGGCTGCCCGATAGCTCGCCATGGGCGGAGCAGGCGAGGCAGCTCTGTAGCTCATGGGTGGAGCAGGGGATGGAGATCTGTAGTTGGCCATGGGTGGAGCGGGCGAAGGTGCCCGATAGCTTGCAGCTGGAGGCGGAGCTGGTGATGGAGCTCTGTAGCTCGCGGCAGGAGGAGGAGCAGGTGATGGTGCCCGCTGGCCGTATGTTGCCTGAGACGGGGCCGGGTTGTGGTTGTGGTTGGGATCGGTGCCGTCTATCCGTCCACGGCCCCGGCCTGGACCAGCAGCACTGTTTGGGGGTTCTCTGGCGCGTACAGTTCCTGGTCGATATGTCTCTGGCTGTTTTGCCGTTGTGTAGTGAGGAGCTTTGGCGTAGGCCTCGAACGGTTTCCGGAACGTCCTCGACTTTTGCGGCGCGCTCTTCGGGCCCGACGTGCTGCTAGCCGGAAGCGGGCTGACCGATCGTGTCACCGGCCGGAAGTCGTCTGGGAGCAGCTCGACGAAGTTCGAGGGAAAGGCACCCACCATCCGGCGGTCTCGACGTAGTCGTCCGGTCCACCAGCTGCCGTCTCCCGCATTGAGACACTCGATCAGGTCGCCCTCCATAAACCCGAGATCGCGCTTCGACTGTGGCCCGACGGTTAGCCTTCTCACACCCCGCCAGAGCGTGTGTGCGAGCCCAAGCAGACAATGAATGGGGCGGACAAACCTCTCCTCCCCACGAGTAGACTGCTCTGCACCAGCATGGAAACCGCTTGGGGAGCGGTGGAGGTGCTAACACCGTCATGGCGGTGGCGGTATGTGACCCTGCGGTGCTCGAAACTCGATAATGTCCCCCGAAATGCCGAGAATATGCTTTTGCCGTGTCGTAACCTCGTGAAATGATGCAAAGTGTCGAGCTCCAGTTCGAAGTCGATATACCGCCTCAGAATTTTGAGGTGGGAGTCGGTGACGGCCCCGAGAAACAATAGCAGAGAGGTCGGGGCGAAACGACTTGGCAATTGGCTGGCATGCTAAGTAAAAGAGGCGTTAGTGGGTTTTGTTATGGGGGAACAGGGCTGGGATGCAGTGCATTATTTCTTGACACGTTGCCCAGCAACGGCGCTGATCTCAGCTGGCAAGACGCCAGCGACCAGCTCGCGACGCACGACAACAGGACGCCCATGACCTTCTTGCGGTAGTCTGTGGCTGGGGTGTTCATTGTCTGCAGCTGGGACGTGGTCTCTGCTAGCTTCCATCTCCAGGGTGGTTGCTGTGTGAGCCGCTTGGGAGGTGCAATGGAACGGTATGAAAGGCGGCGTGCATCAGACAATAAAGTGCAGAGCTATGTATGTTACATATGCATACATCTCACAGACATGCAGCATGACGGATGCAATCTCGCCAGGCACGACGATGAGAGCGTTGTCTGGAAGCTGCAGATGTAACCTGTGATGCTCTTTGTGGAAGACAGGACCATTGTGTTGGTGCGTGCCTTCCCTCCGGGTGCGCAATGACACGCGCCTGCTAGATTCGGAGCAGCATCGTATCTTGGAAGACAAAGCTCCGAAGACGAATCTCTACTCTAATCGAGTGGCACCGCTGAGCTACTCCGAATGTGACGAGCTGACAGGGCCAGCCAGCCGCCGTCTGTTCCTGACCCAAACAGTGTGTAAACAGGTTTCCTATTGCGGAAACCACCATGCGAGCGGCCGGTCTACTCGTCGATTAGCGGAGCGGCCGCATACGACGTCTACCCCATTAGTGGCTCCTGCCGCACCACTCCCGCTGGCGCTGGCACGCACCAAGCCCACTAAACAGGCGCTGAGCAACGGGCAGGAGCGACCTACGAGTACTCGTACTTTGTACTTGAACCGACTGCCTGCCCCGTTGCCTTCGTCTTACCAGAAAACACTGCAATCGCTCTCCCACTCCTTCTCGCAGTCTCTCCGTCCAGCTTCGACTCGTGTCTCTGTCTTCGTGGCTCCAGGCCGCGACATCGAACCGTGGCGCTACGACCTCCAACACACTCGATCGGCTAGCTTCATCGCGGCACGTCTAACACGCCATTCAAGAGCTAACCTCCGTTGCCCGGACAGCCGGCCCAAGCTCTAAACAAAGCTGTAGTTCTTATCTGGACGGCCAGAACAGGCAATCAAGCCATCTACTTCCTCTCCTTCCTTCATGCTTCAACTTTCGCTGCCTTTCTGTCTCGGTGCCCTTTTGATTCCGTTTCCCTCTGCGCTTGACGATTTAGTCACTTTTCTCTCCCTGGCTCTGGACAGCTCCAATTGTTGACATCAGCCAGCTTACGACAGCCCCCCGGTCACGGCAGGACACATATCCCGGAGACCAATCTGCACGTCCTCGCTCTTATCAAACTAGCTGCAGAAGATCCTCTGTGGCCGGGCATAAGCGCAATGGCGGAGAGTATCGCAAACCACTACCAGCCCCTGGAAGAGCTTGGGCGTCAGTTCCCCTCCCCGGCCGATAGCAAGGCTCTTTACGGCATCTAACATTCTCTCTGTACAGGCGGAAGTTTTGGTGTTGTGTACAAGGCGCTCGACAGAGCTACCGGAGAGACTGTCGCCCTCAAGCTTGTAGGTTTGGCGGACGTTTGTGTGCCCATGTGCAGCCTCTGACAGCCCTCTCTCTGCTCACAGATTGATCTTGAGTCGAGCGACGACGACATCCAGGAAATTCAACAAGAGATCTCAGTTCTCAGCACCTGCGCCAGTCCCTACGTCACACAGTACCGAGCCAGCTTTCTGCACGGACACAAGCTATGGATTGTTATGGAGTTTCTTGGCGGGGGTTCCTGTTTGGACCTTTTGAAGCCCGGCAACTTTTCTGAAGGCCATGTTGCCATCGTGTGCCGCGAGCTGCTGCGCGGCCTCGACTACCTCCACAACGAGGGCAAGATCCACCGCGACATCAAGGCTGCCAACGTTCTCCTATCGGAATCTGGCAAAGTCAAGCTGGCTGACTTTGGCGTTGCAGCCCAGCTGACCGATCTGAAATCCATCCGCAATACTTTCGTCGGGACTCCCTTCTGGATGGCACCCGAAGTCATCCAGCAGGCTGGCTATGACTTCCGTGCTGATATCTGGTCGCTGGGCATCACCGCTATAGAGCTCGTCCTCGGCGAGCCGCCTCACGGCAAAGTGCACCCTATGAAGGTGCTCCTTCAGATCCCAAAGAACCCACCGCCTCGGCTGGAGGGCAACTTCAGCAGAGACTTCAAAGACTTTGTTGCCCAGTGTTTGGTCAAGGACGCAGACCGGCGGCCTTCGGCTAAAGAATTGCTCAGACATCGCTTCATCCGCTCGGCAGGTAAGGTTGAGTCGCTGCAGGAGCTTGTCGAGCGCAGGCGCCGCTTCGATGCCAGCCAGCAACGCATCTCTCATCCGGTTTATTACCAGGAGACGCTTCACAGCCTCACACCGAAGGACGAGTCCGATGAGTGGGTCTTCGACACGGTCAAGTCAGTGGTGCCAGTACCCCCAAGGAGAACTATGCGTAACCGGCGGACGTCGGCTTTGCACGCCACCGAAGACCTGATGCGGAAGCTCGACGTTAAGGACGGTCCTTTGCAGCCCGCATCTCCTGGAATGGGAACTGTGCGACTAGCGACGGCCCGGAAAATGCCGTCTGGTGCTGCAAACGGATCGCTACGCGCTTCGCTCGCTGGCCCCCCTAAACGACCGCTGCAGCCGGACATGTCTTTTGGCAACACCGGTTCGACTATGCGTCTATTCCGCCGTGTGCCATCCGACGGGTCCACGTCCAGCCAGATGGGTTCTTCTGAATCGGTGTTCGACGACCGGACAGCTGACGAGAATCGACCGCCGCGGGCACCACAAGCCAGCACTAACACGGTTGAGCATTCCAGCAAGGAGGCGGCTCTCGGTCATCGCCTGTTGGCGAAAGTCGTTGATCCCACTCTGAATGAGCTCCATGCACAGACGTCCACTATGCAAAAGCGGGAAGCACTCGCCAAACTATCGGAAGCGCTAGCACTTCTTGACGATGTTGACCCTGAAGGAGCGTACCACATGATGCGGAGCATTGCGTCTGGCATCTCAGCAGACGCAAAACTAAGCAATGCATATTTGCCTCAGCAGCAACAACATGTGGTCAAGGTTCCGATGGACGGAACTCCACAGGGCACGGTGGTTTTGAAGGGCAACGGCCAGAACCCAACCTCACCATCGAAGCTGTTACTCAGCCAGGCTAACCCTCATTTGTTGAAGGTGCACAAACGGCGCAACGGCAGTATTGCGACAGTCGACGGACAGGCTGACAACGCATCGGAGAAAGATCGGGCCGACGTCCTTCGCGACATGGAAAAGGCACTGCTGCAGGCCAAGTTCCCAGGACAGGAGCCGCTGCCGGGAATGCAACACTCAAAGCAGCTTTCGGATGTCCTGTACAAACGATGGGCTGAAGGGCTGCGCAAGCGTTGGCCAGCTGTCTAGATGGTGGCGACTGAGAGCGGCCCCCTCTACGATGAAGGATGGTATATTGTGTGTAAGATGTGATATATGAGGGAAGATTCGGATCCTGGTCAAAAGTCACAGGAGAAGGATACTTAGCAAGGTTTCTTTTATACTGTCTTTTTTGGTTGCGACTCGAGTAGAAGGGGGGTGTTGTTAGGCGGGGAAGCATGCAGAAAACAGACGACGCACAGTCGGTCGTCCGACCGTTCTGCTGCTTCTTCGTGTTTTGTCTGGGTCTGGCATAGCGGTTGTAGGCGTTTTGAGGGAGGTTGCATTTGATACGGGAGATATATTACTTGACTGATAACTAGGGAGACAGACTGGCTAATTTGAGTGTTCCGAGCCATAAAACAATCGCGAAACTGTAGTATCATGTGCTGCTGCTCTGTTTTCCGCCCTGGTCGGGCATCAGGCAGTGCCGGTGCCACTGAGTGCCAGCTTGATGCGCCAGTTGAGAAAGTCGTCGGGCAGGATACGGCCGTGGCCGGTCTCCTCGACGCGGAAGACCTCAATTCTCGGAGCGCCAGGCCGTCGGCGGATGCGCCAGACACCGTCGCCGTCGCCATCACCGGTGCACATGGCGGTGGGCAGCCAGGCCAGAAAGGCGGCGGCAAAGTTGATGCAGGTGTTGCCGTCCCAGGCGGCGTGGCCACGGGCGCGGATGGTGTCGGGGATGGTGGTGGTCTCGATCTCCTCGAGCCGGCGCAGACGGCCGGCGCGGTCGCGGAAGCCGACGACGATCTTGGGCACGCCGAGCAGGAAGGACTGGATCCAGAACTTGAGCAGCTTGCGCTCAAAGGCCTTCATGTCGCGGTCGGTGAGGATGTCCTGGCTGGTCTTGAGCTCGACCCAGCGGATGGGCGCGCCGTCCTTTTCCGGCTTGGAGTCCCAGACTGGAGGATGTCAGGTCAGTTCAGGGAAAGGGAATGGGTCGACAGCACGCACCCGCATCCACCTCGCCTCCAAGACACAAGACGGTCGAGCCGACGCCGGTGCGCACGACAGAGCAGTACTCGGCCTTGTTGCTGACGCGGAGATCATCGCGGCTCTCGATATAGTCACGGCTAGTCTCGCCCCAGGGAGTAGGAATCGTGGCCAGGGTCTCGAATTTGTAGCCTGTCGGGCGTCAGTCAGGGGCAGATAGACAACAGCAGCAAGACGACAGACCCCAAAAGGACATGACGTCGGGCGGGAACCACGGCTGGTTCGGATTCGCTCGTGGTGGCCGCCTATTCTGGCGCGCTTCTTGCTCTCGTCGTGATGCCGCCTTATAGGCATGGTTCTCTTCGATGAATCTGTAGCCGCAGAAGGAAGGTGGGGTCAGGAGAGACACGACAGAGGACGAGATGGGTCCTGGTAGAAGCAGACGTACATGCAGCCCTGCTCTCAGAAAGCCGGCGTATGGTTAGGGCGGCTATACACACATGCATCTCTCGTATGGGCAGGACAAACCTGATACAGGGTCGCGTTCATCTCGAACCTGGCCGCACACGTCAGTTCAGATCACAGCCCAACAGCAGACACTGTGGATCTTACCCGTCTCGGTCATCAAACGGTGCTGCCATGATCTGCCACGGCGTCAGTAAAGGCTGGCCGGTCTCGTCCCGTCCATCTGTCCACAGGAGACAAGACCTTGGTCATCATGCCGCGCCACGTCACGACCTGTGCGTCAGTCTTGACGCCGGTCTTCTGCTCGTGCGCAGCGATCGCCTTGAGCAGGCTGTCCAGGTGCTCGTCGGCCGAGTCGTCGTGCTTGTCAAACTGGTCAAAGCCGCGCGACAGGTCTGCATTGAGCAACGGCGGATAGTACCAGCGCAGCGACCGATCGTCCAGATGGAGCTCATGGTTGTCGTCGTACGAGAAGCACGTGAATTCCTGGGCGTGTTAGTCTCTCTCGGCCGGCGCAACGATGAGGACAGCCCGGTCTCCGCGCGCGCTTCTTGCCTTTGGCCGTTTCACGGGCTGGCTCTGGCCACTGAACCGGTTTGCAGGCTGGACTGCGAATTGGGCAGCCATGGCGGGAAGATGGAGAAAGACCCGAGATGAAGAGGGAAAATGTCGAAGGGCACCTTGAGAGCGCTGCAGCATCAACATCGACACTAGGCGCGATTCCGTTTCGGGCCTGAGCTGGGTTGGATCGCATGCGTGCGCGAGGCGGTTGAAACAAACAGAAATAAGACACAGCAGGGGGAGCGGCCACTAATAAGACAGAGGATCGGATCCTTAGTGGCGCGCTGCCGCCAGCACACTTGTGACATGCACGTCTGGCCTGTCTTCAACGTACAGCTGCAAACACATCCCGTTGAGGCGGGAAGGAGATTCTGCACAATCGCAGCACAGCCGAGAACTCAGGTTTGACCTTGCTTTTTGTTTCGTTTCTCCCGTCCTGTTGACTTTGACTGCAAGAACGTCGTTTCACTCAGTGTATCTTCACCATTTGAACAGGAAAATCGCAGTCTACATACAACGCAAGAAGATCTTCTCGACACAGTCAGAAAATAAAAGTATATGATTGCACTCTCGCTCCTGCCCGTTCTGATCTGAAGTTCGAGTTGTCCAGTCAGGTCAGGTGACACTGATTGTCCTGAAGCGCGCGGCACGTGCTTAGCTTCTGTTAGCTGCACATTTTTGTGACAATTTTCATCGAGAGCTTTGGGTGGGAGAAAACCAGGTGTAGCGACACAGAAGCCGTCCAACACGCCGATCTATAACCTGCTATTGTGGTCTGAGCATTTGTCCAGTCCGCAGCCATGACAAGCATACGTGGGCTTGTCCGCACAACGCGCCCTGCGCGGCCGTCCCGCATAGTAGCGCGGCCACAGGCGGCGCCGTGTCTGTTCCGATGCGCCTCGAACCAGGCGGCATTGCCAGCCGAGCCGGCCTTTGCCGATCTCGAGAAGGATTCGTCCTTTCTGACGCCACAGCTGCCGGCGGACGTCAAGATCCCGAGCCCGCGGGATCGTGCGCTGCAGCGAAAGTCCCGGCTGCCGGGCGGACGGTGCGTCGAGCGAAACGAAAAAGAATGAGGGCGCTGCTGACCCCCGACGTTTTTGTTGCTTCTAGATACCAGTTCCACCCGCCCAAGTACGACCGTGGCCCGCTGCATCCGGTGCAAGCGCCGCCGTCGTCCGACCCGGTGGCGCGCGACTTCCAGCCGGGGCCGTTCAACTTGCCGCGGCTGAAGGAGACGTTCCACTCGACGGTGGCGGCCGATCTGATGACGCTGGCCTACACGCACACACCGCCGGGCACGGGCAAGGAGCCGACGCCGGACCGGCTGCGCGCTTGGGATGGATCGTCGCCGTACCACAAGAACCGGTCCCGGCGAGCCCCCCGCGGCGAGCCGGTGCTGCGGCCGCTCGAGCGGCCGATCTCGTTCAACAACATCCCCACGGTGCGATCGGTCACGCTCGCGGCCTTTGTCCCGCTGGCCGTCAAGGAGAAGGACCGGCTTGTGGTGGCCCGCTCGGTCATCCAGTCCATCACCGGCGTCGTGCCCGAGGTCACCACGGTCAAGCACAACGTCGCTCAATGGGGCATCATCAAGGGCCAGCAGGCCGGCCTCAAGGTCACCGTGCACGGCAATGCTGCCTACGAGTTCCTCGACAAGTGCATCCACCTCGTCTTCCCCCGCATCAAGGACTGGAAGGGCATCAAGGGTAGCACCGGCGACAGCGTCGGCAACCTGGCCTGGGGCTTCCGCCCCGAAGACGTCGCGCTCTTCCCCGAGATCGAGGTCAACTACTCGGTGCGTTTTTTTCTCGTGTTCTTAGTGTCCTCTGTCCTTCCTACCCTCGCTAACCTCGCTAGATGTACCCCGGGAAAATGCTGCCTGGCTTCCGCGTCTTCGTCGAGACGTCGGCCAAGTCTGACAGACATGCCCGGCTGCTGTTGCAGGCCTTTGGCATCCCCTTCTACGGCGAGATGCGGGATTAAGAGGCACACAAAGGAATCGAAAAAAAGTACCGTGTGGTTGCAGTGTTATATATATACTACATACGGTATACATTTTCTGTAAGATACGATACGCACGAGACAGCTCACACCAAAGCCACTTGACAGTTTACCGTCCAAGTCACCATGCTTCTGTGTTTATATATGTCTGGCGTCCCTTGTCGGGTAATCCAAGCCCAAACGCCAGCTTTCGCTTTTTCAGGTCCACGTAACGCCGCCCAATGCAAAAAGAGAAGGAGTCGATCGACCAGACAGGGCGTTCAGGCCGCCGCCGCGGTGGCGGACGTGCTCATGAACTCGGACTTGAGGCTGTCCATGATCTCGTCGACGGCGTCCATATTCTGGGCGTCGACCGGCTTGGCGGGCTGCTGGAGGCGACCGTCGCTGACGAGAGCCTCGACACAGACGTCCATGGCCGGCTGGAAGTTGCGGCAGGCGGAGCTGAGGGCGTAGACGGCCTTGCGGCGCACGGCGGCGGGCTCAGCAGTAGCAGTGGCCAGGCGCACGAGCGCGGGGATGCCGCCATGGGCCACGAGGCTCTCTTGGCTCGGCTTGTTGTTCTGGACGGCGGTGCCGACACACCAGGCGGCCATGCGGCGCAGGTCTGCGGGCAGGTCGTCGTTGCCGAGCACGGCCAGCAGCGGCGGCCACAGGGCCAGGTTGCTGAGCAGGTTGGCGTTGTCGAGCGACTCGACCAGCTGCTCAAAATTGTCAAAGGCGACCATCTTGTCGTCGAGCGTCAGGTCCGGGTCGGTCGACGTGATCACCTCCATGGATGCCTTCATCAGGTCGGCGTCCGAAGGCCCTCCGAGCAGCGCGTTAATGGCATCCGTGTTGAGGCCACGGTTGGTCGGCGGCCCCGCCGGCGGATCGTTGGCCGTCGTGCTGGCGTTCTCAATGCTCCATTTGAGAAGCTCGTTCAGACCCTTGTCCATGGCTCGTGCGTGGGGTTCTGCGTGTGCGGTTTTGCGTTTGCGGATTGCTATGCGTCTTGCGTCCTGCTTCTTGTTGGCTAATCGTCCAACTGGTACGAACTTGTTCCAGTGCAGTGTGTATATTTCACAGATGTGACCGATCTGACTTTTCGGCGGGCGCTTTTGTTATCCATTTTTTTTATCGCCGCGATGCTTAAGCTTCTTTCCCATACAGGAAGCTTCAGGAATATTCCATCCCAAAATAGACTAGCGTGTAGTCATCAATCGTACGGCCGTTTCCGTAACGGGCAAAGTAAAAACGACGTAAGCTCGACCGTCATGGAACGGTGAGATTAGGACGCAAAACCTACACTGCCTCTGACAAAACACATGCTGAGATAGCATCTGGGATTGGTAAGATATCTTGCCGCCTCCATCACGTCATGTGAATGGTGTCGTGGCACCCTTGATCAGGGCTCTGTAGGGCTTTGTCTCAGTTTGGTGCGCATAGAAACGGCAAGAGATCTTATGATACCCCGCCATGCCGGTCTTTCCTCAGTAATAGGGATTGGCGAATTGGCTGCTGCCTTGATTAGGGCTCGGGGTGCTATGAAGAAACCGGCTGCTATATATGGCAACACAAATAAAAGGCTAAATTGGAATCATCTGTCGACGGGGTCGTGATGAGCGAAACAAACGGCGAAATGGAATCTGAGCAAAGGCAATTATGCGTTTTGCCGCCACGTGCCAGGGATGCTAAACTCTCCGTAGGACTCTATATTTCGCCCTAGGACTCTCACGGCTACGCTCAGGGGGGCGAACATTGCGCGGCTCTTCTCGAGGGCGAGAGCACGATGCAACTGCAGAAAGGCTGTCGGGTTGGACGGCACAGCCAACGGAGGCGCTGATGGGAAATAGAGAAGCCTGCTTGGCTGACGTCCAAGTCTACGTCAGCTGACAAGCCCAGACGGATGGCTGCATCGTCTTACGCATGCAACGGCCAGAAGGCAAAGACAGACTGCTCCTATCTTACGGAGTCCGATACACAAGCAAAGCTATCACCATCTCCGAGACGACCCGCCGGGCTTTTAATAGGGGTAGCGGGTGCTGAGGGAATAGAAGCGGCCATGGACCCTGGGTATCGCCCACTGTGGAGCGACCTGCCACCGGCCTTTCTGTCGTGCCAGTTTGTGGTCGGCGCCGACGTGGGGCAACCGTACCGATACCGTGTTTAATTACGATATGCCACACTGTATATCGAGATAAGCAGACGGACTACGAGTAATACGGCAGCCTGGGGGGATGGATGCTCTACGTCGTAGCTCCCATTTGCCTGCAAGACCGTGTCTCTCTTCTCTGCCCTGTTATGCGTTTGCCTGAGGCGGATGCCGCTCCGTCACCGGCACGGAACTGTGGCGCATCTGGTGTCTTGTTCTCCCAATCCCCCGCCTGGGCAGCTGGGCTTCCTTGTTGTTGCTGCGTGGGTGGCCTACTTGCGAGGAGTACTGAAGGCGGTGTGTGTGGATGCGCAGGCGAAAATCTGCAGCAATGTGACTGTTGGACAGTGCGGATGCCAGTGTGCCGTTATAATGCAGCGTACAGCCAAACAGAGCCCCAATTGGCATGCCCCAACGGGCTAGAGCCAGAGCCACAGCAAGGTCGATTCGCCAGGACGCCCTCAGCTCACACCTGTTCCTTCCTGGCCGTTCCGTTCTGGCCCCTCTTTTTCGCCGTCGTCCCTCCTATTTTTCACACGTATTTCGTTGCCCCTCCCCGCCTTTTCCACATAGAACCTCCCCCTGCTCTCCCTCAGAAGAGCGTTCCCACATCCTCAACCGAAAAATCGGCCTCACTCACCTGAACTAATTCATATTTCATCTAGCCAGCCCCCCCCCTCCCTAACTCCTTTCTCCTTCGCCCCAACCTCCCAAAAACAAACGTTTTTAAAAAGACCCCCGTCTTCCGCATCTCTCCTTCCATTACTTCCTGCTCCCTCGAAGGCCATTTTCATCCCCCATCCGAATCATCCTCATTCTATTTTCTCCTATCCCCCTTTAATCCGTCATCATGGAAGGTAAGTCTGCTATCTCCTGCCCAGTATCTTCCACCTGGCATCTTCGGCCTCTCCGAAGCTCGCGGTCTCGCGGAACGTTCGCGGCTGGCGAATACCGGTCACGGCGATGCCAACGGCGAACGATCCCGAGCTTCAGCACATCTCCCTTTCCATCTATCCGCCATCACTGTCTATCTGTCCACCGCCTCACTGCTTTGACGTCTCACGTCTGGCTCACTTGCCCGGCGAGATGAGCTGAGGACAGATCACATGCTAACAACGCATTAAAGAAGAGGTTGCCGCCCTCGTTATCGACAATGGGTAAGCCATCTCGACCCTCATCGGTTACTTCCGTCCGCTATCGACGCGAAATATCCCGCGTGGTCAAGGCGTTGGACGCGGCTGTCCGAGCCGGGAGTACATGCTAATCTGTCCTCTTATAGTTCGGGTATGTGCAAGGCCGGTTTCGCCGGTGACGACGCTCCTCGTGCTGTCTTCCGTAAGTTTCACCTCCTCAATCTTTTGGGCTGTTGAGCTTGCCATTCGGAGCTCACCGGAGAGCACACGAGCTAACCACCGCATAGCGTCCATTGTTGGTCGGCCCCGTCATCATGGGTCAGTATACGCCGCCTCCTTTCGTTCAATTCCGACCCTCCCCCTATCCAAAAGAATATGAACGTATCCCAGCTATGGAAATTTCGCCTAACATTGTGGCTATAGCATCATGATCGGTATGGGCCAGAAGGACTCGTACGTCGGTGACGAGGCACAGTCCAAGCGTGGTATCCTCACGCTTCGGTACCCCATTGAGCACGGTGTTGTCACCAACTGGGACGACATGGAGAAGATTTGGCACCACACCTTCTACAACGAGCTGCGTGTGGCTCCCGAGGAGCACCCCATCCTGCTCACGGAGGCTCCCATCAATCCCAAGTCCAACCGTGAGAAGATGACGCAGATTGTGTTCGAAACCTTCAACGCACCGGCCTTCTACGTCAACATCCAGGCCGTGCTGTCCCTGTACGCATCTGGTCGTACCACTGGTATCGTTTTGGACTCTGGTGATGGTGTCACTCACGTCGTGCCCATTTACGAAGGTTTCGCTCTGCCGCACGCCATTGCACGTGTCGACATGGCTGGCCGTGATTTGACCGACTACCTGATGAAGATCCTGGCCGAGCGCGGTTACTCCTTCTCCACCACTGCCGAGCGCGAAATCGTCCGTGACATCAAGGAGAAGCTCTGCTACGTCGCTCTGGACTTTGAGCAGGAGATCCAGACGGCTGCCCAGAGCTCCAGCCTGGAGAAGTCATACGAGCTTCCGGACGGTCAGGTCATCACTATCGGCAACGAGCGGTTCCGCGCCCCCGAGGCTCTGTTCCAGCCGTCCGTGCTGGGCCTGGAGAACGGCGGTATCCACGTGACCACCTTCAACTCGATCATGAAGTGCGATGTCGATGTCCGGAAGGACCTGTACGGCAACATTGTCATGGTAAGTGGCGACAGGCAAGGTGGCGAAACGGGTGACACGCACAACGGAACTTTCGCTGACACTGTCTTTTTTCCCCCATCTCTAGTCTGGTGGCACCACCATGTACCCCGGCCTGTCGGACCGTATGCAGAAGGAGATCACCGCCCTGGCCCCGTCGTCGATGAAGGTCAAGATCATTGCTCCCCCCGAGCGGAAGTACTCCGTCTGGATCGGTGGCTCTATTCTTGCGTCTCTGTCGACGTTCCAGCAGATGTGGATCTCGAAGCAGGAGTACGACGAGAGCGGTCCTTCGATCGTTCACCGCAAGTGCTTCTAAGGTATGTATCTGTGTCTCCGAACAGCAGGAAGGCGGAATGGCAAGCTGACCTGAGAAGCGTGTCGAAATGTGCTTTCCATAAACGATTTCCGCGCGCGACCCCTCACCAACTTCGACAAAATCAGGCACCGGAGCGATACCTCTCAATCTTCAACTCAATGTATTCCAAACTAGTCTCGTCTTTGCAGAAAGTTGTCTCACTGTCAGTCTCAAGATCGGGCGCCCAGTTGCTTTTCTAAGGGAGAACCAGGATGGGTCATTGTTTTCATCTGTTGGGTGTAGAGTGCAGGAGGAATGATGAGACGGAGGCAGTCTTAGGTCAGATTACACAAGACTAAAAGCTCGGAGGTTGACTATACAATTCCACCTTTTTTTATATATTTTTCACTTCCTCTGCTTTAGTCTTGTAAGGCGGATGAGCTGCATTGTTTACTTGTTTCTCTATTTTGCCTTTGTTTTATTTCGTAATGTCACAAATAGGGAAGAAGGCGGCGGTTTTTACAGTCAGGCTGAAATGAGACCGGAGGCTACAACCTGTCGATTGCTATGCATTTGTGCTATGAAGAGGGAGAGAAGCTGCAGAAGGATTTTCGCTGTCCTGTTCTATGTTGGGATCCTGCTGCTGCTGCTGTTGCTGTTGTTGCTGCTGCTGGTCTCCTTCGTTCCCCTCTTCTCTCTGCCCCTCTTCCTGGCCATCGAACTGGCGGTACTTGCGGCGACTCTTCTTGGATGCGCTCGCCTTTTTCCGGCGCTTGGAGTCGGCCACGATGGCGGTACGGCTCTGGCTGCCGTTGTGCAGCTCGTCCAGCCGGGCGGCCAGAACCTGTCGCGCAATCGTGCGGTTCTGCGACCGCGACCGTGTCGCCTGCGACTTGACCACGATGCCGGTGGGCCGATGTATCAGCTGGACGGCCGAGTTGGTTTTGTTCTGCAGTAGAGGTCAGCGGGGAAAGGGGTCCGGGACAGAGAGAGCCACAGCAGCCAGAAAGCTTACAATCTTTTGTCCGCCTGGTCCTGTCCCCTTGACAAACATCTCCTCGATCTCGTCTTCCGGCGGCGGCGGCGGCCGAGGCGGCATGGGCTTGATCGCCCGGCAGGCCGAGGTGACAAAGGGCGCGGCAGCGGCCGACGAAAACGGCCACGTCCATGCGGGAGCCGGCCGCCGGATCAGCACCTGCAGCTGGCGTGCGATCGTAAGCCGCATGGCGTTTGGTAGAGGCACGTGCAGGTAATCCGGTATGCGTTTTGCAATTGGTATAGTTTCTGGGTGTGAAAAAGACCCGGTTCGTCTTCTCAAGGCATCGTACGTGCGCTGGCTAGTGGGAGCTGGATGCCTCCCCGTCCCTGTCTTTGTTGTCCGGGATGGCGAGCCGGTATTAGGACGAGTATGGATACGGAGCTCAAGGCCGGCTTGTGAGACAGCGGCAAAAAAAGGACGTCGGTGCATTGCTGCACGTGATCATAGTAGGCGGTGGAAACTCCTCAGAACGCGCCGTCCGATCCTACCGGAGGTGTCTTTCTCGTGATTAGCCAATGAGCGGGCGAGCTGTTGATCGAATTCCATGAACAAGCTCGCTGATTAAAGCCGCTCTTCCTCTCTCGCTCGACCACCACCGCCGGACAGAACGACCTGAGCGCTGTGCTTGACCGTCTCCACGAATATCTCAGCCCGCTTCCTTTTGGCTTTTCGTCTTTGCCCCATCTCTTTTCATCGACTGGCAGCCGCGTTGACGAGACGCCAGACGCCCATCTCAGTACCCCCTTTTCCCAGGGTCAGACGACAGCCACTGTGCAGCATATCATACAACGGACGCTCGTTGCCTTCTCTCTCTATCCACGCAAGACCCCCGACCACATCTGCCCATCATGACGCCCCTCGAACGCTTCAGCAAGTGGGTCCAGCTCAAGATCTACCAGACCGAGGTGACCTACAGCGTCTACATCTTCACCCCGGCCGAGAAGTTTGTCTTTTGTACGTGAGATCTGTCTCGGGCGAGACTGTGCTCGACACGCGAAACAGCCAGGCTGGCCATCTGCTAACTGTTGTCTGCCTACAGACAGCGTCGTCTTTTTGCTCTTCGCCCTCACGTCCATCGCCACCTTTCTGTACCTGCCGCGGTACGTCGCCTTCCTCATCGGCCGCGCCTGGTTCTACGCCCACGGCGACACCCTCGACGCGAGCACCATCCTCGAGGCCACCACGGCCGCGGCCGGCAAGGCAGCAGAGGCGGCGGCAACCGTCGTGCGGGAGCTGTGAGAGCTTGCCCTCGGCGACAGCAGAGAGCCATTCGGGTGCTCTCTGTCTCCCTTTTGGTTTGGTCGGCTGGCGTTGGATCGGCACTGGGAAGGCATTGATTGATGCGGGCACGTTTCGCTGGCTTGGGGGGGAAACGGCGTGCAAAGCACAGCATGGAATATACCGTATAGCATTGACGGAATAGCAGCACAAGCCACAGACGAGCGATGCCCGGCACTTGACGTCATGAACACTTAATAGTAATACTGTACATCCACTTTAATTTTGCTCCTTTTCTTCTCTTGGGATGTGTTAGACTTTGCCCGCATATCTGCAAATTGCAGATGCCCGACATCGCGATGCTCACAGCAGACGTGTACAACCAGCACAACGAATGACGAACGGTGTCGCCGATACCAAGACCTTGTGCCCTGCCTGTACCAGTCTGGCGAGCCACCGGTAAGATACGTTGAGCGGCCGCACGTATTGGCGCTCGTCAAACACGGCGATCTGAACTTCACAAAGCACGCCCAGGCGCACGCTATCTGGGAGTCGTATAGACGTTAGTTCCGCGCTCGCTTGTCGATGCTTGGACATCGCGAGCATCTTCGGCCAACGTCACCACGTTCGCAGGCGTGCCCACCCGCAAGTTCTTCAAGAGACAATTCAAGCACGGCGCCTGGCCATCGATCGGCTATCGTGTAACCATGGCCAACCGTTCGGGGAAGACACTTATGCTTGCATTCTTTTGGGAGGCATGCTGCCCGATGATCACTCCTGATGTGTGATTCGGATCGTGCGCACAGGCGGGGAATTGCGGCGCCCTTCTAGAGGACGACTCATTCGGTACTCCCTTTGTAGTCACGTCGCGGACCAGCTACACTCGTAGAAAACTCAAAGGCTAGTATATATGTAGTGACTGTTTCGTAGCACGCAATCGCTTCCAGTCAGATCACAGTTTCATCTTAATTTCGAGTTATATGCCGACTTGAACCCACACGCCGTCGGAAGACCTGTAGCCCTAGTTAGGAATGGCTAAGACCACCTGAGTTTCTCTGAACGCTCTGTCGGCGATAGGTTTGACGGTACTTGGTTTGGTTTGTTGATTTTATCCCGTAAGGAGTTGGGAGAACGTAGCATCGATCTCGGCGTTGACATCATGGAGGAAGGCGTTGATATATCCATGAGCAGCGTTGGCGTTAAGCTTAGGGTAGGAGTCTCCCAAACTCTCCTTTATCTGCAGCGTTAGATGTAGTAAAAGTAGGCAAAGAAGTGATTTTAGTTGAAGAACTAGGAGTGGGGAAAGTGAACAATAACCGAGTGAGACTGAAGCACGGCTATGGAAAGATTGAAGATAATGGTATGTCATCCCAACTCTCAGTTCAGGCATCTATGTAACGAAGTATTGGCCGGTCCAACGCAGAACAAGGTTTCTTCCTAGTTGATGAAACACGAAGCGAAGCCTTGTATCTTCTTCGGATGATTCCTGACAGTACTCGTTATTGGCAAAGAATTAGAGATAGTCGCAGCACATTACGCCGTTATCCAACATCTTTAGAAAACAAAGGTTCTCTCAGCTACTTCCAGCAAATATGAGAATATATCAGACAGTCTAGGGAGTTTAGGGCTTCAGGCTGGGTGGTTGAAAGAGTGTGCGGAGATATTGAGAGCGATGGCATGATTTTCGAAAATATGCTGCAGCATCCATTGTCGGACATTGATCATCGCTGCATGCTGGGTGTTGTAGATTCGATGGAGACGGTCTGCAGAATCAAGAGCAGGGCTTTGCATCCACGGCTGGCGATCTTGCGTCGAGATATTGTCCCAAATGTCGCCCTCAAGAGCGCGATTGATGAGCTCGGATTCCCAGCACGTCCATTCAGGAATAGACGAGAGATTAATGTCTATAGAGGCACGGAAGAAGGGATAGTCTGGTAGTCAACACAACTAGAAAGAGCACCTTGCACAGCAGCGCTTTCTTCTGACTGATGCACAAAGTCTATCGTATACAGCCCGAGACTAAGATTCTCTAGCTAGAGTGGCATCCCGTCGTCTCGAGGCAACTGCTTATTCAGCAGACATCGTCCGCATCCTTTCCCCATCGCCTACAGCTGGATCTGGTACACACGCAGCGACGAGTCGTCGCCGGCAATGGCCAGCTGGGCTGCATTGGCCTCTTCTGCGCTGTCGTCTCGAGCGGGTCTCCAGGCCAGCTGCAGCACTGCTCTTGGAAGACAAAGACTGCAGGAAAGGTAAGAAGCATTAGTAAGCAATTGTACGGAGAGACGCGAACCAAATCAAAATTGCTTACTCAGCGTCCAGTGCCAGGGCTGCCGAGACGGCCAGGCTTTCGGGGTGTAGCCAGAAGACGGACAGCCTGCCGGCCTCTGTGCCTACGGCCAAGACCAGGCCGGCGGCTTCTGCGGATGGTCGCCACAGGAAGTCGAGGGCGGTGACGGGGTGTTCCTGGGGGATCGTTGCGGCCAGCGCAAAGGACTCCTTCTGGCTGCCGTCTTCTGCTGCCGCCCAGATCTTTGCGTTCTTGTCGCGGCCGGCCGTTGCGAAGACGCGCTTCTTCTGTCCGGCCGGCGCCCAGGCGCAGTCGAGCAGCATGCGCGCGTGTGCCTTGGCGTTGGCCTCGCGCAAAGCATAGCTGACGGGAAGCGTGCTGTCGGCCTCGCCAGGCTCGCCGGCCTGCCGTTCAAAGACGGCCCACTGGCGATCGCGGCCGACGCTGAGCAGGAAGCGGTCGTCAGCGCTGAAGCGGAGGCGCGTGGCAGTCAGGGTGTGGACGGCCAGTGGCGGCTTGACCTCGGTCCAGTGGCGGGTCTCAAACAGGCGGAGGACAGCGTGGTTGAGCGAGCTGGCACGACAGGCGCTGGCGACGAAGCAGCCGTCGTGGCTGACGGCCAGACAGCTGATCTCGTAGCCGTGTCCGTACAGCTTCTCGGTCTCGGGCCAGAGCGTGTTGCGCGAGAGTATGTCTTCAAAGGGGGGGTGGCTGTTGCTGTCGGTCTCTTCCGTGACGACGTCTGCATCCGTCGCGTCGATCGCCTTGTTCGACAGCCCGAGGACGGGCATGTTGGCGGCATCGGGCAGGGCGTCGATGGAGGCTGTGCTGGCCGTCTTCGTGGTCGCATCATCGGCCGCCGTCTTCGTCAGCTGAGCCAGCAGCCGGGCAACGGTCTTGGGCTCGTGGAAAACGCGCATGAGCTTCTCGTCGGCGCCCGAGACGAACTGCGACGTGCCCAGGGCGTCGATACAGTTGAGGTCGTAGCCATGGATCTGAGGCCGGGCCATTTCATGCCAGGACAGGCCTTCTTCTTTCGTGTCCGCCCCCTCTACCACCCTCCGCCATGCGGTATGCAGCCGTGTGGTCTGATCGCTGCCCGTCGACAGCAGGTAGGCACCATCGCGCGACCAGGCGATGCCCGTGACGGCGGCAATGTGGCCCGAGATGCCCACGGCCTGCTGCCAGCGGTCCTGGACTGCATCGTATTGCCAGCGCCGCCAGCTGCCGGTGCGGCAGAGCGTGGCGACCGAGCGACCCGACGGCGACCAGAGCGCGGTCCAGAAGCCACCGACGCTGCCCGTCGCCGTGGTCGCGCCTTTTTCCTTGCTCAGCTCGCCGAGCCGCGCGGTGGTGAGCCAGAGACCCGAGGCCGTGTCGGCTTCCCAGACGGCCAGCGAGTTGTCGGCTGACGCGGACAGCAAACGGAGGCCGTGACCGTTTTGGTCTTGCGTCTTGACCCGGTCCCATCGGGCGCTGTAGATCCAGTCCTCGTGGCCGAGCAGCAGCGCCTCGAACGTGACCGAATAGACGGCACCGCCGGCTGTCGCTGCTGCCTGCATCCTATGGGCCTTGCCCGCCGGCGAGGCCGTGCTGCTGGGCAGGAGGAGGCTGCTGAGCGGATCGGCTGCTGGTGCTGCTGCTGCTGTCGTCGGCATGTCGTCGCCCCGACGTATCCGCCACAGCCGGATGTACTTATCCTGGCTGGCCGACGCCAGAAGAACGTCGCCCGAACGGCTGCCATCCACAGCACTGCGCTCCCAGCCGAGGTCGAGCGAGCGAAGCCAGCCCTCGTGGCCGGTCAGAGTCGCCTGCAGCCGGAAGTCGATCGAGGCCTCCGCGCTGCTGCTGCCCACAAACACCTGGATCCGGTTGCTCGTCCCGCCGGCCGCCAGCATCCATGTCGGGCTGTCCGCTTCCCCATCCTCGAGAGGCTCCAGCGCGAGACAGAGGGGAAAGTAGCGCGGGGCCGTCTGGATGGTCTGGAGCAGCACGAGTTGGGCCGGCGTGCCGTCGTCGCCATCACTGCCACCTCGCAGTCCCCAGATCTTAATCGACGCGTCCGCTGCGCCCGAGGCCAGAAGCTGCAGTCGTGGCCGGCTGGCCCGTGGCGCTGCCAGACAGTTGATGGCCGCTGCGTGTGCAGCCTCCACCGTCTGGACGCACGCGGCAGACCCGTCTGCGCCGCCGACGGCCCACAGCTTCAGGGCACAATCGTCCCCACCGCTGACCAGATGCTGGCCGCCGTCAGCGCTGCCTGGCCGGCGTGACAGAAAATGCACCGCCTTGACGGTGTCTTGATGACCCCTCAGCAGGCTCAGAATACCACGTTCCGGGACGCTCTGCCACTGTCAGTTCTTCTTTTCTTCCCCTGCTTTTCTCTCCTCTCCCCTGCCGGGTCGCAGGCTCACAGTGGGCCGCCATACGGCGACATTGACGCCGGCCCCGAAGCAGAGGTTGCCGTCGTCGCCCCAGTCTGCCGCGGCCGACTGGCGATTGGCCCCCGCGGCCAGGTGGGCGGCGTGCACCTCTTTGCGGTCGTGCATCAAATGGCAGCCGTGCTCGACAGAGGATAGGGCTGAGATTGGGACACAAGGCTGGCCAGAGATACGATCAGGTCGTGGTGGATTCTCACAGCCTTGAGCATTGCCCGATGCTGTACAAGAGATTTTTGCCCTTTCCAAACCAAGAGCTGTGATTGGTTGAAACATCGTACCTGCCAGTTTTGGCGTCTACCTATTCCGCTTCGCGGCTTCCCAGTCGAAAAAAACCCAGTGGCGCCTCCGAGCAGTCGTTGTATCTGAATACGTGCTGACTATTGCTACTGTTGTGATCTATCAGCTGCTTTGGCATTCGATCTTTGTCACCTTTCGCTTCTTCCTCGCTGCGTCCTCCCGCCCGCAGGCCTTCGCAACGGAGCGGGGCAGGGCGATCGGGAACATGAGCAACACCGGCGCCGGCGACAGCGCGGCCACGATACCCGTCGTTGTCGAGTTTACGTGAGTCGGCCCTCCCAGATGTCCATCCGACGGGACTGTCCCAGCTCTGACGCGCGGACACCCTGTGCAGTGGCGGTCTGGAGATGCTCTTTGCAGACCAGCGCCGGCACGAAGTCAGCCTGGCCGCGCGGGATGCCGCTAGCCAGCCCGCGACAGTCAGCTCGCTCATCGACCACCTCTGCGACGAGGTGATGCAGGACGGCCGCAAAGACCTGTTTGTCCTGGACGGTCACCTGTGCGTTCTGCGTTCTGCCTTTTGCATCCCCTGCTTCCTGCTTCCCGCCCTCTCGCTGACCATCCAGACGACCTGGCATTCTGGTGCTGATCAACGACGCCGACTGGGAGCTGGAGGGCGAAGAAGCCTACGAGGTCCAGAGCGGAGACAACATCTTGTTTGTCTCGACCCTGCACGGTGGTTGATGGCTGATGGCTGATGGGCCGGGATCGGGCGGCAAGGATGGCGAGAGAGAGATAGGCTGGATCGGGGGACCCTTCCCACGTCTCCGCCAACCAGTCCTGCAAGAGATGTGATACTATCCTGTTCACACCCGCAGGTGCCGTCGTCTCGGCAGCGCAATCCATCCTGCCCGTCTTCTCAGCAGGATCGCCGTCAAGGTGGTGGTGTGGTGCAGCTGATGTGCCCGCGCGCCATTTCTTCTTCTCCATTCTTTCCATCTCGCAGCCCTTCTTCGTTGTCCCCCCTGCCATTCTTAGCCTCTCTTTGCTCTCAGCTGCTCTCGTCGAATGGCCATACCCTGTCTCACTGTATCACACACCGCCTGTGACCAACCTGCATCGAACCCATGTCCACCCCCCCTCCCTCCTTCCATTACCCCCCTGTACATAGTATTTCACCCTGCCCCCAGGATGTCGCTCTCTTTTTTCTCAGTCCAAGCCCGGAATCCCCGGCGCAGATCAGTCTGGTTCAGTCCAGTCCTGCTCGGCTTGCCTTACACCAGAGCAGCTCTTCTTGCAATGCAATATTTGCCTCTCCTTTCGGCGCCAGGCCTGTAGTCCTTGGATGGAATGTAGAGTAATACAAGACATAATATGTACGGGGAGAATCTGAATCATAAGTCGTTGGAGATATTATGGCGCAAACTATACGTTGGTGAGACATGCACTTGATAAGAATGTCATTTGCTTGCTTTTAATCGTCTTGTCTAATTGACTTGTACTCCATAGCCGCAGAACCCGCACAACAAATGCAAGAACGCAAAAGTGCCCATCGTGAAAATCAAAGCTTGGCTGTCAAGGCTGCCCTTGCGCTATCATCTCTCATCGTCCTAACATGTCCTTTATGTCCCAATTCCACCAATATATGCAAAATCGTAGATGCTATGGCAAGCACCAAAACCAATCCCAGAACTAGCACATCGAAGACTAAAATCTCTCGACCTATAGCTATGTGGCACCTTGCCTAGACCAGCCGATTCTCAAGCAACCCCGGCCTCGATCAGCTGCAGATGAACGTATACTCTGCCAAGTTTCGCCATCATGGCAGCTTTTTCTCATGTGCCCTCGCAATACGCCATGTATTAAGTGTCCAGCAGTCGCTGCGGCACAAACCGCCCACACGTGGAATATCACTCCCGTTGTAACACTGCATCGGGAGGCCAAATCGCAGACCCCGGCATAAGCATCCAAAAGCGTACAGATAGAAAACAATATTAGAACGGCCGTGCTCGAATGTAGCCTTGGACATTCAAACACAATCTGCAACCAGCACCTAGTACACACCATTGTCGTACATGCCGTTGCCGCGTACAGGATCGTTGTCGTACGACACAAACCCTGTCGCAGATGGCTGGCGACCATTGGCGGCAGTCGACGAGTGGCCAGGGTGGCCATGGTGCTGGTGGCCTGGGTGAGGGCCAACCGGCCCCGAGGGACCGCCGTGTCCATGCTGCGATGAGTGACCGTGGATGCTGGCGATTCCATGCATAGGTTGGCCATGCAGGTTGCCGTGTGGATGCTGATGGGCTGGATGATGGTGGCCCTGATGCGACGCATGCGCATGGGAGGATGATATGCTGTGCGTCATGGCCGGCTGGCCTCCGTACGGCCCTGATGGAAGCAACGGTGGCGGCAGTGGCGGCGGGTGTCCGTGATGGTGGCCATACGCGCTGCCATTGTTGTGGCCGTTGTGACCGCCATGACCTGCAGCCGTGATTGAGCTATTGTCGGGGGGTCCATTGACCAGCTTGCCGAGACTGGAGCTGTATGGAACCGTCGATGCTCCTGACGGAGAATGACTTGAAAGAGACGGGTATACCATGTATCCATCTGCAGAAGTCGGCGTTATTGCCGGATGATGCGCCATGGGTCCCGGCATGCCCAGCATATTCGGCTGCGTTGCATCTCCAGCTCCACGAATTCCGCCCCGGCTGATTCTTGTTCGGCGAGACGACGATGCTGGGTCATTTCCAAAGGTTGGCGCAGAATTCATAATGTCTGCTGAGATCGGCAGCTTCGGCACTACGGGACGCACCCGCCGATGCTTGCCACGACCCTTGATGCCCTTGTTGCTATTCTTGTAGAGATCGGCAAAGTGCTGGAAGAGCTCGCGGTCCTCTTCAGTGATGGATGCAGCTGCTTCCTCGTCTCCTTCTGCAGCTTGGGCAAACTTGTTTGTCAGGGCCGCCAGGGAAGTCGCATGGTACTTGTTCTGGTGGGCCTTCATATTTCCGAGCTGGGTGAAGCGCTTCTTGCACAAGTCGAGACGGCACTCATAGGGCTGCAGCCGCAGGTGAGTCTTGACGTGGGCCTTGAGGTTTCCACGCTGGGCGAAGTACTTTCCACATTTGTCGCAACGAAACGGCTTCTCGCCAGTGTGTCGTCGCTCATGTGTCTGCAGTTGCACGTCGTATTAGCAGCTATTTTCTTCAGACGAGATCCCTAATTGACGGTACTTACACGCAGGTTGCCGAGCTGGGAGAAGTGCGCGCCGCATCCAACATAGCTGCAGACCTGGAGTGCATGTCAGCAAGCTGAAAACAAACGAAAGAGTCCAGGTAGGACCAAGGTCTTACATATGGCTTCTCGCCTGTATGGGAGCGCTTATGAATATCAAGATGTGTCTTCTGCCAAAAGGTCATTGTGCAGTTTGCGATGGTACAGGCAAACGGCTTCGTCACAGGCTCGACGGCTTCGTCTTCCTGTCGCACGAGAAAATCGGGTCAGCAGCCGCAAATATGTTGATAGCCCATCACAAGAGGATTCACTTACTGTTCCCAGGGTGCCTGTCGGAGACGTTCCCATCGTCTGCGAGCTGTACATGGGCGACTGACCCTGGCTCTGCTGATAGCTGGAGCCAGGTGTCTTCTTATCGGCCGCCTCCTCCGCACGAGACTGGATCGTGCGCATGAGAATGTCCACCTGTGTGGAAAACTGCGGACGGAAGGTATCTCCAGATGAATTTCCAGATGTCGTGGAACTAGAGGCAGATCCTGCGGTTGTTGGCGGCGGTGACGGGTTAGCTCGGCCGAGCCGTTCGGATCTGCGGCGACCCTGAATGCTGCGTGCTGCAGCTAGAGAAGTTGCCTGGTCCTCTTCGGCCTCTGAGCTCAGGCCGCTGATGTAAGTCCCTCTGCGTTGGGGAGACGAGGTCAGAGACAGGGGGGATAGCGAAGGCGGAGCCATCCCCATAGTCATGGGAGGATGCTGCTGCTGCTGCTGCTGCTGCTGCTGTCCGTACGGCGATGCCATGGGCATCATAGGAGAGGCCCCTGCAGAGACAACTGCAGCAGACATCTGCTGGGACGTTGCTGGTCCCGAAGTTGGCAGGCCGGCCACGCCTGCAGAAACACCGGACGAGACTGCAGAAGACTGGCCATACGGTGTCCCGGTCATCAAAAAGGACGACGAGGGGGAGATCATGTTGGGGAGGTCAAGAGGCGCCGAGTGCCGCGGCTGGTAGTGACCGGGATGGTGCTGGTTCTGGGAGTGGTTAGAGGGATGAGATTGCTGATGCTGATGCTGGTGGTGGTGGTGGTGCTGTTCGTGGTGCTGTTGCTGGCCCTGCTGCTGCTGATGTTGCTGCAGGGCTGTTGATGACGATCGCGTGTCAAAAGACATCACTGATGAAGCATCCGTAAGCACATAATGTGAGCTTGGTTGCGGCTGGGTCCAACGCGACCAGTGCGGGGGGTCCGGCGGCTGTGCTGCGAGTGCCAGTTTGCCGGCGACGTAGCCCAGCTGAGCTACTTTCAAACGGAGCTTTGCTCGTCGTGATCGAGGAAGAGAGACGGAGGTTTGAATCTCAAAGTCGTGGACGATGAGATATCAGGATGTGGCAAGAGCTTTTGATTTGCAAGTCAAGAGGAAGGTGCCACCGACAAGGGGACGGTAGAAAACCGATGGATGGGGATTGCACAGAAAGAAGAAGGAAGTACAGAAGAAGAAGCAGACAAAGGGGGAAGCCACGAGGGAGGGATAAGAATGGAATCACAAGAATGTTGTCTTGAGCTGCAGTGGCAATGAGATAGAGTGGGATGCACGAGTATGACGAGGTAAATATACCGTGCTGCGGTAGTTGATATAATACACTGTTATTCTAAAGGCGGTCTTTAAGACAGACCTACCGTGAGTAATGGGACTAAGAGGGCATGCACAAGTATTATATCGATGAGGGAGGCGGGGAGGGGGGGGGGGAGGGGGGGGTGGGCAGTCGGAGAGAGGCAGAGGGAAACGAGTGTGGGGGGTGTGAGAAGCGAGGGGGTATGAGGAAGGTGGTAGAGGCAGACGATCTTGGAAACCAATCGCCTGGGAAGCAAGCTGGCCCGGGGGCGATCTCGGGCGAGGCAAGGCCGCCTGGTCTGCGACGGTATGGAGCATTTAGAGATGCAGGTCTAAGAGAGCAGTGGCCTGGGGAACAAGCAGGAAGCCAGAGGAAGACCAGCTGTGTACTATGGAGTGACAGTGTCTTGGGGAGTCCACTGACAGTCTGGTACTCTGGTTGTACTGTGTAGTATCTCCTTATACAGATGCATCGAACAGGGGGGTTGAACTAGGGCTCTGGCGGAACAAGGGCCGATGAGACTAATAGATACTTTTGAGACACATGGGCTAGGTGAAGCGGGTGCGTGCTACGACGTATGTAGTTGCAGCGGCACCGAAGAGCTTCGGGGCCAGCTGCGGGTCCACTTCAGTACGTCGCAATGTGAATGAGCGAAAGCGCCCCGGAGGAAGAGGGGGGGATCCACGACCACTAAGCCCGTGGCAGCTTAGAAATAAGGCAGGAAGTAACGCGTGCGAGAGCGTGGAGAGCCAGGGGCAGCTAGATAGCAAGATACTCCGTACATACATAGCAGGAGAAGGGAGAAGAGGAGAAAGGCTAGAGCGAGGCAGAGTGCACTCGGTCAAGCAAGGAAGCAAGTTCGCTTCCCGGCTGGATGTCTGTTTGGTCCGTTCTGTTCTGCCCGTCCGGCTCGTCGTGCTTCCTCCTCCTGCCTGACGTGCGCCAGCCTGCGACATGCATGGCTCGCAGGCAGCACTGCCATATAATGCCATTGTACGGAGTTTCCGTGCTGAGTACGGAGCCCTCTGATCCATCTCTGCTCTGGCCTGCTCCACTGCTGATGTGTGAGACATTTTAGGCCCGGCATAGCGCTCTCGCAATCGTGCATCCTCGACCGGAGGAATTTGACTTATTAGAAAGGTTCAGGGGGAGGGTGATTTTCGTGTAATGGCGTATGCTTGTATTGGTAAGATGCGACGTATGAGCAGCAGTGGCGGAGATGCAGCCCCGAGATACCGCGTACCTGGCTGAAGCAACACGGACCAGCCGTCTGCATGGCCTTAGCTGGGGGCTGACAAAATGGTAGAGCAGGCCGTTGTCGTGTGCGGGAGTACATAATAGGACGTAAGCTATTACTATGTAGGCTGCTCGGAATTCGCTCCTTCAGCAGTGCTGCCAAAGAGGGTCGGTCGTGGCTTGCGTAAGCGTGCGTACTCTGGATCCATGGACTCCGTTTTGAATTGCTAATTTTCCTCACGCGTCTGCACGGAAGGCCCGCGGACGATTCCGGCCCTAGACAGCAGGGCGCTTGTCGTCCTGAGGAGACGCCAATGTGACGAAAACAAGACAGTGTAGGGGAGGGGTGTGGCACGAGGGGACGACCAAAAAGAAGCGAACGAGCGAGAGACCGGCCTGTTAGCCTCCGTTGCAACGGAGGCGGTTTCTTGTCAGGAGGCCAAGAGGAAGCACTAAGCTGGCAGCGGTTGAGGTAAGGGCGACGCAATGAGGAAAGTGGATCCCGTTCTGAAAGGGAAAAAAGGAAGAGGCAAAAACAATGATAGACCTTCTCAGCTGCACTCCTCCCCTTGTTTTTATGGGGGGGCGGAGGAGGGGGACCGGAGAATTACAGGGGGGGAATCGAGAAAAAGTAAAAGCAAGATTAAAAAAGTAAAAATAAGTTAATAAAAAATTCAAAAAGTAAAAACAGAAGCACATACATGAACATGGCCTTCTCAGAAAGACAAGAAACGTGAGACAGAGGCAGGGGAAATCAATCCAAGAGACGAGACGGTGCACGTAAGAGGCAGAGAAAAATAAAATAGAAGGGAAGAGACGAAAGAAGAAGAAAGGAAAGGATGAGGAGAAAAGAAAGGAAGGCAGGACGAAAAGAGAAGGAAGAAGCCAAAGGAAGATGCATAGTAGAGCCAGAAGGGGCCAGCCGTCTGCACAAGCGACAATGGCCCGGCGCATCAATGCATCCGATGTCCAGTGCAGCCAGCTCGTCGTGTACACAGACAATATCGTGGCAGCCCTAATTCTACTTGCTCGCAACAGACCCTGATCCTGGTCGCCCAGCTCGGATCCAACGCCGCTGTCTCCGTACAAGTGAACAGGCTTCTCAGGCGTTGGTCCGGCCCCCGCTACAGGGCGTGCTCCACCGAATCAGGGCATTCCCGGTTACCTAGATAATTAGGGTTGGAGGGAGTAAGTTCCGGATACTATGTAAGATAATATATCGTGAAGGCGAGCGAGTTGGTCCACTGTACGATACAGCGTGTGCAGGCTCTATACAATCCATCGCAGGCACTCCTGCGCCATGCACGAGCAATCGCACACATACATCTCCATTCCGAGGCAAATTGGATCCTTTGCGAGGATCCGCCCGCAGCCGAGACCCGGCGCTGTGCAGATCTGATCGGCCCTGCGGCCTAAGTGGCTCCTGTTTCGCAGTTGTAGCTTGCAATTTAGCACTCTTTTGTACGGGGAGTACTGCTACGTATCTTAGATAGCATTCGTGATCGCATGCTGCTTCGAGTGCCGTGCTCCGCAGTTGCAGTACCTGGCGATGGCACGACGTAAGATACTTTCTCTTGGGCTTTTGTTGCCCTGTTCACAGCCTCTTCATGACTAGCTTCTGTTATCTCGGGAAAGACGATCTTTCGCAGTGTCCAACACTCTCTTGGCCCGTTGCATACTTTGTTGCATTCCCTTCTTCTTCGCCCGATCTCATCCCTTGGCTGCAATGCCACAAAGTCTCTTTTAGGCGGCGTCCATCGCCAATCTGGATTTTTTGCTGGTCTCCATCTTAGCCTGTTTCCCGTTCGGCAACCCTTCATTTGCTTTTTGTTTCTACCCTCCCGTCTCCTTCATTTCGTCACCGCCTGTTTCCACTGTGCTGTACGACGCACCGCAGCCTCCCACGCGACCCTCCTTCAATCGTAGATGGCTCGCAACAGCTCCAGGCGGTGAAATGGGAACAGCACGACCGCGACTACTGCCGGTGCCACTCGGAAGAGAGAGAGAGAAAGGAACGCTGAAAGTTTTCCGCCTTTACGCTGAGCTTCGAGGGGAGGGTTGCATGCCTTGCTCGCCTCGTCACAGACCCTTGCTGCCTGGCAGCCAATGGTTGTTTCGCTACAATGGTATTGGGCGAAAGTATCTTACAGGTATCCTACTACTCGTAGGAATACGAGCTGCGGTAGGACTTGAGCATTGAGCACCTCCGCACCTCATCACCAGAGTTTTGAGACGCGAGATCACCTGTCAGATTTGATCGACACCAAGGACCGGGGTAGACCCTGCGAAAGCCCTCGTCATAGAGGCCCGACTGTGTCATGCCTTGCAAAAATTACTTACTCTACATCAGAAGATGGTGGTGACGCAACACAGCCCCATGCCATCCCCTATTGTCGAGATCCGACATTATTCCGTCGTACTCGCACAGTTGATGGAAGAAGGCACATCCAGACAGAAGAGCGTGGATCTGAGATGGGGAGGGTGTGCACAAAGAAGAAAAAAGGGACGGTGCTGCTTAGCATTGGTGCCCGAGCCATGTGGTAATTAGAAGCGTTACAGTGCTCGTGGACTCTAGTCAGCACTATGAAGAGCAACTTCTAGGCGAACAGCTCCTAGAACAATAAGTCCGTGAGGCGCACCTGCCCGGAGCGGAAAGCATAGATTGTAAATTTAGCGTGGGGGCACGGCCACGTTTACCCGCCTCCCGTTTGCTACTACGTACTATGTACGGAGTACTCCGTAGTCCATACTGCTTGCAGGGATCTCTGACCGGTAGCAAGGGGAAAAAAGACAACAACGAGGCTACGGGAGAATACAACGCGCCTGCTTCCTTGGGCGGCGGCTGGGCGCTCCCTCCCGTCTAATAGGCCGGAAAAGAACCGCGCATGAGACTTCATAAGCCGGCATCGCCGATGTTTTTGCCCAGTAGCAGACGAGATCCTACAAGTACGACCAGAATCGACGACTATGCTTAAGCCCTATCACACCGGCACATTTTGCCCCTTCCGGCCATGCTCGTACCGCCGCCAGAGCTGCCAACACGAGGGGGACGCTGTTGGAGCTCTTTGGTAGTTCCTCTTGACTATAAACAGGGTTATATTGTGACCTGTCAACCTTGCATATCCAAGGCCGAGGGGCACATTCAAGAGGAGGGGAAACGGGACCAGGGAGGGGCTGGCTGGTCTTGCGGCTGGCCCGGGATCGTGGGTCTGGGTCCGCGGAAGCAATAATGAAAGATACGAGCACTGACGGCCCAGGCCCCTTTTCCACGCCGGTCGCCTCGAGATGTGAGAGTGCTCCGTAAGCGAGGATGATAGCAGCAGGCCAACTTCATTTCCTAGTCAGAGGCATGGGTGTCGAAGTCTGGTCCTCGACCTGTCGGCTCGGTTTCCAAGCAGTCGGCTCTGCCAGGGGGACAAGTTCTCCACACATAATGATGCTCTGGAAATAAAGGACGTCCGGTAGGAGACGGGAAGGGGAACGGCCAAAGGAAAAAAAGAAATCAATAAAGGTGCTTAGAAGAGGTGAAAAAGGAAGAAAGCATGGCAAAGCAATGGCAGGTCTGGAAAAAGAAACGCCAAACGGCACGACGATAATAGGAAACGGCTAGACTCGGACAGTGCCTCTCTCATCTCGACGGCCTCGGACATTTCGCAATATGACCCCTTTATCTCGCTAATTCGTCTCAGCACATGGCACAATCTAGCATGCAGCGACGTCAGACCGATGAGAGGTGGGCAAAAATACGAGTAGAAAAACACGAGAGTGGCCAATATCGAGAGCTCCTCGGGTCGAAACCCGCATTCGGTCTATGTACGCGCTTGTGCCGTTAAGGGAAAGCCCACGCGAAGGCGACACGTGATTGGCCGAAACCTGGAGGCCAGCCTCAGAACCAGGGCAGGAAAAAGATGATATGTGACAAGAAGAAGCGAGCAGATACGTGCAACCTTTTTTGGAGGGGGGCTGCACGCGCCGTGTGTCTATGCTTACTCACAAGAGCAGCAGCAGCAGCAGCATCGGTCTCGGAACGAAGCTGGCTGCGGGCTTGCATATGCCAAGGCTTTGAGAACGAGAGTGTGTGTGAGCGCGAGAAAAACACAGCCTCGAGGCGGCAGCGATCCCCCGGTCGGGACAAGCTGTAATGGAGGCCGCCAACCTGGGCGTAAAACCCCCCTTTGAGCACCATGTATCTTGCGGATAGCGAGAGAGAGACAAAGAACCCTTCCGACATGGGAAGAGAGAGGTTGTGGAAATGGCCCAATCCCTCCCCTGTCACAGCTCTCCCAAGAACCGGATAGCAGGAATCCAATCAACGGTCTGGCGTCGAGATGGAGGGCCAAGCTCACCGGGACGTGTCCCCTTCCCTCTCCACAGACGCAGTGACGTTTCCTTAAACATGATATCTGACAGAGCATCCTGAATTTTGCTACTATGCATGTATTGTATGTTACATGTGTTCCGTCCTTGGACGTATCTTACGTACTTGTACAGAATGACAGTCCTGGGCCCACTCTTCATATCCGGTCTGGAAGGGATTTTCCTTCGTCTCCGGGCCGTGTCCGGAGACACAAGAGCCCGCGTCCGTCCGCTCTGCAGGTTCGCCGGTCTCTCTTGCCTGTCACGCCGCCTGGTGTCTTGGATGCGGCTGAGCTGCATGCTTTGTGCACGCGTGCACAAAGATGGAGCGAGCCTCGCCAGTTTTGTGCTACAGAAGCTCTGGACTCTATACTCAGCTTGAAATTGCCGTCGTCAGGCAAAGCATGCTAGGATGTCAGCTGACAGCCCCTGCTGAAACCGCTCTGGTGGGAGGCGTCAGCTCCCAATCCGGAAAACGATGCCCTGCATGGTCACATCGCCTGCCAGTCGGTCTCTGCTGATCTGCGGCACATGGTAGAAACCCTTTTCTCCGTGTCCCGTACGGAGATACGAGCAGGCCTCGTTTTGCCATCGTAGTACTCCGTACTCCGTCTGCTTACTGGGCGATCCTGAACCAGGTTCTCTCATTGTCTGGTGGCACTGAGCTACGACCATGTCCAGATATCTCATTACGGAGATCTCTCTTCCTGGTTGTCTGGTGGCACTGAGCTACGACCATGTCCAGGTATCTCATTACGGAGATCTCTCTTCCTGGCTCGGGTGCCCAGAATAGACTGCCATCCGTCTTCCCCGGCGAATCCCCCTGCTTGTCATCTCGCCGGTGGGGGATACTGTCCTCATTGTTGCGTCGTCGTCTTTTTCTTCCTTTTTCTGCCGGGCCAATCCCACCATCCAGGATCTCCATATTACGTCGTACTCCGTGCACAGCACGGAAATGCCGACCTGCCTAGCTGTCACGGGAAATTATTTGGGCTCTCACCACAGAGCACGAGGCACGCAATCCTCCGTACATGCTGTATGCGTAACAGTCCCAGCTGAGACGGCAATAGAAAGAAAGTGAGAAAAAAAAAAGAGCACATCTGGTTAGCCACGTCTGATTGAGATCGTTAGGTCGACAGTGCCAATGCTCGCCTCTCAGAAGACAGCACACGAAGACGGAGCAGCGTGTCGGCCGCCTGCTCGGGCATGGCGGCCACCGCTACTGCCAGATGCACCCGCATCAGGACCTCCAACGTGACCTGTAGGAGGATACGAGAGTTCACAACGGCATTGTTGTCTGCCCGGTCTCCTGTGTCTGCTTCGTCCGATGCTACGATGCCGGTCCGCCTACTCATGCATAATGCAATGCGGCTGCTCTTCATTCCAGCTACACCGTATCGTGCAAGTATCCGGATGTACTTACTCCTCGCTGTCGCCCATGCTCGAATCAGAAACAACGTAGCAGGGATCAGGGGACGACATCTGCAGCGGTCCAGATCATCGGCGAGCGCCAGCAGGCAGAGAATGCAACACATCGGCCGCCAATGGGGCCGATACAGTTGCAGCAGCATCTGAATGGATGGCCAGCGCTCTCTCTGTCTCTGCCGAGTCCGAATCTCTCTCCATCTCAATCTCGCCCCCTTCTCGCCCCTTCCCACCCCCTTCGTCCTCACGTCGGCCCTACATTCCCACGCTTACGCCCGTCTACACCGCATATCCGGACCGGCTCTGCAGCATGTCCTTCGGGCTCTGCGCGGCATCTTCCTTTGCCCACCGCCTTTTCGAGCCTGTATCGGCTTGATGCTCTAGAGCCAGCCACTTCACAGGTCCTATCCTAACGACCCGTTTCTTTCCTTCTTCTCGATTCCTTTCCTTTCTTTTCTGCTCGAGTCACTACTCTTATCGTTCCTTTTTATTGCACTTTCTTCTTCTCATCGCTGGTCAGGCCCCTATGTCTCTCTCGGCCACTTCTGTCTTGTTCTACCTATCCTCCTTTCCCATTACAGCAGGGCGTGTGTTCAGAAGATGCACACGTCGGCCTTCTCGTTGTGGGAAGCCCTTCCATGGAATGCGGCCGCAGTCCTACATGGTCTGCGCCGCTTTACAAGCATGCTGGCGTTGGCACACTGGCATCTCATTCACATTGTATCGTATCGCATCGTATCGGCTGTCTAGGTGTATCTGCACAGTGGCCAGTGCCGCGTATTGTGCGTCTCTCAGCCAATCACCGGTTTACGCCTGACTCTCTTTCCCGTCTCCCATTGGTCGCTCTAGCTAGCTGCTATCCTTGTCTCGGGACTTGTCTCTGCCCCATTTCAGCCATACTCCATATTGCAGTAGGCGAGCGACCGGAGCTCTCTCCGCCCTCCGTGCTCCTCTCCACTGTGTAAGTATGCAGAATCGGAGCAGCATCAGCTGATGTGAAACACCTGCTTGGCCTTGGCCTTGTCGCTTTGCGAATAGGGCAGGACACGTACTCCGTATATGCACGCAAAAGTGCCAGTGGAGATTTCCGGTGGGACCTTTGAGATCTGGAATGTGACTCGTCCACGTAAGATCGCTTTGGCCGTATCATGTCGAGAGGGCATTATACCGGACTGGGTTGAAGCAGATAGCGACAGTTACTTTCCCGTACGCGGATGAAATTCGAATAGAACCCGAGAGGACAGGTGTACGCATGTATCTGAAGAAGAAACGTGAGGAAAAGCAAGGAAAGAATCAGCTACGGTAAGAGTTAGTCGCTAGCCTGCGCTACGGCCCGCTCATAGGCCTATGTACGTACTACAACTATGCTAGACGTTTGCGCTTGCTTGCTGTTTCCGCTGCCGATCTCAATGTCAGCTTACTTGCGTCGTCACTCTCGCTTTGTCTGTACGGAGTATCCTCTTCTCGTTTCTCCCCCCCCCCCACCTCGTATGAAATCCAATGCAATACACGTAGCCTCGCTAACGGTAGACTATTCAGCGGGGTGGACCGGTCGTGAGGCTGGAAAAAGGGAGAACAAAGAGAGCAACCGTCCTCGGACCATGGAGCCCAGCCCCATATGCATACATACATACTACACAATATGTAGTGAATTAGATAGCGGAGATGGCGCCGAACTGACCGTCTATCGTAAAGGCCGCAAATAGGAACGACGAGGAATCGAGCCGCCGAGGTGCAAAGATCTACGCAGGGGGTCTGCCGCACGCTTTCCAACGTGGCCGGTGGACCGCTCTCTCTCACCACCGCCAGGACGGATGAACGAGAGAGGGCGACCAGGCAAGGCTCTGTCTCTCCGAGCTCTCTCTCTCCTTCTCCTCGGCGTTTTCCAGCCATGCACCCAGGAATCTATCATGGCCAGACCCTCGGAGGTATGGCCTCATTGTGCGCCAGGATATTGAAATACGCACTCCTTGTCTCGGAGCGGGGAGTGCGATATCTGATTATGAAAAGGCCCCGAACTGCAAGCCAAATTCGACAGCGCCTGTCCTGTTTCGACAAGCCCCTTGCATGCATTTTCGGACAGGAAACGTGCATACCGGTTCCTGAATCCACAACCGATGGCTGGAGCGCAGTGGCGAGACAAGCTCGTTTCAACGATAGAAGGGTGCGGTACTATCGTGAGATCTGCCATATTTTGGGACCCTCTCGCTCCTCTTGACCCTCTTGACCCTCTTGACCCTCTTGACCCTCTTGACCCTCTCGATCCTATAAATCCTTCTACCCACCTTGGATACCAATTTTTTGAACCCATTGGCACAATCCTGCGCCGAAATTATATCGGCCCGGATGAGCAGACGCACTACCTAGCCTCGTCCATTGTGACGGACAAGCACTGAAACTATTGTCTCAGCCTCTCTGCTCGGCCGGCTCGCACAAGCAGCAGATCATCCTCGTACGGAGTACATGAGGAGCACCGGCCGTGCGCAGAGTGGATGCTGGCCCATCATAGGAGTGTCGGGGGTGAACGGCTGAGAAAATGCCCAGTGTCGACCCCTAGGCTTCCTTATATTTACCTCCTCCGAGCGAGAGCAAGGGGATGGGAAATTTTCTCAGCACGGCCGATCTTCCCTTCATGCATGCAGGAGAGTGGGCTACTCGTATCTTGCCCACTCCGTAGTTCGTATGCCTTGCATAGTATGAGCCGATGTTGGGAGCCCAGACCGGTATCACGATGGGAGCCCACGGTAATGCCCGTCATCGAGACTCGCTCTGATAGCATGGCCTGTCTGTACGTTGCTGACCGCCTCGAAAAGGATACTGCAACGCCGCAGCTGAAGCAGCGTCGTTCCCACGGCTTCTTCCGTAAGAGGACAGTCCACCCTCAGCTGACCTTTATGCAAGGGGTCCAAGCTCTCCAGTCTTGCTGGCGGCCATTCCCGTTGAACTGTTCGGCATAGGCACAGACAATGGCAAACAAGCAAAATGGTGAAAAATAATGAAAAAGAAAATCACGCTCGACGGTTGTTTTATGTAATGCTGTTTTTCCCTCCCTTTCTCTTCAAACTGGATCTGTATGCTCTCGCTCGGGCCGCCAGTTCCTTGTCTCGCCAACGGCTGCCTGCAGCGGAAGTTTACGGCTGGAGGTCAACTCAGTCGATAGAACATGCTTTTGCCTGCATCTGTGTTTCTCAATGTCAATGTTGTGCAGCTAGGCGCAAACTGGAAGCTGCCAGGTTTTTTGCTCCCCTGCAGGTCGTGACTCAACAGCATAGAATTTTCGACTGTTGGCAAAAGACAATGAAACCCATCAGAGGATCGTACAACGATGCCCCTAAAAGTATTCACAGAAACTCTGTTTGGTAACGCAGATGTCCAATATCTTGACAAACGCGGCTGCTTAGTTGAGACAAGCGAGGCGTGACGGATGGACATCTGATGAATCGCCATGACATCGTTCTCTAAATCCTTGCCTAGAGTAGATCCAATATGTGGGCATTGTAGGGTTTCGGGCATTTTTTCTTGAAATGCGTGTTGCCCACCCAAGCCCAAACCCATTCTACCAAAGAGGAAGGAACGAGATGGGAAACTATGGACTGCTCATCATTGTCATATTCTCCTTCTCCTTTCGGGCAGGGGCATTAGATGACGAGCCATCATAGCCTGTAATCGATAGTTTGTGCTGACGAAGCTAAAGTATTCGGTGGTATGCTTCTTTGTTGTTTAGTTATTTGTTTGTTTTGTTCAAATGGTATGGTAGTCAGTTGTTTTAATTCATATTGGAAGAACGATCACGATCAAAAAGGCCCACAGACATCAAGGAATGATTCACGATACGTTGCTTAGGCGTTTCTATTAGTTATTACCCGTAGTTTGGATTGATGCTAGATTCTATGATTTATTGGCCGGCATATATCAGAAGATATGTATTTGTAGTGACTACCTACAACTTCTCGTCTCAGACCTACATAGGTAGCATTGGCTGTCTGGTTTTGCATATATAAAACATTAGACAACATGACCACGAATACATTTACCTGCAGCCTGTTGTCAACGTCCGTCAATGAACAAGTGCGTTGTTTGATATACCCTTCAAAAAACATCTCATAGCCTGACCACGACCGTCTAACTAACTGCAACTATCGCGAGACATACGTTAAGCTTGGTCATGATAACAACTCCACATTATCAGAAGTGACATGGCTAGTACTTCAGACGAGAATATACGCCTTCTGGCACATCTCCCAAACAGACGCAGCACCACTCAGGCAATCCACTGGGGAAGGGAGTGCCGGATGTTTTCGTACACCAAAAAGGTCACCCAGGTGGCGGGCAGCACGCGGATGACGCTCGGCACGAGGCCACGATAGAATCCGCGCAGGCCGTCCTCGCGCCACAGCTGTGCCGACACGCCGACGATACCGCGGCCAAAGCGGGCCTCAGCGTCGTAATTCTGCAGCCGGCTGCGCACGACCTGGTACGGGTAGGTGACGGCGCCGGCCACGAGCTTGGCCGTGGTGGAGATGACCAAGGTGGCATGATTCCGGAGGCGTTTCTGGGAGGCGTCGATGTCGGCCTCTGAGCCCCTCCGAAGGTACAGTCGCTTCATCGGCTCGTACACAGCAAACTGCACGGCGCCGTGGCTGACGCCAATCAGGCTGACGCCGAGGCCCCGGTAGAAGCCCCGGGGACCCTCCTCGCGCAGGACGCGGATGGCGCCCGCCCACATGCTCGGGTAGGCGCCCTGGGCGCCGCGGTCCGACGACAGCATGCGCGTCTTGAGAACCCACAACGGGTTTGTGATGACCTGCACGCAGATGCCGGCCAGACCGGACGCGACAAAGTAGTCGGCCGGTGTCAGGTCCTGGGGTCCGGGTGCCTTGGCCGAGGCCACCAGACGCTCCATGCGCGACTTGACAAAGAAGAACGAGGCCCAGCTGGTGCCGTTACCCAACAGATTGGGCGTCAGGCCGCGGTACAGCGCCGCCAGCGGATGCGGCGCTGCCAGCAGGCCGCGTAGGACTGAAGCCGCCGACAGAGCGGCCGGACCGCCGATGCAGGTGCCGGAAGCCGAAGCCGTGGCCGTCCCGCGGAAGACTAGAATGGTGGAGTGTCAGCATTCGCTCGTAAGCAAGCCCTGGCTTCCACCAGAAACACACTCTGCATCCGCGTCTTGACAATGTCCAGCGGGTGGACTGCCAGCGTGGCTATGGAACCGGCCGTCAGGCCGGCAATGGCCTCGATGAGAGCCGGAGAGACGCCCGCGGCATGCTGCTCGCCGCCGGCGGTCATAAGTCCAGTTGATACACACGGCTGCTGACCATGTCCGACTAGCTGGTTCTGATTCGGGTGCCGATTCGGGGGTCAGTTCTTTGGGAGGCGCATGTCGTTGCGATGTCAAAGGTCTGCTTTGTCAGATGCAATTGCAAAATTTGGATGCGCCCCACAGCACCTTCTACACCAAAAGCACCGCAGCGATTTTACTAAGCATCCATCTGATACAGTTACGTACAACGACATGGCATCATTGCTGTCAATCTACGCCGCCACATCACACATGCACATCGAGCTGCGGGATAGCCGTGTTCTGAGTGGTATATTTCAAGTCGTACCCGTTTCCTAGTATTGTACAGCTGCGGTCATGGGAGACACGCCAGACGTTCCCTGTAGGTCTGTCCAGGCGCATCCGTCCTATGGTTGCAGAGGTCCCTCTTTCGTTCTATTCCAGACGCTATTCTGACGGTCAGGCATCCAGTCGGCCTGCCTGATTTCGTGGCTCTCGCCTTGTTTCATAGTCCGTAAAGTCGGCCCGCATTCGGCCCTTGATGGGCGCGTGATGTGCGCATGTTGCGCATCTAAGAAAGCGGCGACAGGAGACTGAGCAGGTATGGCAAACGTCAGAAATCTGTCCTAGGCACTTCAATGTTCGTCTAGACTTACCGGATGACCGATGGCCGGGGCTCGCTGCGAGTGTAGCCTGTCGCATTTACATATATGTTAGTACTCTTCTTCACGGTCGAGAGCCGACTCAGCACAGCCTTTGTGCCAGCACCTGCGAGTTCACGAACCAAGGTAGAGCACCATGGGAAGGTATCCGCTAGACGATTGTTAGCCACAGCCCCTGTTTCGATACCCGCACAATGCACAGGAAGCTGCAACATACTAGTGGATGACAACGCGCGAGATGTCAATGAGCCGGCTGATGCGCTCCTGAACCAGCAACCAAAGAACCCCATGTCAGCACTGTCGTCACTCGTGCAATCTTTCTGTCCTCGGCCACTGTCGTCGTGTCGTGCTCGCCGTACCTTTGACTCTTCTGAGAGGGCGAACATCTTTGCAAAGTACAACAAGGTTGCTTGCTGCGCCTGGTGGTTCTGGAGTTCTTTCAGAGCTCCAATTAGTGACTGGACAGTTGCCGAACGTTCTGCTCTGGGGTAAGGTGAGATGTACAGCGGTATCTGCTCGGGGCGGCTGTCAGCGACGGCGTGCTATGATGTCGAGTCGGCTGGAGTGCCGAAGAAATTTCACTAACCTATGGCCCCGACCAGTTGGCCGCTGTGGGGGTAGTGTTGCCGCCTGTTTCCGGAAAAATAATTAGTCCGACGTCGCGATATTCCCAAACTTGTTTGCGATAAGCCCATCGAAGCTTTAGTTAGGGGGAAAAAAACCTACAGACGATGAGCCGTTCCCAAACACGCGTGCCCGTCTGCTCTTGTTCTCCCGTTCTTGCGACCGCTCCAGACTGTCTGAGTAGCCAGAGACGCCAGAAGCTAGGCCATTGCTGCCGATTGGGGGAGTCGACACAAGCCCGGGTTTTTTGAGCTTCTTCCTCTCGTTACAGCTTCGCACCCCCCCCCAATACCACAACCATGTCGGGCCGACACTGGGAGCAGAACAAGGAGGCGACGGTGTACGTGGGCAACCTAGACGAGCGGTTCAGCGAGCCACTGATGTGGGAGCTGATGACGCAGATGGGCCCTGTGGTCAACGTGCACATGCCGATGGACCGAGTGTCGCGGCTGCACCAGGGCTTCGGCTTCGTCGAGTTCGACACGCCCGAGTCGGCCGAGTACGCGTCGCGCACGCTCAACGGCATCCGCCTGTACGGAAAGCCGGTGCGCGTCAACAAGGCCAGCGCCGATCGCCAGCGCGCCGCCGAGATTGGCGCCGAGCTCTTTGTCAACAACCTCGACCCCCAGGTCGACGAGAAGATCCTCTACGACACCTTTGCCCAGTTCGGCCGCCTCGTCGCCCCGCCCAACGTCGTGCGCGACCAGAACAACATCTCCAAGGGTTACGGCTTCGTCAGCTTCGACAGCTTCGACGCCTCCGACACCGCCCGCGACGCCATGCAGGGCCAATACCTCCTCAGCAAGCAGATCTCCGTCGAATACGCCTACAAGAAGGACGGCAAGGGCGAGCGTCACGGCGACGAGGCCGAGCGCAAGCTGGCCGCCGAGGGCAAGAAGCACAACGTCGTCCCCGACGTCCAGCCCATGCCCTCCGCCTTCTACATGACCCACCCCAACCCCAACCCGGTTCTGCCGCCCGGCCCGGCTGTCGGTGCCATCGCCGCGCCTCCTCCGAACATCATGGCTGCACCTCTCGGCGGCAATCCCAACGGCATAGCGCCGCCGGGCTCCTATGCGCCACCGTCTCGCGGTCCCGTCCCTATGGCCGCCCCCGGTGCCCCTGGCGCCCTCAGCTTCCATCCCCGGCAGCAACAACAACAGCAGCAGCAGCAGCAACAGCCATATGGAGCTCCCGGAGGCATGCCGCCATCGCTACCGGCTGGCTTCGGTGGCCCCCAGGCTGGTCGCGGTGCTATGGCTCCCCCACCTTCGTTCCCCGCTGGTCGCGGTGGCCCCGGACTACCCATGGCTCCGACCGGTCTTCCGGCTCGGCCACCGCCAGGTGGTGTTGGCTCCGGTCCACCAGGCTTCGGCCGTCCGCCGCCACCTGGCTTCGGAGGAGGTGGCGGCCAGCAGCAACAGCAGCTCCCGCCGTCGGGCTTCGCGACCGGTGCCAACAGCGTCGGCATGGCACCGCCAGGACTGCCTGTGTACAACGGCATGCCACCGCCGCCACCGCCTGCGGGCTTTGGACGGCGGTGAGGCCCGACTGAGGAGGCTGAAATGCACAGCGAAGAAGTCAGGGGGGAGAGAGGCAAAAAGTACAAAGAACCCCTTTTTCTTTTCTTTCTTTCTTTTGGTCGTTGGTTACGGGAAAACGGGACGATTTTTTTCGGTTTCGGGCGTGGCGTTTCACGAATTTGCGAGCCCATTTACGGGATGCTGCATGTATGTGTACAATAATCAGATCATTATTCGGAGCCCCTTTGTTTTGTTTTGCTTTTCCCCCTCCTACACGGGTATCGGGGCCTCACCGAATCCTAATCCAAAGTTCTGAGAAGCTTGGCAAGGAATACGGGCGATCTTCATGCTCTTCGGTACAATTTTCGCCGCCTTGGGCAGGGAGCTATCTGCATTGTACTTTACAATACAAGGGGCCGATGTTGAGAGACGGCTGCGCAAGGTCAGGCTTTGACGGGAGCCTGCGAGTTACAGATTCTCAAAAAAGCCGGCCGTGCATATTCCGGCTAATCTAACGCCGGCATGTGGTCATCCTCTTCCTGCTATATCTGCTGCAGGAAGACGGCTAATGCAGCAGCATATGTAGAAGCGAGGTCAGCTGGCCATGTAGCAGCATACCGAATAAAAGTGTTGCGTCTGCAGTAAGATGCATAGGCGTTAGGTAACTTGAATAAATGATTGCCAAGAAGCGGTATATGTATCTTACTGTCTTGTGATTCAAGATAAGTACGACGTAGAGTTGTTGTGATTTGCAAGGCGAAAGAGGCAATGGATACGGAAAAGAAGGGGGGACGCCTTTTACGAGTGTCAGCTATATGAATATAGCTACTGTTACACTCCATTCCATCTTTCATTCTATACCGTAGTGGTCTCTAGATTGGATCATTCTCCTTGGCCAATATCTTTGGAGCCAGATGGGCAATTACACACCCGGAGAGGCTCCTCCCAGGACAGTCGGACACGAGCTGGCATCGCCTCGTCGACGATCACCTGAAGGTGGCTGCTTGACTTTTAGGCGCCGCCGGCTAGTTTGAACAACACGCGAAAAGGCTGAGTCTAATGGTTGGGGTTGTTAAGGGCCCGTAAGATACCCTCCCGTTGCCACCATCGCTGGCTTCTTCGTTGCAATATGTTGAAGATAAGGGCCGGTTTTCTGTCTAAGACAGCAACACATGTCTTCAACCCGAGTGAGAAGCCAATGTGAAGAGCAGGCACAAATTACAGAAGGTACACGGAGTAGGATAGGCGAGCCGGATCTGATGTGTCACTTTTTAATGGTCCGCACCAAGAAGTTGCCCAGGCTTCATGATTTCCATAGCCCCCCTTTCCCTACATAGAATATGCAAACATCCCGACAGGGAAGTCCTGTAATATGCGGCCGCATTGTATAACGTGACCGAGACACTTGCGAAACTGTGCATTGGCACAATAATATATACTCAACAGTGCAAAATTGCCGCACTTGGTCCAAGCTGCTCAGCTGGGAGATACCGTCCGGCTCGATATCCACATAGAGAAGTGGAGCACATCCTTCCGCTTGCTCAAGGAACACTCGTATGCATCAACAAGGGGCCTAGCCCGGGCTGCTTGGACAAGGCATCGAGCTGTGGCGTGTTCCTGTGTGATGTGTCTGGCAGTCGGAGAGTCATGCTGGACAGAGGCTTGATCAGGAGTTGGCAGTACGGGCGGCGGAGAAAGTACACTTTCCTGCACATTGGAGGCGGTCAGATGCCGCCTGTAAGATATCTCACGTATTGTCCTATTTGGTGCATAGTACGGAGTACCATGTACTCATGCTTGCAGACGGCCGAGAATCTCGCTCTCAGAAAGAGAAGGATCGCCAGGACTTGAAACACAAAACTAAAGGCAAGGCTCTGAGTGGAGCTACTATGTCTGCAGTTGCAGGCTGAGAAGCAATCGGGGCCTTGAATCGATATAACGCAGGCTATTCTCGTTTTTGTCTGTTTCATCGAATGCGTGGCTGGCGATCGACCAGGACTGCTGACGGGGGACAGGGGAACAAAAGGCGATCATGCAATCGCAGCACCAGAGGAACAAAGTACTCGTATGGTTGGGGCTTAGTAGCGAGTGACACTTCGGGGTTCTCCGTTTGGATGAGAAGAGCAGCGCCAACCGATGACAGTCTTCTTACTGGTCAGGGAAGAAGACCCTGTTCGTACAAAAATAGAATAGCATCAGCAAAATACATAAAATAAAAACACTCCGACCAGTCCACAGGGCACCTTTCCGCACACGGAAGGGTGTGAGGCAAGTTGAAGTTCAGCTAAGGCCTAGCTACATACCATGTAGCAGGAGCAGAGTTTAAGTTGGCAAATGGCAGCGGACAGAACGGATGAGCGAATCGAAAAAAAGGAAAAGTACGAAATCACATGGTTGTTGGGCACCTCTGGGCACCTCTCGCCATATATTGCTTCCCAGCGATTGTTTCACCTTTCAGAGGAGGCAAGAGCCACCCAAGGGACAACGTGGCCCAAGGAAAGCCCAAGGTAGAGCATGCTCCGTTGGAGTTTCTGGCTCCCTATGGGCTGCCTGCCGGTGTGAAACCCCTCCAAGTCACGTTCAAGGACTCCTTCACCGTCAGTTTTTCCCTTCCAGCTTTCCACTGTTTCCACGGTCGATTTTGTTGAGCGAGGCGTCATCGTCTAGACCTCTGACCGATCTTTGCTTCACGGCATGGGAACACCCGCTTATTGGGCAGCAAGACTGTTCGCCTCTCACTTTTTTTTCGAATTTTAATCCGCGTCGAGTATGCAAAAAATAGGGTGGTGCTGGAATGAGGCAGGAACGCTGGGCTGTGCAGTGACCCACTTTTCTCCTCACGCGCGCATGCTGGTGAGGCAGGAGCTATTAAGAAGCGAGGAGAGTCGATGATCCTACAGAGTTTCGATAGAGTGCTATGTACGGCAAGCTGCTATTGGCACTACCGACAGCTTACGATCACTTGCAGTCGTATGCTACATACCGGTCCAAGCACACACCCGAGAGGAAAGGGAAAGGACGAGAGGCGAGAGAAGTAAAGGCATGACCCTCCTTGCACGTCGTATCGCACTGCATGCTGGCTGCAGACGACCTGCATGTGCTCCTCAGCCAAGGAAAAGAAAGGAAAAAGCTCCGTCACGACAGCAGTGCAGGTCTACCGCCATATTACGGAGTACGAGTCCCTGCTTGACTGGGAGTCTTGGCTCACGTGGCAGCAATGAGCGCCGCCTACTTCGCGACTGCCCTCTGCCGCGCCAATGAAACATTACGTTGCCTCTTTCTCCCTGCTGCTCTGCCGTCGCTGACGGTATACCTTCTGCCAGATGGCCTTACTTCCTTGTCTGAGACAACCTTCCGTCTGAGCCCACACCCCTCTCTGCCTGCTGGACCAATGACGCCGGCCAATTGCTTAAAGAGAGTGTTTTAACGGCATCAATCAGACAGCTCGTGACCTGTTCCCGGCTGCCTTTGCCCGCGATGGCGTATTACAACCCAATCGCTAAATTGGGGTTCAGTCTCGCCGCTCGGCCCCCTCTTTTTTCTGTGCTGCCCGGCTCATTCCACGTCTCTGCTGTTTGTCCAGCTACGAGATCTTACCAACAGCACGCGTACTCGAGCGGAGGAGTACGAATATCAACTCGTAGTTTTTCCCGACCCAATCTTCACCCTAAATAGATCGGACTAGCGCGGGCCAGCGGCGGTCATGAGACCTCCTAAAAAGAAAGAATGATCCCTGGAAAGCTTCGGCCACCAAAGGCAAGGTACCACACAGGCCGCCAGAATCTTCTACCCTGCCGCTGATTGGCTGCGAACGGAAATGGTGGGCTTGCTGCTGCATGTGATCGTAATACCCTCCCTGGCCCATTGTAAGTACCCTGTCATTTTCTTCGCTCCTTGCCCTTTTTTCTCCGGCACTGGCAACCGCCTGTGTTGTAGCGTCCTCCTAGCGTAACGGACATACGAGTACGAGGCGTTTTTGCTCTTCATGCTTGAAAGCAGTTCGACTGCTCGATGGTACGAAAGAGGCGCATGGAAAAACGAAAGACTAGAGGCTGTAGAAGCGAAACAGCAAGCCCTGGTCTGGGAGAGCTTCCACTGCTAGTGCAGAAAAATGCAAAACATCCTTTCTTTGCCCAGCTAGTTTCGTGCGACACGGGGGCGAAGATATCTCACTGTGATCTTGCCATGCACGGCGTACTCCGTACCAACGTGCCTCGATTCCTTGTCTGTCGACCTTTGGCAAGCAGGAGAGCTGTAACAATTTAAGCTCATTTTCCAACAGCAGCTACCCACAAACAAAGACAACCTCCGGCTGGTTGGCTGGTTGGCCGTCCAGAGACGCAAAAGCCCGTTTATTTTGGCAAGCCTCTCATGTCGTATGTAGATAATCGATTGGATTCATCTCTAGCTCTCCCCATTTTGGCCTGCCCCCCAATCCTCCCCCTTGGCGATCAGGAATCGATCGACCTGCAGATGTTCGAGGAACAGCGCAAAGAGTCTATCTGCTCACATCTGTTGACCATTGTGCAGCCGTGTGGCTCTGCGTGAGCCCATCGCCACCGATGAACGGTCGGGTCGCTCAGCAGGTTAAATGCCCATACGTAGTCTTCCCCCTTTTTTGTTTGCCGCTTCCGTCTTAGTATTAGCGCGTGGCCCGTCTCAAAAAGAGGCACATGATTCTACAAAAAACAAGTGGGTCGACCTATTGTTGAGCGCTGGATTCGCTTTTTGGCAAGCTCTTGTACTCCTAATAAAACGGAAAGACAAACAAAAAGGCTGTCCTGCCGCCCGCCTCTCTCGCACTGCCTCGAGATTTGCTGGTCCCTCTGCCTGTCTGCCTAGCTTCCTTGCCCCCTCCCTATTTTTTTTCTCCTTTCTATCTTTTCACTGCAACTGCCTGCTTCGAGACGGCGAATGATTGACGCTTCGCTTCAATCTTGACTCACTGCAACTCCAAACGGCCAAGCCCGCTTCCATTGCTTTTCGTCGATTCAAGCTTCGAGCACTCTAGCGGAAACCCGTGGCATTCCAGAACCGTATTAGAAGGCTGCGGCATCTCTCGAAACTACGACGTACGGGAGTGTCTTACGAACGTCATCTATTCTAGCCTCTTTCCTCACGTCCCCACCTCGCACTTCTCCCTCCTGCTCTTCCTTTCCCACCTCGATCAAACAGAGCCCCAGCCCTTCTGGCCAGTCATCCCGGACATCTGCCCCGAGACTAGCCACGTTTTCGCACCTTCGCTCTAGAACAGCCTGGCCTATGTTCCAAAGAGCATCCTAGCCATTCGAAATCACCTTCGGCCCTCCGTTCAATCGACACTGAAGCATCTTCGAACGGCCTATACCGCTTCACGCTCGCAGCTGTCGACATTGCCGAACCACTGCCCTTCTCGTTCCCCTCCGAGGACCATAGTTATCCGAGTAAGTCGTGCTCGCCATCGCTTTTGCCATTGTTCGCACTCCTCTCTCCCCCTCCATCATACCTTCCCGCACGTTCCCTCTCTTCCCAAAGCTCCCCCTGCCGCCCCCGCCATTGCTTGGCCTGCCAGCCACCAGGGCCTGGCCTCGTCTGTTACCGACCCGCCCGTCTGCAACCCCAACGGTCTCGGCTGGACAGAGCACTTAGCACACACAACTGGTGTTTGACCTCGCCGTGGCGGGCGCACAGTTGCGTGTGCTTGATGTGTGGCCCTGTAGCTGGTGTTTCGGTAGCAAACTGGCCAGTTGTTGGAGCCCGAGGGCTGGTGCACGAGGCACGAAGAGGGTCCGGCCTGCCAGCAAACCAGCACAAGTGTGGTGACCCGCCGCCCTGGCAGCTCCCTGCGAGAGTCGGTTATAATATACGCTAGCGTGCTGCGTAATCCACTACGTGCTTGTGGTCCCCGCTACTAGCAGGGGTCACCCGCCCTGATGTCTGCTCTTTCCCTGGAACGCCCTGCCACAGCAAACAACACTATTACCAACATTGCTTTTCGCCTTGCTCCACCTCCCCACTACGCATCAAGAGGTCACGACGACACTGTCTGTCGCCTCCAGCGTCTATGTATCTTACCAGCACCATAACCTCCCCCTCCCAGCACTGCGCACTGCCTACCAAACCCCACCCATATTATACTCGTACCTCTTCGAGTGTATGTGCTACTCCCGTCAAGAAGTCTCAAAGTCGTCCAACCGAACATATATTCCGGCTGCTGCCTGCCGACCTATCAGATGCAGTTAGAATAGATTCCTACCTCTCAGAAAAGTCCTGTGTTTCTTCCCTCACCCCCCTCTTTCCATCTTTTCGTCTCCCCCGCCATCGTCAACTCTGTTGCCCGCTTTTTTTTGGGCTATCCCCGGCTTTCTACTCTTTTCCTCTTACCTCTTCAAACTGTCCTTCAGACGCCCAACCCTTCGCCCACCTGATTGCGGTCACGTTCTCCTGCAGCCAGATACCAGTACATTCCTGGTGGACTAGTTAGTAGCCTTTCGCACACAAAATCCTCTCACTGCACGCGGAGTATCCTGTCTTTCCCCACCCCCTCCCGTTAACAAACTCTTCTTTTCCTCTTTCTTTTTTTCCTCTACTTTCTTCCCACCTCAACCCTCTCGAGCAGTCCTGCCCGAGCCTCGAATTTTGCATCGCTGTTGCACGGTTGTTCTGCTGTCCCCCTCTCTCTCACATCCATACAACAGTCTTCGCCCATCAGCCGACTGCGCCTTCTGCGAATGCTATGCCCCCCGCTGAACTTTCAACTCTCTAGCTTTTTCCCTCTCCACACTGTGGCATCCTTCTCGCTAGGGGATATTCCACTAAAGGCTACCGCATCTGATCATTCCGACTGCTCCACTGTCCCATCTCAATTATCGACAAAACACAAAACAAAAGTCACAATCACTGCTCGACTCGTTTCTACAACCACAAACGACATTAAGGCGATTAAAGAATATTTATACCGGGGAAAGGGTCGCAATTGAATTGGTTGCATAGGACGGCACAACAGGCCGAAAAAGCTCAGCACTTACTACAGCAAATCTGGCTGATCCATCTGGCCTATTGCCCGTCACGGCTGTTTTACTCGTCACAAGCCTGTGCTTTTGCCTTGCTCAAACCCAACGCTTTGTGTACCCAAGCCCGCGGTAGCGACACCATAGAAACAACACACCGATTTTTTTTCTGCGTATCCGCATTCGCATTCGCACAAATGGCGCAAACCCGGCCAACGGCGTTCAGCAACATGCGGATGGGGGGTAAGTGAAGCCAAAGTTGATTGACGGAACGATCTCCAATTTCCGCTTTCCTTCCGTCATATCCCTCATTCGTCTCGGCTACTAACTCTTCTGCTTCTCGCCCGTACAGAGGTCGTCCACGAAAAGGTTCAGGATGGAGTGACCGGAGAAACAAGGGATTTGCAATACACCCAATGCAAGATTGTAGGCAATGGTTCCTTTGGCGTCGTCTTTCAGACGAAATTGTCGCCTTCCAACGAGGATGCTGCCATTAAGCGCGTCCTCCAAGACAAGAGATTCAAGGTACGTTATCGATGGTTCCAGTGGTCAATACAAGTTTCCTTCCGCTCAATCTCTCATACACCGGTTCTTAATGAATTGTCTTTTGGTTTGGAAGCGTGTCGGCCCTTTCATGAAGAACTTCGCGACTAACTTTTTTAGAACCGTGAGCTGCAAATTATGAGGATTGTACGGCACCCAAACATCGTGCAACTAAAGGCCTTTTACTACTCAAACGGCGAACGTGTGAGTCGTCCCTGCTTGCATTGCATTGCCTCGCTTCGCTCGTATAGCCCGCAGCCACGGAAGACCCGTTACATCAGGGCAATTGGCCCCATTACGATACGTTATTCTCGTCTTGTCGGACTGATCACTGACAAGATCCTTTTTCACAGAAAGACGAAGTCTACCTTAACCTGGTGCAGGAATTTGTGCCAGAAACTGTGTACCGAGCCTCTCGTTTTTTCAACAAGATGAAGACGACCATGCCCTTGCTGGAAGTAAAGCTCTACATCTACCAGCTATTTCGCGCCCTAGCCTATATCCATTCGCAAGGCATCTGCCACCGTGACATCAAGCCACAAAACCTCCTTCTTGACCCGACTACGGGCATTCTTAAGCTGTGCGATTTTGGCAGCGCCAAGATACTCGTCGAGAACGAGCCCAATGTGTCGTACATCTGCTCCCGGTATTACCGGGCACCTGAGCTGATATTCGGTGCAACAAATTACACCACGAAAATCGGTATGTTCTGTTACTACATCCGGTGGGATGCAGGCCATCCTTGCATCACCTTGTATACATGTATGCTGACGCATAGTCGTTGGTAGACGTCTGGTCGACCGGTTGTGTTATGGCAGAACTTATGCTGGGACAGCCCCTGTTTCCTGGAGAATCCGGCATTGACCAATTGGTTGAGATCATCAAGATTCTGGGAACACCTACGCGCGAGCAGATCCGGACCATGAACCCGAACTATATGGAGCACAAGTTCCCCCAGATCAAACCGCATCCTTTCAACAAGGTGTTCCGGAAGGCCGACGCCAATGCGCTTGACCTGATTGCTCGCCTTCTTGAATACACGCCGACGGAGCGCCTCGCTGCTGTCGATGCCATGGTCCACCCGTTCTTCGACGAACTTCGTGACCCGAACACGAAGCTGCCCGACTCCAGACACCAGACAGGCACCCTCCGCGACCTGCCGCCTCTATTCAACTTCTCTCGCCACGGTAAGAACGCTGACAATAGGTTCTTTCAATTGGACATATTGACAGCCGCTAACTTTCTACTACTTATTTAGAGTTATCTATCGCACCAAATCTCAACCAGAAGCTGGTCCCCCCACACATGCGACCTGTTCTGCAGGCGCAAGGACTAGATATCGACAACTTTAAGCCCATGGCGAAGCAGGAGATGATTGCTAAGCTCGACTGAGCTCGGGGCCACCTGCCCCGGGCTTTCCCTTTGCCCGCAAATCAGACGCAGAAGCAGAAGTACGAGCGGCGGTAGCAGCGGCACATCCCTTCTATTTCTACATGCAACCGGCAGGGGAAAAAACAAGACATCGCTACACCGACCCACCTTTGATGTCGACAGTCGAGCAATCTATCGTCCCACCTCCTTCATCCGGCCCGCGAGCTAGCAGGACGGGGATGGCACGAGGGCGACAAATCTCACCATTCTACGAAAGTCATGAGTTGGATGAATTGCATGCGAAATGGAGCTGGGGTGATTTTGCAAAGCATGGCGATGCAATCCATCCCGCAGAACGCTTCGACTGCATGCGATATATGACTTCTTAAGACGAGAGTCCCACGAATTTCTGTGATTGGATCTGGCCTCCAGCTGGCGTGTGGGCTTCTTTTTGGAAGGAGTCGATGTTGATGCGTCCATGCCGCTCGCTGATACGGCCATTGGGGGTGCCATTTCGCTGCCACCCTTACATGACAAGACTGTGGGCTGGTATGCTTCAAGCAGACGGGGGGTTGGGCTTTTTTGCGTGTTCCTTATTAGATTTCAGTTCTGCATTATGACTTGCGATGGCTGTTGTTTCAGACTAGCTATACATTTCGTATCGGTTGCCCTCATGTTTTATCGTTTCGTTATCGTTACCTTTTCACTTCGTCTTCGAACCTCTACTGTCGCTTCTCTACGAGAAGTTCAGAGGCTTGATGCATTAGACGGGCTGGACCTCTTTACCCTGCGGGATGGCGCTGTCAGTGGATAAAGAGGTCACCATGCATCATGGTAGCTAGGGGTTTCATTTACTTTTCGATTTTATTTTTCTTACGGGAAGGAGGGAAGAAAAGAGGATGACTATCGGGTTTTTGGGAGAATAAGGTAAGAGGAGAAAGGGCTGAGGCACATGTAAAAAGACAATAACGATGATGGAAAGACGAGCTATTGTGCGTGCGTGCGTACTCGAGTAGTAGATGTGAATTGGAGTTCGTGCCTCACACTCTAGAAGGGGAAAAAGGGCGGCGGCAGACAAGGAAAGACTTCGGGACTTATCTTTTGAATACGTATTAAAAACTGACGAGATGCTTTTGGACCGTTACGATTTGACGAGAGCCGAGAAAAACCTGCCAATCTCATTGCCTTTTCCCCAATACGCATGGTCAATATAAAGCTTAATTCTCATTGCAAAGACGTATGCAGTACTATTTTGCCCTGCAGCTAATTAAAAAGCCGTCTGTTATCCTGTAGGTACTCCGTAACTACGAAGTACACTAAGCCTTTGCAGGAGGCGGAGCCTAAAATACCAGGCAGAATAGTAGCGGTACGCTAGCCGTTTTGATATCCCATCTTTTTTCGCGTGTTGCATTTTGGCAGCTCGTGTCTGCTGCATTGTCATTTCTTCTGCCCCTGCTCGGAGCCTGCTGTATTATTTCAACGCAATCATACTGCAGCTACGAAATTAAAGCTGCACATTGCTGCATTCAAACAAAGTCACAGCAAGGACGCGGGAACGTGCAGATTGACAAAGAGGCAGTCTGAAGTTGAGCTTGATCCGGGCGACCAGACGAACTGCTCCCCGACGCGATGGCCGACTATGAGCGCAGAGGAGGAGGTGGCGGTGGCGGCGGGTATCACAACAGCTACCGCAAGCGCCGTTTCAGAGGTAGGTGAGCAGGACGAGATGGGCAGGATTGAGGTTTGGATGCTGACGTTGTTGTCCCTGATGTGAGCAGACGACGACAACGACTACCGAAATCAACGTCGGCGACAGGACGTGCCGGCGCCACTGCGGATCCGGCGACAGCTGCTCACGCTGGCGGAGTCGCCGCTGCGGCGGTGGCACGACGACGCGGTGACGGTGGCGCGACTGGTTGCGGACAACGACGACGACGCGCACGTGCGGGAGGGCTTTGTGCAGCTGGCGTGCCAGCTGGTGCGGGAGCAGCCGCTGAAGACGCCATTTGTGGCGGCGGTGCTGCTGGTGGTCAACACGCTGAAGCCGGCGATCGTGCTGGAGGTACTGCGGCACGTGGCGGGCGCGACGGAGGAGGCGATCGCGGCCGGACAATGGCGCGAGGTGAAGCTGCACCTGCGGCTGCTGGCATGTCTGCAGACGTGTCTGCAGGGGGACGGAGTGTTCCCGCTGTTGGACATGCTGTTTGAACGGGCAGTGGATCTACAGACGGCCAGCTCGGACGACGTGATCGGCACGGAGCTGGTCAAGATTATCTTGTTGACGATCCCGTACATCATGGCGGCGGCACCGGGTCAGGAGTGGCAGCAGCAGGCGGCAGACCTGATGGAGAAGACGGACGTGATTGCGTCGGAGCCGCACGCGCTGCAGAAGCTGATGGATCCGTATCTGCACGGGCGGCTGATTGCCAAGTCAGGACGGGCGACAACGGGGACGACGAGCAAGAGCGGCAATGGGGACGTGGCGATGGGCGGGGATGAGGCAGCGGTCGACGACAACGACGAGGACGAAGAGGACGAGGACGCGCCGCCGCCGGCCGAGAGCCTGTTGGCGCTGCTGCAGAAGCAGCTGCAGGCGGAGGCGGCGAGCGGGTGGCCGCTGGCATGTCTGCCGCGGCCGTGGAAGCTACCGCTGGAGGACGTGGAGCTGCAGTCGAAGCTGGACGAGTCGGAGAAGCACACGCTGCCGGAGATTGCGGTGCCGGCGACGGTGGTGGCAGGGCCGCGGCCGCTGTTTCCGGAGGTGTACTTTTCGGTATATGGAGCCGGGGCAGCAGGAGCAGGTGCAAGCGGGCTGCCGCAGTCGGTGCCGGCGGTGACGAGTGTGGCGGCATCGCTGATCCGCGACAGCGTTCTGGACACGATCAACGTGATGCACTTCAACCGCAACGTGACGGCGCGGTTTTTGATCGACGTGGACTGCTACTTTGCAGACGAGACGTTTGTCAAGCGGGCGACGCCGTTTGACCGGCTGCGCGAGCTGGAGACGGCGACGACGTGGAAGCCTGAGGACGTGGCAGTGGACGCGGTGTTCTCACAGCTGCTGCAGCTGCCGATGCCGGAGCACAAGCTGGTCTACTACCACGCAGTGTTGGCGGAGGCGTGCAAGATTGCGCCGGCGGCGATCGCGCCGAGTCTCGGGCGGGCGATCCGGTATCTGTACCGGCACAGTCACCGAATGGACCTCGAGCTGGTCGGCCGGTTCGTCGACTGGTTCTCGCACCATCTGAGCAACTTTGGCTTCACGTGGAAGTGGGCCGAATGGGTGGACGATGTGGCGCTGCCAGACATCCATCCGCACAAGGCGTTCATTCTCGGGGCGATCGACAAGGAGATTCGGCTGAGCTTTGCGCAGCGGATCAAAAACACGCTGCCGGAACCGTATAAGGAGCTGATCAAGCCGGAGACGGAGAAGGATGTGCCCGCATTCAAGTTTCAGACCGATGGTGTGTTCTTTTCGATATTTTCTCGGTTTTCTTTTTCTCTCTTTACTCTGCTAACCGACAGACACCCCCTTTGCTGCCGAGGGCCGCGAGCTGGCTGCTCTGCTGAAGCGCAAGGCTCCGGACGAGGAGGTACAGACGGTGATTGGGCGGATCCAAGACCTGGCGCTGGACAGTGGACGGGACGAGCCACTGGTGGCATCGATGGACGTGTTCACGACAGCGGTGCTCTGGGTGGGCTCCAAGTCGCTGTCGCACGTGCTCGCGTGCATTGAGCGGACCAAGGATCGGTTCCTGGACGCGGGAGCAGCATCGGAGGCTGCGCGCAGCCAGATCCTCGAGGCGGTGATGACGTTTTGGGCGGCGCACCCGGGCATTGCGGTGTCGATCACGGAGAAGCTGCTCAACTATGCGATCCTGTCGCCGGAGACGGTGGTGAAGTGGGCGCTAGACAAGAAGGAGGAAGAGGCTGACAAGGCCGAGACGGCCGAGACGGCACCTCGACTTTCGCAGGCCTTTGTGGCCGAGCTGGTCTTCAACACGGTCGCCAAGGTGACGCGACGGATGCGTCAGGTGGTGGTGACGTCGCAAGCAGCCAGCGCGACCGTGGTGGCGGCATATGCAGCCGTGGATGCAGCCCGGGAGCAGCAGCAGAACCCGGGATCGCTTGCAGTGGCTGCAGTTAGTGTGGGTGGCAAGACGACCGACGGCATGGACGTGGACGACGGCAGCACCAACGACGACGGGACGACAGCAGCAGCAGCAGCAGCGGCTGAGGCAGCGTTGCGGGTGGAGACGGCCGAGGCGGCGCTCGTGACGGCCACGGCCGAGGCAGCAGCTGCTCGAACTGCTGAGACGGCCGACATGCGTGCGATGCAGAAGCTGTTCCAGCGGGTGGCCGAGGCCGTGGAGCCGTGGGCGGCGGCATCGTCGCCGCTGGTCGTGCGCGCCTGGGCTGAGCGCTGGCAGCGCGTGGTGCGGCGTCGTCAGGCCATCGAGGAAGCCTTTCTGGCTGAGGCGGCCAAGGCTCGGATGGCGGCTGAGGTGGCCGAGACCGAAGCCGAAGCCGCGGCCAACAGCAGCAGCAACAAGGCGTGATGCCGGCTGGTTGGTGCAGAAGGACGGAAAATTGTGGTTGCTGGGTTTCTTGGAGCCGTATGCGCAAGGGGTTCTCTAGTCTCAGCTCTCTGTGCTTGCTGTTGATGCGTATTGCAGAGGACGAAAAGGATGGCATGTCATTGAAGGGATTCATATAAGCAATTAATTGGTTGGCGTTTACATGCATGCATGATATATGCATATGCGCATACGACATACTCCGTACGCTACGGAGTACACTACACCTCCACCGGATGCGGGTTCTGCGCAATCTCGCGCACCACCTCGCGCGCCTTGGCGTTGTCCTCGAAGCTGAGCCGGACCAGGTCGACGACCTCGTCGGCCGAGAAGTACAGGCTGAGCTCGCTGTCCATCCAGAGGTAGCGGACCTCGGGCAGGTTTGACTGCAGGACCTCGGACAGGTACTGCATCCGAAGCCACGACGGGACGTATTGAGCCGTGAGGGGGGTGGATGTGGGCTCGCCCCCAAAGAGGTCGTCCAACTCGGTCACCCGGGCCATCAGGCTGGCCAGGCTAAAGGCCTCGTCCTGGCTGATGGCCGTCATGTCCAGCACGTCCGCGATCAGCTTGGCCGCCACGGCCTCGACGAGAGCAGCCACAGCCTGGAACCAGACGGACGGCGCCAGGATGCCGTTCCAGGCTGCTGCCATCGACCGTACCCGCGCCACGGCCGCGTCGACGTGGTCGGCCGGCTCCTCGTCGTCTCCGTCCCCGTCGTCACCGCCGCTTCGTCGCCGTCGCTGCTGCTGCTGCGCCAACACGTTCTGATCGCCGCCCAGCAGATCCCGCAGCACTGTCTTCTGGATCGCAAGCTCCCGCCCGTACGCCCGGCTCGCAAACGCCTGCAGCTTGGCCACCTCGCCGTCCAGCCGCAGCATCGCCTGCGCTCGTCCGTCCAGGTCCGGCCGCATCTTCCACGCCGTCGCCAGCTCGCCCAGCTTCTCCGCCAGATACATCGCGTCGTTGTATAGGTACCTGTGAGGGAGAGGGAGGTCTCGTTAACATTGCCACTCTTTGGTGTGCCACGGCTCCCCGTCCATATACATCTCCACTCACATGCTTCCACCCACGTCCAGGGCATAGTAGAAGGGCGAGACGGCTCGGAACATGGCCAGCGCCATGGTCGGAAGGCTGAAGAGACCGGCTGCAGCCGTTGCAACAGGACTGTTCTCATATCTGTCCCTTGTCAGACAACACTCCCAAACAACGCTCGCGAGAGGTCCAGTTCTTACCCTTCGGACAGCAGCACAGCCCCGTCCTCTAGGATCGATGTGATCATGGCCAGCACTGGTTCCGGCATGGCTGTTATGTGATACTTTTCCTTCATGATCAATTCCCGTGTTGTCGGTTCTGTCGCTGCCGTTGTCGCTGCCGACATCTGTTCGGCCACTGCTGGCTGCTGCTGCACCTCCGTTTCCTCCACATTGGTGTCCTCCTCACCCCAGCCCCACGCATCGGCTGCATCGTCTTCATCATCGTGTGTCTCTGTCTCTAACTCGGGAGCTGCGTCGGCTTCGGGAGCCTCGACAGCCTCATCGTCATCACCCCAGGCACCCCATGCATCGGCCCCGTCGTCCGCGGAGCTGCCTGCCTGCGTCTTCGGCTCTGAATCCTGTGTTTCTTCTTCGTCGTCCGTCCATGCCGCGTCCCAGTCGGCCGCTTGGTCTGTCGCCGTAGAGGGCCCGTTTGCTGCCAGCTCCTTACCTTCCGATCGCGACACCATCTGCTTCTCCACCCTCTCCACCTCGTGAGGTGTGCCGAGCCCCCCGGCAATCTTTTTGCGCACCGAGTCCAGAGCGGTCTCTCTTCGTTTTGACAGCCAAACACGGGGCGCGTTCTCGATCCATTCCTGAAGCCTTCCAAAGCCGGAGTACTGAAGCTTCGCAAGACGCGAGCAAAACGCCTCAGCCGCTCGGATCGTGTCCTCAAAAGCAGCCATCTTGTCGAGTGATGTCGGTACTGCAGACGCCAGCCAGACATCCACGATGCGCGACACCAACTCTGGCATCATCACCGAGGAGATGGACTGAACCAGGTCAGACGGCAGCCTGAGTGCGAGGAAGGCGAATATCTGATCCAAGTCCGTAAATAACGCCTCGATACCCTCGCCTGCCTGTCCTCGAATTCCCAGTGCAACCTGCTCTCATGCGCTGTCAGTAGTCTCATTGTATTTCCAGGTGGCAAACCATATGGCTTACGTCATCAACATAGATACCTGGCCGTGAAGACGTCGACAGGTCGGTTCGTGGCGCAACAACAGCCTTGTCCAGCTCGTGCCAGAGCTGCGTCATGCGGCCGTCGACCTCCTTGTAAGCCATCAGTCCGATGACCGCGTTCGAGAGGCTCATAGGTTCGTCTTGTCGCGTTTCGAGAACGGTCAGCGTGCCGTTCTCCGCATCGACGTGCACCAAGGCGCCCCAGACGTGGTCGAACACCTTGTGGACGTCCGACTTGAGCTCAAAGGCCCGCAGATCCAGTAGCCGCATGGCGCGACACGTCTTGCTAACAGGCATGGCGTCCAGCGCAGTCCATGATTCTGAGAAGCATCAGTTAACTAGCCCACAGGAACGCACCCATCCAGGAAGGCTCTCGGTTTAGTCGTACTCTCCAACAGGTGTAGCGCATCCAGGATGCGGCGCTCTTCGGCCGCCTGCTCAACCTGGTCCAGCAGCTGGTTCACGCTGCGGATGGCCTCAAGCAAATATCGGACCTGCAGATTGTAGTTGAGTTCGTTGGTCAGGAAGAGCGCCCTGGCCTCGGCCTCCTCAATGGCTTGCTCGTCTGTCTTGGGCGCATCGGCGCGAATGAGAATGTCGCCTGCGAGTAGTTTGCGGCGTGCAATGTCGACCTGGAGCGCCTTGGCATTGGTGACCCAGGAACGGAGGTCGTCGGCAGTCTCTTGGACGATTTCGTGAATTTCGCCCTGCAAAAGCGCAGCCTAGTTAGCAGCCGATGCGATCGATGTGATTCATGGATCACCAAGCGAACCTCGAGTTTGGCCTTGGCCTCGGTCAGGACCTGGATCGCTGCTGGAAGCCTCTCCGGCGTGAGCGCAATGGAGGAGACATCGTCTTCTGGGAAGAGGCCATTGAGAGAGAAGCCGACCAGAGCCTGGCCGACGACATCCGACGGCACGGCCATGGGCGAGAGCGAGAGAAGACAAGTGTGTCTAGGCAGCTGTGCCAGTCTGCTATGGCGAGGACAGAGGTGGTTGTGGCGCCGGGCGCATCGCTATGAGAGAGGACAGATGTGGCGGGTTTTGAAGCTTGTGAATATCTTATCGTATTACTACATAAGACAGTACAGTATGTATGCAACCCAGTGAAGACGGTGGTAGTCCTGCCTTTAGCGGGCATCCACTGGTAGCGCGCAGGGAAGGCACGGCCGACCAGCAGCGGGGTTTGTTTTGCCAGAAAGTGCCGGCAACTTGGCGCTAAGAGAATCTCTCTGAACAACGCAGCAAAAGGACTTCTCTCCTGATCCGCAGCTCTCGCAACCTGAAAGCAGCCAAGTCACCCTACCTGCACGTGCTCGGCCTCTATTTGATCCTACTGCAGGAACCCGGAACCCGTGACTGTTCAGTCTGCCATCGCGGTCCCGGCTGGGTGAGCTGAATGTGAGTTGTCCACACCAAAACGAGCGACGGTGAACATGAAGGAAACCGAGACGGAGACGACACTGCGCGTACGAGCATGCGTACGAGTACAGGTCGTGCATGTCACAGCACAGTCGCAGCTCTGATTGGGGTCTGCTGAGGCGCGTGCCTGTGGCGTCAGCGGGCACACGGCACGCTGCTTACGGGCTGCAGCCGACGAGCAGCGGCAATGACCCGACTCGACAGGAGATGCGACGGTGCCAATGAAAGTGAAACGGAGGCTAACGTCGACGACCGCAGACACGACGAGAGCCCTGTATCGGTCCTGTGTCCGGGGTGCTGGCACACGGCTCGCTCAAGCGGTTGTCCGTGGCTGCTGTGCTGCAGGCACGATAACGAGGTATGTAAGCAGGTGTGGATGGACGCAGGATGTGCTGCGGCTGTCTCGCCGGTGCTCTATTCGACGGTGGCGGTCAGGCCGGCATGGCATTGTCTGGCCACAGGTGGCCAGCGGCCAGCGACCAACGGCCAGCGACCAGCGGCCAGCGACCAGCGGCCAGGCCCTCCCAGGCTTCCAGCTGCACACGTCAGATGAGGTGGCGGTACCGGAAACTGGCCTGCGTCATAAATGAGCCGTCCTCGCGCTTCCCCACCCGCTTTTGATGGTTTTGTTGTTGACCAGCGCCAGACCGCAAGTCCGTTTCGTGGCGACCCTGTCTCAGACAGCATCCGATCCCAAGAGCAAGATGGCGCCTGCCAGCCATTTCCGCGAAATCCAGAGCTTCGAGACGAGCTATGCACCTACCAAGATCACCCAGTATGTCTCGCAGCGCAGCGGGATGCACGTCGTCGTGGCCAACCGCAAGGGGCCCAAGATCAACGGCTACTTCACCCTGGCCACCGAGATCTTTGACGACTCGGGCGCGCCGCACACGCTGGAGCACCTCGTCTTCATGGGCTCGCGCAGCTACCAGTACAAGGGCCTGCTGGACAAGCTGGCCTCGCGGGCCTACTCGGGCACCAACGCCTGGACGGCCGTCGACCACACCGCCTACACGCTCGAGACGGCCGGCTGGGATGGCTTCGCCCAGATCCTGCCCGTGTACCTGGAGCACCTGATCCTGCCGACCATCACGGATGACGCCTGCATCACCGAGGTTCACCACATCAACGGCAAGGGCAACGATGCCGGTGTGGTCTACTCGGAGATGCAGGGGCTGCAGTCGAGCAGCGCCGAGCTGATGGACATCCGCGCCCGCCGCCTGCTCTACCCCGAGACCGTCGGGTTCCGCTACGAGACCGGCGGCATGGTCGAGGCGCTGCGCGTTCTCACGGCGGACCGCATCCGTCAGTTCCACAAGGCCATGTACCAGCCGCGCAATCTGGCCGTCATCGTTGTCGGCGAGGTCGACCAGGCGGCCCTGATCAGCATCCTGGATCGGTTCGAGGACAGCATCCAGGACAGCATCCCGCCGCTGGACTCGCCCTTCCAACGGCCGTGGATCGACTCGGCGCAGCCGCCGGCGCTCGAGAAGACGGTCGTCGACACGGTCGAGTTCCCGGAGGACGACGAGTCCATGGGCGAGGTCATGGTCGGCTACTTTGGACCCAACTGCAACGACGTGGTGGCGACATCGGCGCTAAACGTGCTGCTGGCATACCTCTGCGGCTCGTCCGCGTCGGTGCTGGAGAACGTGATTGTGGAGAAGGAGGAGCTGGCCAGCTCGATCAGCTATTTGTGGGAGTCGCGGCCGAACTGCCTGATCTGGTTCCAGCCAACGGGCGTGGCGACGGAGAAGCTCGAGTTTGTGGAGCAGCGCCTGATCTCGCTGCTCAAGGAGGTGGCCGACAAGCCGCTCGACGTGCCGTACCTGCGCGAGTGCATCAGCCGGGAGAGGCGACAGGTCAACTCGCAGGCCGAGAGCTCCGAGAGCTTCTACTCGACCAACATCATCACGGACTTTCTCTTTGGCGAGCGCGACGGCTCGACGCTGGCCGACCTGAAGGACTTGCGCGAGTACGACGTGCTCGAGAGCTGGAGCGAGGAGCAGTGGCGGGCGTTCCTGAAGAAGTGGATCGCAGACGCCCACCACGTGTCGATCTTGGGCAAGCCGTCCAAGGCGCTGGCGAAGAAGCTCAAGACAGCCGAGAAGGAGCGGCTGGCGAAGAGACGCAAGGAGCTGGGTCCTGAGGGCCTGAAGAAGCTGGAGGAACGGTTGGACGAGGCAAAGAAGAACAATGACATGCCGATCCCAGAAGCGGTGATCGACAAGTGGGAGGTGCCAGGGACGGAGTCGATTCACTTCATCGAGTCGCAGACAGCACGCGCCGGCAAGGCGAGAAGCCTCGGCGTGCTGGACAACGCGGCACAGAAGACGATCGACGCGGCGGTGCCAGGCAAGACGCCACTGTTCCTGCAGTTCGAGGACGTGCCATCCAACTTTGTGCGGATCGTGGTGCACGTCAGCGCGGCCGGAGTGCCGACACGGCTGAAGCCGCTGCTCTCGCTGCTCAGCGACCAGTTCTTCAACAGCCCGGTGATGCGGGACGGGCAGCGAATCGAGTTTGAGGACGTGGTCAAGGAGCTGGAAAAGGACACGATCAGCTACGTGTTCAAATCGGGCGGGGGGCTGGGCGACGCCGAGAGCATTGTGCTGCAATTCCAGGTGGAGCCGCACAAGTACACCGCGATCATCCGGTGGCTGCGGACGCTGATGTTCGACTCCGTCTTTGATCCACAGCGACTGAGGGCAGGCGTGGCCAAGGCGCTGGCAGACATCCCAGAGAACAAGCGGTCCGGTCGGCTGATGGCGTCGGAGGTAGAGCTGGCGATCCACACGGTGGCAGACTCGTGTCCGGCAGCGAAGCGGACGCTGGTGCGGGCAGTGTACCTGCGCCGGATCAAGAAGCTGCTACAGACGGAGCCGGAGACGGTAGTGGGCTGGTTTGAGGAGCTGCGACGGGCGCTGTTTGCGTTCCGGAACATGCGGGTGCTCGTGACGGCAGACGTGGGCAAGCTGGAGGCGGGAGCATCGGCGCCGGCCGTGGCCGCCTGGGATGTGCTGACAGACGGGATGGAGGTTTTGGCGGACGAGATGGTGCCGATCGTGGCACCGTACTCGCGAGCGAGCGCGGAGGGCCGACAGCCGGGCGGCGTGGGGGCCTTGATCCTGCCGATGACGACGCTGGACTCATCGTACAGCATCTCGACGACGACGGGACTGCGGTCGTTTGCGGACGCGCGACTGCCGGCCGTCCTGGTGGCTCTGGGCTACCTGGAAGCAGTAGAGGGGCCGCTCTGGAACGCGGTGCGCGGCAACGGGCTGGCCTACGGCACGAGCTTCAGCCGGGAAGTCGACGGCGGGTATCTGCAGTTCCGCGTGTACCGGTCGCCGGACGCGAGCAAGGCGGTGGCGGCAGCACGCGATGCCGTCGAGGCGCTGGCTGACGGCCGCCAGCCGCTGGACAAGCACCTGGTGCAGGGAGCCGTCAGCGGCATCGTCATGGGCCTCGCGGACGAGCAGGCGACCATGGGCCTGGCCGCTCAGCAAAACTACGTGACGGGCGTCGTGCGCGGCCTGGACGCCGGCTGGAGCGCCCGGGTCATGCGGGCGGCTGCCCGCGACGTCACCCACGACATGATCCGCGAGGTGCTGCGCGATCTCGTCCTGCCTGTCTTCCGGCCGGGCTCCAGCAATGTGGTGGTGACGTGTGCGCCCTTGTTGCAAGAGGTGAGTGGGAGTGGTGTGCGTGGAGATGTGTCTTTGGGTGGAAGCTGACCGAACAGCCTATTCAAAACGCGTTCAAGGACATGGGCTACAAGACCGAGGTCAAGAAGCTGTCGGACTTTTACGACGACTACGGCTTGGCCGGCGACGACGACGACAAGGAGGACGAGGATGAGGACGATGAGGAAGACGAGGAAGAAGATGAGGACGGTGAGGAAGACGACGACGATGACGACGACGACGACGACGACGACGACGACAGCGACGACGTGGACATGACCGACGAAGATCTCTAGGGCGGCTAAACGCAAGGACAAAAAGGACCAGTCAGACGGACAGACACGCAGACTTACAGTCGAGCTACGTTACATATACAACTGACCATTACCATATCCACGCTAGCAGACATGCAAGACTTGCCAGTGATCACAGCACCACACCAAGACTTCCAGTGAGGACCAATCTCTGCTATCACAGAGGCTTTTTGTCTCTATTCATATCTAAGCTAGGGCTCTCTCGGCAGAAGCTGCTCGAGACAGAACGAAAGTAACAGTTCCATCTGAGAGGGAAAGATAGAGGCATCCCAATCCAAGCCGCATCGAAGAAAAAGGTCACGTGCTATGCATCCCAATCAGAGCACGCGCACCCGGCTCACTGCACACATAGATGATCTCGTGGTTGTCCGAGAAGCCGTTGAAGCGCGTGGCCGAGCAGCGCGTATACGCACCCATGTCTTCAAAGTACAGCCAGTCGCCCACGTCGAGCGTGTGGCCAAACCGGATGCTCTCCGTGATCCGGTCAATTCCGTCACACGTCGGACCCCAGATGGAATACTCCAGGCCGCTCGTGGGCGCTACCGCATTCGCCGTCTCGCTGTCGTACAGAAACCGCGATCCCGTCTGCAGCACCTTGGCCTCGGGATGCTGGTGGTCGAACATGATGCTGCTAAAGTTGCCGTACAGACCGTCGTTGACGTACAGCATATACGTCGGGTCCGCCGGCGCGACAATGCCGTCCACTGCATCCTCCCGCTGCTGCTGCTGCGGCGGGTTCTCAACCGTGCGCCGGGCGATGACATTGCAGGCAATGGTAAAGGCCGACGACACAAAGTAGCGGCCGGGTTCGGCAATGATGGACACGCCGCGGTGGGCAGGGAAGTACTCATCCAGCGCATTGCGCAGCACCTCGGCCATGGCCTCAAAGGTGGCGTCGCTGCAAAAGCCACCGCCAACATCGAGCGTCTTGAGGCTGTAGCCGTACTCGGCCGCCTGAAGAAAGACCGAGTGGGCGTCCTGGACGGCCTTGAGGAAGGCGCTCGGGTCTGACGCACCAGAGCCGACGTGAAAGGACACGCCGACAACGTTGAGCCCGAGCTCACGGGCCAGGGCCAGCAGGCTGTCGGTGGTGTCGAGCGAGGCGCCGAACTTGAGGCTGAGACGGCACAGCGACGAGCTGTCGTCGGTGAGGATGCGCAGGAAGAGCTCGGCGTCGGGAAACAACCTGGCAATCTTGCGGAGCTCGTCGGCGTTGTCAAAGGTCATCTGGCGGACGCCGTGGGCGGCGACGTAGCGGACATACGAGTTCGTCTTACAGGGCTGCGCATAGATGATGCGCGACGGGTCCACGCCCATGTTGAGCACCTGCTCGATCTCGGCCTTGGAGGCGCAGTCGAACCCGTTGCCGAGCCCGGCCAGGAGCTGGAGCACCTTGGGATCGGGGTTGCACTTGACGGCTGTGCATCCTCATGTCAGCACGCAGCCAAGCTTTTTCTCTGTTATGCACAGTGGCAGGAACTGACCATAGAAGGGCCTGACGCGGGGAAGATTCATCTTCCAGCGGAGCTGCTGGCGGTAGACCTCGCCGAGGTCGGCGACGAAAAAGGTGTCCTCGTCGCCAGGCTCACAGAATTCATGGTCAATGGTCTCCACGCGGTGGCGGAGAGCATTGCCAATCAGTTGCTTGGCAGTAGACTGGCACTGCGTTGCGCCATGATGAAAGCTCTTCTTGAGGAAGCCAACGTTACTATTATGATTAAATGTAACGGGGGCGACACGATCGAAGATGGCTGTTGCCATAACCATATCCAAGGACAGGCAGAAGAGCGAAGGGAGCAGGAGTTGCTGGTGTTGGGCGAGGAGAACTAGCGAATCGTTCTCAAAGAGCTTTGTTTGTGATTCCACAGCCGGCAAGGGCAAATGAGGTTCTGAGCTGCACGACTGACGGCGTATTATGGTGGGCGAAAGATATAGCAGACAGAACCTGAATCGGTCTGACGAGGCCTCCTCGACTCTTCCTCGGCGAGAGGAAGAACCGCAGAACTCGTCCTATGCGGCAGCTGGTTGGGCACGTAAACCGGGGGAGGTGGTGAGAATAGGGGGTGATTGTGCAAGCACGGATCGAAGGAAGGCGAGTGTGTGGTATGCGGCTTAGCAGAGGGCGTGAGGTCGGGGGAGAGCAGGAGGAGGTATGGAGTTGAGGGTGTGGAAGTTTTGGCGATTGCCGGAATTTTGGAGTGCGAAGAAGTAGATGGCCGTGGAAGCCGTAGTGGGTAAGCTGGAGCTTGCTGTTTGTGTTAGCGGGATGGCGGAGAAAAGAGGGACGGACAAAAGGGCGGAAGAGAGATTAGATGTAGGAGTTAGGAGAGTGAAAAGAGGAAAGAAAAAGAGGAAAAAAAGATGGAAAACAAGAAAAAATCGGTATGCGACGCGGTTTGCGCGCCCTGGCCAAAGGCGATGGACGGAAAGCGATTGAAGAGGAACAGAGCAACCTACTTTAGTCTTTTCGAGCGCAAATGATGGCCGAGAAGGATGGCAGATACGATGAGTTGGGAGAAAAGAGCAGAAGTGAGAAAGGCGAGATGGATGCTAGAAAGAAAATGGAAGACAGGCAGCGACTACATGGGAAAAAGACCAAACCCTGTTGTGGGAGGTGGGGTTGGGGGTTTTTCCCATTGTAAGCGTGCTGATAACGTAACGGGGGCGCACTAGTGCTCCGTACGAGCATTGTCACCGCACCTGGGGGAAGGAGCCAACGGGAGCGCGGCAAAAAGAAAAGAAATAAAATTTAGGTAAAGGGAAAAAGCGCTGACAGAGTGGGGCGAATCGGCGATGCAGCTTTCCATGGAGGCAGAAGAGGGAAGACGGCCAGGACGAAAATTTCGTAAGAGTGGGCCGGCTCGCCCGAGTCGAGCTCGTTGACCGCAATTTGACCTGTCTGATTGCGCTATGGACAAGAGGGCGAATAGGGAGACCGGAAGCACGGGTGGGTAGCATTTCGTCTGGGAACACCTGTCGAGCGTCGAGAGGCAGTGCAAGACGTCTTTGCGGCAGTTTTTCTTGTGCACATCTCGATGCGAGTGACGGACTACGAGTACGGAGCAGCACGGAGTAGAGGGGGACCGATGTGGGGAGGTTCCTCGGATATATCTGATAATATGCGTACGAGGTAGTCTAGAAGCGGCTTCTGCACGGCCTGGCCCACCAGCCGGTAGGAGGACGGGTGCAGAAAGCCGATTGCACAGGACCTTGCATGGACAGTGGTGTCTGCTGGTTGGTGCTCTGGCGGTCTGGCCTTTGGGCGCGGGATGGCCATCTGACACAGTCGCAAGACAGCAACTCGGGTGACGGGCCGGACACGAGACAAGAAGCAAACGAGTACGAGCAGGAGACGGGACGGAAAGGGAAGATAATTATGTTATGTATCCGGTGCGTTAGTCCAACACTCCAAAGCTGAGGAAAATGCCGGTTCTGAAAGACTGGACGGCCCGTCTCCTCGGTTTGAGCGGTTGGGCTCACCCCAGGGGAGACGATGGGCCATGATTTCTTCTTGCGCATTTAGTGGTCTCGAAGCCATTGAGGTGGCAGTAAGACGTATCATATCCGAGCGCGGGAGGGAGGAGGAGAGGAGAGGAGGAGAAAGGGGGAAGTAGGAGACAAGAAAGAGACAAGAGAAACAACGATAGACACAACACCGGTCCAGAGGGTATCATCAGCTTTTCTTCTTTCGTGATGCTGTTATACAGAGTGTGGTGAGTGATATATACATGGAGAGGCAGTGTGAGTTCTAGGCCTCCCCTGCCTGCACGGCCTGCACGGCCTGCATCTCCTCGACGGCCCAGCCGGTCTCGGCCGAGGCCCAGTCCTGCGGCGGTCCGAGGAAGGCGGTGCGGTCGGCGCCGTGGGCGAGCTCGTCGACGAGGAAGCGCTGGGCGGCGGCACGCACGTCGTCGGGGCCGACGTCGAGCAGCTGTTCACGGCGGGCCTGACGCATGGTGTCGGTGATGCCGTACAGAAACCGGCCCATGCCCTCTTCGTTGACCGATCGGGGCGCGTCGACGGATTGGAAGACGGACAGCTTGGCTTCCTCGAGGTCACGTGATGTCCACGTCCGCTCGGCCGCCCATCGTCCAGCGTTGCGCATCGTCGCCAGGCTGCCGGCCGGGTTCGGGTCGCGGTACGAGTAGAACCCGAAGACGCCCTCGAGCGGCTGCGCATACGCGCCGCCGCCGTAGGCACCGCCCTTCTCGCGGATCTCGTGGTGCAGGTGCTTGTGCGTCAGCAGCTGCGCCAGCACCTGCAGGGCAGCGCCCTCGGTGGCCGTGTAGGCGACGGTCGGCAGCACGAGCGCCCCATACGAGACCTGATAGGGGAGGGGAAAGAAGGAGGAGGAGGGTGTGGAAGGAGAAGAGGCAGCCGAGAGCGACGAGGCCGAATCAGGGGCTGTCGGCAAAGTCGACAAAAAGTCGCCCAAGGCGGTCTCGTTGGTCCGTGCGCTTTCGGCGCCGCACGTGACCGCAACGCGTAGATGTCCGCCAGCCGGGCCGCCCGACCGCAGGGCAATCTGCTGGATGGCCTTGAGGCGGGCGAGCACGTCGGCGAGCTGGCCAGGGCGGTCAGGGCGAGCAGCGAGGGCGCCGACGAGACGGACCTGTTCGAGGCCGCTGACCTGCTCGCGCAGACGGGCCGCGGGTGTGAGGCCAGCCTCGGCGCGACGGCGCGCAAACGCGTGGCCGGACGAGGCGATGTCGTTGACGACGCCGTCGGCGGCGGCCTGCAGCAGCTGGCGTACCTGCTGCTCGGCGGCGGCGCTGTCAAAGTCGGTCTCGAGCACGAGGGCGCGCAACAGAGCCAGCATGGCCGGCACGTTGCGGTCGAGGGCGGTGCCGCCCAGCACGAGCCCTTCGCGGGCTGTCTGGACGTCACCGGGCAGCGCGGCCGCGTGGTAGCCGACCGAGAGGCCGCCGGTCGTCAGCTTGATGGCGTCCTCGAGCTGCTCGGTCGCCAGGGCCGGCGTGCCCAGCCGCATGACGGCGTCGGCAAACAGCGGCACCAACGGCCGCAGCTCGTCCGGCAGGCCGCGCAGCTCGTTGATCGCTCGCAGGTACGTCAGCCCGTTGGTCGGCGCCTCACACCACTGCACGTCGGCTTGGGCCTGGCGACTGTCCCGCACGACAACGCCGCTGGTCGCACTCTTTTGTCGCGGAATGTCGGTCACGTGCACTGTCGGCAGACAGCTCAGATCTTCGGTGCTGGCTCGTGTCTGCTCGGCCAGCAAGACGGCCTCGCGGGCTACGAGCTGCTCCCGGGCAGCCGCTGCCGTTGCCTGCTCGCTCTCGACCGCCCCGATCTTCACTGCCAGCCGCGCCTCCTCCTCGCGCGCCAGCTCGTCGCCGTACGCAGCCGACGGTGCCATCGTAAACGTCAGCCGGTTCTGGCCCAGAAGATAGCGGTCCATCAGGCCCTCGAGATAGCCACCCTCGGCCAGCCGCGCCTCAAAGGCGGCGATCGTGTCGTTCCACGCCAGCGACGCAAACGGGTCCACGCCCGCAAACCACTGCGGCTTGAGCCGCTGCAGCAGCGACACCCCAAAGTTGGCCGTCTTGTGCTTGAGCCCGAGCTCCAGCTGGTGCAGGTACCCGTCGATCTTGGCCCGCTCAAATCCGCGCGCCCGTACCGCCTGCAAGACTGTGTCGACCGTCTCGCCCACGCGCGCCACGTCCGCTTCTTGCACGCCCGTCAGCCCGACTGAAAAGATGCCGACGGCTCCCGACCCGTCGTAGCCCGTGTTGGCGCTCCAGTCCGTGCCCAGGCCTGACTCGATCAGCCCCCGGTACAGCGGCGAGCCGTAGCCGTCGGTCAGCAGCGCCGCCACCAGCGACAGCGCAAACGACTCGACCACGTCCCCCGTCTCGCCCAGCGTCCACGACACCGACGTCTTGAACTGCCGGTTCGCGTCTGCCAGCGGGTCTGTCGGCCCCGTGACTACCACCGTGCGCGAGCTGTTGCCCGCTGCTCGCAGGTCGATCGGCCGCCGTATTTCGGTGTCACGTGACACCTGTCCAAACACCTGCAGCCGTGCGTCGAGCGCCTGGAGGTGCTCGGCCAGCGGCATGTCGCCGTACGTGAACAGCTTCGCGTTGCTCGGGTGGTAGTGTGCCGCGTGAAAGGCCCGCAGCTGCGCGTGCGTCAGGTCCGTGATCTTGGCCGGGTCGCCGCCCGAATTGTGGATCGCCGGGAAGATGTGGTCCTGGAACCGGATGTAGAACAAGTAACCTGCGTCCGACATCTGGCCTTTCATCTCGTTGTACACCACCCCCTTGAACACCAGCTTTCCGGCCGCGCCGTCCACGCCGTCCTCGGGCCCGATCCGCCAGCCTTCCTGCGCAAAGTCTGTCTCCTTCAGCAGCGGATGCAGCGTTGCGTCCATGTAGACCGACATCAGGTTGCGGTAGTCTTGCGCGTTGGTCGTGGCAAACGGGTAGAACGTGTGGTCCGACGCCGTAAAGGCATTCATAAAATTGGACAACGTCCGCGGCAGCATCTTGAAGAATGGGTCGCGGATCGGATATTGTTCGCTGCCGCAGAGTGTCGTGTGCTCCAGGATGTGCGGCACGCCCGTGTCGTCTGGCGGGTTCGTCCTGAACCCGATCGAGAACACGTTGTTGCTGTCCTCCCGTGCAATGTGCAGGTGCTCTGCCCCCGTCTTGTCGTGCTGCAGCTGCACCGCCGTCAGCTCCAGCTCCGCCACGTGCTTCGTCCGCAACACCGTGAACCCGTGCAGCTTGCCGCCTGCTTCCATCGGCACCTGGGCCAGCGAGGCAAACCGTCGTCGTCCGGCCGCTGCCATCGCCGTCCGCATCGTCGTCCGCATCGTTGCCGGCACCGTCTTCCTGCCTGCGTGTCGCAACATCTTGTCGCTGCTCGTTGAAGTGGGAAGAATCTGCACAGAATTGGCTGCCAGAATCAATTTTTTTTTTTACTAAGATACGTCGGAACGTGGCGGCTGTCCAAGCCATACAAGGTATCCGCTACCTCACCAGCGCAAGTGCTCTACGCAGTATACAAGGTACCCGCTACCTAGCACCCCAGATTCTTCTATGCCACCAGCCCCAGCTGCTATCCCCCTGTGACTGCACCCTGGCAGCGCTTACAGCAGCCCCCCTTCTGGCGCCTGGCGCCTGTAACACACCGGCCGTCTCATCCTGCGCTGCAGCCCGTCCCACGGCTGCACTGTACGCTATTGGTGAATCCTGGCTCCACTCCTCCAGCTCGCCGTCTCAATTGGTCACCCACAGATTAGCAAAAGTATCTTTTCAAGGCTTTGTCTTCCATTTCTGCGATTCGACTTTTTGTCGACACCCTTCGTCTCCAACCGTCCGACTCGTCCAGCCGCCGCCGGCCCTCCTGCTCGATTGTCCTGTCACTCACCCCGGCCTCGATTCAGACCGCCCGCTGCTGCAGCTCGTCCTTCCGTCCCGTCGCCCTTGCCCTCTGCCCTCTGCCCTCAGCCCTCATTTTCCCCTCTTTGTTTCGCCCCGTTTCAATTCTCAACCTCCTCCCATTCCACGGCACAACTTCCTCGCCGCCTCTCCTATCCGCTCCGTCTACCCTCTCTCCACACGCTCGGGCCCGTCCCCACTGTCTCCCCTCTCCGACGGACTTTCCCGTGTCGCTTCCTCGTCGCAGGAACGCGCCGGCGATCTCGAACACGAGGGGAAACAACCCTGCAGCCGGCAAACAGAATCAGTCCTGCCATCTCTCTCCCACCGATGACCACCTCATACACGGGCCTCGACGACATACCCCCGCCACCTTCGCTGCAAACGGCCTGTCTCGTCTAGATTTCTGGATATCGGCAGTCGCTCGTTTCCCTTGTTTCCTACGTCGCTGCTCTCTGACACATCGTCACCGGACTGGGATACGCTCACTCTATCCAATGTCCACGGCCGGTTCGCACACCCGCTCGGCAACAAACGGCGTCATGGCCCACACCCACGATGTGTCCGCCATGACAAATGGCCACGCCCACGACACCCGCCCTGCGCCGCCTCCGCCACCACCCCCGCCGGGCTCGTCCGCCGCACCGGCAGCCCCGGCTCTATCCAAGATGAAGCAGAACAAGAGGCAGCAGAACGTCGCCTCCAACGAGGCGTCCAAGCTAGTCGCCCAGAAGATTGCGCAGCTGGAGCTGGACCAGGCTGGCGAAAAGGACCAGGAGCTGGAGATTGGTGCGTGACCTGAGGACACTCTTTCGCGCTTTTGTCCTTCTTGCTTTTGTCTTTTGCCTTTGCTCTTTCCCCCCTCTTTGCCTTGAAGGTGTCTTTTGGCTCACAAGACGCATGTTCTAGAAAAGGAAGTGCGAAAGGCAAATCGCGAACTGCACAGTCAGACGGCAAAGATGGACTCCTTGCAGAAGATCGACCATCTGTCGAAGCGCTGCACAGATCTGTTGCACGAGATGAAGCGGCTCGAGCGCGAGAGCCAGAAGAACAAGAAGAAGAACGACCAGCTTCAGAAGGAGCGGGACCAGAGCCGGAGCGACCTGAGCAAGACCATCGGCCTGAAGGAGAAGTTGGAGAAGCTCTGCCGCGAGTTGCAAAAGGAAAACAACAAACTCAAGGTTCGATCTGCACGCCCTGTACTCTGTACTCTTGCAACCGGCACGCTGACAGGTTACTTATTCGGAATAGAACGAGAACCGGACCATGAAGGCCAACGAGGTCTCTAATCTGAACTCTTGGGACCAGAAATATGCAACGCTGCTGCAGAAGCTCGACGATCTGCAAGACGAGAAAGACCACCCCAAAAAGCAGGTGGTGGATGTCGAGCTGGACGAGTTGTACGTGTCTTTCCCTCCCCGGTAGTCCTGCGCTTGCTGACCGTATCGGCTCAGGTTTCGGCAGCGATTCAAGTCGCTCATCGAGCAGTACGAGCTGCGCGAACTTCACTTCCACTCGCTCATGCGCACAAAGGAGCTGGAGGTGCAGTATAACATGGCGCGCTTTGAGCGCGAGAAGAAGCGGGCCGAGGCCGAGGTGGCTCTGTCACGGCGGCTGAACGAGCAGGTGCAGACCTTTTCGCGGACAGAGAGTGAGCTGCGGAATCAGCTCAATCTTTACGTGGAGAAGTTCAAGCAGGTAAGCCTTCTTCCATGAGCCGGCTGGTCTTCTGGCCATTGTGGCTGCTCTGCGCCAACCATTGACAGATCAGAAGGAGATGGAGGAGGCGTCCAGCAAGACGAGGAAGCTTGAGAAGGACAACGACGGCATGAAGAGAAAGCACGAGGCGATGAGCCAGAACGTGGTGAAGATGGCGGAGGAGCGGGCGGAAAACGCACGGCTCCTGGACCTCACAAAGAGGCAGCTGGAGAAGCTCAAGTCGATTGTCGTCATGATGCAGCGACAAGAGGCCAAGGTCAGCCAGGGTGCTGCCTGGATCTCTGACTTCCTGGCATCCAACGGCGTCAGCATTGTTCCCAAGAGCATGCTGACGGCCGACGGCCTGATGCTGGCCCGGGAGAGCGACCCGGTCGCGCTGGAGGCGGACAGCGAGGGCGCGGACGCCGAGAGGCAGGTCGAGGCCGAGACGGTCGAGACGGTTGAGACGGCCGAGACGGCTGAGACAGCCGAAGCCGAGGGCGCAGCCAACCATGTGGGAAGAGGACGCCGGCAAGTGGGGGAGACTGGCGGCGACGTGGAGGGAGGAAACGACCTCAGCGATGCAGATGCTGTGTTTGGTGACGACGAGGGGTCACCGAGCGCGATAGAGGACACCGACCAGGCCGATCCGGGGCCACACAAGGACAAGCAGCCGGCACAGAAGCAAGTACAGCCAAAGAAGAAACAGCCACAGAAACAGAGCAAAGCAGCACAACCGCCGTCACCACCACTACCAGCAGCAGCAGCAGCAGCAGCAAGTGGACAATAGAAGACGTCAAGGAGAGGCAGTAATATGGCAGACATAGGAGGGCGCGAGGCTCTCGGACGCGGACTCGACTTGGCCCGTAGGGGATTTCACGGCCACTCGACCGGACCCAGGGACCAAGACGTGATTCTGTTTTGTTTGCCGGGAAATCCTGCTCTCTCGCTCCCCTCTCGCTGCTCTTGCGCTTACTCTTGCTCTTGCTCTCTGGGTTGTCTACTTTGCCAAAGCCGCGTTTTGTCTGTACGCAACGTTCGCGCTATCTCGGAGCCCTGGGCGTGTCTACAGTGTCTTACTCCCCCCTTTTCCCTGGGCAGCTGGGCCTCTCATCTCCTGCTAGTGGTGTTGGGATGTGCATACTCTGCCCATGTGCAAATACAATCATCTGCCGGAGCCTCGTCTCTCGATTTATCCCGTGATCGTTGGAACAGACGTAGCTGTCAGAATGGATCCCACAGCCGCGTTGTGGAGTGGCTTACGCCAGAGACCAGTCATTCCCCATGTCTCTTCCCCCACGAATTGACGGAAGCCGTCCTGCCCTCACCGACTTTTTCCGGCTTTCCCCAACGGCTGTGCCTTGCCCCGTTTCTCAGGCGCAGGAGGGACCAAGTAATGTATCATTTCTGCCATCTGCAATGTCTATGTGGGCGCTGTCTATCGGGTCATGGATGGCTATGGGGGTTCCAATGAGGGCAGCCGTACATCAGCTGCACGAGCTGAAGATGTCGGCAATGCATCTCGACACAAGCCATGGAATGACATGTGCTAGGATCGTTGTTGCTTGCGAGCTCTTGTGTCTTTTCTGGGTGCACGATTGGATTCCATTTGCAAAATCCAGATGCAGGACAGGTTGACGGTAGAGAGTGGCAGGCGTTGTGGATTGAGCCTTGACAAGTACTTTGAGAACATGTGGGGCCAAAACAAGACAGCCTTTATAAGCTATGTTTTGAGAGCAATATTTCAGCGAAGTAGCTCACTGCAACTAATGGGCCTACCTTTCCATCTCTGCAACTCGAGAGTAGCAGAACCTTCGCTTTTTGCATTTCGACTGGCTGGGATTCCTACCCCCTTTTTCTTCGTACCTCATACATTACGACTCTACCCGTTGCGAGAAGTCGCAGCCGTGGTTCGTCGCCCATCGACCTCTACAGCCTTAAGGAGCCGTTTTGGTGCAATGGCAAGACAGCCTTCCTACGCCCGTTGCAGTCCCGTGTTCGAGCCACGGCGCAGGTTGTTTTTTTCTGTCAGATGCGATGTATCTCCTGTATGCCCAAACCCGGCGAATGAGTCATTTGGTACTTACGATCCTTCGAGGTTGGCCTCAGCCAAGTGGCAGGTTGGCCTCAGCAGAACTTACTGTGGGGCATTTCCGGGTATATTAAATCCGCTGTCCGCTGTCTGCTGGCAGCGAACAATCCTTCCTCTCCCAGTTGTCTGCATAGCAAGCCCGAAGACGCACCATGACGACTGATCAGCAGAACCCCAGGCAGAAGGCCTGGTATCTCCGGTCCAGCGTCCCGGTCTTCTTCCCAAGCCATGCAGCCCTGCAGTTGCCCAGCAGCCAGTTCGAAGCCTTTCTGCAGACGGATCTGGCTAGCCGCACGGCCGAATTAGGCAAAGGCCCGACCGTTGAGGCTGCTCCACAGTCGCTGATGGCGGACATCCGCGATGGACTCGATGCAGTCGTCCTCGATGTCAACGACAATCCAAAACCAGCAACAGCAGAGCACCCGTTTGTGCAGGGCCTGCTGTCGGCGACCGAGCCGCAGGCGGTGCCGGACCTGACGAACAAGATGCTGACAGACAACGGCGACGTGGCATTCCGGTCGACGGAGAACGCGCTCGTGGATCTCTTCTCTGAGCTGCAGGAGGCGGTGTCGGGGCCACGGCTGGTCGACCTGCTGGACGCGGCGTGGGCCCAAGACAGCCTGGCGACGCTCAAGATGATCTTCAACGCGCGGTCGATCCACCTGGGCAAGAGCTCGCGCACGACGTTCTACCGCAGTGCCGGCTGGCTGGCACAAAAGCATCCGCTGACGCTGGTGTCGAATCTGCGGTGGCTGAGCCGGCCGGTGATCGAGAAGAAGGTGGAGAAGAAAGAGGCGGTTGTGGTTGAGTCACGTGACGTGGACGAGAGCGACCCTCTGCCTATTGATGTGCGCAACGGTGTGGCCCACGGATACTGGAAGGACCTGCTGAACCTGCTGGCGCTGGCGGCCAAAGGCAAGCTAGGACCTCTGGCGTCGCCGCACGAGATGCTGAACGTGGACGAGCGCACAAACAAGCGGGTGCGTATGGTGAACCAGGCGACGGCCAAGGCGAAGCGGCACGTGACGCGGACGAAACGACACGAGCGGGCAGTCGGGCTGTTCGAGACGGACTCGACGTACCGGGCGCTACACCTGAGTGTAGCGCGGCTATTTACGGAGCAACTGAAGAGCGACCTGGCGGCGCTGCAGGGTGACAGCAAGGCGGCCCAGCAACAGATCTCGCTCTGTGCCAAGTGGGTGCCAAGTGGGCGCCGTCGACCGACCGGTTCCACGACCGACACACGTTTGTGGTGTCATCGATCGCGGAGCTGCTGTACCCGGCGTCTGCCTTTGGCGTGGCATCGTCGGACCGCGCGCTGTACCTGCGCCACGCGCGCGAGGCCTACCGCAAGGACGTGTCGGCGCTGCGGGCACACCTGGACGTGGTGGAGCGACACCTTTCGGCCGGGACGATGGGCGCGATCACGTACAGCCGCATTCCGTCGCTGGCGATGAAGGCGTACGCGGGCGTGTTCGCAGCCAAGGACGAGGCGCGGTTCGACGCGTAGTGGAAAACGTTGGTGCAGCGGATGCGCGACTCGGGGTCGCTCGAGAACTGCATCGCGGTCTGCGACGTGTCCGGCTCGATGGAGAGCCCCGTGTTCGCTGACGGGACCTGCCCGATGGACTCGGCCATCGGGCTGTCGCTGCTGATGGCCGAGCTGGCGGCGCCGCCGTGGACCGGTATCTATATCGACTTCTCGGCCAGGCCCGCGGTGCATCAGCTCGACGTCGACCAGAGCCTGAACGACAAGGTCGCCCGCATGTATGCATCGCCGATGGGCTACGACACCAACTTTGTCGCCGTGTTCGAGGACCTGATCCTGCCGATGGCCCGCACGAACAAGCTGCAGCAGAAGGACATGGTCCGGCGCGTCTTTGTCTTTAGCGACATGCAGTTCAACGAGGCCCACAAGGCCGACGAGCGCTGGGACTCGGCGTACGAGCGGATCGAGCGGCAGTGCCGCGAGGCTAGCTACGACATGCCCGAGATAGTGTTCTGGAACCTCGCAGCCGGCCGTAGCGACGACGCGACGGCGCCAAAACCCGTCAAGGCCGACCAGCCCGGCACGGCGCTCGTGAGCGGCTACTCGCAGGCTATGCTCAAGGTGTTCCTAGACGGCGGCTCGTATGAGACAGCCGAGGACGATGAGGACAAGGGCCTGGTCCAAGTCCAGGCCGACGGAGACGGGGCGGTAGAGGTAGAGAGGCACAAAGAGCAGATGACCCCGGCGAAGCTAGCGAACAAGGCCATCTCGCACAAGGCATACGCGATGTTGAAGGTGATGGACTAGATTCATGCTAGAAAGACTCACAGGCCATGACTTGATTAGGATCGCAGAAAGTACGGGACAAGTGTATAGGCCTGTACAAATAGCGGCCGCCAACCCTAGCTTACCCTTACAGCCTTCCCTTCCGGCCGTCTTCGACCACCTTGAGGACCGGCCGGAGGTGATGGACGCGTTCCCAGAGGCAGCCGAGTCCGTCGCGAAGACCCTTGGCCTCCTGCTTGCGAAGCCAATCCTCGGCCGAGCGCGTGCGTCCGGGATGGATCTCGTCGAGGAGGTCAAAGTCACGCCGGACGAGCCCGTTGTTGTCGAGGGATGAAGCCTTCCACATGTTCCAGAAGCCGGAGAAGTTCTGCCGCACCGTCATCGAGGCCGGATCGTCGGGGCGGGCGTTGTAGCCGGCAGGCCCGGCGCCGGTCCCGAGAGGCCCCTCGGCCGTCCAGTAGTGGTCGAGGCTGGTGTCGACGTAGCGAGCGGCATGGCCGGTGACGCGCTCAAACGCCCGCGCGAGCTCGTCGTACGGGATCAGCGCGATGGCCACGGCGAGGTCGAGCCCGTCGGCGCGGTCGCGGTGGTCCAGCAGCCAGCGCACGTAGTGGCCACAGTCGTCGAGGTCGACGTGGGCGACGGCGCCTTGGCCGAGAGGCACGCGCCACGTGAGCACGTCCTGCTCGAGCGTCGGGCTCATGGGCGTGCCGCTGGCAATGGCCATGTCGAGATAGGGACCGGTCGTGAAGAGGGCGACACCCATTTGCTTTCTTTCTCTGTTCTGCCTCAATATCCACTCGCCCACGCGCCCCTTTCCGTCGTAGTGGCCGCACCGGAACTGCGCATCGTAGCCGCTCTGCCGGTAGACAAAGTCGAGGTTGCCGTAGACGAAAAAGCGGATGCCCTCCTCGAGAGCGAGCTCGTAGCTGCGCATGGCCCAGAACATCTCCGCCTGCTCGCCGCTGTTGAAGCCGTCCAGGTTGACAAAGGCATAGTCGGCGCCGCGGAAGCCGGCCCGCAGATCAGCCTCGCTCGCAAACGTGCCCTCGATCGCCTCCGTGTGGTCCAGCGCGAGGACCTGCTGCGCCCGCGCCGACTGGCGGTCGCGCGTCAGGAACCGCACCCGGTATGCACCGTCGTGCACGAGCCCGCGAATGACCGGGATGCCCTGGGCACCGGTGCCGCCAACGACAAAGACGAGCGGAGTGGTGGCCATAATGTGATGACGACAAGAGGGATGAGTGCTGATATCAACTTCAGACCCATCAACGACTCTCGCCCAGAATTTATACTTCTTCTGGCCCTATACTCAAGTCAAAGTCTTGCTTCGCGCTCCTCACAGCGGACCTGTTAACTAATCTGGTGTGCGGTGTCCGGTCAGAGGTGATTACTGATCTGTCGTGAGGCTGCTCTGCAGACGCCGATGCGCAGGACAGCACCACCCTGCGTCGCATGGAGACAGTCCCAATGAGCAGTCCGGGATTGGATAGCCATTGTCAGACCCTCTCTCGCTTCGGACCGGAGACGTGTTGAATGCAAATCAGGAATCCCATCCAGACCTTGTGAATAACAAAGCGGGTGAGACAACAGACATTCTTGAGCCGGCTAAAGCACGCTTGTCCTCTTCCTGTCCAACTGGTTCGGTACGTTCTATTTCACACGCTTCTAGCCAACATGCTCAGCCAGCTTTCTAGGCCGCGTCCTTGGGCTCCCAGCCCGGCGTCGCCATCTCAAAGCTCGTAAACTCAAAGCCCGGTGCGACAGTGCACCCGACCAGCGTCCAGTCGCCCAGCGACTGTGCGTGCTGCCACTCGCCACGCGCCACGACAATCTGTGGCCGTTGGCCCGTCTCGATGTCTGGGCCCAGAACTACGTGGCGGACCGGCTTGCCGTCGTCCCAGGACAGCGAGAGCTGCAGCGGCGCGCCGGCGTAGTAGTGCCAGACTTCGACGGCATCGAGCACGCGGTGCCAACGTGACAGGCCAGAGGCGCCCTCGAGCAGGTAGTAGATGCAGGTGCTAGCCGGACGGCCGTCGGGCGATGCGTCGCGGAAGGTCTCGATGTAGTAGCCCTTTTCTGGATGGGGGGCTAGGTTGAGGGCGGCGATCATGTCCTTTGCCGTGTGTGTGGCAGTTGTGGCCATTGCGCCTGTTGATATATCTGAAGATGGTGTAAGAGGGCTTAAAGTAAGATATGTGGTGGCAGGCCCACGTAAAAATCATCTCACTATGTATCTGTCGAACGGGTGGGCCAGCCTGGGCGTGAATTGAGGACGTGTGGCGCATGATGGAAAGATACATGTACCCTGTGGCGTATCTCATAAATCCCCACCTATCCAAGAAGGGGTTCCATACGTCGGCATAGCACAAAAGTAACGCCCATCAATACACGAATGCTCACTGGCGCCTATCATTCAACAGTATCCAATGAGCGTGTATTGTAAGATACGGAGCACTTCTGACCCAAGTAGACTGCCTCTCGTGAATCTTTGCCCACGTACAGATTTTCAATCTCGTTCCGTCATTCTCTCACAGCTCTGTGCACATCCCCAAAATAGTTCACGACTTGACAATGCCGCCACCAGTCCGAAACCCAACGTACATGCTCGCGCCCAATTGGACCTTCCTCCCGGGAGGCCCAATTGGTCTCGGCAACATCATTGCGGATCCCTTCTATCCCCATATCGTGCTTACTCGACCCGCCATAGACCCCGAGTCCTCGCCATCTGTCCAACGGGCCCTTGAGAGGGATTGCCAGCTGCAGTCAGGTTCCAAGCTGGGTGTGTCGGTCGGCCTTTGGGCAAGATTCCTCGATAGTGTTGGCCTGAATCTGAGGACGAAGCACGAGAACCAACGAAGCACAACGTACAAAATGAGCAGCCTCGAGACCTTGTACTACACGGACATGCCCACCTTGGCAGAAGTCCAGGAGCGGATCGAGGACCCTGTCGTCCACGAGCTGATGCGCCTGAACAACCCCTTCTCCAAGCCCGTGTACATGGTTACCGGGCTCAAGATTGCCAAGGGCTTCTCCCTCTCCGACAGCGGGTCTTCCACCAATGGCGGCTCTGTGGGAAGTGACATCCCGATTGCCGGCGGGCCTGCTACTGTTGGGGCCGAGGCCGCCGTCGAGGTTGAGAAGGAGCATAGCTACAAATCCGAGGCTGGGTCCGACATTGTTTTCGCGTATCAGCTGATGACGATTGCACCCAAAGGCTGGAAGAAAAAGACATTCAGGTTGGCCGAGCACCATTCCTCGGCCGTTTTCCTTGGCGACGATGATGACGAGGAGGAACCGGCAATTGAGGTTGAACTAGACTACCCCAAGGTAGCAGACCTAAAGGAATTCGGCACGGACTTCTCGCACATGACGGTTATGGACGGTGTGGGAGAATGCATATGTATTGCATATGAAGGAGAGGAATGATTAGGTTAGTTGTGTAAGAGTTGCTATCTGTAGTAAATCCGCTAATAGTATAGTATTAGTGTTGATTTCCAAAGATTACCTAACCTTTGTCCGAAATTAACAGAGTAGAAGCCTAAATCCTACCTATGTGATGTACGATACCTCAACTGTTTATTAGCGGATTTACTGTACGAATAGTAAAAAACTACTATAAATAGCAACTCTCTACTGAGCAGTTTGACGGGCGGACAACTCAGACATGGCACTCTCTACCTTTTTCACACAATTTTCCCCACCATTGGCAAATAGATCCCAAACATGAACATAACGCCGGTTGTTTCCCTTATCGACCGAGGCCGCTTTCTTTAGGAACACATGCACTCCATCCGGGGTTCGGAGCAGTTGCAGGGCGCGTTTATCGGCGGACTTTTCCGCAATCCATTGCATGACCATAGCGACCATTCCAGCCATAATTGGGGTAGCTACCGAGCACCCGTTGCTGCTCCCTGACGACGCGAATGTTGGAACGTCCTGTCCTAGTGTACCGAAGAGAGGGAGGCCGCTGTTTGTCGACACTGGGGGAGGGTTGTAGGCACCAACGAAGGTCCCATAGTGATCCGTTCCTCGCACTGAGATGACTTCGGACAGGGAGGCAGGAAACATCTCCGGTTCGTTGGAGCCTTGATTTGCGGCAGCGGCGAAAAACACGATTGAATTGTTGTCAAAATTGGCCTTCCTTATTGCCTTCTTAATCGATGCGACTTCCTTCCTAAACCCAAATGACATGCAGATAATGTCCACATTCCATCCTTTCGGGTCTTGTGCGTGTTGAATGGCCTGCACTCTCTCGTCAGTTGGCTAGGTCCGATGCTAAACCCTGTAAGTCGAGGGTTGGGACTGCTCACTTTTTCTATATTGCCTGCTGCACTCTCTAACTCAGACTCTGTCTTTGCAATGCGGGCAACGAATATCTCGGCATTCTTGGCCACCCTGAGGAGCAGCACTGAAACCATAGTGCCATGTTTACTTATGTCCTCGTCAATCGGGCTCGATTCCGACCCCGCGAAATCGCGCCAGTGATTGCCCATGATACGTTTACTTTCCCTGGGGCAGATGTTGAAGTAGTCGGCTTTCGTGCTGCAGCCCGTATCAATCACAGCAATCTTGACCGGAGACGCAGTCTTGTTTGCCTTGACGACGGCAGACTTGATGAGGTCGTTGTATCTGTCAATCTGACAAAGCCATGTAGCTGCGCTTTGCCTGCAATGATGGGAGGAATGGCATTAATATATATACAAAATGACGGCCAGGAATGACGTGTACTCACTTTTCACCGGCAAGAAAACTTGCGTCGTTAGTCCGGCTATGAATATCGGGCATAGAACCCATGCTGGATGATTCGCTATCATCCTGCTGATCCGTAGCTGATAGCAAGGTGATTACTTGAGTATGGTGATTGTCCTCGGCAAGGGCTAGAGGCTTCTTCAGAGCTTTATTCTTGGCCGTCTGTTTGGCGTGCCGCTCCAACAGCAACTTGACCACTTTCGCGTGCCCTTTGGAGGCGGCTAGATGCAACGGGGTGGAACTGTCAACACTCCTTGCCTCGATATCCGCTCCATGGTTCAGCAAGAGGTCGACAATGTCGGCAAACCCCCCTTCTGCCGCTTGATGGAGTGCTGTAAAGTGGCTTTTGTCCAACTCTGCTTCCAGCGGTGGGTTCTTCTGAAGGAGCATCTCCACGATCGCCTTCTTCCCACTGTTTGCAGCTATGTGTAAGGGAGTCGCTCCGAGAACAGTTCGAGTATCAACTGCGATTCCACGCTCAAGCAACAGTCTTACGACAGCGACATGGCCTTCTGTCGCGGCCAGGTGGAGGGACGTTTGGCAGTCATTGGCCCTGGCGTTAATGTCGGCTTTCCCTTCGAGTAGTACCTGAACTATCTCAGCGTGGCCCGCCTCTGCTGCCTTATGAAGGGGCGTTCGGCTACCCCTGAACAGAGCCTCCGTGTCGGCACCAGACTGGACCAGGATCCTCACGACTGGTAGTTTTCCATAGTATGAAGCACTATGAAGACTAGTCCAACCATCCACGGTAGAAGCATTGATGTTGGCACCACGCTGGACCAGGATCTCCACGACTGGTGGCCTTCCAGAGTATGAAGCCCTATGAAGACTAGTCCAACCATATGCGGTAGAGGCGTTGACGTTGGCATTGTGGTCAAGCAGTAATGTGACGACCGCGCCGAAACCTTTGTCCGCGGCAATAAACAACGGCGTAAAGCCATCCGTGGCTCCTGCCTCAACGTTGGCTCCGCCATCTATCAGTATCCGAACTATTTCGAGATACCCGCGTTCTGCGGCCTTTTGTAGTGGTGTGCGGGTCTTGTATTTAATCTCAAGGGAGGCATGATGCTGGATGAGCAGCTTCACGATTTCCGGGTGCCCATTCCAGGATGCCGCATGCAAAGGAGTCCATCCATTACCTGTGTGAAAACTGGGGTCGGCGTTTTCGTTAAGCAGGTGTCGCGCTTGGGAGAGCCGCCCGGTGCGAGCAGCTATCAGCAACCTTGCCGAACAGTCATCGACTTCTGATGCCATTCGTGGATATTGTTAACGGTCAAGGCGGACACAATGTTAGCTCTATGGGTACGGGGTTTGTATGAACAAAGAAAAGTAAGTTTCTAGAAACTCCGGATAGCAATCAAGATTATTTGCTATCTAGTCGGAACACCCTCCTGTGGATTCTAGGAGGTCACCTCACTCCCACAAAAGGATCCACCACTAGATAACCAGACCAAGCCCTGACTGCGCACAAAGCAGTCTCATCTGTCCTGTCAGATTGTAGGCGCCCAGTAAGCATGCATGTATTGCTTGTGTCTTGTCACTTCCGACCTAAGCCGACGTGCATGAAATCCCCTATGGGCGGGAATATATGTGATACGCCACAGGGTATATGTATCTTTTCATCCTGCGCCACAAGTTAGTTAAAACAGATAAAAGGGGGGATTAGCGTCCAAAAGCTTAGCCTCACTAGTGCAGATGCATGTCAAGCCAATAAGACCTGGGCTTCATTGATCCTATGACGGTAAGTTGGTCAGCATGCCTTATCAGCCTCTAGGAATCCGAGATGGGTCGTGTTCGGGTTCTAATGAAGCGAAGCTATCGAAGTCATTGGGCCGTCGCACATCCACAATCCTTAAGGCTTACAATGCCGTCTACATTGCTACATTCATGTCTTACGACGTACTCCGTAGTATTATATTATATAACCGCTAAAACTAGCCTGCGCCACACTACATGTAAGTCCGCACGCCCCATTTTGGCCTAGTTCATCCGCCGACTATAATGCACGGCCTTGTGCATCAGGCTTTCTGGCCATAGACGTACACCTCGTAGAGGCCGGCCTCCCAGTCGGCCTCCTGGTCGTGGATGACGTCGTAGATGCTGGACACGTCGAGGCGGACGTAGCGGTAGCTGTTGCCGGTCACGATGTGGTCGCAGAAGCCGGGCTGCAGGTTGGCGGTGTTGTCGGCGAGCTGGTGCCACGTGGCGCCGTCGTTGGACCCGGTGAGGGTGTAGCGGTTGGCGGCATCGGAGCCGCCGACGCTGAGGAAGGAGAGGCCGATCCATTCGAGCGCGTACGTCTGGCCGAGATCGACCTGCCAGTGGTAGGGCACGGCCGTGGGCTTGTAATACTGCTCGACGGCGTCGTAGAAGCTGAGGTCGAAGTCGACGCCGTCATTGGCCACGGCAGCGCTGAAGTTGTACGTGCCGGCAGCCAGCTGGGCGGCCGTCAGGGCGACGTTGGCGGTGGAGTTGTCTGTGGGCTTGTTGCGCGACAGCAGCGTCCAGGCCGGCGGGACGATCCGGTGACCGGCCAGGTCGAGGTCGAGGAAGGGGGTGAACTCGATGCTGGCGAGACCGCCAGCCGTCTCGCCTGTGAAGGCGACGCCGGTGTCGTTGAGCGTCAGCGGCAAGAAGATATACGTGTTGTCGGACTGGTCGATCTCCTTGTTGCGGTCGCCGACGTAAACATACTGCGGGTCGGCCGTGGTGCCGATGTCAAGAATGAACGTCGGCTGGCTGCCAAAGGTGGTGGCGTCGCCGAACGGCGCGATCGACGACCAGGTCTCATTGCCGTTGCGATAGCCGGTCACCGGGTCGCGTGGAAGCCCAAAGCCGGCCGTGATGTTGGCCGTCCGGCTGTAGCCGCCCTGGTTGGGATACCAGCCCGTCTGCGTCGACGTGATCAGGTAGACGTACTGGCCGGAGGTGCCGCCGTGGCGCACGAGCGCGGGGGCTTCACGCGACAGATCCGAGTAGACGTCGTAGCCGCGCTCGGGCACGACGTCGGTGAAGCTGTCATCCAGCTGCCACAGCCGGAAGAAGACGTTGTCGGACGCGTGCACCAGATAGGCCTTGCCGTCGGCTGGGTCCTGCCACACGGTCATGTCGCGCGCCCGGTAGCCGGTGTTGGTCCCGAAGACCGGTGGCTCTGGGTCGTAGCCGTCCATGGTAAAGTACAGCTCCGTATTGTAGGTCGGCGCGTAGATCCGGGTCCCCTTGGACTGGAATGCAGCATCATCTGTGCTGTAGACGCCCGCCGGCGCACTGACGATCGGCCGGAAGATGGGCACGGCCACAGCACTACCGACGACGGTGTACTTCTGCGACACGACCGTGCTGACCTCGCTGCCAAGAGCACAGACGGCCCGGACGGTCAGGTTGGTGCCTGCGGCGCCGCTGATCGTGATGCGTGTTCCGGGCGCGTACAGGGTGCTGCTGTTTTTGGGTGTCGGCGTCGTCCCGTCCGTGGTGTAGTAGATGGTGCTTTTGGTGGTGTTGCACGTGACAAACGCAGCATCGCCGCTGTGCACGAGCACCGTGTCAGCTGCCGTCGACTCGTCCAAGCCGGGGCCGATCTGCGGCGCCACCAGAGTCTGTCGGGCGCTGCCCGGATCGCCGACCTCGTACACGACCGTCGTGACGGCCGAGCGGTTGGTGGCCGTGGGATAGCGCACAATGTACTCGTAGGCACTCTTGCTGATGCTCCAGTACGGGCTGTACCGCTCGTAGTAGCTCGTGTCCCACGGCGTCATGCGGATGGCGACCGCCTTGAGCGTCAGGCCAAAGTACATCTGGGTCAGCTCGCCCGACTGCGTGGTGCCGTAGCCGTCAGCCGCGGAGACATACTGGACAGCCTCGGGGTCCGACGGGTCGACCTTGCTGTTGAACTGCAGGATCTTGGGTGGGTAGTCGGCCCCGGACACCGGCTGGTACGGATGCGACACGTTGTCGGTCTTGAGCGCGCTCGCGCCAAAGTCCACCACCAGTCCGCCGACTCGGTCGCCCAGCGCGCTGCTTTCTTCGTGGCCGCTGCCCGGCCGGAAGTGCCCCCGGCTGCTGATCGTGTAGGGGCCCTCGACTGCGTCTGCCGTGGCCACGAGCACGTGCGAGGCCGCAAACGTCGTCGCCGTCTCCCAGTGCGCCCAGAAGACGTACTTTTTCGTCGCCGCGTTGTACACCACCTTGGGCCGACCCAGGTTGCTGTACTGCACGGCCGGCTTGCCGTTGGCGTCGAGCGCGTCCGCGCTGATGATGGTGCCCACGTAGTCCCAGTTAACTAGGTCCTGCGACTTGTACAGGCTCGCCAGATCCGGGCTGGCCGCCGCCGTGCTATTATAGAACGCCTCGCCCACCCAGTAGTACCAGGTGCCCACCTGCAGGAACCCGCCGCCAACGCAGCTGATCGTGTTTCCCGCACTGTCATAGTAGGTCTGGCCGTTGGGGATCGTCGTGTAGCTGGCCCGGCCCGAAATTCCGGCCCCGGCCAACAACGCGAAAAACAAGACGACAAAAATGTTTCTCATCTTGGGCAACATACCTGGTCAAGAGATAGGTCGGTGTTGCTTTGGTGGATGTACGAGCAGATACTTACACAAATAAGCTGCAGAGACGCATCCTTATACTCGTGCTGCTGCGTCCTGACTCGCGATGTTGCATCGCCGCTGCGTCATGCCATCCTCGTATTCACCCCGCCTTCGTCACGGATAAATGCACCTCTTGCTCAAATTGAGTTACATTAGGCAAAAGATGGGACAGGCAAGTTACATACAGACGACAGACCGTTCTCGTGAAGTGGCTCCCATGTGGAGAGACGTTGCACAGTAAACAAGATGCATGTCGGGTTAACGGACGGTGCCTAAAGCCGAGGTCGTGATGCAGATGCAGGGTCTCGTATAGAGTCATTAGATGCATGAACGATTCGCAGGATGCAACAATGCTTTTCGTATTAAGAAAAGCATGCAATAAGGTGGGTAGACGCATGAGGTCATAGAATCGGCATCGTCGGCGGTTAGACAGTGTATCGGCTAAATATCAAACCCGCTGTCGTAGTATCACGGCCTGTTCGGGAATTTTCCAGATCCCACTTGACTTACTCCATACAGAAGCAGCCCTTTGCAGAATATATGGGGTCTTTCGGGAATATCCATCGGCGAACGTCATGTACGATACCCGGTACATTGTACTATGTCATATGATACGTTAGGAGTTTGCGTATTGGTATATGGCGAGACATATTACGTATTGTCTTGATAATGACTTACTACATTGCAGGCCTAGCCCAAACCCTCGTCTAACCGAGTGATCGAACTCACAGAGTATGTCTGAAAATCTTGACCGTCAAAGTTATGTAGGATTTGCTACCGTTGCAATCTAGGCAGAATACCCCATGACAAAGTCGAATAATCTCAACCACTCCATATTCATACAAGTCATCAGTTCCATGGCACCCCTAGCAATTAATTCATACGCAGCTCCCGACATGGAAGCAAAACAGTTGCGACCGAAATAGGTGGTACGTCGTCTGCACTCTGTGCTAAGTCGCCGTGTAGCTCATAAAAGTCCCGCACCAAATCTGCTGCAAGGGTTTCCGTCTTTTGCGGTAAAAGCCCGTAATTTCCAACGTCCTTTTCCATTGACTGAGAAAAGAGCGTCGTATAAGCATCAATTCCTCGTATGAAAGCTCGAAGGCGATTCTCTGCACGGTTTAGTCTGCCAATGCGCCGGCATTGCTGCCCAAGCCTGTAGGTATTCACATCGTCAGGGCACCTGTTGATCGTAGCCTATTCAAATATGGTCTGCGATGCGAAGGGTTGGCAAGCCTGGGCGTATAGCTGCCGGACAATAGCACGAGATGAACGGCACGCCATCTAGAGACCGGGTTTATCTGGGAGGAAGCAGAGCACAGCCGGCTTGCAGTCTTGGTATCTACGCATTTGGGTGGCGCCTCCAGCTACTTCTTCTGGCTGGAAGTGTAGACCGTCTCCAAGATGGTAACGGTGTGCTGGCAAATTGTCGGCTTGGCGGCGGCCTCCCAGATCATCAACTGTATTTCGACCGGCAGCTTTTCAAATTGATAAAACATACATTTCGGCAGCATTTCAATTACTTCAGATTCGTGTAGCCAGCCGAGCTGTCTTTGCTCTCTCTGTTTCGCAACTGCAGCCAAATGTCTGCACAGCCGACCATTCTCCCGTTCAATTTTCGCGGCAATACTAGCGATCTTCTCGCTTTTCAACCAAATAGATGATACAGGTGTGAGAATTAGAGGCAAACGATTTCGGCCTGGAGTTGTGATATCATCGAGATTAAATATTGCAATTGCTTTTTGAAATGTTTCGCCCGCTTTCGTAAGTCGCTGACTCGGCGTGGCTAACCATACTCTGCTGGTGTATGTTTTGCGTCGCTTTACACTTTGTTTCTTTTACTGAAAATCGAAGATACGGAATTTGTTTGAGTGTTTTCCTTTCCCTCGGGAGAGTTCCTCTCTTTGTTCTTCAGGCACTTTATTTCAAACCGCATCCAACCCATTCATATATCTCCCTTGTCTAATTTTCATTTGCCTAACATGGACTTACTTCAGCGAGTCACTTTTTGGTTGGAGTTTGTCCGATTAGCAACTTTTACATATGAGGAGGCACTGGTAGTGAATCCAGACTCGCAATAAGCCGAAACTAGGGAATGTGCCTGAGCGTCCATCTGGCCATCTTTGATGGGTCTAAGCGAATGAAAGACTTGAAGCTGTAATTGGAGGTCGGAACACAGACGCAGAGACAGAATCGGGAAACAAGAGACGTTATAAGGAGAAATGGAGGGAGGCTACTCTAGTAATCGTATATTTATCTATGCGAAGCGCAGCTGGGCGGCATTTCAATCACAAACTTTCAGCTTTGGCCGTCCGCCGTTGTCCACCAGCTCTACCACATTCGTACTATGACAAAGCAGTTTCACAAGCGCATTTTCGTACTCTTCCCTCGTGCCTCAGTCCCACCAGTCAACCTTGTCTCTATGGCCGTGGCCTATTATAGTTTGGATCCATCGCCGGGCTCTCCATCGCTTGGTACCAAGTCAGTTAAATAGCATGTTGTGTGCCAATTCTCTCCCAGTTTCAGAAAAGCGGATCTGTTATTGACATTTCCGGTAAAACAAAACCCGCCTGGTCTGGATGGGCTGCTCCTCCTCTTCTTCGTCCGAATCGGAAAGAATGCACCGTGTTCCCATGGGCTCGTTTTTCATAGCGTTTTCCTGTTTCGCTGTTTGCTGTTCGAATATAAGTCTCCACATCCAGCCATCCCTCCCCTGGCACGTGAAAGACAATAGGGTGACTGCCCGGCAGGGCATAATATGTCAGGCAACAGTCTGTAACTGCTTCGTCATCTCCTATTTGTAGCACCGTGTCAATAAATCTTTATCGTTGTTCTTAGAACTGGGACTTGCGGGCTGCTAAAAGATCCCGACTCAGTTAATTAACAGAAAACTAAGGAGAGAAAGTAAGTACTTCTGCTTGGCAGACATCTAAGGCGATTGAGCAATCATGTAAGGTTGGAACCGAAAAAACAAGCCGATGAGCCAGAAGCTTACTGCTTTGCATTTGGTCCAGCCTAATATCGCAACTCTCCTTAAACGGTAAGACACAAGAAAAGGGAAACTTCGATAATCGGTCAATTGACTTTCTGCCTCTTCTAGATCGTATTATACTAGTATTTCTATGCATGTAGGCAATGTCTACCAAATGAGCGAAAGAGAAATTATCCTATCGGCACGCAAATACCAGATTACAAGGACCGACATAGTTAAGATAGAACTAATTATATGGTCGGATCAGGGTTACCGGGGAAGGCATTGCGATACGGAGTACAGATCTGTAAAAAATGCGTGCGCCAGTTCGCCTCATCTCAGAATACAGTCTCAGAATGCATCCAATTATCAACTACCAGCCTGATCTTGAATCGTAGAGTCGAAAGCTACCTTCCTCGTCATCCATGGCGCAAACAAGCCAAGGAGGATAGCAGTCCCCAGAAGCCTAAGTTAAATGTGTCTACCCTAGTTGCTCTATCTCAACTAGCTAAGTTTGCTGCTTATGACAACGATAAAGCGCCGCAAGCAAGCAGGCTAAGAAGGCGGCCCGATCAAGCGCTACGGGAACAAGTCTACAACGAGTTACTCCGTGCAAGAGTTTTGATCGCGTAGAACCGCACTGCCTAAATAAAGGAAACGTTAAAAGGTCCAAAATTGTTCTCTCGTCTAAGATACATTTATACGGCTCAACGAGCTACTGGGTATTCAAGTATCCGTAAGTATACATTCCAAATACTTGAACAAACAGAAGAGATGGCATCCAAAACATGGCCAGTTCAAGTCCTCACTTCGTCTTCCGCTCCTCAATCGGCCCACCTGGTTTGCTCGCCGTCACTGCAACATACCGCCAGTACGCCTGCCCCCGATACGCATTGTAGCCCGCTACCGTATTGATAAAGTACTTTTCCAAATGCAGCAGCCGGACAAAGAAATACGGCACCACTGCCAGCAGCCAGAACACTAGCAGCATCGGCCGAATGTTTGCCGAGATGTCCCGCACCTGCACGTCCGTAAACCCTGCCGCCTCCAGCCATATTCGGTACTGCCCTGGGTCCGATCGGCTGTTGGTCGGCATGGCGGCATACTCGTTGATCTTGCGCATGCTCTGCGTTAGATCCGACGGGGCTTCATTCTGCTCCAACAAATGATCATACTCAAAAAGTGCTAGGCGGCCGCCTGGACGCAAGATCCGGTGAAAGCCCGCTAGCACCGCCTCTGGGTCGGTCGCATGCACAAAAGTCTCCATGGTGTAGACGCCCTCGTGCGAGTCATCGGCGATAGCCTCGAGGTGGTGGTAGTCCATTTTCTCAACCGTTACTGGCAGATGTGCCTTTTGTACGTTCCTCTTGGCCTTCACAATGTGTCGATCCACCACGTCAATAGCCGTCACCCGCATTCCATGCCGTGCCATGTACAGCGCGACGTGTCCTACGCCGCAGCCGGCATCCATAATCTGCGAGCCCGCCGGTAACGCTAAAAACTCGAGCAGCTTGGCTTCCATGCGTCGTAGCGCGCACCCAAATGGCAACGGGAACGCATTGGGCGAGTCGTAGTAGCCAAAATGGCGGGTGCCACCGAGGATAAGACGGTAGCCGATGCGGCTTTCGAGAGAGGCATAGTAGTCTTGCAGCGCGGGGTTGTTGTTGATCAGAGGAGCCGCTTCGCTGTAGCTCTCATTGAAGTCGGTCATCGTGGCGGGAGCGAGGAGCGGAGAAGGAGAGGGGGGGGTTCGTTTTTGGTTAGAAAAGAGATCGTCCACGGTAGCGATTTGTTATATATGTTTATGTGTTCTTGTGTTGTCTGCGGAGAAATTTTGGGATTAGGATTTCTAGGGTGATTGGGCCGCAGGGGGATCCAGCACAGTACATTAGGTAAGTATAGCACCGTTAAGTTACACAGTACACACTGCTAAAATACTGCTATTGTTGTACTCCATATATAATTATATGTATAAGGAGTATAAGTCATTTTATAATATACGCTTTGAACGTCAGTCTTAGCTATACTGACTGCGGAGTGCCGTGATAAATGCTCTTTCTACGGAGTATGCAGAGTATGTTTGTCGAATGATACTCCGTACTGTACTCCGTAGGCCACGAAGTATCCTAAATGTGGGGACCTACGCAGTGTGATGCGCGGGATGCCTGCGTCGTAGGCCCACCTATTTAGTATGTACTCCATACGTCGTAGACTTTATTTTTTACTTTTTTTACGGAGTACTCCGTACTACGGAGTACTCCCGTATGCAGTTTTCTGTCTTTATCATACGACGTGTACTCTGTACTGCTTCGTACTCTGTACTACTTCGTACTCTATACTCCGTATCTTGTCAACCCCCTTGCGACCTGTACATAGTTGGGCCTGGAAGCGCTTAAGCAAACATGCAGTCCTCTGGGCTGAGACCAATATTGAAGCCTAGTTTGTACGAAGGATGCAAATGGGCATGGAAGATACCTGTACTGTGGGGCTTGATGCCTAATAGCGAGCCAATCAAATCGGGATTCAACGCTAGGCTTTTGTTATCTTAGACCCGGCGCTAAAGCCCACTACATGATTGGCTTGGCCCAGTTCCCATAAGGCCGTCTTACTGCATAGTATTATTCCAGCCGCCTACTATTTGTGCTCTTCCGTCCTATGGTAAGTTTCGGATATCACAACTCCTGTTTTAGAATCTGCAATGCTTACAGCTACAGCACTTCCAGTTGGTATTCCAGACTAGCAGTCTTGCTACGCTTGAGGCTCTGCCTCTCCTAGTCACGCGCGAAGCGGCGGAGATAAATATGGCAGCACCACAACTTTCATCACTTCCAGTATATAACCAAATCATCCTTAATATTTTTATCTGCCTTTGCATCTTCACGAGATATGTGCCATACTCGCTTCTGTACATAGCCTTCTTGCCTTGCGGACAAAATTCGGCCTAAAGGATACGACATAACGACCGTGATACTTCCGTATTGCAACAACAACATCGCCGACAAGCAGAAAACCGTTGCTGAGGGTGATCCAAAAAACAGACCATTGGCACAGCGCCCTTAGGTCAGTAAACTCCAGGTTTGTGTCCGTAACAAGTCTGGAGGATAAGAGGATAGTGTCCCCTCATGTCTTGGTGGACGTCGTGTCTCCTCTCACAACGTAATTTTCTCGTCTCTATATCCACCAGAACACATGACGAACTCAACATACACGACGATTGTCAACGGCTGGGTTCCGTCGGGAACAGATCGTGGCTCCATCGATATTCTCTGGTCCTGCTGTATTACCATTGGCCTTTGTTGCTGGGGTCTTACGCAGCCGAATGTGCCAGCCCTTGACGACAAATGGTACCACCCCTTTGTCACAAAATTTCGAATGGCTTGCATTGGGCTTTTGGGCCCTGATTTTCTGTTTGGCATTGCAGCTGGCCAGCTGGCCAGCGCAAGGCGCGCCCTAAAGGTTGACAGCACTGTTGTATGTTTCGAAGGGAACAAGCTGATTCTTCTGGCCAGAAATTTCGTTCGGATCCTGAGCTTTTGAAAGGACGAGAATGGACCCTAACCCACTGTTTTTTTGCGGATATGGGTGGTTTCCTTCTCAACAGTCCTGATTTTGAAAAAGGATTTCCTATCGACGCCCAACAGCTCTATTACTTGATCAAGCAAGGCTATGTCGACTTTCCCGAATTAAGTACAAAGCGCTTGAAAGACATGGATGGTTCCAATTCGTTATCAAGGTGAATATATATTAGTTAAGAGCCGAGAGAAACTACTCCTGCTTGTCTCCTACTGTCTAGAATGCAATCTAACAGTGCTGTCAAAAGGATAATTGTTGTATGGCAGGTTCTATGGTTTTCTGTTGCAACGATACAGAGAGTCCGTGTCAAATTGCCAATGACCACGCTGGAGCTCACGGCGCTGTCATTTTCCTTGACCATGATCGCCACTGCTCTCTGCTGGTTTCCTAAACCCCAGATCAATGCACCTTTGACGATCCGCACTAATAACGACCGAGCGGTAGAGGAGATACGAAAGATTGCTCGAGAAACGGTAAGGATGTTATCCTTTCCTTTCTTTTCTAGTTATTTCATTACGTAAGATACTAACTCCATATTCAATCGGCGTATCAAGACTCATCCTGGCTTACCTATTAAGTGGTATCGTACCCCTCTTGATTTCATTTCCCGACGAGAGTTTGTTGCGGATACACATTGGACCTTGTTCTCTAGCCTGAGCCACATGGTCCATTTTCCTATTTTTTCCAGGCCTATGCGAATGAGACCTTGGGACAAATTTCCAGATGACGAGTGGAAACCGATCGACTATGCATCCTTGCCAGTCGGCTCTATTGTGCTCCTTGGCGTAAGCTTGTCTTTTGTTTGCGCTTGGAACTTCCACTTTCCAACAGAAGTCGAGAAGACATTATGGCACGTCGCCAGCTGCTGTCACTTAGGACTGACCTTTTTTGGCGGACTATTCTACTTATGTGGCGCTGTGTCTTTTCATAATCGAATAAAAAATGGCGTGATTGAGTACAGAGGGCTAAAAACAACAACTACAGACATAGAACACCAGTCGACAGGTGTCGTCGACATTGAAGATGCTAACCACGTTTCTCAAGCAGTCACGAGAAAATACTCTCTTATATCGTATGTTATTTGGGCATCGAATGGCGATCCTACCCATAAAGCTTCACTGAGAGTGCAAGTGCCTGTGGGAGTTATCTGCCTAATGTACATTATGCTACGTCTAATTATATACGTGGAGGACTTTATTAGCTTTAGATCCCAACCTAAGGGAATTTATATAGCTCTGAATGGGTACATTCCCTTTCTAGGAATGTAATACATCTACCAGACCCCCTCTATACCCAGACTAGTAGAGTTTCTCCCAAAGGGTTCCTTCAAGCCTATCTCAGGCCGATATAGTCAGAAAACTGTTTCTTTACCTAAGATAATAGCGGAATAATATTATGCAACAACTGGACTGGAACCCCCCCCCCCCCTCCTCGCACGTTTGGGCTGTAACGGGCTTCAGCCCGTACGTAGTGGCCTTGGCTCCGCTCTCGGCACCTCTCCGCAAGTCAGGCCTGCCTGACGACTAAGATTTACTACCTTGACAAGAATCACGCACAGACCCAACGGAATCCGTATTGAGCCACCTCACATTTTTCCCGCAGAGACAGGAGGAAAGGAAGTGAGAGAGGGTGAGGTCTAGAGGAGGAGCTACGACCCTTTTGTATATGTGTCCGTTATCAGCCTCGCCGCACCGGAATGGTGGCTTGTTAATAGGCCTTAGATAGATAGCTAAATCGATAAGAGAAGGGAGGAAGTAAGTATGCTTTCCTTTCTCCTGTCTTTTGTTTCTATTTTTTCTATTAACTTTTATTCACCTTGGGCTGAAATCTCATAGTATTGCACAATAGCCTTATTGGCATGCCATATATACAGAATATGGACTGACGATTCAAGGATTGACCAATTACGCTGGTACAAGCTGTACGACAGTCAAGTCTTGATATATATTTGCAACAAGACCGAAGATCTTACTAGCCCTTTATTGTTTACATACCCCGCGCATGCGCCCTGTATTTTATTTTACACTTTGCACAGCGCTTTCATCTAAGTGTTTGTTTGTAGAAATGGACCAAGGTAAAACCTCTTTATTCGCCCTTTACTAGAGCTAGTAACCGACTTCTTGTGATATAGGGAGCGGTATATATGGTAGAGATTGATTGGCACAAAGACTAGCACAGAGACTGGCATAGAGACTGGTGCAGGTACTAGCGCAGAGGGAAGTGTACTCCGTGCACTAGGGGAACTGTGTAAATGTACTATTTCATGTTTTTGTAAGACGGGTTTGAGTCATGTAATCGCAATAAAACCATTGCAAGATAGAGGGACGTTTCTCGTACTACGGAGTACGGAGTATGTAGAAGTGTTTTCTGAAGTACGAGTACGAGTACGGGGCTTGGCAGCGCCATTTTTAGTCCGACCGCAATGATGACATAATGAATCTCCATGTTTATACGCTAATGACCGGCAGCCAGCGGGCCCATCGCCCTGTGACTAATTAGTTTGGCCTGTTCCTAGACACCAAAACACAACCAACCACCGCACTCAAAAATCACTGAATTCACGCCCATGCCCCAGAATTCCGTGCATTTCTCGTTCTTCGACCCTCTTTCTGCCATCTCTACGTGTATTCCTACGACCACGTGAACCGAGCGCCCGCGATAACGAAAACCTGCAACGGCGGGCTCTTCAATTCCGAGAACGCGGCCAGCTGGCGCATAGCTAAGATTGGTTGGGACAAAAACCTGGTACGGACCGAGATAACGGACATTGAATCGTATCCAGCGCTCTTCAAAGTGCAGACGTGTTGCAGACGGGGCAGACTGGTTGTTACCCACTCGTCCTCTCTGCACGGGTCCAAATCTGGCCGGTGTATTTGTCCTCTCGTTTGGGGCGGTCAGCCCAGCGTCGCAACAAGGGGAGCCGATATAATCTCAAGAAACCTGCTCGCTTCTTCTTCATTTTCCAGGCTTAGTCGCCTTTTGCTTGCTTCTTGATGGGGGTCTAACGCCAACGACAGCTTCCCGGAGCTGGCGGATCAAACTTTCCACCGGCGCACACTCCTTTTTCCGAAACAATAGGATAACCCCTCCATTTATTTTTGAGCGTTACTCCCGTCCTCTTCACTGGCGGTGCAGAGACAATGACAGCCTTCCTTGAAGACCCGCGGCTGCGGCAGCGGTGGAACCAGATCTCGCAGAACGCGGAAGCGGTGACGGAGAACGCGGCGGCAGGCATTTGGACGTTCCAGCACAGGTACATCACGCCGTGCCTCGGCTCTATCAGCGGGGCGGTCGACTCGTGCACGGGTGTGTGTCTGGGTGACCGGGACGAGCGGGCCCGTCGTCAACGCGAGCTTGCACGCGGTGCTCACCGTACGCGGGCCGAGTACAGCTTCGACTTCTACGACGACTGGTATGATGACTACTACGGCAGCGGCCTCGGCGAGAGCGGTGATGGTGGTGCAGACGGTAGTGGTGGAGGTGGCGGTGGCATCTTCAGTCGGGGTTTTTTCAGCACGTGGGCAGGCAGCAGCCGGGCAGAGGACTGGGACCGGCTGCTAGCCGGCTCGGGGGCCGAGGGCAGCGGGGAGGGCGATGAGGGTGGCGGTGGAGATGGCGGTGGTCATCACACGGTGGACAGCCAGCCACGGCCGCGGCGTAGCATGAGCTACGGGACCGGCGGTGTGCTGCGGCGGACGACAGACGGGGCCGACCACCGCGATTCGACGATCATCCCCAGCACGGCGCCGCTAGGGTTCTTGGGCCGACTGCCGTTTAAGATTGGCGGCACATTGCGATACAAGCCTAGCGCGGCCAACCTGCGGGAGCACCCGGCAGGTGGTGGAAGGGATGGGCACGATATGGCCACGCGGGACGAGCACCAGCCGCTGCTCGGCGGGACGGACGGCGACCACGGCGAGCAGGAGTGGCAGAGCACGCTGGCAGCTGTTGCAGCCGGAACCGGATCCGGGCTCGGAGACGGAACCAGCAAGGCGATAAGGGTGACGACGACAACGGAAGAGGCAGCGGCGCTGATGCGAAAGCGGAGCGGCACGACGGGATCGGGCGACACGTCTGACTCGTTCCGGTCGCGTGGCGACCTCTTTGCGAGTGACGAGGAGGGTGACGAGGACGCGGTGCCACTGGACGACGAGTTTGCCGTGGCGCTGGATCGTGTCGACGACCGCAGCAGCGGGCGGACACGTTTCAGCAGTAGCAGCAGCACGGCTGGCGCAGCAGCGACAACGTTGAATATCCGGCGCAAGGGCAAGCGGCGGGCGGACACGGCGACGTCGGGACGCAGCGCCATGTCGCGCAGCGTGTCCTACACGACGATCAGCGGCATCAGCGGCATCAGCGGGGGCGGGACATCCTCGCAGAACTCGCCGGCAGCATCGATCCGGCCGCGGATCAGCACAACATCGCTATCACCACGGGGCGGAGGCACGACGGCAGCGCAGGAACGGCTGACCGAGGAGGTCGATGCAGAGCACGACGCGTCAGACCACGAGGCAGAGGCGGACGAGGATGTGGTCGAGCGGCTGCAGCGCGAAGAGGCACGAGCGGCGCAGGAGGAAGACGCCGAGGTGGAGCGGAAGCGCAGGGCAGCAGTACAGCTGGCGCGCGAGCGAGGACTGGTCGCAGATGTGGGAGGGGAGACAGAAACACAGACACCACAGACTGCAGAGACAGTCTTGTGCTCAGAACCAAAGGCCATCCAGGCCAAGACGGCTACGCAGGACGTGGCGGCTCCGGAGCTCGAACCAAAGGACGATGCAAGCAGCAAAATTGGCAGAGACGGCAGAGATGAGCAGGCCTTTGTGCCGGCACGACTACCACACTTTGGATAACGGACAGACATGCTGCTGCCGTGATAATTCGTGATAATTCGAGATACCCGGTACCGATCGACGAGACGTTGGGCACGCACCAAGCAGACGGCTGGGCAGGCCGAACTAGCTGGCAAGCAGGCTGGCAAGCAACGTATTCAAGGTCTGAGATGACAGGCCTTGTCAAGCCGAGGCAGCAAGGTCTAGACTGTCGCCGAACTGCCACACGACACAGCCCAGAAAACGGCCTCTCACGGCCACGAATTGGCACTGGACAGCGTCTCTGCGAAGCAAGGCCGAAGAATGGCTGTCCCTTCGGAGCTTACATACGAAAGCCACCACGATGTACGATAATATCAATGACACGGCTCACAAGTGAGACTGGCGCAGGTTACAGGCGATAAAGACAATAAAACTGTTCGGTCAAAAATGGCACGTGCTCCTCACGTGGAGGCAATGTGCAAAGTGCGCAGTTCGTCATTGCAACACGGTTGAGCCTGTCTGCAGTACCTTCAATTGGCGTGCCTCGGCAACTAGCTCCTTCCCCGCTCAAGACTAGCAGCCCCGTTCCTTCCTTGCAGATCCGGGGAAGCGAGAGCGAAGTGTATTATCGGTTGCGATTCTTAAAAGGAGAAGACAGAAGACGGCAAAGGACGTCTGTCTGCAATCCGACCGCACTGCAGGCCAAGCAGCGCAATCGGCATCTCAACCAGTCTTGCACACCTCTTGCTATGGTCTCCTCTGCAACACGGCCTCCGGCCGGCCCCATCACGACGCCCCTGACGGAGCTCCTGGGCATCCGACACCCGATTGTGCTGGCCGGCATGGCGGGTGTATCGGGCGGCGCGCTGGCGGCGGCGGTGTCGAATGCCGGCGGGCTCGGTGTCGTGGGTGGGTTCCGGTTGACGCCGGACCAGCTGCGCGAGACAGTGGCCGAGCTCAAGGCAGCGCTGGCCGACAAGACGCTGCCGTTTGGCGTCGACCTGGCGCTGCCACAGGTCGGTGGCAGCGCCCGGGCGACCAACCACGACTACACCGACGGGCGGTTGGACGAGTTGATCGACATCGTCATCGACGAGGGCGCGCGGTTGTTTGTCAGCGCCGTCGGGGTGCCGCCGCCGCACGTCATCACGCGGCTGCACGCGGCTGGCATCCTGGTGATGAATATGGTGGGCCATCCGCGCCACGCGACCAAGGCGCTGGCCGCCGGCGTCGACCTGCTGTGCGCGCAAGGCACCGAGGGGGGTGGCCATACGGGGCCTGTAGCGGCGAGCGTGCTGGTGCCGGCGGTGGTGGACGTGGCCCGGGCAGAGGGTGTGAAGAGGGGGAACACCCCCCTTGTCCTCGCTGCTGGCGGCATCGCCGATGGTCGTGGACTCGCTGCTGCTCTCATGCAAGGTGCTGCTGGCGTCTGGGTTGGCACCCGGTTTGTGGCCTCGGCCGAGGCTGGCTGCAGCGAGGCCCACAAGCAGGCCGTCGTCAGCTGTGGCCCCGACGACACCGACATCACGCTCGTGCTCTCAGGTCGACCGCTGCGCGCCCGCCTCAACGACTACATTCGCCGCTGGCACGCCCAGCCCGACCGCCTCCGCGACCTCTGCGCCCGCGGCATCGTGCCGGTCGAGCACGACCTCGACCACCTCGACGACGCCGACGCCGACTTTGACATCGAGATGCCCTACCTCATGGGCCAGGTGGCCGGCAACATTAGCCGCGTCCAGCCGGCAGCCGAGATCGTCGACGACATGGTCGCCGGCGCCGTCGCCCAGCTGCAGCAGGCCAGCCGCTATCTCGGGAAGCTGTAGCGCAGAGGCGCAGGATGAAAGGACATGAATGGACGGACAGATGTGCTCAGAAAATCAGAAAAAGAAACGGAAGGAATACGTGCAGAGTATGAATGCAAGCTTGTCGGAAATCGAATCATTCTCTAAGCCGCCACCTTGACCTCCATGCCTTCCTCGTGTCCCTGATCCTTGTCCTCCTTCTCCTCGCTCTCCTCGCTCTCCTCACTCACCTCCTCCTTCTTCCTCTCCCCCTTTCGGCCCTTCTCTCTCCCCCCTCCGTCCTCGGCCTCGTCTAGCCGTGCTATCATCCTTTTGTGGATCTCCTGCCAGCCGTTCTCGCACAGACTCTTGACCGTGCCGATCAGCAGCCGTGAGCAGTAGATGACGATCTCCTCGTGTAGCTCGAGGGCCCCTGGCTGCTCATCTGCCTTTGTCTCGGGCTCAGCCTTGTCTTGGGCTTCAGCCTCAACGTCAAGCTCGTCCCCCAGATCCTCCTCCTCCGCCTTTGCCACCTCCACCGACCAGGTCGTGTCCATGACAATCGACAAGGGACAGCGCACCCGCACAAACACGCCGTCCTCCAGGTTGGTCATCTCGTAGGTGCTGACGACCCGCGAGTCCCAGATCCCGGCCGGCAGCGTGTGTACGACGTCCGTCACGTTGTACGTGCGGCTCAGTGGCGCACTGCACTTGTCCGCGGCTTCGTGCACTGCCTCCTCTGTCTCCTCTGCCACCTCTGCCGCCCAGGCGTCCCTCACGGCCATCCGGGCATCACGCACCGCCGCTGACAGAGGTTGCACCCCCTGGGCGTCAGCGTCCAGCGCCGCCTCGGCCAGCCGGGCTTCCTCATCGGCCGGCACCGCCTCCCACTCGACGCTGTGCGGCCCGCAGTGCACGAAAAAGTCATGGTCATGCAGCAGCAGACGCACGGCACGGTCCCGGTCCGTGGCTGGCGGCAGCCGCGAGACGCGCTTGAGCGTGGCTGTCGTGTTGAAGACTGACTGGTCGTTAGCTGGTTCAGGGGAAGGGGGGGACGGCGAAGGGCTGTGGCCGAGGATGGCTTGTAGACGACAGCAGACGACGGCGGCGGACAACAAAGGACAGATTTCACTCACAGGACATCTCGACTGGTTGCTGTATGCTCTCGACAGCCCCGATAGAGTCTGCGCTGCATTGTCCATCTCAGTCTCGTCGACACACGATCAATGGGCAGTTTCTCCTTCCAGCTGGACGGCCTCTGATTGGCTGCCCACTTCAAGCGCTCCTGGGTTCGGGAGTCGTGCCTAGGCAGCGGGTCTTGGCCCACCTTGGCAAGGAGCTCCTTCCCTAATATGGCCTGGGAGCTGTCATCTCGAGTTCGCTCTTTCTCTCCTGTCTGTCTACTGCTATCAGAAGCCTCCAATTCTCTCTCCCTATCTTATCCCTCTTTGTCCTTCTCTTCTCACTCTCTAGATAGACCTAGCCTCGCAACAAACTCCACCAGAAATGTTCCCCAGCACAGCCTTACGGATGCACGTACCTCAGACCCACTCGCCGACGATCCCTTGTAAGATGCCATATCTCACATGCAATGCTTCGGTCCCTTGAGTGTGGTTTTAAATACGCCCCTCTCGACGAGGGAAGGGTGTATGGAAATGAAGTACCGGACCCCCATCTATGATTGGTCGGCGGCACGAGCAGCGCATCTACGGTGCATGGACTCTACACTAATGGAAGGCCTGTCTGGTCTGCAGCCTGCAGGCCCAAAAGGCTGACGAAGGAGGACACCCACAGAAACGTGATGTAGGTAGGAAAATACGAAAAAAGTCCTTTGAAGGCCTATGTAAAGGCCCAAGCAGCCACCACGCCATGATTGTTCGCATCTTTGCCAGTGCCGGGCTTCAATGCTCTCTCTGCTTCTCATTCTTCGACTCTTCTCTTCTCTGGCGAGAATCGCGCAATATAGCTGTTGAAATGGAATATCAGTTACTTTCTCCGTCGCTTCGTTGTTCCCAGAACATCGCTCTTCTCTCAATACTCCCCACCTTCCGCTCTCAAGCAACTGAAGAGGCACTACGCCCCGACTTATCCATCTCTTCCAAATCCGATGATTCGCTTGTTCAGGTCCTAGCCTACCTGGCGGCTATCGATGTTGATCCCAAACACGTTACCGCCGTCGCTGTGGAAGGTGCTGCTGAAGCATTCTCCTTGCTGCATGTACACGTTGCCATCAATAAGGCCCGTCCTGGCGACGGTCATGCCGTGCTGGAGCGCATAGTTGCCAGCTTTCAGCGATTGTTTTTGATCATGGTCGTCAATCGTTCTGGCACGTATAGATACCAGCCGGTGATATGTCTTGGCACTCATACGCTGCTCCAACAATAACCACCCCTCTAGTACCTAGAATCGTGCTGAGAAACCGGCTTCTTTGCGAAGCTGTCGAACTTTGTCGTGGCAGAATTTTTCACTTTCTCGGTCTCAGATACAAACCGCCTGCTAACAAGAGGTGTTGTTCGTTTCTTGGCGGGCAACTACAAGAGTTTGTGGACGCGCTACAGAAGCTAGCAAGGCCGGCCAAACAGCCAGACCCGGATCTGCAGGAGTTTCTTGCCCGTTCTGTCGAGCTTATCACAGAACTTGATCCACTACGTCCGGCCATATTCACAGCCGATGCGACACACCCTGACTCAGCCAGTTTGGTCCGCGTCGTCTATTCTGTATATCTCTACAGTAAAGTTCTGGGCGATCGTCTCGGTGGAGTCCTTGACCGGCTAACAGGACGTCATATCAATCTGACCGTGCGTGACGTCCTGAAGCGACGTCTCCATGGACTCGCCTGTTTCGTCCGATGTGCCCATTTTCTGTGCCGGCTCGCATTAAACGAGACGCCACCATGGCTGGGCAACGTCGAGGTTGTTCCTGTGCAGCTGACGGCCGCCAATTTTGTCTCTCTGAAACTAGCATCGGCATCGGCTGCAGCAACGGCGGTCTCTCAGACACCATCCCCGCCGTCTCTCGACGCCTGCCTTGCTCAGTGGAACTGGACCGCTGCCAGGCTTGAAATGACCCTCCGCAAGCGCAACTACAGCATTCCCTCTCCTCGACTCCAGTTCACCACCACTTGCAATCAACTTTACGGATCCACACCCAATAAGCCCAAGATCCACGCAGAAATCCAAATCGCCTATCACTTGGACAGTCAAAACAAGGACAGGCGGGATGTTCCTCGTCTGCTTATCTGTGCCTCAAAGAGCCCCTGCTACCTATGTCATGCCTTCCTTACTGGTCATGGTGGATACATGGTGCCTCCAACGCATGGGCAGCTGTATCCTGGCTGGCGGTTACCATATGGCGACGATGGAACTGAAAAACGAAACAATAACGAAACCGGAAGAGAGCACAAATTATTGGCAGAATCTTTCGCCGTTTCCTTGGACCGGCTCAATACTGCTTTAGAGGACGACATAAGTTCAAGGCTCGCGTCTTTGACCAGGCCTGGTGTCCAGCTCAGCAGAGAGGTAACCTTCATTGAGAGCCCCTTTTTTTAAAATGCCACCGTCTGAGACTTCTCTGGCTGTGACGTCAGCTTCAGACATGGCCTCGCTTGTTGAGGCAGAGGACGTGAAGGGAAAGGATGATGCGAATAATGAGCCAGTTGCATCTCAGATCTTCCTTGGGGGCACTGAACCGACCCCCCCAACGACCCCCCCAACATCGGCCTTATTTCACGCGCGATCATTAGCGGGTCATATTGAGTCAGGAAGCCAGGACAAGGCCGATAGTGGTAGTGATAGCGACGCCACTGTTCAGCAAATTGCGGTTGGGCATGGCCAGGAAGGGCACAATGATACGCCCTACGACGTCGTCTTCCACTCTACAGGCAGCCGGCCAACTGGGGCTCGTCGCTACGCTACGAACGAACTGGAGCTTTTCATTACGTTTGGCAGCGAGGATGGGGGAGTGCGCGATCCAGCCGTACCACAATCCAGCGTTCGGGCGCGCAAGCTGCCCGTCGACGAGGCAGCTTCGTATGCCGTCCACGCCGTCGATGTGAGCGGCCTTGCATGTGGCAGTGAGGTGCCGGCCATTCCTATTGGCACTGACGGACGTTTGCATCTGCGTGCCGGCAGTGATATCTACGAAGTGTTGATATCGACTGGAGAGGCGAGACAGCCTGCACATGCGAACGTATGACAACCAACGGCCAGCTAATCCCGGTATATTATAAGAATAAGATGCAAGCTTTCCACCCATGCCTTTGCCTCGAACAGTGCTGTCAGCCTCCAACCACAAGTGTGCTCGTCCTACATCAAGCTCGACCGCTCACCAATGGCCATGCTGCCCTGGCCGTCACGCATCTCGCCGCTGCGACCGACGACGAACTCGCGGTAGATGCGCTCAAGCCGGCGACGCTCCTCGGCGCTGATGCTGGGCCGCGTGGCCTCGAGGGCGCGCAGCAGGTGTTTCCAGCCGATGACGACTTCAGCATCCTTGGAGTCGCCGTCGCCGTCGCCGTTGACGTTGCCGTTGGTGATCGTGTTGGCTGTGGTCGGACGGCCGCCAGCACCCAGTCTCTTGGTCGACCGCTCGCGTCGCTGCGTCCGCTTGATGCTCTCGAGCTTGGCGGCAATGGCGGCACGTTCGGCCAGCGCAGACGAGCGCGGGACGGCCTTTTGCTTGGCAGAACCGCCGCCGTTGGCCTCATCGCCCTCGTCGCCATACCGGAAAGTGACAAAGCTGCCGGGACCGTCTCGGGTGGCCTTCTTGCCGCGCTTTGATCCGGCTGCAGCAGCTGTCGTCGCGGCAGCCCCGTCGTCCTCGAGCGCGTCGTGGATGGCCTCGAGCTGGGCGTTGGACACGAGGGCCTGCAGGTCGGCACCGGAGAAGCCGTCGGTGCGGCGGGCGATGTCGGCCCAATGGGCATCGGTGGTGGGGCTGTTGTTGGTCAGGACGTCGTCGTCGACGCGGGCCTTGCGCACGAGGGCGCGCACAATGTCGACACGGTCATCGCGATCGGGCATGTCGCAGAGCAGCGACTTGTCCAGACGGCCGGGCCGCAACAGGGCTGGGTCGATGAGGTCCGGACGCGAAGTGGCAGCCAGGACATAGACGCCCGAGAGGCCCTCGGCACCATCCATCTGGGTCAGCAGCTGGTTGACGACGCGGTCAGTCACGCCGGTCGAATCGTGACCACGCTTCGGGGCGATGGCGTCAAACTCATCAAAGAACAAGACACACGGTCGAGCTGCCTGGGCGCGGGCAAACAGGTCGCGCACGCTCTTCTCGGACGCGCCAATGTACTTGTTGAGGATCTCGGGGCCCTTGACGCTGATAAAGTTGAGCCCGCACTCGCCAGCAACGGCACCGGCCAGCAACGTCTTGCCGCAGCCGGGAAAGCCGTACAGCAGCAGTCCGGAGCGCAGCCGCAGCGGACATTGTGCAAAGATGGGGGCGTATCGTGTCGGATAGGCCAGCGTCTCCAGCAGCACACGTCGCGTCTCGCCGAGCCCGCCGATCGATGCAAATGTCGTCCTCGCCTGCTGCAGCGCCACGTTACGCAGTGATGTCGGTGTGAATCCCTTCCGGCCTCGGACAAAGTCGATTCGGCCCAACGGCACCATCAGCTCTGCGTCTGCGTCCGAGTCATCCTCGAATCTGCCGCTGCCACCGCCACCACCACCACCACTGGCCACTGCCTCTCGGATCGTCCGCACCAGCGCCTCGTTCTTTGCCCGTGCCACCAGCTGCTGCAGGTCACCCGGCATAAACCCGTCTGTCTCACCGGCCACATCGAGAAAGTCCAGGTCTTCCTGCAGCACAAACGTGCCTTTGCTCTCTCTGTCTCTGCTGCTTCTTCCTCTCTGGTTCCCTTTCTTGTTCTTGCGTCGGGAACCCCCTCCACCGCCTCCCTCCATCATCCAGCCGTCTTCGCTGCCGTCTGGCCGGCCGTCTGCCGTCACCGGTCGACTGCTGTTGTTGTCGTCGTCGTTGTCGTTGTCGCCACCATCATCGTTGTCGTCGGTCTTGGCCTCCACCGCGTTCTGCCGCGCAAACTGCTCCATCATCTTCCGGCGCGCCTCCTTGTCGGGCGCCTTGAGCTCGACAATCTCCCGCACCACATGGCCACCCACCACGACGTTGTGCAGGCTGTCCTTGCCCTGCGCCGTCGCCAGCACCACCACCCCGCCGTCACGGCCGCAGTACTGGCGCACCAGCCCGCACACGCCCTCGCTGAGCTGCCGGCTGCGTCCCTCCTCGCTCTGCACCACTAGCTCTGTCTCGGCCGGACACAGTCGGTCCAGGTCGTCCAGGACCACTACCGCCTTGCCGCCCAACCGCGCGCCCCAGCTGGCCCCCATAAACACCCGTCCGAGGCTCTCCTTAATCGCCGCGATTCGGCTCTCCTCGTTGACCAGCTTCCGGCACGGAACATACGTCACGTGGAAGAACTCGCTCTTCTTCAGCGCCGACCCCACGTGCTGTGCCACCGACGACTTTCCTGATCCCAGTGAGCCGGTTAGGAGCACAGACGAACCGTGCGAGAGATGATCGCGCAGGTCCGCCAGGATCGCGTCGATACCTACCAGCGGCTGCAGCTTCAGATCGGATCCCGACTCGGCCACGGCTGCCGCTGCTGCCTCCGACTCGGCCTCCTGCACCCACGACGGCTTCGGTATTGGCGCCTGCATCTCAAACGCCGCGTTGGCCACTGCCGACCCGAGAATCCACCGGGTCGACGGCTCGTGGGTGCCCTGGGCCGCCTCGGTCCCCAGCTTTACGATGCCTCCGGTCCAATCTGCTGTCGCTGCTGTCGCTCCTGCTGCTGGCAGTCCAAGCACCAGGCCGTCAGTCAGAGGGCCCTGCATGACACCATGGGCCGCCTTGCCGCCGTACAGGGACTTGATCCGCTGCATCGTCTCCTCCTTCTCGAGCTGTGCCTCTCCACCGATCTTAAGCGCTGTGGTCTGCTTCAAGCTGATATCGCCGAACGGGAAGATCTTGACCTTGTGCACCAGCTTGGTTGCTAGGGGTGCCATCGCCGGTTCGATCTTCACGATGCCGCCCACGATACCCTGGCAGCCCAGCGCCGAGCACAGCGCTGGTGATAGCGCCGCCGTCTGTCCGTTGGGCGGGTCGTCCCAGGGCCAAAGCTGAACGACGATGCGTGTTGCTGGTTCTGTTGTTGGTTGTGATGGCGACGTTGCTACGGCCGCCGCCGCCGCCGCCGCCGGTCCTCCTCCTCCTCCTCCTCCTCCTCCTCCTCCTCCCCCTCCTGCTGCTACCACTCCACTGGCAGCGTCTGGTGCTACTGCACGTGGACCTCCCGAGCGCATCAGAGTCACAACGGCATATTGAAGGCCGCGAAATTCGTTCGGCAGGAGGAGGTCAGGATCGACCCAGATGGCAAGGCCGTCGTCGTGCTGGGCCGCGGCTTCGGGGTCGACATTTGCAGCATCGTTGTCGTTGTCGCCACCCTCATCGTCGTCGTCTTCGTTGTCGAACCACTCGTTGCAGAGGGCACGGTCGACAGCGCGCAGAAAGAGGGCGGGCTTGCGCTCCTCACGGGCGCTGCGGCCACGGGCTGTGCTGGTGCCACTGCGCTTGGACGTGCTGGTGACGCTGCGGTTCTCGCGGCCGCTCCGGGACGGCTTGGGTCGAGTCTTGGGGGCGACGATGACCTCGGCATCGGGGGCGACTTTGGCAAACAGCACGTCAGGAGGCAGCGGCGGCTCGAGCGAGAGGACCTTGACGTTAGCGGTCGAGGTCGGCGAAAGGTGGAGAGTCAGGGGGTGGTTGGTGTTGGCGGCCGTGGTGGCGGCTGGGTTGGGCAGAGCGCGAATCTGGTTCATGAGATTGATCTCGAGAAAGGTGGCGTGCAGCTCGACCATCTCCCAGTCGTCGGGCGTCAGGGGCTCAATGTGGATCGTGTGTGCCAGTCGCGGCTCCAAATGGATGGTGGCCGTGACCTTTTGGCCGTCGCGCATGCCGAGAGTGTTGGCAAAGGTCGCGTCCAGCTCGACGACGGCGATCTCCTGCTCGCGACCGGCAGCGCCTGCCCGTGTGCTAGCGAGGCCGTCGCGGCCTAGCAGTGGTGCCATCTTTCGCCGGCTGGGCATGCCCGTCCATCCGACAAAGATAGACCGCTGTTGCGTCGTGGGAGACGGGCCAGAGCCGTCGGCGCGTGGCGGCGCGGGCGCGCGGTAGCTGAGCTCGATGATGACATTTTGAATCGGCTGAGATGTTAGGCGAGGGCGAGGAAGAAAAGAAGAGAGAGGCTGGAAAAAGGGGAAAGGAAAGGAGAGCACCGACCGTGTCAATGTTCATCAACACGTTCACCAGCGACGACGGCAGGTTGACAAAGCACTTCTGCAGTTGGACCAGCGACAGCTCCGCCGCCGTGGATTGCGTGTTCTTTCGCGGCGCCATGGTTTCTCAGTCGAGATGGCAGCCCACGAGGGATAATGGCGAGGAGGGTGACCAGCGAGAAGCTGCAACCTGGAAATTCGTCACCGACGGCAAGCACGTTCAGGTCGCCCAGTTGCCGAGGCTCGCTGCAGCTTGCCGTGACGAGAGGAGGCACCTCCGACGATCTGTGGCTGGAGCCGTCCGCGCCACAGCTTAGCCAATGTGGCACATGTGGCCCGTGCGCTTTCAATTAAACGCGACGATTCGCGTCCACCACGCGCGTTGCCATCGCGCCCAGGCCGGCCCACTTATCACTCACCCTTTCCCAGCCTCCTAGGACGAAAAAAAGACTGTGTTCTATGATTCTCCCCTCCACGAGGCCATCCCGACAGCGTCACTTTTCTTGTATGTGCTTCCAGGTGATTGTACATGCTTCCAAGTGATACCGCTCTTCTTACGTGCATACGCTTTCCTACTTCTTCACCGAGACGACCGGCCAGCTGCGTCGGCCACACACGAAGCGATGGCGCAAGTGCTTCTCAATTACAAGAGGCCGGTGGACTACAATGCCCAGCTGAGTAGGGATCCCGTATGCGAGGCGGTAGTGGATGGTCTGGGCCGAGCTAACTTCGGGCTGCAGCTGCTTTTAAGAGCTTTCTGTCGGACTTCAAGTCGACGCCGGAACACGCCATAGTCCATGCTCTGGGCAACATCAACATTGACGATGACGACCTGAGCGACGAGTACGACTTCATGGACGAGGACGGCGGCGCGGCGGCGCGGCGGGCACAAGAGCGGGCAGCACGACGCAAGCCGCAGTACAAGTACCGGGAGCTGCTGCAGGGACTGGCGGACCGGAAGATCAACGAGATTGTGGTGGACCTGGACGACGTGCATTCAGTAGGTGGTGTTGTGTATGTTGTGTTGGCCATAGTTACTGACAAATCAGTTCGAAGAGGACGTGGGCCAGGAGCTCAAGCTGACGCAGTCGATCGAGGGTAACACGAAGCACTACGTGGAGCTGCTGTCGAAAGCGGTGGATGAGTTGCTGCCAGAGCCGAGCACAGACGTGTCGTTCAAAGATGACGTACTGGACGTGCTGATGGCGCGGCGCAAGCTGCGCAATCGCGAGCTACAGGACGGGGCGGAGGCGCTGGGCGATCCGGCGATGCTGACGGACATGTTCCCGGCAGAGCTGACGCGACGGTACACGCTGGTGTTCCGGCCGCGGACGTCGACAATGGAGCACGTGGCAAAGCCACTGGCAGTGCGACAGGTGCGCGGCGAGGATCTGGGACACCTGATTACGATCCGGGCGATTGCGACGCGGGTGTCGGACGTGAAACCGATTGCGCAGGTGAGCGCATACACGTGCGACCGGTGCGGCTGCGAGATCTTCCAGCCGGTGACGGACAAGCAGTTTGCGCCGCTAGCGATCTGCCCGTCGGCCGACTGCAAGGCGAACCAGTCGGGCGGACAGTTGCACCCGTCATCGCGGGCGTCCAAGTTTCTGCCGTTCCAAGAGGTCAAGGTGCAGGAGCTGGCAGAACAGGTGCCGATCGGGCAGATTCCGCGCACACTGACGGTGCTGTGCTACGGCAGTCTGGTGCGGCGGATCAGCCCGGGCGACGTGGTGGACATTGCGGGCATCTTCTTGCCGACACCGTACACGGGCTTCAAGGCGATGCGGGCGGGCTTGCTGACGGACACATACCTGGAGGCGCACCACGTGGCGCAGCACAAGCGGGCGTATGAGGACATGCAGATCGAGCCACAGCTGGTGCGGCGGATCGAGCAGTTCCGGCAGTCGGGACACGTGTACGAGTACCTGGCCAAGTCGATCGCGCCAGAGATCTTTGGGCACCTGGACGTGAAGAAGGCGCTGCTTCTGCTGCTGGTGGGCGGAGTGACGAAGCAGATGGGTGACGGGATGAAGATCCGCGGCGACATCAACATCTGTCTGATGGGCGACCCGGGTGTGGCCAAGTCGCAGCTGCTCAAGTACATCAGCAAGGTGGCGCCGCGCGGCGTATACACAACGGGACGAGGCAGCAGCGGTGTAGGTCTGACGGCGGCGGTGATGCGCGACCCGGTGACGGACGAGATGGTGCTGGAGGGTGGGGCGCTGGTGCTGGCGGACAACGGGATCTGCTGCATCGACGAGTTTGACAAGATGGACGAGAACGACCGGACAGCGATCCACGAGGTGATGGAGCAGCAGACGATCAGCATCAGCAAGGCGGGCATCTCGACGTCGCTGAACGCGCGCACATCGATCCTGGCGGCGGCGAACCCGATCTACGGCCGGTACAACCCGCGGATCTCGCCGGTCGAGAACATTAACCTGCCGGCAGCGCTGCTGTCGCGGTTTGACGTCATGTTCCTGCTGCTGGACACGCCGTCGCGCGAGACGGACGGACAGCTGGCGAAGCACGTGACCTATGTGCACATGCACGGGCGGCATCCGACGATTGGGGAGAGCAGTGACGCGGATGCGGACGTGGTCTTCTCGCCGCACGAGGTGCGGTCATACGTGGCGCGCGCGCGGACGTTCCGGCCGGTGGTGCCGGAGTCAGTGTCGGACTACATGGTCAAAACGTACGTGCGGATGCGCGAGCAGCAGAAGCGGGCGGAGAAGCGCGGGCGCCAATTCACGCACACAACGCCGCGCACGCTGCTGGGCATCGTGCGGCTGGCTCAGGCGCTGGCGCGGCTGCGGTTCTGCGACGCCGTCGACCGGTACGACGTGGACGAGGCCCTGCGTCTGATGGAGGCCAGCATGGAGACGCTCAATGCGGAGAGCACAAACAGCGGTGGCGGCCGTCGGGGCAACGCCAGCAGCCGCATCTACAGCTTTGTCAAGTCGCTGGCGGACTCGGGCGCCTGCCGGCCCGACCGGGAGGAGGACGGGGCGGACGCGGACGAGGACGAGGAAGACAACCACAACAGCGGCGGCATCGAGCTGAGCCTGCGTCGCGTCAAGGAGCGGGTCATTGCCAAGGGCTTCACGGAGGACCAATGGCTGACGGCGCTGGACGAATACGCCGCGATCGATGTGAGTAGGAGAGGAAGGAGAGAGGAGAGAGGAGAGAGAGAGAAGAAATTTTTTGCGATCCTTGCTAACTCTATAGGTCTGGCAAACGGCTGGAAACATGAGCAGACTGGTGTTCATCGCGTCGGCCGAGGACGGCGAGGCAGACGACGACGACGACGAGTAAGAGGAATCGTGGGCGGTGCAAACGTCTGCTTATTGGCTTTCTGGGCGTTGGCAGGAAGACAAGTGAGAGGCCATGATTTGATTGTGAGCGGATGTGATTGTGTAAAGGCGGCTATTTGTATGGGCCTATGTCCCTGTTCTTCAGAATTGCCAGCAAGAATAATGCAATGCACCGGTAGCACCAGTACTACGGCAGCAGTGTCAGCGGTTGAGCAAGCAGGCGGGCAGGCAAGCAGGAGAGCAGGTACGGAGCAGAGAGACAAAAGAATCAGGAAAAAGAATAGCCTAGGCAGGCCACTGGTTATTACAAGCCTATTAGAGCCGCCAAAGCTGTTCTTACGGCCACGGGCAGGCTTACCAATAGGAGGGCCAGGCGGGACGACTACCGTGAAGGGAATGCTTCTACAGCGATTTGGTGCAGACCTGTTTTTTGCCAGTGTACTCTGTACGAAGTAGTTCGCTACAATTGCTGCTTTAATTCGTTCACCGTATACACACAAAGTTTTATCCACGGATCTCTACTACACGTGACCACATCGTTTAGCAGTCCTTGTGTAGAAGGTCCAGCTCAATTGGTTGTCACGTGATATCACTTATTGCTGTATTCACGATTCTATGCAACAGTAATGTACAGGTCTCGTTCCCGCCATCCGCGCACCAGCAGCCTACGGCCGTAAGCTCAACAAGGCGGTGCGTTCCATCTCGCCGACGAGGCCGTTGCCGGCGAGGGACCAAGTGCCGGCAACAGCCTGTTCGTCGACACGATCGCGGAGGACACCGCTGGCGGCCCAGTACTCCATGAGAGAGCGAGCCTCGGGGCGGGAGAGGCCGCAGAGGCGGAGGACACGTACAGAGTGGAGGGCAGCGGCGACGCGGTCGTCGAAGCCGCGGAAGTAGGGTGGAGGGGTGAGGGAGGTGTTGGTGGCCGCGTCCGTCTGGTCCTGCTCGGCCAGGCGGCGGGCGAGGGCGAGATCGAGGGTCAGACAGGCGGGCGCGTTGCCGCGGGAGGTAGCAGCGATGACAGCACCGCCATGGGGCAGCAGTTCGGCGCCGGCAAGGAGGTCGACAAAGGCGCGAACGAGGGCAAGGTCGTGGGCGTGGACCTGCTCGAAAGCAGGGTCGCGGTAGCGACTATAGCCCATGACGTGGGCGAGGCCATCGAGGGCGAAGAGGACGGGCGGGCGGGCGATCTCGGTCGGCTCCGTCGTCGTCAGCTCGGACCAGAGGGCCTGGAAGACGGGCCAGGCATGGTCGTTCTCACGGGCGGCGGCGACGAGCTGCAGCAGCGTGCTGCCAGCCGCGACCGGATTCTGGAGCCGGTCGTAGGCGCGGACGGTCTTGTGGCGGGCGAGCACAGGCCCGCTGGCAGCCTGGACGGCCTGCAGCAGCTGCAGCATGTAGGCCGGCTGGACGAAGCGGGGCGGCTGGCCGTCGAGGGGGTCGAGGGGGGCGTAGTCGGTGCTCGCCGAGGTGAGTTCATGAGCTGTGGTGTGTTAGAGGACAGAGGACGGAGGACGATGACGAAAACGGGAAACAGGTGGAAGACAGAGGAAGAACACACCCTCTGGAATGTGAAAGACCACCCAGTCGTTCATGAATCCGTGCGCCAGCGCCTGCAGCAGCAGGATGGACTTGCCGGCGATGCGATCCCCGTCGACGACGAGTCGGAGTGTCTGTCGGGCCGCGGCAGCCTGCTGCATTTGGGCGGCCACGGTGGCCGTCTCGGCACGGATCAGCACGCTTGGCCGCCGGAAGAGCGAGAAGCTCTGCGACGGCTTGAACGCGCCCACCGCCCGCAGCTGGTCGACCACGCCGTCGGGCAGCGCGAGCACGCGTCCGACGCTGTCGCTGTCGTGCAGCCTGCTGGCCGTCAGCTCCTCCAGGCCTGTCACCGCCAGCGCGTTGCCGTTGCTCAGCACAATCCGTCGTCGCAGCTGCTTGCGCTCGCCCGGTTCGGCCGTCTTGCCGCGCGGCGGCGCCTTTTTCTTCTTGCGCATCTGCACCTGCTTGTTGCCCCGCACGTGGGCCGCACCCTTGGGACCACCACAGGCCGCCGTCGTCGAGAGCGGTCGGACTGCCGACGAGGCCGCTGCTGCCCCCAGGCCAACACCCCTCCATCCCAACACCGGCTGCAGGCTCACCAGCCGCCGCGTGCCGCTTACTGCCGCCATCAATTGCTCGTTCCGGTCCCTGAGCCGTCTGCCGCTCTGTGTCTCGTCGTCTGCGCTGTCACTGTCTCCGGTACGCGTCCAGTCGTTGAGTCCCGGCGTCCTGACCTCGCGTGTTGGCCTCGACTTGACGGGGCAAAATCTCGTCTGCGCTCTAGAGGGAATTGATGAGTGGTGGGCCCACGTGACTTCTTCAGGCGGCTAACCACGGCAGAAAATCTAGTTCGATCAACGTCGTGTACAATAGCTTCAAAGTACGAAGAACAGCACTGAATAAGACCCTAAAACAAAGCCCTCCTCTATTGCTTTAAAAAGCCCCTGTCTACCTTACCAGCTCCGCTCTACAGCACCGGGGCGATCGCCGCCTTTTAGCTGGCTTAACTTCTTATAAAAGCATGCTTTGCAGCAGATTGTTGTATTTTACTAAGCTTTTTATGTTATAATACGGTTTATTATAGTGCTATTGTCGCTATAGCCGCTGCCTTTTAGGCGGCCTACGTATCTTATACTGCTAGTGCTGCTTATACTAGAAAAAAGAAATAAAAGATAAAAGATAAAGGAAAAGAAAACAAAGGGAAAACCAGAAAAGTTCAAAGAGCATGCGTAAAGAACGTGTAGAAAAACACCAAGAAAGAGTATGCGCTATAATGCCTGGTTCTCTTTGCCTTTGTCAACAATTTCTGTGATCAGTCGTAACCCATTTCCTGTCGTCTGTTCCAATGTCTAGTCTTTCTTGTCCTCCTGTTCCCACCCCCCTTGTTCTCGGCTGCAATTTCGATGCATTGAGCTAAGCGGCCAAAAAGCTCAAACTCCATACGTTCTGCTGTCTTCGGGCCTTCCATGATCGTACCCATTATGTCGGACTTCGGCGGATTATCATGCTCAAAAATTGGCTCACCAGCGCCGCGCATATTTGTTAAAACAGCCTGCCGAAAGTGCCATCGGAACAGCTGGTCGGGAGGGCAAGCTTGATCATTTAGTAGGCGGCGGTCAAGCGTCTGACCGGAAAGTTGGTAGAAGTTCATGTCAAAAAAAAACGATCTTATAGCCATTCTAAATCAAGAGAGAATGGTAAATTAGCTCGAGAATTATTTTTGTACTCCAAAGCAGGTTGGTCTACTGTTTGTAATGACAAACTTACGTCTGGGTTGATTGAGATCAGGTATTGGTCGAACGTTTCGTGTAGATCGGAGCGGGGAATAATGCCATTCTGCACAGAGTTAATCGTCCCTCCTCGGTGCGGGACAATCAAGATCCAGCGTCCGTAGTCGTTGGCAAGCCACTGCTCTTCATATGCGAGGGGGAAAATATGTGCAGCTTGGAATCCCGCCCACCGGTTTCTTCGTGCAGCTTGATTCTCGATCTTTGAAATTACGCAGCGACCATCTCGCCTTTGCACTGCTTTAAGAAATACTCTCGTCAGTTCTCCTGATGTTATAGACGAGGCTCGTGTGTAAATCATTTCATTTGTGACCTGTTATAGTATTAATTAGTTTGTTAAACTTATGTAGAAGGAAAGCAAAATCTCTTTAACGGTGTTCTTACATCGATAGAATCTGCGCTTACGGTGTAGTCCCCTGACTCGAGGGGTTTATTATTGTCTAATATTTCTTCTGCATTGGGATTCTGAACTACTATATCGCCGGTGGTGATTTATAGAATGTTGAGAAACTGGAGCAGGTCCCTGTTGGTTAGGGCCTCGATCTCCTCCAGACCTCCGAGTGGGATTCGATCGTCAGTGTCATTGAGGTCCCATATGAAAAGGACTCGACCTAAGCTTCGATTGCGTGACGGCATCGAACTGCTTGGAGAGAAAGGAACTTCTGCCGCAGAGCAAAAGCTTTGATGGGAAGGGGTAAAAGTAGATTTGCGGGGGAAATGTGGGGGTTATGGCACGACAAGGGTAGAAGTTGTTGTGGGACACGGTTCTGCTTATATAGGGTAAAATTTCGACCGGGGCCTGGTGAGGGCAATCCATGCGTAATACAACAACTGAAGAAGAAGAGATCGATATCTAACCCGAAATACTAGATGACATCCAAGCCATTGAAAAAGGTCCTCTGGAAAAGTCAGCATAACTGATGTTAAGAGATCAGTTGGTCTTGGCATACTTGTTCAATCGGCCACGTCGGCTAGCTATATTCTGCCATGGCGACCAAAGAGACTCTGCCTGCAACACATGCGGCGCTGAAGGTCGACGGTCCTAACAAGATGTACCTGTGATTTCCTGGTCTAGGAGGATATGTAGTTGTTCATAATGCCCAGTAGGAAAGGTGATAATAAGCAGCTTATGCTCAGCAAGAAATACAATGCGCGTCTTTGATTTGCGATTTTGTAGTGCTTTGTCAATGCTAGGAAAGTTTTTTGGCGCTACAGATGCTACTATAACCGAGTCGATTGTTCTGTCTGTGATCGCTTTTAGATAGGCAAGGAGGGCCGGCATAGTCGAATACTGTACATCTGCCTGGGGCAGGCTGTCAACTATATCGAGGCGAAGGTTCGTCGGCATTTTTGCTATAGTGCCTGATGTTTGCTCGCTAGTCTAGGGACTTGCAGTGAATAGAGATATGCTTGCGAGTGTGAGGCTGAAACTTAGTCGCTATAGTGACTTTGTGGTGAGAAAGGAGAATAAGGAGAAGAAGAGGGCAAAGGTAAAGAGGAAGAAGTAATAAATAATATTGTTCTTACTAATGAGACTAGTTGGGAATTGCTACACACACGGTCGCACGTAAGTTACAGATGGGAATACTAAGATCGTGCAAAATAGATTCGAAGTACGGAGTAAAATAACAAAAATCACTGAATAAGAACAGAAAAGACTGGCAAATACTACTCCGTATACAGAATCAGTTACAACGCTATGCCTTCTTTATTATAATAAGGATTATTGCTTAATTGTACGCTACCTTACTATCCCAAAGTGGCAGGCTAGCGGCCTTTTAGTAGGCAAAGCTTGCTTAAAGGACGCCCTATAGCAAGCCGTTATACAAAGCCTACCATGCTACCATATATATTTTAGTATACTCCGTACAGAGTACAGCACGCAGGTTGCCGCTAGTGCTGCTGCTGGACCACTTGCACCACTTACGATTTGTATTCTGCCGTCTGTACGGAGTAACTGCTGAAATAAGTCACGTGCGCCCGTGTGTCTAGCAATTTCGACCGTGTGTCTAGCAACTCCCGATTAGTTGGTTGTATTACTAAAGAGAGTACAGAGGTCCCTCCTAAAAGAAAGGGCTTACCGCTTTTGCCCGATTAATGCCGGCAGAATCGTATTACCCCCTTTTTCTGCCCCTAATGCGCTAAAGACATCGTTTTTTACTCTGTATTGATTTCGGGCGGAGGTCAGGTGACCTCCAGAAATCCACACTCTGTATCCGTATCTTACTTTGTATTGTCAACAGCTAAAATAGAATCCAGAACAGCACTCAAAACTCCCCCAAAGCACAAACAAGCAGCCGTACGCCCAAACATCCGATGCATGCATGGGTATCCCATCCGGGTGCCCTCCCAAACCACCGTCTTTTCTCCCATCCTTTCGTCCACGTCCAACCTCCACCTAGTGCTCCTCCCGATCCATTCCATCGTGGCGCCGCTGGCCGCCGGCAGCCGAGCGGCCGGTCTTCTTGCGCTTGCCGTTCTGCTCGATAAACGTGCGCATCTCGACATGGGCGTGGCGCTGGGCCTCCTCGACGCGCGGATTGAACATCATCAGCTCCTCGCGGTCGATGGGAAAGGGCAGGATCTTGCGCTCCATCCCGATGGCCTTCTCGACGGCGAGAAAGTGGGTGTGGTCGTACTGCGTGACCAGGTTGACGGCGTGGCCGGACTTGCCGGCGCGCGCCGTCCGGCCGACTCGGTGCACGTACGTCTTGCTGTCCTGCGGCACGTCGTAGTTGATTACGATGCCAATGTGCGGGATGTCGAGCCCGCGTGCCGCCACGTCCGTCGCGATCAGCATCTCACGGCTGCCCGACTTGATCTTGTTGAGCGCGCTGAGCCGCTGCGACTGGCTGAGCCGGGCGTGCAGCGGCACCGCGCCGAACCCGAGCGCCCGCAGCAGGATCGCCAACCGCTGCGTCTCGTAGATGGTGCGCGTGAACACCATGATCGACTGTCCGTAGAACTCGTTGACGAGATAGACGAGACAGACGTCCTTGCGCGTCGTCGGCGTCACGATCACGCTCTGCTTTAGCGTCGACACCGTCTGGTGTGCGCTCGACGCCACGTTGACGCGCACCGGATCCCGCAGGCTCGCCCGCTGCAGGCTCTCCACCTGCGACGACATGGTGGCCGAAAAAAGCATCGTTCGGCGTTCCCGCGGCAGATGCCGCAAGATCTTCTCCAGGATCGGCCCAAAGTCCATGTCGAGCAGCCGGTCCGCCTCGTCGATCACCAGGTACTGCAGGTGCTTGAGCGAGAAGCCCTTGGTCTTCTCCAGGTGGTCCAGCAGTCGTCCCGGCCGTTTGCCACCACCACGTGCGGCTTCTTCGCCAGCGCAATCGACTGCGACACCATGTCCATCCCGCCCACCACCACCGCGCAGCGTAGCGAGATGGCCGCAAACGACTCAAATGTCTGCCCGATCTGCACCGCCAGCTCCCGTGTTGGCGACAGCACCAGCCCGAATAGCGGCCGCGGCCGATCCAGCAGCGCCTGCAGCATCGGTAGCGCAAATGCAATCGTCTTGCCGCTGCCCGTTTCCGCCGTGCCGATGATGTCCCGGTTCTTCAGTGCCACCGGGATTGCCGCCGCTTGGATCGGCGTCGGCGCCGTGTAGCCGAGCATCTCACACACCTCGCATAGCGCATCGACGAGTCCCTGGTTCCTTGTCAGTTGTCTTTCTCGACTGGTCCTTCTTCTTTCAATCCTCGTCCCTCGTCCCTCGTCTTCTCTCATCTTCACTCCTCTTTCCAGTCATACTCACAAGCTCTTTGAACGTCTTTGGCGCCTCCTTCTCCCCCTGTTCTTCCCCCTGCTCTTCTCCCTGCTCCTCTTCCTCCTCTTCGTCCATTGAATCCTCAACCAAGTCTGGTGTCTCAGCCGGCTGCTCCATCCGCTGCTTCGTCCGCTGCTCTGTCACTTTCGCCACTGGCTTGGCCACCTTCACCTTCTCCTTTCCAGTCTTCTTCTTCTTCTGTACAGGCTCCATTATTGCTTGATGTCGCGATATAGGAAGAAAGTACGGCAAGAACGGAATGAAGGCTTGCTGGTTGTAATCTTCGAAAAAAAAAAAAAGATATTAAGCTGCGATTTTTCCTTATCGTATTATCGCCCACAAAAGTGGGGTATTTTGTAGATTTTCTGAGGTCAGGTGACCTCCTCCAGAAAGCACGTCGTGGGTAAGACTGGGTCCTGAGCTGCAAGCAGGTACGCAGTCTGGCCTTGGTAAACCAACCTACTAGACCTACGAAAGGCCTTGGAGCTTACTACAAGACGTGCAGTTGGTTTGGACGTATACAGTTCTCCGTGAGATGGCACTACGTTCAAGTTAGCACACGCCCATAAAGTGGGTCTTTCCAGAGCCGATAAGGTAGTCAGACCCACATCTGCTTATCGAGAAAAAAAAGTTCAAGTCTTTTGGCCTGTTTCAACCACGTCGATATACTCGTCCGTCGACAACACACACACACGCACACACAGCCCCTCTGCCCCTCTCCGCACCTGCCCGCCAACACGATGCCGGGACCGATCGAAGAGCAGGCCAGCACGGCCGTAGCAGCGCTGGCCGCGCGTCCGAAGCTGGCCGTGGCCGTGGAGAAGCCGACGCCCTACAGTTTTGACCTGGGCCTGCTGCTGGCCAACGACACGAACCCGGTGCGGATCGACCGGACGGCGTCGACGGCCACGGTAGAGGCGCAGCTGGCCGCGGTGGCGCGCGACGGCGCGCAGGCGCTGATCAACCAGCTGCTAACGACGTGTCGGGTCGAGCGGACGGCCAGCGACGGCGTGCTGCTCAGCCTGCCGCCGGTCACGACGGCGCTGCCGCGTGAGAAGCCGCTGCCGCAGCCGAAGCCGCCGACCCGCTGGGAACAGTTTGCCGCGCGCAAGGGCATCAAGCCCAAGACGCGCGAGCAGCGCCGCAACATCCAGTACGACGACAAGACCCAAACCTGGACGCCCAAATGGGGCTTTGGCGGCGCCAACAAGACCAAGGACGGCCAGGCCGACTGGCTCGTCGAGGTCAAGGACTGGCAGAAGGACGCCGATCACGCCGCCAAGGGCACCTCCGTCCGTGGCGACAGCCGCCGCGAACGCAAGGAACACGTCCGCCGCAACGACCGCCGCATGCGCCGCAACGAGCTACACGCCGCCTCGGCCGCCGGGACCCGGTCAAAAAAGTAGAAGCCGGGCCGTTGTCAGACCGAGGAGGTCATCATCTTTCTTATGCTCGCTGCTGTTCTGGTCGGAAAAGGGCGCTTGGCGTTATCGGTCAACCTAAAACGTGACGGCATAGGCTCAACGAGCTGGAGGCTTTTTTCTGCCTTCTGCTCAGCCATTGGCCATGTCGCGGATTTCCATAGTCTTTGATTCATTCTATAATCTATGTTGCAAAGCTGTCCTGTCCAAGTTTGTTTCACTGTGCACACACTTCAATCGAGAGTACACTTTGTCACTGTAGAAACGCTTTGCCCAGGTGCAAAAAAAATATTCATGAATCGCTAACATACTATCTTATAAGGCCGCCACATACCAATACCAGGAAGCAAGATCCAGGGGTATACCAAATCAATAATCGTAAAGAAAAGCACACGCTTCCAGACGCTTTCGCTAAAATTGGAAGGATTGCTGTCCACAGACAAACTTTAAGAGCAAAAGATCCACGCGGAAGGAACCGCCAAAATAGTCGCTGAGAAGACATGCTCGTCAAGGGGTATCACAACGTGGCGCCTAGAATAGAACAGAGCCATTTTTCGGAGCGTAGAACGTGATCCGTTTTCACGTTCGGCCGGAGGGAGGAGTCTATTGTATCCGATCAATCGTCTCAGAAGCCGAGAGGAGAGAGCGGCTTGATCGGTGACAGCGGCCGCATCTGTCCCCGTCCATCTCCTCGCATCTCTCCAGACTGCCCTGGCGGCGTTGCCGCCCGCTGACTATCAATCGTCAGTGTCGTCGAGATAGTCGAGGTCGACGCCACGCTGCCCGTCTCCATATTGGGCGGCCTCCTCAACGGGGGCTGGTCGACTTGGTCGAGCTGCCTGTCGCTGTCCGACGACGAGATCTGCCGCATGTCGGCCACCTGCTCCTGCGCCAACCCGTCGCTGCCTGGCGGAAGCTGCGACCGTGGCGTCGAGATGCCCATGGGTGGTGGCAGCCCGAAGATCCGGTACTCCTCCTCAATGTACCGCATCTCGTTTCGGCATCCCTGCCAGCAGTCTCGCCAGTCGCACACTAGGAACTTGAACGAAAACGCGTCAATCTTCATGCACGGCTGGAAGCAGATGCACAGATTCCGGTAGTCCATCTTGTTCTTGTCCGAATGTGCCAATAGCAGGCTCAGGTGGCAGGTGATGGCAAAGAGCAGGTAGTAGTTGAACGGTGACAGGTCCGACAGCTCGTCAATCAGCAGCTGGGGCACCCTCTCGGACCCGGCACATTGGCGTGCAACTCTCTCCTGTGCTGCCTTGGGAAACAGCTCGTCCGGCAGCTCCCGTAGCCAGGCCTTTAGCATCGAGCCGATAATGTTGATGTCGTACAGATCGTCCTGCGAAAGAAGATCCACGTCATGCTCTGCACAGCGTCACACGGTCAGCAGCTGAAGCCTTTCTGCCAGCAATGTCGGCCGTCTAGACACTAACGAACCTTGGTCAAACTTCCGCTGCCACTTCTTGATCTGCGGCCCGCTTCCAGGAACCCGGTAGAGGCCTTCCACGTCGGTCCCCTTGAAGTTGAGGTAGTCAATGGCCCTCCACGGGAAAGCAGGCATCCAGAACTCCGTCTTATCACGCGAATCCTCTAGCCGTTTCGAGATGCGAGTCATTCGTGTCTGCTCGACGAGCGGCCGGTTGATCACCCGGAGCACGTAGTGCTCATCGTCCACGACTGGCTCCCGCTCCGTCGTGCTCCCACTCCGTGTGCTCTTACCGAAAAATCCCTTGCTGAAGATGTCTGCAGCTCGGCTGTTCTTCAATCCGCTGAAAAACGTGTAGCCGCCGGTTTCCCGCGAGGACGACGGCTGTGCCCGCACATGTTCACGCTCGCGGGTTTGATTTTGCTTGTTTTGATGGCCGTCCCGTGTGCTAGGAACATCGCGTGGACGCACCCGTTCTGCCGAGTGGTTGCGCGTCCTCGAGGCCTTAGCCTCCCTGTGGGACGGCTCGTGCGGCATCACGGCTGCCGGCTTCAGGGTGGCAGCAGGCTGATAGGCGCGCTCGGGCGGCTCGACCATTCGCATCGAAGCGTCGTCTTGCATAGATGAGGCCGGTGTATTGGTCGCCGTGGTCGTGTTGGAATGAATGATGTTGCCGTTCTTATCCCGGTTGGATCGTGTCCGCCCTAGACGCCCAAACGATTTCGGCTTCCCCTTTCGTGAGTTGGAAGAACTGATTTCGGCTTCGGTCGAAGAGGAGACAAGGGAGGCGTTCGAGCGTGTCGGAAGCTCAGCGCTGTTGGCCGCTTGCGTGGGCTCGGCATCTGTTTAGGCACAAAGCCGTGAGTGGAGGCTTCCCAGGAGTGCTGGACCTGCATGGTTAGGCTTACCTGAATGTTTTCCGGTCCTGCTTGAGGACGAGTCCCCACCTCTTGACGCAAGGTCATCTCTTGGGTCGGGCATACAGCTATTACCGCTGCCACTACCGCTGCCACTACCGCTGCCACTCCCACCACCGCTGCCGCCGCTGGCGGACACAAGTCTTTCCGTCGATCTAGACGATTTACCAAAGTGGAAGAAGAAATTGGACTTGGATGTCTTGTCCTCGTTTTGCCTGTGTCGACCGTGCCCGTAATGCTTTTGCTGATGTTGCTGTGGTGGCTGTTGCGGTGGCTGTGCTGGTTGCTGCAGCTGGGATGAGCTGGTGGAGGTCGAGAGAGAGGGATGGTGGCTGCTTTCGCTGTCGGCAAGCGGCTGGCTGATGAGCTCGGCGAGATGAACAGGCGGCTTTCCTGCCGGTACGGGGGTCTGGCTCAGCACCAGGCTGCCGCTCCTATCGTTGTAGCGTAATGGCGAATTGGGCGACCTGGGAGATCGAGAATGGATGGAGTATTCGGCTGGTGAGTCGATCTGAAGAGATGCGTCGGCAAGACTGCGGTCGCTCGCCATGAGCGCCGACTCAGCCAGAGCCAGTGGCTGCGGCGCCGTCTTGCGTACTGTGTTGCCGGCCTCGCGGCCGGTCTCGTTCCCTTTGCTGGACGGCATATGGCAGAGTGCAGCGTCTTTTCGGCTGTTGGATGATGCCGATTGCCGTCTCAGGTCACCAGTCAGTGCTAATGCGTACGTAGTCGAATGGCATGTATGCGAGAATGCAAAGGTGTAGCGAGTGCGAGTGCCTTTGGGAGAGAGGGGGGGGTAGAGAGGATCGAGGAGGAGACGGGGGCGGATTTAGGCCTGCGCCAGACAAAGCTGACACAATGAAGATGCGACCGGGTTTGGCGCGCGGGTGTAGGGGCAGAATGGGGGACGAGCACGCTGTAAATGAGACAGGCTGTAGGGGGGGGGGGGTATTTTCAAGGCTAGGCAAGAGAAGGAAGGCAGCAGAAGGCCGCAGCAGCAGAAAGACACAGGAGAAGGAGGGAGAAGACAGCAGCAGAAGAAAGGCTAGACGGCCGAGGCGGAGACGATGAAAAGGCCGAGGATTCGAGGTCGAAAGTCAAAATCGGGAGAAACGGCGCAAGCACTCTGTTGCGACACGCCTGCTGTATTATGGAGAGGGGGGGGGGGGCAGACACGGACGATGCGTTCGGGCGGGTGTGCGTGAGCTGGCTTGGTTCAGCGTCGCCTGGCTGTGGGATCTGGGTCGCCAACAGAATCGCAAGGGGTCCTGTGGGAGGTGTTTTTGTAATTGTGCGAGAGTGGTATCACGCCCTCTCGACTCTCTCGTGCTTTGTTCTCTGCGTCCGTATTTGTGGACCACAGCTTACGCAGCGCCCGGAGCGGCACACAACTGTAGAACGACTGCGTCTACCGTGCTCAGCTGGACGGCAGTACGGACAGCAGCGAGGTCGTTGGCGGGCATTCTCTGGCTACCCGGTGGAGGATCGTGTCGACAATAGCAGCAGACGGCTATTAAACAGGGAGGAAAATAAGAGGAAACGAAAGAATGACCCGAAACGTGCGGCAGGCCACGAAATGTGTCATCAAGGGGGGAAGAGCGAAGGAGTGAATGAAATAAAGGGGGGGCAGCCGTTGGCTAAACGCCCAGAGAGCGTTTTGGTGGAGGGGTGATGCGCAGGGAAGGTGCGGCTAGCATCGATACGGCCAGGGTATCATTCGGAGTATATTACAGCACTTACACGGCCCTACCTGCTAGTCCAGGTGCACATATCCACACGAACGGTCCCCGTAAGATGATAGTCCATAGAGCCTGGTTGTCATCACGACAGCCGTAAGATACGTTTCCTCCAATTTCAATCTTGACATTGGCATGGGACTTTGAGTATGATGCGCAAAATTGCTTGCCGCCCAAGCGCTCCATTGCTTCCAAGAGACGGGCGACAGCCGAGACGGAAAATGCACCCCTAGAGCGCTTGAAGCCGGTACTCCTTAGTGCTTGGACGCCCAGAGTCGCACCCTTGGCAACGGTACCGCGCCAGATCATGCGTCTTACCTCAGCTACTGTTGGGTCTTTTCCTGCCGCTTTTGAACAGCGCAGGGCGGTAGGCTCAGACTCGTAGGGAGAAACTCGATCGATTGGCAATTTCGCCGGCGTTCCTTTCCGGCGATCGAATTGCGCAATCCGACCTGCATCTCAGACAGCAAAGCGGCGGCTGTTGTTCCCCTTTTCATCTGGTGCCAACAGGGCGCTGCGGCGCCATGGGGCAGACAGCCAGGGTCCCGGAAGCATACAGCCTCGTGCAGCGCCCTGAGTCTGTAGATCGTATCCAATATAAGATAATCCTGTGTACTCCGTAGTCTTACAACAGCATGGCAAAGTGGCCGCATTCAGACCAGAAGCCCAGAAGCCCAGGCCCGTTATTATTCACGCCGTTTTCAGAGAACAGGTTCCTGGACTAGTCCTCTTGCGGGAGAACTAGCCCAGAGCTTCTACAAGTACTCCGTACACAGTGCCATGTCTCTTCGGGGTCCAGCACGATTTCGTCCGTGTCCAGGGCAATCCGCTCGGATGAGATCTGGCTGCCGCTGGCCGGCTTGCGCGCTGGAAGGAACTCGTCTGTCCGCATTGTCGCCGCTGCCGCTTGTCACTTATCAAAAGAGACCAAGAATTTCCTGGTTCCGCCTGGTTGCCCAGCCCCTACGCTTTCCGCAATCTTGATCCTGCCCCGCTCTTTCCCCAATAAGGCAAAACTTGAAAAAGTAGATACGAGCACCAGGTGGGTCACGGGCCTCCTCTATCCTGCATACATGGTAACAACACAGGCCAACAGCACAGTCAATGCTGCAAATATGAACCGACCCTTTCACCGCCAATCTGCCATGCCAGCCCACACCTGGTGTTGTGCATAAGTCTGCTCATCGCAGTGTTCATGACAAGAGTCTAGACCTACACAGAAAGCCTTCTCACGTGACCACGTCATCGCCTTATGTAAGATAACTTGAGGCGGTGATAGCGCAGCAGGAGGCTAGGCTGCCTCTTGGCATCCCCATGAGCATTCTTCCGTACCCCAGGCCCACTTCCGCACGAGGAAATGCACTGCGTCATTTGCCGTGTCTCTCTTTGCCGTCGCCATGAACGAAGCTTCAGACAAGCCTCCCAGCAGTGAGGTCCAGCTCGCCACAGCCGCCCACGTCAAATATATCCAGGGCCTCAACTCTCACCAGGATGCCTATGAGTTTTGGCTGACTGAGCACTTGCGCCTCAACGGCCTCTACTGGGGTCTGGCCGCGCTGCATTTTTTGGGCCGTCCAGAGGCTCTTCCCCGCGATGAGACTATTGATTTTGTGCTCTCATGCCAGCACGACAATGGTGGCTTCGGCGCTGCTCCGGGTCACGACGCTCACATGCTGTACACCGTCAGCGCCATACAGATCCTCGCCATGGTTGACGGCCTGGACGCTCTCGATTCGCGGGGAAAGGGCAAGGCTACGGTTGGAAAGTGTATGTGCTTCACTCTGGATGGCACAGGCTAGGCAACCGCTCTCATACACACACACACCCACTCACACACTCGCTATCGCTCATGCTTACACTCCTCCAGTCATTTCCGGCCTGCAAAACCGCTCAACCGGCACCTTTTCCGGCGATGAGTGGGGCGAGGAAGACACTCGCTTCCTGTATGGCGCGCTGAACGCCCTGTCCTTGCTCGGTATGCTCTCTCTTGTCGACGTTGGCAAGGCCGTCGAGTACGTCGCCTCATGTGCCAACTTTGACGGCGGCTACGGTTCTCGTCCTGGTGCCGAGTCCCATGCGGGTCAGATCTTCACCTGTCTGGCCGCCTTGTCCATCGCCGGCCGCCTCGACTTGGCTGATGCCGACAAGCTTGGCCGCTGGTTAAGCGAGCGCCAGATCGTGGGTGGCGGGCTTAACGGCCGCCCGGAGAAGAAGGAAGACGTCTGCTACAGCTGGTGGGTGCTCAGCAGCCTGACACTCATCAACCGTCTCCATTGGGTCGACCGCGACCAGCTGGTGGCCTTTATTCTTCGGTGCCAAGACCCAGAGGACGGTGGCTTTGCTGACCGGCCCGGCAACATGGTCGACGTATGGCACACCGTGTACTCTGTGGCTGGCCTAAGCCTGCTCGACTATCCCGGGCTGGTGCCCGTGAATGCTGCATATTGCATGCCCAAATTGACAATTGCCCGTGTTGTTGGGCCACGGGGAGACGCTGAGTCTGACTGAAATACATACATCCCATCTCTTTTCTAGCTCTTCCATGGATAGACAAGAGACAAGATAATTCACACTTCCAAGTGATCTCGCCAAGATCTCCAGAGACCTCGGGATGCTGTTGTCCTGTGCTAATTTCATGGCAATATCGTCACTTCTCTTGGTGTTGCATTTTCTTTGTGGTTCGTGATAGATGCCGCCAGCCTTGATAGGCACGATTGCAATTTTGTGGTTTCTACTGTCTTCCTTGAAAACGGGTCTGCATTCAGCAAAGCCCAAATTCTTTGTTTTCATTTTTCGTTCATAAAAGGCTTCTTTATGAGTTTCAGCTTTTCTATAATTCGGGATAACCAAGAGCCGGCCTTCCTGACTAAGGCAAGAGTCACATGTGTTCGTGTCAAGACCGCGTGCCTACCTCAATTGCTCTTTGTGGATGGTCCGGTTGATCAGGGGAACGGGAAAGTCGAAATAACGCGCTTTCTGAATTCGACGCGCCGGTGGGAACGAGCCCAGATCGTTCCTTCCCGTCTTTTTCAACTTGCAGGGACCGGTTGGAGCCACCTTCCATTTCCTCCATGAGCTTGCTCACAATAATGTTCTCGCCCATACTGCTTCTCTCCCTTCCTTCATTCTCTCCTTCCCTTCGTCTTCATTTTGTCATGATCACCAGCCTCCACATAAGCATCCCCTCACGAGCGTCACGTACCAGGCTGAATCTCCTAGTTTTGTTTTCCACCAGCCTGGAATCACTCACTTCTAGGATTGGCCATCTATATGAGGCTGATTAATACTTGGGCAACTCTTCACTGAGGTCGTCCTACAGCGAACCCCAAAGGTATGTGTTCCTCGCCCTCGTCTCTGCAGCAGTATTCAAAGATTAGTCCTTCAATTCTCGTCTCCATCAGTCCTGCCCTCCATCTTCTTCCCTACGGTCTTCTGCTTTCTTATATGCATCCATCTGGGTTTCGTTATCGTGGGTACTGCCAGCATTTTGCTCCCTCGTTACCGAGCTGTCACTTTGCCTATCACCCCTTCGAATGGGCATCGTGATATGGAACTTCACATCCTCACTTTGGCCATTCTTGTTAACAAGTAACCAATTGCTCTTGCTAATCGGGTCCTTTGTCTAGCTTCCGGTTGACCTATCCATCAGGTCTCTCACACATTCGTCCATTTGTCGTTATTAAGTTTCTGTTTCTTCTCGTCCGTTCCTTCCATCCGGTGTTCAAGCCTCGATTCGGCAAACACAATTTGAGACCGATTTGGCAACGCGTGCTGTAATATAACAATTAGTTTTGACCGTTATCGTGGATGAAAGAGCCTCTGTGTGAGTAAATAAAAGAAGCAAGAGACTCGGCAGGGAAGGAGACAAGGAGACAGCAAAAAGAGGGGGTGCATAAACATACGAACACAACCTGGAAATCCGACCCTTCGCAATTTTCAAACACAAAATACTATTTCGCCGAGACGGACTATTTCCTTGAATAGAAATTACGCAAAGCGTAAGTTCTTGCTCGCTGCCAACGTCTCCTTCTTCCCGATCACCCACTCATCAAGAACTTGCTCGGACCCTCTTTGATCTTGTCTTCCACGCTTTTTGGTCGTTTTGACTGGCTGTGCCTGTCGTGTTTTTCCTTTCAGTCCTTCTTTCCTCTCTGCATCTCGACACAGGGCGTCTATTGTTTTACTCTCTCTTCTCTGCTTCGGGTGGGCATGCAATTGGCCTCGAAGAAAAAAGGCATCCTACACATCACCTACCGCCCTTTTTGCACTGGTCCCGCCAGACCATTATTTCCCACACTGCAAGCAGTTCGTGCTTTCTATTTCTGCCGGCTTTTTTTCGGCCAAACGTCGCCAACGCCACCTGCTTTTCACGTAAGCCTGCTAACCACCCCAGTCTATTGTCACAACGGAATCAGAATCAATTCAGTTTGAATCTTCTCACACCAATCCCGACAAAATGGCTGCTGTCGCCCCGATGGAGGTTTGTAAGGGAGAGGATATTCGGCCCATTCCGCTGGAGTGTGTCCTTTGTCCAAAAAGACCATCCTTTTCAGACGTGTCGCACCTCTTGACCCATGTCTCGTCAAAATCACATCTGCATCAGAAGTTCAACATGGAATTCAAGGCGAAGACTGAAATCGGAGCCAGGGAGCGCCTCCGGCGCTATGAAGAATGGTATTCCATAAACGGGATCGAGACGCTACTGTCAGACCGGCTTGCAGCCAAGAATCACAAGACAGCTCGCCGTGGCCGTTCTTCAACATCATCAGTAAGTTCACGTGGCTTATTTCGCTGGCATCGAGAAAATGCACTAAATAAATAACAATACATAGGCAAAGTCACGTCAGTCAACAAGCACTGTCGATTCTATAAAGATGGATTTCGATGCAGCATCGGGATTTCACACGCCCGACCATTTTCCTGCGACCGGCCATTGGAACGCCACTCCGCTTTTTTTCAATGATACCCCGAATACTTCATACATGGACGAATCGGCTTACCATACGCCAGCTTCGAATGGACAACAGCCTAGCTATTTCTTTCAAGAAAATGCCGCTGTTACCAACTCTGATATGAGACACCAAAGCCTCATGTCTGATATAGATTCAATCTCTCATACGGTCGCATCTGATTTGGACAGAGCTCTTAGCATTGACCTACTGGACGATGACGGGCAGGAAAACAGACTCAAAGGTGTTGTCTGGCCAGGAATGGCCTTGTTCGACTCTGCGACAGCGGATCAGAAGCGGAAAAGGAACCAGCGCAAAGATGGGGGCGTGATTGAACAGATGAAGCTGACTTCTGAAGCTGTGATGGCCACCGAGACGGTCTGGGGTTTGAATGGAGACATTTATAAAGTGCGGGACATTTACGCCAGTCCGTCTATCGACGGAAGCCCTCCAAACAGCCCTGTCCGCAAGAGAAAGTACCGGCCACGAAACACTCCGACGATAACTGGTACTTTGGAATCGTTGGGGGTGGGAGATGGGATTGACGGCCGTCCGAAAAGGAAACGTGCTGGCAGAACAACGGCGGGCGAGGCGACAAACAGCCTTCAGACGAGGGGTGTCGGCAAGACTGGTGAGAAGGGAGGCAAAAAGAAGAAGGCCGAAGGACTGGATACGATCTGCGGAGCAGAAGTTCATGGCTTGCCCATGGTCGATGCCACGGACAGGGCTACCTTCAACGTGTTTTACGAGGGGTCGGGGAACAACCAAGGTAACATTCCGATATTGCTTGTCTCTGCAGTGACTTTGTGATCTATGCCGAGTGGAGAAACGAAGCTAAATCGATTGGTACAGACATGGACGCCACAGAGAGCCATCTGGACGATGTTCTACATGGCAACGGGTTGAGTTCTAGCCAGACACCACCCAATAGCGATGATGAGTGTCTGACAATGTGACTACAACATAGATTTGATCCAGGTCAGCACAATCGACCAGCTCTGCAGCAACTGGACCCAAATATGAGCCTAGCCGAATCGGGCTCGTTATTCAAAAATGCACAGTCGAGTCGTTTCTTTGACAGCGAAGCAGAGTCGGCACAACTGGGGTTCCGTTCGCAAGCAGCGTCATTTGGCAGCGGACTTCATGGTATGGGAAACAGCCCCATGACGTCACTGAATGCACACAGCGGAGGGATGTATGCGACATTTGACAGCCAGCTGTTCGCTGGGGGCAACGGGGACGAGGGATCGACAGGGCCGTTTCATGGGGCTCATGGGCGGCGACTGGGCTTCGCATTCGGGTTGGATGCGAATGCTAACCCGTTTGGATTCGTGGAGCAGCGCGACGCTTCTCTGCGGGAGCCATCGTTTTCCGAACAGGCCTTCCGCAACTCGGCGGCGCTGTTTGACGTGTGATGGCGTCAGAATGTTGAAATGCAGTCAAGTCATTGATATTTGGGTGGGAAAAAGGGTAGGCCAAGAAAACGGCAGCAGGGAAAACGGGTGGCATTTTACACGTTTATGTTTACGGCGTTTTGCCTGTTCCTTATAAAAGTTGTATCTAGAGCTCAGCACGTGCATCAAGGTTCGGACGGGGATTATGGAGGGGCATATGTTTTCTTCAGCTGTACTATGAGTTTCTTTGATGGCTGGCTGTTTTGGCCGCGAGCCGAATATTTGGAGTTATGATTTTCCACCTCGGGATTAACCACAACATCTCGCCGGCTGCACGGGCATATTTCAGGGCTTACACAATACAGCAGCAAGCACGATTACTATATGAATGATGGGTGTGCATTAGAGGTCTAGATGATCGTAGCAAGAGATGAAGATCAGAGCTGCTCAATGGTGGAGACGAGGAGTTGGAGACGGTTTGCTGCGATGGAGGCTGCCGAAAGTGGCTGCTGAGGGTGAGCGAGGAGGTCGGCGGTGAGGTGAGCGGCGGCCTGGAGGCGGCGGACGCGGGTGTTGTGTTCCATCTCGCGGGACATGCGGTTGGCGACGGCGATGACGCGCTGTGGGAGGCGAGCGAGGCGGGCGACGTTGAGGCCGTAGGAGCGGTGGGCCATGCCGGGGGCGACTTCGTAGAGGAAGGTGATTTCGGTGTTGTCGGTGTCGGTGTCGGGGGATTCGGGGTTTTCGGAGTTTTCAGTGTTTTCAGTGTTTTTCATTTCGGCCTTTCCAGCATCACCGACCAGGCCGCGGTTCCGGGCGGCGAAGCGCATGTGGACGTTCTGGACGAGGGGGAGTCCGGCGTGATCGACGAGCCCGTCGGCGACGCGGGCGAGGCTCTGGTAGTGGGTGATGAAGAGGGTGCGGCAGCGGACGTCGCGGGCGATGTGTTCGAGCACGGCGTGGGCGATGGCGGCGCCGTCGTGGGTGCTGGTGCCGCGGCCGAGCTCGTCCAGCACGACGAGCGAGCGGGCGGTGGCGGCGCGCAGGATGGCGGCCGTTTCGGACACCTCGACCATAAAGGTTGACTCGCCCGCGAACAGGTTGTCGCGCGCGCCCATGCGCGTGTGGATGGCGTCGGCCAGCGTCAGTGCCATCGCGTCGGCCGGCACAAACGAGCCGATCTGGGCCAGCAGCGTCAGCAGCGCGACCGCCCGCACAAACGACGACTTGCCGCCCATGTTGGGACCGGTGATGAGGATGGCGGGCGGTTTGGATGCTGTCGCGTTTTCGTCTTCGTCTTCGTCTTTACCCCCCATCTCCGTCGAAAAGGGAATGTACCCCCCCGGCAGCAGGTGCTCGGCCACGGGATGGCGTCCGCCGCGGATGACTAGCCTCGGGGCCGTCTCTTTTTCGTTGTCCCTGTCATCCTCGCCCAGCACGACCGGCCGCACGTAGCCCGGCAGCGCGGCCACGCGGGCCAGCGACACCAGACAGTCCAGCGTGGCCAGGGCGGTGACGGCGTCGCGCAGCGGCTGGTAGCAGGCGGCGACGGCGCGCAGCAGGTCAGCAAAAGCGGCATCGCAGGCGGCCGCCAGGGCCTCGCGGTGCTGGTCGCGCTCGCGCAGCAGCCGGGCCACGGCCGGCGGGTGGAAGCGCGATACGCGCTTGGTGCCGCTGATCTTGGCCCAACTGGCCGGCACGTGACGCAGCTCCGTATTGGACACCTCGACGAGAAACTCGATCCCAGCCACGGTCACGTACGGCTTCGCTTTGGCTTTTGACCCTGTCTGGAGCGTCTCGGCAATGACGGTCTGCTGGGCCTCGAGGTCGAGCTCGACGGCCGCGATGCCCATCTTGTGGCTGGTCATGTCGTCCGTCTCGGCCGGCTCGCGAAAGAAGGCGTACTTGTCGTTGCGGCGGGCAGCATCGACGTCGATCTGGTCGAGGAAGCGGCCGACAATGGGGCCGACGGCCGGCAGAGCAGCGACGGCGTTGCGAAGAATGGGGGAGCGAAGCCCATGTCCCGTGTCCCCCTCGTCGTCCTCGAACGCTCCGGCTATCCGCTGCAGCGCCTGCAGCACGGCTGCCAGCTCCGACCGCGTGCACCTGCCGTAGCAGATGCGGATCAGGCTGCGCTCGAGGTCGGTGCGGGCGCTGGCAGCCAGCAGGCGGTCGAGGCGGTCGCGGCGGGCAGAGGCGGCAGCCGTGTCGCGGGCCAACAGCTCCTCGACGGCGTCGGCACGGGCGGCGAGGACGCGGCCGTCCAGCAGCGGCCGGCCGATCCACTTGCGCAGCAGCCGGTGGCCGAATCGCGTCTGCGTCTTGTCCACGGCCCACAGCAGGCTGCCACGCAGCCCGTGGTCCGTCGCGTTGCGGTACACTTCCAGGCTCTCGAGCGTGGTGCCGCCGAGTAGGACATGCTGGCGCGTCGCAAACGAAGCAAAGTTCTTAGTCAGCGAAAACACGTGATCCAGCCCATATTCGACCAGGTGTTGAATCATGGCTGCCAAGCAGATGGTCACGGCTTCGGGCAGCGCGAGGACGCGGTCGAGATCAAGATCGCCATCACCGCCACCCACCCTCCCGTAGAACTGCACGACCTCCGAGTGTGCCTTGGCCGCCGTCGGGCTGCCCGCCACCCGCTCGACCCGCGTCCGGTCGCCAAACACGTTGGCCGCGCTGCCCGACAGATGTTGCACCAGCTTCTCCGTTGTCCGCGAGAGCGTGCCGACGATGACGAGCTCGCACGGGGCGATGTGCAGCAGCCGGGTCTCGAGCTCGCTCCGGAGGAAGCCGTCCTCGAACTGGTCGTACAGGATGTCACCTGTTGTCGGCTGCACGGCCAGCACGCCGATCTCGACCCGTTCGTCCGCACCACTGCCGCCACCACGAACGCTGGTCTCGGTCAGACAGAGGATGTAGCCGCCATTTTGCTTCGCCTCGCTCGTTTCGCTCGTGGTCGCTTCCATCTCCTCGTCCACGTACGTCCCCTTGGTGTAGACGCTCGTCAACCGGCGCACAAACGGCGCGTTCCGGTTGTCGCCCGCCTTCTTGAGCGCGGCCGTCTCCATCTGGCGGACGACCCCGACCTTGTGGCCAGCCGCCACCAGTCGCCGCACGTGTACGGCTAGCCGCGGCACCGGGATACTCGCCGACGCAAACCGCTCCAGGTGCGCCTCCGACGCGTCCTCGTCGTACCGCATCTTGCCCGGCACGCACACAATCCCGAGCTGCCGTCCCGCCGTCCGCGCGTCCTCGCCGAAGAACCGGAACTTGTAGCCCACCTCCACCACCAGCAGCGTGTCCGGGTGCTGCCGCTTGATCTCCAGGAACTGCACCTCCATCGGCGTCAGCTTGTTGGTCTTGCCCTTTTTCGTCTTGTTGCCGCTTCCTCTTGCCGGCTTCTCCTCTTCCGCCTCCGACTCGGCCTCTGAGCCCGAGCCGCCCTCCACCTCCATCTCCGAGCCCTCCGTCGGGTCGGCAACGTCCACGTCGCGGACAGCCGTTCTCTCCCCGCCTCGTCGCCTCCTTCGCATCAGGCTGTCCGGGTGTCCCAGCTTCCGCACAAATTGCCGGTGCAGCTCCTCCTTCTTGCGCCGCGTCGCCGCGTCCTCCTCCTCTGCCTCTGCCTCTGCCTCCCCTGCCCGCTCTCGCTTCTCCTCGTACACATATCGCTCGGTCCGTCCGGAGCTTCGCAGCGGTGATGATGGCAACACCGCCTCGACTGCCGCAACGTCTACCGCAGCGTCTGTCGCTCCTTTCTCTGCCCGCACCCTGCTTCGTACCCGCTTGCCCGCCGGCTTCGTGCTCAATCTCGCCTTGCCCTTCCCCTGATCCGTGTCTTCTTCCAGCGGTCGCTTCCTTGATGGCAGACTGGCTGCAGCGGTGATTGCCTCTCGCGCTGGGCTCGCCGACTTGGGCGTGAAGAAGCTCATCAGCGACGCCTGCTTCTTCTGCGACGGTCGCGGCGTGCCCGACATGACTGCGGTTGTCGCCTCTGCACGTCGTAGATAGAAACAGAGATGCAATTCGGCCGTCCTCCCTCTTTTCTCGTCGCTGCGTTGCACCTGCCTCGTTAAGCCTTCCAGACGCGTCGGCCATCAGATACGCGTAGAGAGGTCCTCTGGCCTGTGGTCCGTGCGCCCATGCATCCCGCTTACATAAGCGAAGATTTCTACACCGTTTGTTGCTCCTGCAAACGTTTACGTCACAATGCTCCATGTATGCGTACGCTTGCTCCTCGATTGGTCTTGTCTGTATATTGCTGCAGCTGCCACTGTCCTTCTAATTTCCACTGCATAGGCATGCATGCGTATTTCGTTTCCCTCGTCCAGAACGCCCATCACTCCATAGTAAACGTAACGGGGAAAACCTCAGTCAGAAGGGGCAATACCCACCAAGACGATTGGTCGTCTCCTAAACAGAAAAAAAAAACACAACACCAGAAAGGCGAATGCATCATGCTATTACTTCGCGGCACTGAAAGAGACCTTGCCACCCCCTCCATCCTGCATTCGATAATTAAAACACAAAGAGTCCGCCCGTCTCAACAGCATCAATCGGACATCCCAGATCGAGCCCTGCATCAACGACACGTCGGATGGGGCACCAAGTCTTAAGCGACAGAGCCGGCTCGTGAGCGGCCGTGAGAGGCAACGCTGTAGCTCTTCCGGGAGCTAGCGAATCGAACGGCTAAAGACCAAGAGAAATAACGCTTATCGTCGGTAGATACCAGAAAAAGGAGCCCGGAGCACAACCGAGCTTTCCTGTTGTTGGCTCCATTGCCTGGTCGCCTGCTTTTGTGCAGTGCTCGGACGGTACGGAGGGGTAAGAAGAAAGAAACAGACGGGCCGAACTATTTTTTGTCGTCAGGGGCGCCGATGCCGAAGAACTCCTATCCAGATTCAACCGTAAATATATGATTATGGCCCATTTTCTTCCATTCTTCGCGCGGCTGCCCTTATCGTGAGCATGCAGACGGAGTGACCGCACCGAGAAACGAAACTATCGTCCCGACACTTAGATCTCAATCGTCTTCATGGTCTCATCCTCCGCAGACGCCTGCAGCGTCCCGTTTGTGAGCGTAGACTTTCTCGAGACCGATGCTGCCTTTGGCGATCCGGACAGCGGCGAGGTAGCGACAGCGACAGCAGCGGCAGGGGTAGCCGCAGCCGTAGCAGAAGCAGGAGAGGCAACAAGGGGAGAGACCGGCTCAGCAGGCCTGCTCGCATCGCTGCTCACTCGTGGCGTTTCTACCTCGACTAGCTTCTCGGCAGCCTTGCCGTTAGGCGACGCGGCGCCCGAGCTGGGAAGTGAAGCCTCTTCTGTCACGCGAGCCAAGGGCGACTTGCCAAATCCGGGCCGGCTGGGGCTGCCAAGCGGAGACGGCGAGCTCAGGCGCTGTAATGGCCGGCCACGGGGCTCTGACGGCGGTTCTGTCGGGCTGATGTAGGGCGAGCCAGTACCGGTCGGCGAGGCGACGACGCTCGGCGCCATGGACTTCCGCTTCGGGTTCGGTTGACGGCGGCCGAACTTCTGGTCCGTCCGCCACCGGAGAATGTCAAAGTAGCCTGGCTCGACCCGGCTGTTCTTGAATTCGCGCAGCTTCAGCTCGTTGCTGTCCTCTTCGATGAACCACTTGCCGCTGTTCAGGTCGTCGGCCACGATGGCAACAAAGGCAGACCATGACCGCGCGACCACGTACTTGGTATCGTAGTCACGACCAAACAAAATCACCTGGCCCCAAGTACCGGTGGGACCAGGGGCCAGATCAATCGCCAGGTTGTTGCCACCCCAATCACGGACCAGTGGTATCCAGGCCGGGTGAGCATAGACCTTCTGGACGGCGTTGGCGGGCACGCAGTCCTGGCGGGACTGCAGCTCCTGTCGCCACATGGGCCGGCCCGGAGCAGCGGTGGTGGACGGGGCCTTGGACGAGGAGGCCTCGTCGCTGCCCTCGCCATCGACGCTCCCGTTGCCAGCCTCGGCGCTGCTGGCCTTGGCAGCCTCAGCGGCGGCGGCAGCAGCGGCGGCAGCGGCGGCAGCCGACTGCTGCAGGTACTCCGAGTTCACCTTGCGCCAGTTGTCCCACTCCTGGACGATCTCTTCGCAGTCCAGCAGCATGCAGCCGAAGATGATGCCGGTGGGCAGGCCGCCGCGCTCCTGGCCATCGTGGGCCTGCAAGGAGTCGCGGACGTCCATGGGCAGGGAGCAGTCGAGCATGTGCTCGAGGTCATTGAGGTCGTTGGTGGTGCAGCCCTCGCAGAGGTTGTCGAACAGTTCAGGGAAGTTTTCCTCGGCCCAGCTGTCGATGCGCTCCCAGGAGCGGCTTATGGGGGGCGGTGGGGGCAGGCCGTCCTGAAACGCCTGCATGGGGATCTCGCCATTGGGTGTGGAGACCTCGAAGCCGTCGTGGGTTCGCTGACCCCGCCGGGCGCTCTCCGACCGCGCACCGGGTGAGTAGGGGGCCGGGCTCAGCGGCATGCCGGGACTGCGGAGGGGACGCTGGGACATGGCTGGGCTGAGGGCGCCCTCGTCGGTGTAGTAGGGAGAAGAGATGTCGGCGCGCGAGTCGGAGGCGGTAGCCACGGCGGCCAGGGCGCTCATGCGCCGGTTCTCGGAGCTGAGCGGCACATGTTGGCCAGTCCGATACGGAGAGTTGTACTCGGAATCTGCAGCTTGTCAGAAGCGAGTCACAAGACGCGGTAGCGCGTCGGCGGAGGGTCACGTACGGCGGTCATTGCTGGTCATGGAATGCCAAAAGGATTTAAAGGCCGCGCTGCGGCAGGGTCAGTGAGCGGTCCAGACCGGTCTCTCGGGCGAGGTGACGATTGACTCACGGGATCGACATTGTCGCAGCTCGGATCGGATGGCTGCAGCAGCCAACGCGCAGACGAGTGGGAAAGAATAGCGGGTGGATGATGTCAGCCGGCGATAACTGGTTGGAATGGAGGCGTTGTTGTTGTTGTTGTTATCGTGACTGTTATTATTGATGTTGATGTTGCTGTCGTTCCTTGTCCGGTTCGATCTTGGCGAGTAAAAGTGAGGCAGTGTTCGCAGTCGGATGACGGTCCTGAAAGAGACAGATGCGTAAAGGGATCTTGGCGTATTTGTGGGATCGGACACGAGCAGGGGCTCTCTTCTGGAAATGGGCAGTGGACGCCGGGGGGGGAGAGGGGGGGGGGACGGTTTTCGCTTTGTTTTAGAAAATGAAGGACTGGAATAGGAAGAGAAGAGAAGCGAGAGATGTGCCAATGGGCGCGATCGGACAAGGAAAAGAAAAAGACGGCCGAATTGAAATCAAAGGGGGAAGGAGTCGGGCGGGCGTGGTAGAATGAAGGGGAAGGAGCGAGATGAGGAAGAGAGGACAAGGAGGTAGGGAAAAGCGGCGAGGTCCCTCCCTGCCCCTTTCTCGCCCGTGGGGCGGGCAGCAGAAGAACGCGCAACAACAGGGGCGCCGGGGGGGCACAAGGGTTTTTTTTTATTGGGAGAGGGGGGCGGCTTAGTGCAGCTGGTGGTGCTGGCCGCCACTAGAAGCGCTACGCTGCTGGCGTGTGTGTTGCTGTAGGTGTGGCGCTTGGCCGCGGTTGGAGACGTGCGGGAGAAGCGGTGCAGGACGGACGAGGCGGACTGTGGGGATGTTCTATTGGGGGGCTCCACGCGTGGAGGAATGGACGGAGTGGTAAATACGGTGTGCGGCCGGTGCTGAGATCGATCAGACGAGGCTGTCTGGGGTGTTTTGTCTTGTTGCTGTTGGTTGTTGTCGGCTGTTGGTGTTGGCCGTTGTGCTGTGTTGTGTCCACCAGAACGGTATTCTACATTGTACTCCGTAGGATCCCTTCTACGAGGATCTTACTACACGTCTTCAGAGTCCGAGTACGTCCAACGCGTCTGCTCAAGTTGGCGTCTTCCGCCTCTCCCCTTTGTCGGTGTATGTCCACGTCTTGGGCTTATCGCAATCAAAGCCGGCGGTCCTTGTAATGAAAGACGATGGAGCCGGCCATCTTGCTCCGTCCTGCCCGGACCGGGCACAGACTCTGCTCGTGCCGGGCAGAGAGAAGAAAGACACTAAGAAAAATGAGAAGAACAAATCGAAGGAAAGACGCCGGCCGAACAGGGAAAAATAGGAGGCCGTCTCACCGAAAAGCTGCCAGTGCGACCCCTGTAGTATGCGGCCCACTTTTCTGCCTCTGGCCAATCAGCCGATGTGCGCCCCTAACGAGTCTCGCCTCCCCTTTTCCCTGTTCTGCAGACGACCTGCTTCCGACTGTCCAGACCAGTCTCTGTCTCTGCTGGATCGAGCTGGCGGCGGGCTCGGCCGGCGGTCTGTGCGGTGAGTGCATGCTTGGAATGTAGAAAGACATCAAGACTGATCATATCATCCATGGATGATGTTTTGCTCAAACTTATAGCCTCATACGGACTCCAGATGAGTAAGATACGTCGTAACATTGTCCATCTACGCATTCACCCAATCCACTCACATTCCATTCTCCCATGCACTTTCACTCCTCCGACTCCTCCCCTTCACCCTCACCCCTTGTCCCCACCCCTTACCCCTCACCCCCACCCTCCACCCCTCACCCTCACCCTCACCCTCACCCTCACCCTCACCCTCACCCTCACCCTCACCCTCACCCTCACCCTCACCCTCACCCTCACCCCCTCACTTCTGCCACGAATGCTCTCCCAGCTCCATCAGCTTCTCCCCCATCTGCCGCCGTGCCGCGTTCTCGATTCCGCGCTCCGGGTTCGCCAGCTGCTCCGAGTAGTACAGCTCGATCAGCTCCTTGAGCTCATCGTAGGAGAACGTATTGGCCTCGTCCGTTTGGGCTTCCTGGCCCTCACCCGTACCCCCACCCCCCTCCCGTCCCTTGGCCACGATCGCGTCCGGCCCCTGCTCAAAGAGCCGGTAGTAGTTCGCCGCCCGCGCCAGGTCCACGCCCTCCTCCACGTTCTTGAGGTTCTGCTGCAGCACCAGGATGTTGAGCTGCATCCGCCCGCAGCCCTTGCTGTTCATCGGCCGCACCATGCGCGCGTTGCCCACCAGATACGCGCCCGCCAGCTGGCCCAGCCCGGTGCGCACAAAGTTGGCCTCGCGCTCGCGCAGAAACCGCATCGCCGTCTCGTCGTACGCGATCAGCGCCCCGTTGAGCGCCAGGATCTGTGGATCCGGCTCGCTGACCTCCTGGTCCAGAAGATACGGCGCCGTCTGCGGCGACAGCGCCACGCCGAGCGCGTATGCGATGCGACACCGCACCTCCAGGTGCAGCGTCAAAAGAGCTGTCGTTGCCAGCTCTTCGCACGACGACACGATCCCGTCAAACGACTGCGCCGTCTCCTGGGTCATCGGCAGGTACACCGGCCCCCCGCCGGCTGCCTCGTCCACACCGCCGGCTCCTCCACCCGCAAACGCCCGGCTCGCGTCGTGCAGCAGCGTCCATCGTCGTCGTCCCGGCTTCGTCAGCGACGACGACGACCGCGTCGAGGCCGAGTCCGCGTCTTGCTGCGTGATGTGTCGCAGTCCCGCAATCTTGACCGCCAGCCATTTCATGCTCGTGTACAGCAGACACAACGACGTGATCGTCTCCCGGTCGGCAATCACGTCGCTCACGTCCAGCCGTCCGCTGCTGCCCTGTCGTGCTGCCCGTCTCATCAGCTGCTCCGCCTCCTGGCCCAGCAGCCCTTCTGTCGGCCCTGTCGTTCCTCCTGTCGCCTCCCACAACTGCTTCGCTGTTCGCGACACGTCGCCGTCCTCCAGCGCCAGTACTGCCGATAGCCGCAGTCGCGTCGTGTCGTCTCCGTCGCCGTCCACTCCCACACTGACACCCACGCCCACGCTGCCTTCTCCTTCCACTATACCCCCTCCCTCTCCTCCCTCCACCTCGACGCCTCGCTCCGGTGTCTTCGTCACGAGCGCCTTGTACCAGCTGAAGCATCGGTCGTAGTACCGCATCATCTGCGTGATGATCAGCGTGCTGAGCGCCTGGTCGTGCGGAATCGTCCCCAGCATCCGACAGAAGGCTGTGACGACCGAGAAAAAGGCCGTCGTGCCCTTGAATACCGGCTTGCGTGCCACCTGGCTCCACTGTGCGTCTGGCTGGAAGGCGTCTGCCTCGCCAAACACCGCCTCGCTCAGCTTGCCCAGCGTCTCGTCCAGCTGCGGCTGGAACACGTTGACCAGAAAGTTGTCCAGAAACGACGTCAGCGTGCTTGTCGCCAGGTCCGATCCCGGTGGCACAATGTTCTTCAGCCGCTGCAGAAAGACGAGTGTCGGCGGCAACAGCAGGCTCATGTTGAACACGCTCGGCTCTACCAGCGGCTTGCGCATCCCGTCCTGCTGGTGCTGATGCTGATGCTGTGATGATGCTGTCCCGTAGCCGAAGCTGATGATCTTGGAGCTGCCTCGTTTGCCGCCCGACCCCGATCGCCGGTTGCTGCTCCCTGTCCCGTCGTCGCTCGTCAGTCCCGGCACCGCTGACCGGATGATCCCGTCCAGCGCCTCGTACTCGGCCGCCATCTCGTCTGACCGCGCGTCCGACTCGGCAAACGAAAAAATACTCTTGCGTCCGCCGTTCGCCGCTCCGCCATAGCCGCCGGCTCCCGACATCGGCGAGTTGCTGAACCGGTACAGGTCTGCGTCGGTCGTCACGTAGTTGTGCAGCAGCGACCGGATCTCGTTCTGGTATAGATTCCACAGCTCCTTGAAGCTGCCCAGCAGCGCGCTGTTGTTGCCCGCGCCCTCGCGCCGGATCAGCGCCTTGATGTACTCGTGCAGCACCCGGTGACCCTCGGCAATCGCCTCAAACTTGCCGTACAGCGTCCATAGCAGATCGTAGATCACGTCCGCCCGCAGCTGCGTCTCCCGGCTGCCGTAGATGTGCAATCCGTTCGCGTTCGCCGACGACCCGCCACGCAGCGAGCTCGGGTGCTTGCGGTCCACCTCCGTCACCGCCTCGTTGACCACCCCAAACAGCTCCACCGGCAGCCGCTGCTTCAGCTGGTCCACCGCACCCTCCAGCCGGCCCAGCTTGTTGAGCGACTCCACCACCAGCGTGATGTAGTAGAACGTGTCCCGCTCCGGGTTGCGCGCCGGGTCCTCGCGCACCGCGTGCTCAAACTCCATCCCGTCCAGCAGCGCGTAGAACGGCGCCACCGTCGAGGCCGCGTTGCCGTAGTACGCTTCGTTGGCTGTCCCCTGGTGCTTTGCCAGCGCTTGCCACCGCTCCTGGCAGTACGGCGACTTGAGGTACATGTGTTCGTGCAGCTCCTCCACCAGGATGTCCATCAGCGCCGTCTCCTGGTTCGCCAGGTAGCTGCGCAGCTCGCTCAGGCCCCCGATCCCGTCCAGCTCTGGCTTCTGCAGCTTCCGCAGCGCGTTTTGCAACACGTCCACCGCCGTCAGGAACTGCTTCTCCGAGATCCGCGCCTCCAGCCGCTCCGGCACCTGTCGCAGCTCGTCCACGTCGTTCAGCGTCTGCAGCAGGTCGTCGTACATCTGTGACGACGCGTACAGCTTCTTCAGCTCCGGGTCTGTCTTGCACAGGTTCACCTTGCTCGCCGCCAGCGTCTCCTTCAGCCACCGCACCTTCTTCTGCGACGTCTGGATGCTGTTCTGGATCTTGTGGAACGTTCCGATCGAACTGTTGAAGCCCTGGTGGTAGTCGTGCACGATGCCTTTGAGCGAGTCCTGCAGGTATTGGTGCGTCTCCTGGAAACCCCGGTATTCGTGTGCTCGTCCGACCGAGCTCGAGTCCAGCAGCTGCAGCGCCATCTGCACCGGTACGCAGTCTGCCTCGCACATCGACGGCCATTCTTTTCGGATGTGGTCCAGCGTCTCCTGTCCGATCTGTCGCTCTGGTCGTCGTCGTGGCGGTGGCAGCTGTGGTGGCGCCTGCTGTTGCTCTTCTGCCTGCTTGAATCGTCCAGCCGCGCCGCGTGAGGCCGGCCCGCGCGACCGCTCTCGTGATGATGAACTCACGTATCCGTCGCCGTACGGGTCGTAGTCGTCGCTGGGCCTCAGTCGTGCCGTCGGCTTCGGTGACTGCTGCGGCTGCGCCTGTCGTTGTTGTTGTTGCTGCTGTGCCTGCTGTGGCGGCGCTTGTTGCGGCCGGCCAAAGTTGCCATAGCCGTTTGCGTTGCCGCGATACGAATTACCATACTTGTTCGACATCGGGACCACGCCTCGAGCTCTGTGTTGTCTGTGTCGTGGCTTCGTCCTCGGATTATGGAGATGGAGAAGCTGCGAAGCTGCGACAGCAAGTGTCCGAGCCTCCTTATCGCCTAGGCGGGGCTATCACGTGATTATGCACGTGATATAACCATTCGTATCACGGCTCCATTTGCTTCTTCTATCGACCAGTACCTCTTTTGCCTACCGGCTTTTCCTAAACGCAATCCCGCCTGGTCTTGTCCCAACGCCATCCTAATGACCGTTCATAACACAGAAACGCGGCAGCGATCCCTCCTAGACCTGCGCGTGGCCGCCACCGCGTACCTCCTCCTCCAGGCCGACGCCAATCTTCTTCTTGCCCTTGGCCTTCTTGCCGGCCTTGAAGTGCTTCTTGCCAGACAGAGCCCGGACCTCGCTCGGGTCGAGTCCGTTCTCCAGCGCCACCATCAGCCGCGCCTTGCGCCCGCTGAGCTGCTTGCCCGCCGCCTGGCCCTGCTCCGAGTACTTGTGGCTGAAAGGCATGTCCATGTGGCCGGCTGTTCCGCGCTGCGGCTTGAAAAACTCCTTGTCCAGCTTCTGCGTCTTGGGGCCGACCGGAAGCGCGATCATGTCGCTGGCCACCTCCGTCTCGCCGTCGTCCTCGCTCCCGCTGTTCGCCTCGTCCTCGGCCAGGGACATGCCTTGCATCGCGCCCGTCGCCTTCGCCGCCCCCAGTGCTACTCGCCGCTTTTCCGGCAGATGTGCCACGTCGTAGAGTCCGCGGTTGAACTCGACCGGGTCGTAGTCACCCGGTGGTGGCGCGCAGTACAGCAGCTTGCCGTTGACGTAGTCCTTGAGGATGTAGCGCGCCGCTCGCGACTCGTCCGGCTGGCCCTGGCCGGCCTTGGTGAAGCCGCGTGCTCGTGCATACGCCATCAGCAGCTCCTCCGCCGTCGGCATGCCCGTGCCACCCTCTTCCAGCGGCCGCAGCCGGATGTGCATGCCGTATACGGCCTCGAGAAAGGGCAGCGGTATCCGGTGCGCCACCAGTGCTGCCGGCCCCGTGAACTCGCGCAGCTGGTCGATCGGCAGCACGCCGTTGCACACCAGATCTGCCTTGGTCGTCGCAAAGTTGGCAAACACCAATCCGGGACAGTCACACAGGATCACCTTCTCGCTCAGGTGGATCGTCTGGAAGTGCTTCGTCTTTCCCGGCGTCGACGACACCGACACCTTTTTCGCGCCGATCAGGGCGTTGATCGTCGACGACTTGCCCACGTTGGGGTAGCCGACAAGACCGACTTGCAGTCTCCGGTCGGAATCTATGCACACCGTCAGCACCGTGTCGGGCTAAAGGTCAGACAAAGACTAAACTCACTGCTGTCATCCTTTGGCTGGAAGCTCAGGAAGAGCTCTTCAAGCTCCTCTACTGTGAGAATGTGTGTGTCCGGCTCGTCCTCGTTCGCATCATTGCTGACATCTGTCACCTCTCCTTTTGTCGCCTCCTCTTTGGGAGCAATGGCTGCACCGCCAGCAACTCTTTCCGTCTCGTCCTCAGACTCGTCCTCGGACCCTTCCTCGTCGCTGCTCTCGAACTCGCGCTGCTCGTTCAGCTCCTTGGCCAGATATGCCGAGAAAAACTTATAAGACACATTGGCCTTCTTCAAGTACGTGGCCCAGGCCAATCTCTGCTCTTCCGTCATCATGTCGGCCTTGTTGATCAACAGCAGGTTCTCCTTGCGCGGGTCGATCTCCTTGACGTAATCCTCCAGGTCTTCGGACCGGAACAGCAAGGGACTGCGTGCGTCGACAATCTGCACCACCAGGTCCGAGCGCTCAATCACTCGCCACAGCTGCCGCCAGACCTCGAGATTCCGCTCAAACGGAGTCATCAGCAGATCCTGGTTCTCCTGCAGCTCGGCAAGTCCTCGGCGCCACACCAAAAAGGACTCGCGCTCCATCAGGTCCAGCTCCCCCGGCGTCGTTGAGGCATCCCATTTCGGACGCCTCGGCACCGTCAGCCGGTCTCTGTTCTCCTTGTGCTTCTTCAGCGCTGTCCGTTCCTCTGCCGCCGTCAGAAGATACGGGTTCTTCTGGTCCGTGTGGATAATCTTGACATTGTTCATCTTCTGTGCCGTGAAGTCGGTGCCAGCCAACTGCGCCGTCGCCAAGAACTCCTCCAACGCGCCCTGTTCCGTCACGGAGCGCATCTTCACCCATCCGGCCTCGCGGCGCGCAGTAGTCACATACTGGAACGTCATAATGTCAGCGGACGTTTGGTCTGAAACTGTCTTATAAGTCGTCGCATTCGTCTGCGTACCTGCTCGCCAGTCACATGATCTGTCCGCGTAATAGAGGCGCCCTTGCGTCTGTCCGCTCCTTTTCCCTTGCCAAAGCGATCTTTCATCAACGTGTTGCCCAGACCAACAGAGGTCTTGGACTTTGGTAAAACCATGGTGACTGGTCGAATGCCGTTATATCCTCGAGACTGTTACGAAAGGGAAGAGCAAAATGGCCGAGCACTATGTTTTGTACAGAGTATCCCTAGGTCGCCTGTACTCTAGGATTGAAAAATTGAGACGTTGAAGAAATGGCAGAGTGTCTAGAGACGCTTCAGAAGCCCTGATTTGGATGCGATGATTCTTCTAACGTCAGTGCTGATTAATTGCAGCGGGGGCAATTTTTTTTTCTTGGAACACCCCTCCAGAAAGGTAGATACGATAAGATAGAAAAGCGGGTCTTTTTCTGCCGAACATATTTTTTCCCACAGAATCGCATACTAGAGACTTGCAACCCGCCATCTATGCACACCAAGATATCTCGATTGTGATCGATCCAGCCAAGCGAGATATATCCGACGACTGTTACTGCAGGAAAGAAAGGACTTCCAGTCCCGTGCTCTTACTTACCGACAACAGCCATGCCTCGACGCAAGTGGATGTAAGCATGCGCTGCCTGGCTGCCTGGCATATTCTTTGCCGTTCTGACTGGTATTGGCAGTGACAAGAAGTCGGCGTCGCACTTCACGCTCGTGCACCGGCCCCAAAATGATCCGCGCATCCACGATGAGTCGGCACCGGCCATGGTGCTGAACCCGACAGAGACACCGAATGCGCACAAGTCCAAGAAACTCGACGAGCTGGCCTCGCAGCTGGGCGAGGAGGCCGAGCAGATCCGGTCCAACGAGGGCGAAGCGGCCAACTATGGCGTCTACTTTGACGACTCGTCATACGACTACATGCAGCATCTCCGGGAGATTGGCAGCGGCGGTGGCGAGGCCGTCTTTGTCGAGTCGTCGGCATCGCTGAACAAGGACAAGGGGAAGCAGAAGCAGCCGCTGGCCGAGGCGCTGAAGCAGATGGACCTGCAGGACCGGTCCGAAGACCTGTTGGACGAGGACATTCTGCCGTCCAAGAACTTGCAGCGGGTGACGTACCAGAACCAGCAGGACGTGCCCGACGTCATTGCCGGCTTCAAGCCGGACATGGACCCGCGGCTGCGGGAGGTTCTGGAGGCGCTTGAGGACGAGGAGTACGTAGACGACAACGACGATGACCTGTTCAAGCAGCTGGCCAAGGACGGCGAGGAGCTGGACGTATATGCGTTTGAGGACACGTACTCGGAGCAGGCCTTTGACGACGAGGATGACGAGGGCTGGGAGTCGGACGCGACCGAGCGACCAGCCAAGGCCCGCAGCGAGGACGGCGAGGGCGAGGACCAAGACCGGGTTCCCGACCTGGTCGACACGGCGACAACGGGCAATGGGCCGCGGCCATCGGAGGCGTGGATGGAGGACTTCAACCAGTTCAAAAAGGACCAAAAGGACCAGACCAAGACGCGCAAGCCGATCGTGCCGGCCATGTCGGAGATCCAGTCGTCGATCTGGACGACGACGACCAATGGTGGCCGCAAGAAGAAGAGAAAGGGGGCGCTGACGCAGCAGTCGGGCTTCTCGATGACATCGTCGTCGCTCGTGCGCACAGAGCAGCTCACGCTGCTGGACGCGCGCTTCGACAAGATCGACGAGCTGTACAACGAGGACATGGACGACATGAAGTCGGTGTCGGCCTTCTCGTCCGCCTCCAGCGTGCAGGGGCCGATGCGCGGCGACTTTGACAACATCATGGATGACTTCCTGGGCGGCTACTCGATGCAGGGCAAGCGATCGATCCGCAAAGGCCGGCCCCAGACCGGCATCGAGCAGCTCGAGGAGATCCGTCAAGGCCTGGGGCCTGCACGGCTGACGACGCGGCGGAAATAGAGAGGGTGGAGCATCGTGGAAACAAAATATGGGCGTCGTGTGCTTATTGAATACTGAAGCTGCTTAGCGGGAACGATATCATGGCAAGTGAATGGAAAGAGGGAATTAAAATCACTGAAATCTCCAACGTTAAAGAGCCTTGTTACACGAGCGGGGCGTCTCTCCCAACCCCTCGCTTGGTCGGTGGCGAGCTGTCATGCGATTTGGGCCATCGTAAGATACGTTGTGGTGAATGGCCAAAAGGCAGAAGGATGAAGAGCTTGTCACAAATAGGGAGGCAGGAGCTTGAGACAGCGCTACGCCCAAACGAGACACTTGTCGGGCGGTCAGTCACGGCAGATGAATCGCATCTCTAGTGAGATGTTCGTGTAGACTCAACAAAAAGCACAATAGCAGCAGCATCACGACCTGGCCTCGACAGCGCCCCGACGAGCACAGCCGAAGCAACCGGGCCACAACACGCATGACGAGCATCGCCGGAGGCGTCCGCATCTACTGAAATATCTGTCGACCGCGCACGTCCGTCCGGTTCATTGCGTTGCAGGCCGCGGCGACGTTCCCGCAGCTCGGCCCCCGATGATCGTGAAGCGCGTCTGTCACAATGGCCTTCTCCGGTAGCGCAGTGTCGGGCGGCCTGCCGGGAGCACAAGCTTCTGGCCTATTTGGCCGAACACCGCCGAGTAAGTCAATCATCCTGCCACTACGTTCACCCTCAGCTCTGCCTCGTCTCGGCCGCTCCTCGTTTTTTGTCAAGCCCTTTTTTCCTTTCTCGACCAAGCTTCTCTACCTCGCCCTCTTCCCTCCTCCTTCTTCCTGTCTTCCCGGCTTCCGCCATAAGCTCCGACTGCGATGATCCCGATATTTCCTCGATTCTCGACGGACTTTATCGAACTGCTTCGCTACTGCTAGTCACGCAACATATACCATGGCGCCGGCCGCCTTTTCGCTTTCCAACTGCACAGCAGGATCCAAGGACATGGCAAACCAGAATCTGTCTCATGACAACTCGTCTATGGAAATGTCGACCGAAGACTTAGTGGCCTTGAAACGGCAGCAGCCTCGTTGTGGGTCTCCCACCTCCAAATACATGTCGGCAAACCTTCCGTCGAAGCTGGTGCCCTTGACGTCTTTGGCAGACGACTCATCATTGGCCATGTCTCTGTCGTTGATGTCCCTGTCGACTTCGGATTCTTTAGCAAAGCCTGAAAGTGGGAAGCAGTCCCGACCTCCGCGGTCAGCTCTGAACATGTTTCTTCCGGCGTCTTCCAAAGTCGACCCCGACGCACCGCCCAAGTTTATAAAGAGACGGCCAAAGACTTCTTGCCTCTTGAAGATTCCCAGACCCAAGAAACGTCCGGCATTGAGCACGGCCAAGGCCAACGTGTCGCCGGACCCGGCTGCCAGCGGGTCTGCGGATAACCCTGCAGCAGGCGAGACCGAACAGCCTGAAGCCCCGCCGCTCCGAAAGGCCGCCTTCACCTTTCCCCCGGGTTTCCTGAAGATGGTCGGGCCTGATCTGCCAGCACAAACGGCACAGGCTCAGAGCATTGCAAAGGAGCCAGCCACAGCGACAACTGTCTCAGAATTGGAGACTGCTCCAGAGGTGGCAAAGACACCGGTGGCTATCAAAGAGCCGGAGAAAGCTGCGTATTCAGCAAACGTCGATGAGGCTGCAAACGTTTCGGGACTGGCTGAGATTGTACAAGAACCAGACGCTGGGCGTGCAACGATGATGGAACAGCCAGAGTCACAAGAGATCACAGAGAATCCAGACACAGGCACCGGAGCCGCCTCATTCACTATGCCGCCAAAACGGGTCGCTTCCATTTTCGCGCCTGGCTGTTTGACGATTCTTCCTCCAGGACCGCCAACTGGATTGTCGGAGGTCAAGCAAGCAGAAGCCAAGCCAGCCAAAGACAAGGACGTGGCAGAAGCTCCGAAGCCACCGCCCAAGAGGACACGCATTTTTGCACCGGGCTGTCCAAATATCACTACGCCAGAACGCCCTCCGGAGTTGAAGCCAACTGCCCCGACAGCTGTTGTTGCGCAGCCACAGCAGCCGCAGCCGCGAAAGGCTGCCGTCACCTTCGCTCCCGGATGTCTGAAGATTGTACCAGTATCCAGCCCTGCAAAAGCCGAGAGCGCCGGCGTCAAGCTGTCACCGCCAACGACTGCCTCGACACCCAATGTCCCTCCTATGTGTGTGAACATGGCCGTCTTGGACCGGCAGAATGCAGCCTCGGGCTCTGACAAGGAGAACATGGCTCCGGCGTCCAAGAGGGTCTGGAAGACGGCATCATCGGGTTACGTCGCCAAGAAAACAGAGAAGCCTGCGGTGAAGGTGTTGGCGGACAAGGAGGTCGCTACACCAGAGTCTGCGAAGCCAAAACGGCAATCGACAACCGCGGGCGTGGGAAAGGAGAATGCCAACCCCAAGCTGGCAGCGAAGACATCTGCGGACAAGGTTGCGGTACGCCGGGTGTCTCGGCCATGGACTTTGAAGAAGCAGTCCCTCCTGTCGGAGGCAGACAAGCCCGAGACGCCGGCAGAGGCGCCGGCAGAGCGGTCTTCCGAGCGGCCGGCTCTCGCAGTCAAAGCGGTGCAGCAGTCGAAGAGCGTGCAGGCGGATCAAGCGAAGCCGACCAGGACGACAAAGCCAGACAAGGCAGTCCCATCGGTTTCTCGCCAGTTCTGCGTCTGGCGAGACGGCAAGGAGCAGCCGCAGGACCAGCAGAGACGAGAACGGGACTGGATCTGCCCCAGCACACTGCCCGACCCTCTCTTCACCGTTCCCGACACCATGACTGTGCAGCACAAGCCGCCGGGACGCGGTTTTGTGGCCCTTGTTAGGAGAATGCAGCTGCTTACCATTCATGACCAAGACACAGGCATAGTAGGACCTACCCAAGTGAACGGAGACGCCAAGGCGGCCGCTGCAGCGAGCAACCCGTTTGCGGCCGCTTTTCAACAACAGCAACAACAGCAACAACAGCAACAGATACCACCACCAGCATTCGCCAACCCGTTTGCGGCGAAAGCGCCGAGTCAGCTCGCAGCTGCATCCTCGGCCCCCTCGATCTTTGCCCGCGGAGGCTCGCCGGTGACGACAGATTCTGCGGCCGCAGTCAACCCGTTCCAGGCGGCGCTGAAGAAGACGCCTGCTTTTGGACAGACATCGAGCCAATCACAGGCTGTGCCTACTTTTGGGCTCACAAGCCAGACACAAGCTGCACCTGCATTTGGGCATACAAGCCAGACGCTGGCCAGCAACCCGTTCCAGAAAGCGGCGACACAACCGGCAGCCGTGTTTTCCGGCGCGCCAAAGACCAACGGCACGACCTCGACGACATTCGGCCAGGCCAAAAAGACGGTGCACTTTGACGTCCAAGAAACGCCATTGACCCAGCCGCAGACCGAATATGCCAGACGGATCTATGTACAACTGGAAAAGGACAAGATCCGGCCTCCACAATGGCCGACAGACGCGGGCGATCCGGCGAAGCGTAGCGTGATGGAGACGTTCCGCGAGAGCTACAAGAAGTACCGAGAACGGGTACGAGCATCGCTGGTCAAGGGAGGGCTGATTGACGATCCGGACGTGCGTAAGCGACTGGACGAGGCGATCGACTTTAAGGGCATCTGCGAGGAGATGTGTCCCGAGTTTGAAAAGATGAGCCGGATGGTGCAGTACGACGTGAAGATGGCGGAGAAGACCGAGGGCCCAGACGGAACGATGTGGGCGGCACCAGAGCTGATGGTGAAGGCGCTGGCACGATCGGCCGCCGGCCAAGAGGCGCCGCTGCCGATGGATGTGCGGTCGGTGGGAGCGCTGAAGCGAACGCTGGACTACCTGGTAGACACAGTGCTGGGCGACGACAGCCGGCTAGCGACGACGCACAACTTTCTCTGGGACCGGACGCGGGCGATCCGACGCGACTTTGTCTTCCATTCAAGCATGACGGCGTCCGAGATGGGCGAGCAGGTGTATTGTCTCGAGACGATCACGCGGTTCCACGCGACGGCGCTGCACCAGCTCTCGCGGCGCGGGTTCGCAGCCGAGGACTTTTCGGAGCAGCAGGAGCGCGAGCAGCTCGGCAAGGCGCTGTTGTCGCTGATGCAGGCATATGACGACTGCCGGGAGCGTGAGGTCACGTGCTCCCATGAAGCGGAGTTCCGGGCGTATTTTGTGCTGCTCAACGCGCACGACCCGGACTTCCAGCACAAGGTGACGGAATGGGGTGCCGGGCTATGGCGCGGTTCGGACGAGATCCAGACGGCCCTGACGCTGGTCGAGGCCATGCAGAGCGTGTGGGACTGGCGTGGTCCGGTGCGGCCGGCGATGCCGACGACGCTGGCCCTCGGTGCCGGCTCCGTCTTTTTCCGCATCGTCGCCAGCGCCCAGGTGTCGTACACGATGGCCTGTCTGGCCGAGATTCATTTTGTGCACGTGAGGCGTGGCATCCTGCGCAACGTCGTGCGGGCATATGCGCGCACGCGCGACAGTCCGCGCGACCTGACCGTGGCCGTGCTCAACGAGATGCTCTGGTTCGACAGCGACGACGAGGCCCGTGAGTTTGTCACGGCACACGGGCTGTCCTTTTCGGCCGGCGCCGGCGCCTCGGACCCCCCACACCTCCTGCTGCAGGACCGCACCGGGGCGGCAACCCAAGTTGGCAGCCCGACGGTGCGGCAATCCTTCTCGCATAAGTTGGTGGAGCGGAAGCGTGGAGGCCGGTCGCTGCCGGAGCTGATCCACACGACCGTGCTTGAGGAGGGGGGGGTCGAGGATGTTGGCGGCAGCATGGACATCAACGATACCAGCAACGACACCAACTCCATCTTTGTCGATCAGTCGCCCACACCCCCATCGACCGAGGACTCGGCATCGGTTTTGGCTCCGTTTGCGACCGCTTCAACTCCTTTTGCGGTTTCGTCGACTCCCTTTGGGACCACCCCAACGAAACCAGTCGCATCCGTGTTTGCTCCCAAACCTGTCTCCGCGCCCTCCATCTTTGGTGCAGCCGCCTCTCCATTTGCCACGAACAATAGCGGCTCACAGACTGCTCCATCGCCCTTCCAGAGCAATCTTCCACCACCGCCTGCTGCACGCTCCACGACACCAACGGGATCGCCGACTCGCCCGACAGAGCCGGCCATGCCGCCGAGAAGCATCTTTGACCAGCTGCCAGCACAGCCAGCCAGCACGCTGTTCTCACAGGCTCCACCCAAGCCTGAAGCACCCGCACCAGCAACAGTCTTCCAGCCGGCCCCAACACCAGCCCCGGCCTCATCGTTCTCATCCCTCTTCCCGTCTGCCGTCACCAACACAACAGCGATGACAGCCCCGACAGCCCCGACAGCCGCACCGGCCGCTCATTTTCCGACAAAGACAGCAGAAGACGTCCCGAATCAGGCGTCAAAATCCACAACCCCAGAGGCGACGCCGCCAAGCAGCTTCATGTCGGCACCCAAGCTTCCACCACCACAGACGTCTGTAGCTCCGACAGCTCCGACAGCTCCCACGGCACCGGCCCCTGTCATGGACCCGCTTGGCGACTTCACGAAGTGGTTCGTCCTCGGCGACGATGGCATGCTGGACGAGTTCAAGGAGGCCCTGGTGGAGCACCTGGTGCGACAGACGGTGGAGCAGTATCGGCGAGACGAGGAAGAGCGACAACGACAGGAAGAAGACGCGCAGTCGTGGGTGGAGGCGCTGCGCTTCAAGAAGTACAACCTGCGGGTCAAGTTCTTCTACCGGTGGCGTGACACGGCGCGCGAGCGGGCGCTGGACCGACGAGCACGACAGTCCCGCGACCAGATGAAGGCGTACCAGGAGGCGAAGCGGGCGGAGCAACGAGCAGCAGCAGAGAAGGCAGCGGCCGAGAAGCGCGAGCGAGCAGCCGAGGCGCGGCGGAGGAGCAGCCGAGAAGTCAAGTTCCTCGAGGAGCTCGGCTACTATAGCGAGATGGCAGCGAGCTCGAGAAAGCGAAAGGCAGTAGCAGCTGGCGAAGGGGTGACCGAACCGGAAGCGACCAGACACGACGGCGCAGACGCGCTGCTGGCCACCGGCGTCCTCCGTGGCGTCCACGACGAGCAGGCGGCTGCATCCCGGGTCGTCCGAGAGGCCTCGGCCCTGATGCTGGGCAAGCGAGGCCGCACCAGTCTCGACAGTGTCCACAGCATCGGCAGCATCGGCAGCAGCGACAGTCTGGACGATGCCGACAGCACCGGCGACAGCATCCACGACACGGCCAACGAGACGGCCAACGATGCCGGCAGCATCCGCAGCGTGCGCAGCAACCGAAGCGACCGGAGCCGCGACGACGGCAGCAGCAAGTTTGTCTACTACCGTCGGTCGGTGCCGGGTCGCGGCCGTGTCCAGAGCATCTTCACGCGCGTGACGCCACGGGCCGTCGAGAAAGACAGGACGGGCAGGGGCCTGTCGCCGTCACCGTCGTCGGCGGGTCGGAAGCCGGGCAAGATGACCAACTTTATGCGGTACGACAACAAAAAGCGGTGGTCATGGTCGTCATCGATGCCGCCGGGTGGTCGTGGAAGTGGCGATCGAGGCAGCCCCACGCCGTCCCAGTCGCTCTCGCAGTCGCAGTCTTTCTCCATGTCGACCAGTGCTGCCGGCACGGCCACCGGCCTCGGCTTAGGGTCCGGATCCGGATCCGGGTCCAGGGTTCGGTCGAGCTACTGGCGGCTGCGCGCCATGGGACTCGTCCAGATGCCCAACGGCCAGTACCTGCACGAGTCGCTGGCTCTGCCAATGCTGCAGGACGGCCGGCGATTCCGCGGCGTCGGCAGCTACGGCATGCCGTCCGTCCCGCCGGTGCCCACACCCTCCTGGGACGACGACGGGAAAGGCCGGAGCAGCAGCCGCCGGCGCAGCGAAGACGACCCACCACTACCGCCTCCAGCCGCCAAAAAGGCCAGGACCCAGGACGGGATCCCCGCCACAGAAGCAGGACCGACAACAGCTGCAACAGCTGCCACAGCATCCACGGCGCTCGATCTGCACGAAACCGAGCGGGTCATCCGCGAGATGCGCGAGCTGGCCGACGCCATGGACCAGGACCGCGACTGGTTCCGGGAACAGACGGAACTACTCCAAAAAGGAACGTCCGTATGGGACCAGTAGGAGGCCGGTGTGGAAGGCGAGATCTGTTTCCAGTGTTGCTGTGTTCCGCATCCTCTTTGCATCCGGGGAAACACCCCGTCTGTTTGTACTCCTCGGGGACAGTACATAGATATTGTGTGTGTGTGTGTGTGTGTGTGGCGATATCCATCTCGGCGTTCTCTTGTTGCTTTCTTCATTGTTCTCCTTTCTTATCCGCCACGGCATCTGTAATGTAAGATAGCATATCTTGTTTGGGAGCGGTTGCAACAAAACCTCAGGCACAATGTCTGGTATCATATACAGCCATGTTTACACCTAGTCGGAACAGAGTGCATCAATAAAAAGCAAAGCGTACACAACACCATCTCGCGATATTTTCCAAGAAAGCAGGATGCCAAGATTTGAATAAGGGCTAAGCATACACAACAAAACACAAGATACATGTCGGCCGTAAACAGAGAAGGATTCCAAAAATAGCCCCAAAATGTGCCAGCAGAAACGCCGAGCCCTCACCTCCGTCCCGGTGGCCCAGGAAAGTCGACCTTGATCGACTGTGTCGACTCCGGGCTGCCGCCCTTCTTTGCCTTCTTTCGCCCGGGCACGTTCGCCTGTTGCACCAGCTCTAGGTCCATGCGCTCCAGATGGCCCATGCTGTCAGGTGACGTGGCGCCATGGAAGCCGCTGTTGTGAAGCGGACGTGGCGGAAGATCTGTTGATGGCTGCGATGGCATACTGCCCGACACAATGCCTAGCCCGCCAAACCCGCTGTAGCCACCGCCGTCTTCCGCGTTCGGCCTGTACGCTGCCGGCATGTATGGCGCGAACAGCGCCTGCGCCTGTTGCTGCCGTAGCTGTGCCGTCGGTGACATGCTGGCATCGGGGAACGCTGCTGTCGCCGCCGGGAGCAGTGCTGTGGCCGACGTCGGCGTCGAGAACACCGGCGAGTCGTACATGGTTGGACTGATACGATTGCCGCCGCCATAGTAGCCGCCTTGGCTGCTGGGCGTGTGTGTAAACGCAGACGGCGGCGACATCGGCGACAGGTGCTGCAAGCTGGCCGCGGCCGCAGCCGACGTCGGCAATGGCTCTTTTCTAGAGGTTCTCGGCAGCAACGTGGTGAGCTGTGGCAGCTCTGGCAGTCTGGCCTGGGGATGGGAGGCCGGCGGACAGGCAAGGTCGGATGTCACCGTGTAGGGTGATGGTGACAGGGGCAGCAGCTGCGATTCCGACATATCTCTCCTGCTCTCAGAGGCGGGAGCAAACTGCATACCCACGTGTAGAGGCGATTCCGATGCTAGACCCGGCCTGCCCATCCTCTTCTCCAACGTACTTTCGTTCTGCATCATGGTTGAAGCCATCGACATCGGCTGCAGGTATGACATCCGGTTCAGGCCACCCGAAAACGTGCCGCCGGGGATGGGGCTGCCAATGTCACAACCGCCGAGTCCGAGCGAGTCGATCTTGATGCCCTGACTGCCGTTGCCGAATCCGCCGCTTCGCCTGCGTTGAGCCCTCCGCTTGCGATATAGCACAAAGGTGACGGCAGAGATTGCCGCCACGATCACGACGGCCACGATCGCAATGGCCGCAGCAGTGGTTGTCCGGATGTGGGACCCTCTGGACCTGCTCGACGTGCTGGACGCTGTGCTCGAGGCCGACGTGATGCTGATCACGGTCGTGGCAAAAACGCTGTCGCTCAGACCAACGACCAACTCTCCAGACGGCTTTTGGATACAGCCGGCTTCCAGGGCCACGAGGGCTAGAAAAAGGGACTCGTCAGCTATGGCATCTGCGTTGCGTTGTCGACAAACTGCATCTTACCATTCGATACCGTCACGCCCGAGTCCAAGGCAGACACACACGAGAGACACTGACTGTAGGCGCTGCCAGTCATTGTGCTGCTGTCCACGCTGCAGTAGTCAAACTCAGAGTGGTTGCCCATGCCGGGGATGCCATCCTCCAGCGCATTCAGCAACTGCCCGCAAGCCGTCGTTGTCTGGCAAGGATTGGTCCCGGTGTCGGATCCATTGGGATAGCCGAAAATGCAGTAGTCGAAATTGTACCGCAGGTTGTCTGCGGCTGTCAGCAAGCTGTCGAACAGGATCCCAACCACGGCTCTAGCTGGACCTACAGAAGAACCAGCCCTGGTCGTTTTCGCTGCCCTGGGAAAAGGTACTGTTCTGCAGACAGCTGAGGCAGGACGTCCACTTCTGGCCCACCGTAGAGGAGGTGAAGTCGGAGTCTTGACACGAAAGGTCGGCTTTCAGTGTGTTGGACGAGTTCGGGTCGGATACGTCCAGGTCACTGCTGTCGATGCAGATGCTGGAACACGGCGAGTTGGGAGTGACCTGGATTCCAGACGTAAGTCTCGGCTGCACAGCCAGCGAGAGCAACAAGACGCAACCCGGAACAGAGGGGATTCGCAAACTCGGAAACCTGGGACGCCGAGCAGCCATATTATGAGAGATTGCTGTTTGGCCGAATTGGGGAAAACGAGAGCCTAAAATCCAGTGTAGAAAAGATAGAGAAAAGATATACACAGGAAGGAAGCGGGCGGTCGGTCGTCACTTCCACACTCGCCAAGGGTATAAGGCAGATAATTCTCTGTAGTTCTGAAGAGATTGAAGGTTGATTGAGCAGCTGGCAACCGACTGACTGCCTGCAGAAAGTCGAGTCTGTGAAAAGAATGGTAGACCGAAGGGCCCGGCACTTGTGATCTCTAAGAGAACGAAATAAGGAAATTGAGAAGACGGAAATATTTTTCTTGTTCTTTATCACGATCACTGCTTGTGCCATGCATCGAGGACATAACGTTTACATATACCGAGACCACCCCTGTCCAGTCTGTCCTTTCGAGCCGCCTGGCATTGCATAGTACCAATCTTTCGACGGTGAGCCTAGCACATCTGCGTCCCCAGAATGTGATAATAAACACCAACAAGCGTGAGGGCGCAGCAGAATCAGAATAGAGCATGAGTCGATTAAACTACCTGTGGGCGCTAAAACGACAAGGTCTTAGCGAAAGTCCCTCCAGGGAGGGGGTCATACAGAAATTGCCCCTGGGGATGGGATGAGCCTACGGCTAGCCCAGAAAGCGCCCTGCGGGTCGCGGATGCGATGTTCATCAGTCTCATAACATGTGCAGCTCGTTTGACGCAAGTTTCCATGTTGCAATGGGTTTGTGATATGTGCGGCGGCTATTCGCTGAATGACCGTCTTCCTTTTCCGATCGCTACCAATACTGGCCTACGGAAGCAATGTCTCTCCGCGAGCAACGACTGAGCATCATACCACAAGTCTTCAGATCGGTCTCTGAACTGCCTTCTGTCGCTCGTAGCGGTAGACGAGATCCCCGGTTTTATTTCCTCTTCAAGAAGAGGCCTACTCACTCATTGGCTGGAACACAACCGCAGCGCTTAGATACATTAAAGTCACAGCTTCTGCACTTTGATTCGCTGGTCTCCTTTTCAAGTGGAAGCTCACTTTGCTGAACCATTTCTTGGGCGTGCTCCACAGCACCACTTGACCGTGACCACGGCTATACGGAGTAGCGAGCGCTTCCGTCCCTAATCTGTCACTGTCGCAGGCGGAGAACTGTATGGAGGTCTCATGCAGAGTCCAGAACCTAGCACATGTAGCATGATCACTAGCCTCCCCTCAGCCTCTAGTTGGCGTCAATTCCGTATCACAAGCATCATACACTGTCTGGACTGCTCCTCAAGCACGGCCTCAACCCAATGCCGGTTCACCGTACTCTCCAAGTCGTCCCAGGCAAGCATGGCATTGGCAAAAAGTAAGAACAGATCGGTAAAATCCAACTTTTTGGTAAATTACAGGTCATATGAACGCCCCAAAAACACCAACTCCCTTTATGGGCACAAAAAGGTGAAAAGCAGAAGTCAAGCCCAAAAAAGACGTCCCAAAGATGACAACGATCAACAATATGATGCGGACCCCAAGTGCGGCCTTTGTCCTTCCGCCATCTCTATCCGCTCCCTCGCGCGAGGCAGTGGCTTCTCAGTCGCTGTCCTCGCCAGCAGCAGCCTTCTTGGCCTTCTTCTCGGCCTTGCGGCGCTTGCGCTCTGCCTTCTCCTCAGCAGTCTCGCCCTCGTGCTTCTTGCGCTTCTTGCTGTCCTTGTCCTCTGTCGCCGGCGTCTCGGCAACCTCAACAGCCGCAGCCTTGGAGGGCGTCGCCGCAGCAGGAGCGCTTGCCTCTGTTGCCGGAGCCTCAGAGCTTGGTGCACCCGTACCCGGCTTCGAGTAGTCAACGTAGCCATCCGCCCACTTGGCCGGTGTCGCGTCATTCGGCCGTCCAAACTTGTCCAACTTGCCATCTGCCTTGAGCTTCTTCTTCTCCGCCGCCACGGGGCCGAGGCCCCACCGCCGGGGGTAGAGGTCGCGCTCCATGATGCAGCGCTTCACCTTGGCAACAACGCCGTGATCGCAGGTGCTCATCTCGACAGTGGACCTGCTATAGTCAGTATGAAGAGCTACCGTATGAACAAAGGTGTGAAAAAGGAAACGGGATTCTCACATCTGTGCAATACCAATGGCAATGGCCTCGCCCTTGGTGGTCATGAGGACAACCTCTTCGTGGTGTTCTAAGATTGTTAGCTAATGTACGTAGATGCTGCTGACTTGCATCGCCGCCATGTCACGTACCAATGCCAGTTTCTGTGAGGTTGTTAGTAAGCCGCCATTCCCATTAAAAACAAATCAGGCATAGAGAGAAAACATACCATAGCGCAGAAGACCCGGAAGCATCAGTTTGGCACCGTAGCAGACGGCGTTGACGGCACTGTCCTTAACGACAAGGCGCTTGTAGCCCGTCAGAAGCGACTCGAGGGGCTGGATGATCTTGCGGAGGTAGGACTCGTCGCGCGTGTTGTCGTACAGCCACTGAGCATCGAGAACGTCGTGCAGCGTCACGAGGTCCTTGGTCTCGTCCATGGCGCCACTGCGGACACGGCGCAGCTCCTGCATGTGAGCACCGACGCCGAGCAACAGACCCAGGTGGACGCAAAGCGTACGCATGTACGTGCCGGCCTCGCAGCTGGCCCAGAAGACGAAAAGACCACGGTCGTTGTCGAACTCGATCACCTTGCTCTCATAGATCTAGGAGGAGCACGAAGAAGTTAGCTTATTTCCAAGCTTGGCAGAGAGGAGAGTGGTTGAAAGTGGTTCAACTTACACTGCGGATACGCAGCTGCCGCTTGACGGCCGAGATAAGAGGCGGACGCTGGAAGAGCGCACCCGTCAGGGTCTCGAGAGCCTGGGCCACCTGCGGCTCACCACCAGGCACACGGCCGTGAAGGCGGGCTATGCACACATACTCCTTACCGGCACCCTGCTGGGACTTGACCAAGCGAGTGGCGCGGTCAACGCAGACAATCAGACAGCCAGTGACTTTGGGCTAAACTGGTCAGAAACAAGCGTGAAGATGAGCGGGAGAGGACAGATAGAAACGTACATCCAGAGTACCAGAGTGGCCAGTTTTCTCGACGCTGCACAAGTCGGTCAGTAAATGCTTGCCCCGCCTGCCGTTTGTCGACGCTCCCTCGTCCACACAACCACCTACCGGAGAATGCGCTTGACCCATGCCACCACCTCGTGACTCGACGGGTTCGACGGCTTGTCCAAGTTGATCACACCCGAGCTGACATAGGACTTGAGATCGCGACGCAGCGGCGAGCTGCCGTGGGGAATGGGCGTGAAATGACCCGTGCGGATGAGCACTAGACGGGTTAGCACAAGGAACCCCCCTCTCTCGGAGCGACCGCCATGCAAAACGCACAGTTGTCGAAGTTCTTCAGGAGAAGAGGCCAGTTGCTCGTATCGACAGCCGGCGCGGTCGCCTGAGGCTTGATCGTGTACTCGTCGTCCTTAACCGCCTCCGACATGGTGAATATCTGAATAATTATTCTTTACGTATATCCCGCTTTCCTTCTAGTTGAATAAAATGCCGCAGCTGTCGAAACAAGAGGGCAATTGAGCGGCTTGCGACTGCAGGTTGCTGTAGGTTCTGGTCAAAAAAGGCTTCCGAAAATTTTAGGACAAAAAAGTTTCTAGATAAAAAAAAGCTGCTGGTGTGAAAATAAATGGGCCCACTTCTAATGGGCCAATCAATTACTCATAGTTTATCGATAAGATAAGATAGGTGAAGGAGCACCAGCCACAAAGCCACGATGAATTACAATGTTAAAACTTTGTACAGAAACAGCACTGTCAGAACAAAAAGTCGCCTGCGATGTACTCTCCGTGGCTGACAGAACAAATCGGATATCATACTTTCCCTAACTCCAGAATTCGATATAGTATCCAGACTTGATAAATAAATATGAATTCAGCAAACTAAGACTTCACACAGCTTTGACACTTTTGGCGTCTGCCTCAGTAAGCCCGCCGTATGGTGTTGATGAACCTGACGATGTGGGTGAATGTCCGCTGCGGCCATATCCTGGATGTCGCAGAGCAGGAACTGACGCTGAAGGGCCTGCAATTGGATTTCCATTACTGTCGATCTCTCTTAGTTCGTATGACTCATTGTTGCCTTGGGTTTCTTTCGCAAACATCCCCGATGATGGGACCTGACTGAACCCTACTATTGGTTGCGACGATTTCGACAGGTAAGAATCATCGTGTGTTGCTCCACCGCTCATATTAGAGCTCAATCTGCTTATGCCTGGGCTGGAGCTGTCAACTGCATGGCCGATTTGAGCCAGCTCCCGTTCGTGAGCCACCCGCTCAAACCGTTCCTGTGTCGGACTGTAGTGCTGACTTGCGGAGTTGCTACTGCCAACCCCCGGATCAATTTCAGCGCCTGTATACGACTTAAACATGAGGTCGCTACCGCTTGGAGAAAAGGCGTCTGGTATAGAGCCCACAGCTGGCCATGCATGATGTTTAGCATCTGCCGCGGTGACGGGGCTATTGTATTGCGAGCTGTACGGTGAATAGTACCGTGAAAATTGATTGTTGTCGCTCGAGGCAGTCATAGGCGAATGGTTGTCCCAGCCTCGCAGTGGCTTTTGGCTCGTAGGTGTCTCAAACATATCGGTACCGGGATAGCCAGCATTTGGAGACGGCCACACAGTCTGTCCATAGCGTTTTTCCAAGCTCCTGAGGTAAGCACGACGGCGGCGGCGGCCAATACATACAATGCCGATTCCTGCAAGGGCGAGAACAAATACCAATCCTCCGATTGCGATGCCAACTTTTCCACCCAATGAGATAGCGGAATGGGAAGGAGTGTAGGTGTAATCTGAAGGTTGAGAAGGCGTCGTCACGTTCATTCGAACGGTAGAGAAAGGAGTGCCCTGGACACTGAGAGTGGAGCCAATAGCTGGAAGTTGGCTACAGGCAGCATCCAATACGGTGACATAGTTCATGAGATACTTCGTCGTACCAGCCTCTAGGCAGGCTGTGCACTTAGGAACTTGTGTCTCGATCCAGCCGTTGCAGAAGTTGTAAGTACCATCTTGAGTGGTGAGGTTGTCCCAGTAGAATGCAGAATCCAGTGGATAACAGGCGGTGCTGGTGGTATGTTAGATAATCAATTAATGGAAATGAATAGATGATGCTTCGCTGAAATACCTTGTGGTGCAAGGGCTGACTTGAAAGTCGGTGTTGTTGGGCTTTCCAGCCAAACAGTAGGACAAAGCATAGCGTAGATTATCTAGTGAGATCAGATATCAGTATCAGACTGAGCTCTGGCTATAATGTGAATGGCTGAAAACAGAACGAGCTACTCACAAACCAGCCATTGTAAGTCAGACTCATTGTTGCTTGAGTAGGTGCTTTTGAGCTCGCAGTCGATGCAAGTTTCGAAGACCGTTCCAGCCGAGTTGCCAGAAAAAGATCCATCGTCACAAATTATGTCAGAAGCAGTAGTGGATGACAGTACATTTCCACAATACTGAGAGCAGGGGGAGTCAGGTGCGACCAAGAGAGCCGACGTGGTGCCCGCCAGGGCAGTTGTGAGGGTCAGTTTCAATGGTCGCATTTTCAATACAGTAATGTGCGTGGCTCTCTGCGCTTTCCTGTACTGTGCTCATGCCAAGGGTAGCTTGGCTTGCGAAAATCCAGTGTATGCCTGAGACAGTCCCTTGGGCTTTGCAACGAAGCGAAGTTGAAGCTGCTTATAGTGGGAAAATAAGAATGGAGAAAGACCAGCAGAAAGGTAAATATTTATGATATAGCGCTCTTGATTGGAGGACTGCTTATAAGAACAGGTGAAAGACCAGTGAAAGAACAAAGTACTCCGTACAGCCGGGATGCTGGGGATCTGCACGATGTTCGGCCACTTGTACACCACGAGAACTGATCCACACAATCAGCAGCGAGGAGTTTTGCTTGTATATATATACCTTCGACCTGGTGTGATTCTAGCGCGAGGCGCGGGTTGTTCTTGGACAGCCGCGGCGTGTTGGATCTCTGTGCGTCGCAAGTATGGTCAGGAGATGTCACAAGAGACGGGTATGAAGCCCGTCCAATGGGGAAATTAGAGAGCACAGAGAAAGAACATTGAGATGTGCAGATGGATACGATGATGGAGGGAGGGGGAGGAAAGCGCCCCTTGAAGTGGTATTTGTGATTTGCAATTGCGGCTTGCAGCTCTGGCAAGGCTATTCAAAGTTTGGAAAGCGTTCCAGCGTCGCGTTTTGCCATTGTGTCTTGCACTGTCACTTCTCAAGAACTTCACGTCGTAAAAAAAGGTACTCGGAAACTGGCACAAAGGGGAGGAAAATGTACATGGCGTAGCTGGCAATAGAAAACAGAGAAAGAGGGTGGGGGCGAAATGGAAAGTGACGGAACTAGGTGTGACGAGCTGCACCACAGTGTACCCATTTTGGCCTGGAAAGACTACGTCGTAATGTCTTCCACGGATCCACGGCCTGTGCCTCTTTCAACGCCTGTGCATCATGCGAGTGGCCAAGTACGGAGTAGGGTTGGGGTTGGTAGGATGGTGTGGGCCTGCGGCATCCTCTTCAGATGAGCCGGCAGAATAATAGTAAAAAAACGCACGAGTACTCCGTAGAGCTGGCCATATGCAGTACGATTTAAGAGAGGCCATATTGCAACGAGCAGATTTGACAATTGGCGCGTACATACATCGAGTACGGGCACGAGTAACGGCTGCATAGTAGCAGCTCATTCTTGGGTGTTTGGTACGGAGTACGGAGTACGGAATAGGCTACGGCAAGCCGTAAGGTGGTGGTTGGTGGTGGGTAGGATTTGCCAGGGCTCCCTGGACAAGCAGTGTGATACGATAGCTGATTGGCTATTGCTCCTTCCCCTAGGAATCCCGCCTTTACCGAAAAGGGCAGGGCTGGTGGGGGTATGCATGTAGCCTACAGGGTGATCTGTTCAAGGAGAGTCCAGTAAAAATTGCAACTGAGCCGTGAAATAGTGCGTACTCCGTACAGTGTATAACAGCCTCTAGAGTGGTGTCTTACTTACGACGTATGTACTCCGTACTCCGTACATACTCCGTAGTATGTATACACTTTATCGCGGTCTCTCTCGAACCTTTCTACGTCGTACTCGTAAATCCTTCGCTCACACAGCCCGAGATAACCTAAGCAATTTGAAGCCACACATCAATGTATTCTCCACCTAATTCGTCCCCCTTGCACCGAAAAATATGACTTATGCCTTGTCTTCCCGTCCATGCACGGTCAACCAACCGCGTCCGCTACTGCAAGAGGGAAAGGCATCAAAACCTGCAAGTCCTCAATACGAGAAACTTGTCATAATGTGACTTATGAATCGGATAGAGTACGCGTCTAAGTACCTCGTAATGGCTTGTACATATTTGTACGGAGTACTCCGTTGGGTACGGCTAGTGTTTTGGTTTTAACGATAATATGTCGTGTCCCTGGATCTTGTGAACAGTGGACTTAGTCGTGAAATAACAATATGGCCGTCCATATACAGTAAATGGGAAGAATATCGGCGACATTATATCTGCAATTCATGCAACATACTCGGTGTATCGCACATCTAGATTACTGGAAGGTCCTTTCATAAATCGCATTGAATCGTTCCATTGTTATTAGTTTTATCCGGCCTCTGTGCCGCATTCGTACAGTCCCCAGTACTTTAGCGGGTCATTATCTTCTCATTGAGCACCTCGCAGCTTTTCGATATGATTTTTATGTAGATCATTGCCGGCGTCGTTGGAGTAGCGCCAACAGCGGAAAGCGTACTCCGTACCGCAGAGATCAAAAGGTCACGCCATCACAGCATACGTCTGCCATGTTGCAATGGCGGCTATGCTATGCAGGTGTAATCCATGGTAATCAGACAAAGCAGTCGAGCAGAGACATGTGCTTTTGATCGGTTACAGGTGACCATGTCGTTTGTGGCATTTGCCCGCGACGGCCAAGAGTTACTACCTACGAAGAGCAGAGAAATGACTTGATACAAGAAAATATGTTGAGCAGGTATGCATATGCTTAATCAAATAAAAGAATATACGGAAGCTGAGCAACGGCTCCGATGGTAGATCAAACGTTGAAGAAGTCCTGTGAAATGCAGGTGTGGTAATGACGAGCCAAACGAGATCAAACATTGAAAGCACAAAACACGCCTTTGAACATATATCAGAAAACATTAGAAAGGAGCACCCGACAACTCCCAAAAACTGAGAGACCCTTGGTGGTTTGAAACACCTCGCTTGTATACCGTCCATATTCCCAGAGTCCCTATTCATTGCGTATCTTGTAAGCACCGTGTCATCATTGTTGCACTCCCCGGTCAAGATTCCTGTTTTGCCTAAACAGAAGAGACTCGTCGAATGTTTTTCTCGTCTTTCAAGCTGACATCATATTGCATAGCCGTTGGTGTAGGCGGGTCGAATTTCGGAGACTCGCGATTTCTGGCAAGTTCCAGACCACGCAAAGTGGCTTGATTTCGTGAATCTGAGCTAGGCAACGAATTTACCAGCTCGCGTATATTGGGTGGTAAAAACACCTCGTAAATGCTGTCTTCTGCCCCTCCGACAACAGGTATGTGCGGTGCGAGCTCGCCTGCATTTGAAGTTGCAGTTGTCGTGGATCCACCAGGTTGATTTCCTTGCGCCTGTGTCTGAACTTGAGAATGGTTGTGGACAGGGCAGGACCGGCTTATGAGACTGATCATAGCAATGATCTCGTCGTCGGGATCCAAGCCCGGCTGTGTCCGCAGCGGAGGCGTCTCAAACAGCCAGGAGGCAGAGGATGTCGTAGAAATGGCGCCGCGTGATACGATACTGCGATTGTTCGAGGCCTGGCGCCCCCGGTCTGCACTTCCAGTAGCCCGACTTGTTCTCGTATTGACCAGAGCCGCCACGTCCCCCTCGGTTGCCTTTGCCTTTGCCAAGGGCTGTCGTCCACGGCTGACAGAGCGACTGGAAAATTCCAAGGGATGGGAATTTGACGGACCCGCGGCCATACAAGCAAATAAAGGGCGGGTGATGCTTGGATTTCTGGATCTGTATATTTGTGGTTAGCATATCGGCATGTCTCTAATTTGCATTTCGCGTCAAAGGGAGGTGTGTCCCGTCCATACCTTATCTCAACCATTTCTTTGCCACTCTCCGGTCGTGTTGGCTGGTCTTCCTTCGTGACACCGCCTGGTGGGACGTATATCGGAGACTCCGAGTGCCATAGCTTATGAAAGGGCTCCCGATAGAAGAGGCTAGGACTTGCCGCTATGGGAATTGACATCCGCGACAGGCTTGAGCTTCGAGAATGTCCACCGATTGGAGTCCTACCATCAGCTCGCGACAAACTTGCGTTACGAGATTTCGTTGAAGGTGGCCGGGCCGGAATGTTCGAGGGAAGAGGTGGCTCCGGCTTGTTGCCATTCTTTTCCCCATGATCCCCTTTCTCGGCTGGTCCGTTGTTTTCCGCATCCGGGGTTACACCAGTAGAGCTGCCTTCTTTCGTATCACTAGGCGCCACTGTTTGCTGCGTCTTGGAAACTTCAACCTTGTCTCCTGTATCGTCGGAAGGCGTCTTTGCAGCCTCATCAGGGGCGATCGGCTTGGCAGGGCTCTTCTGCGAATAATCGGCGAGTCGGTGCTTCCCGGCATTCGATTCTTCGTCGAAGGGGAAAGGCGACGCTCTCTCGGAGATCGCAGATAGCAAAGACTCCATCTCCTGGCCATCCCTGAAAGGGGGCGTTATTGGGGAATCCACCCTCTTATTTGCAGCTTTCTTGAGATCCCTGCCATTGATCTTGCAGGCATAACTGGGAATGACGGCCTCCATTGGAGACAGTCTCGAGCGAACCTCTGGGAAACCGAACTTCGGCCTCAGAGATATCGGCGTAGGACTCGGGGCAGTTGGGGTTGGTATATCCACATCACCAGTGCCAGGAGAGACTGTTCCACTGTGCGGGCTTCTCCGACTTCGAAAGGATGCCAAATCTTTGGTGTCCGACGGGATTTGTAGTGCCAACTTCGGTGGCGGGGATCTCAACGGGGCGAGGTCAATGTTGGAGATTTGGTGTGCGGCTTAGCAGTGGCTGGTATGGCTTCCGGTGTGTGGTCTCGTCTTGGCCGGTGCTCCCCATTCAGTGTGCCTTTGGAAGGCGAGCTACCAGACGCTGAGCTCGTCGGCGTGGACGGCATGGATTTAGTTGACTGCCCCGTAGCTTGAGCCAGCGGCGGCTGCTTATATGCGCCACCAGCTTCAACCTCTTCGCCAGTGTCATCTTTGACAACTTTGGCAAATGGCTTTCTCGAGGTATCGACCACCAAAACTTCCTTGACGCCACGTCCTAGAAGGCCATACAGGTTCACCTCTCCTTTCTTCACGCCGAGAACAGTGCTACTTCCAGTGAAGACACAATCGTCCTCGACGCCTGTGCGGTTGGCGATGACGATTATGATTTCTTCTTCATTTTCACTCCGAATAATAGGCTCCAGGCGCTGAATCCAGTATTTTAGTGTCTCCAAGTCAGGCTCTTGTGGTAACTGCGTAAATGAACGAGGGTGTTCACGCGTAACCCAGGCCATAGTCAGGATGACTAGGTTTGCCTGAATCTCGAGAACGTGAAACGCAAACTCGAACGCATGCCAGGGTGCTTCGAATTTGTACGGACTGACATCGGGGTTAGCAGTCAATCCAGTCTTTTGCGACGTTGTTGTCCCATGTACTTACTTGATGTCCATGCCTGCAGGAAGACAGAATGTTAGCTCTCTTCATTCGTCTGCTTCTATATAAGAGGGACGGTATCACTTACAAATTCCCATGGCCACAGTACCAAGGTCGGGGATCTCGTCCTCGTAGAATCCGTCTCGACCTTCGAGAGCCCAGGTCTCGTCAATTGCATAAAGGAAAGACTTGCGGTAATTCGCTATTGTCTCTCCGTCTCTGTTTACCATGATGGCGGAGTTGTAGAACTCGGGAGACGTTGGCCATTTGTTCGCCACATCGACCTTTTCAGGGTAGCCCACCACAACATTGCAATTGAGTTTAAGGGCGGTTGTGCGTGCCCACAATGAACTGATACCCGAGCCCGACGGTTCAAGGAACGGCGTTATTTGCGCCAGTGAATGGAAGTTGTAGCCTGGTCATCACTTGTTAACAGAAAACGCGAGCAATGAACATAGATAGTAGCGAATTCGAAACCCAAGAAGATAATGTGCTTACCAGTGAAAGCCAACTCAGGAAGTACGAGGAGATCCAAGTCTTCCAGATCGGGTGACTTGTTTAGGACCGCATCGGCTCGGTTGAGGTTATTGTCGATGTCTCCAACCTGCGGAGCAAACTGGAGGCAACCGATCCTCATGTTGGGCGTAAGAAATAAAGCAATGCTCTTTCAATAATTTCATGGGATTGAACGCTGTCGCCAAGGATGCCTGATCTCCTCTGAGCACAAAAAAGCAAGGCTACTACAACACCACCAAGAACAGACTTTGAAATTCTCAAGACGTAGATAGAGAGACAGCGAGATAGAAATGTAATAACAGAAGTGAGAAGGCGAGGGATGAAAAGAAAGTAAGATAGAGACCAAAAGGGTGGGGACAGTAAAGATACAATGGGGAAAGTGGGCGTCCCCAGTCGTTAATGGACAGTTTGGCGGCTCAGAAACGCAGGAAAGGAAGACGGTGACGAAAATGAAAAAAAGCTTTGGCTTTAGGGGCCCGATGGCCTGACTGGCAATCTGCGAGTACAAGTAACAGAGGGTGGACGGGATATTTTGAAGCAGCATAGCTCATTGGAGGGGTAGAGCAGGGGATACAGAACTCCTTTCCATATCACACCAGCCCTGAGAAGTTGCTCATGCAGAGTATACATAATATGCCGGCCTATACTCCGTAAAGCGCCCGCCTCATGTCAACATGCATCAAATTGGCGCCTCATTACCCCAATCATATCAGCTTCAGGATGTCTTCCGCTCGCACTGGTGGGGCTTGGTGGTGTGCTGTTGGCTTGGCCCTACGAATCATATCCCCGCGCTACGCGCCCCCTCCCGAAATAAGATCCACAGTGGTTGGGTTGGTTATCACCAAAAATAAGGGGGGCCACGCCGCGTGACTTGCACAGCGGCAACGGTGTAGAGCCTGACGGAATATTATACAGTATGGAAAGGCACTTATCGCGGTCTCTGCACTATTTATTCCGTATGAGTGAGATACAATATGTCCTATTGTACTCCGTACTCGTGTCTTACTATCTTACGAGAATGAGTGTAGCCTCACCTCCACTTCATGGGGCTTGATAGCTGTCCGTTACGGTTTGCATGTGAAGGAGGTCTACGACGTGTACGAAGTATGGATGTATTTTGCTGCAGCCAATATTAGCAGATAAGGTGTGATGGGCTGTGTCAAACCCCCGCACTAGTCAATCCTTCCTATCTACGAATGTAAAGGTGGGATCGGGCAAAATGGATTTGCTTGCAGTTCTAAGTATTCTTTTTTGTCTTCCCGTATTGCATTTCATTGGTCGACCCAGAGTAAGATACTCAATTCGTGCCTGAGCTGTTAAAACAGCGACCTTGTTCCAGCGGTTATATCACATTCAAACCCCTATGTGTCTGTTTCCGTCCTCTGACAATCAACAATTACAAGTCTGGACAATAGAAGGGCCTATGTCCGAGAGCGTGGTCCCAAGAAAGTCGGAGTTGACTTTTTCCCAGCCGAACCAGGCTTCTTCGGATCTGTCAGGACTACACAAGGCTGTCAGTCTCTTCGCCAACTAGCTTATCTTTTCCTCGAAGGGCCGAAACTTGCCTTAAGAGTGTGGCTACTGCAGAGTCGTCTGCTGTATTGTATCCCCATGAGAGGTACCACCCACTTCTCTGGCATGGTTCAAAATACCAACTAGCAAACGCGGGGTCCTGAGAACTGTTCAGGTCAACTTGGATTGTGCATGGGATATCCGTGGGGCCAGATGGTAGAACATCGATCAGGAAATCGGCGTGGACACTGTTGGGGCCGTATCGTAAGCCTTTAAATGAATTAGCTTTGGTCCTTTCATCAGTCCGAGTACTATCTACCACGGATTGAACTTACTTCGTGTAACATTTTTGACCGACCACGTTTTTGCAACAGACGGGACACTCGGGCTAGGATCATGATGGGAAAGCTTAACGGGTTCAAAAGTATCCGTGCTTCTGTCGGGTGCCGCTTCAGCTGGGTCAGCGGGGCATGCGTCAACAGGATCGGCAAGCAACGCTGTGGTATAGACCCTTGGGCCACCACCACCGATAATCACAGGTTCGCCGAGTTCAGTAGAGCGTTCGTCTGATATATCGACAAGTCCTTGTCCATCGTTGTGAACCCCTTGGTCGTCTTTTTCTTGGTCTTGCGAAGGGTCTCTGGCGATCGTTTTGATAGAGAATCCGGCATTGTTGTCGACATTACTGGTGGACGTGGCCATATCGACAGGACCGTGTTCGTCAGAATTGCGCGCGTTATCTTGTGAATCGGCGTCTCTCTTCACAGGATCCGTTGGTAGCACAGAAGCGGGTACAGTTCGTCCAGAAACAGCAATATTGCTAACCATATACCCAAGCGAGTGGTGCGGAGAGAAAGTTTGTCCACTGTTGATCTCATCGTCGCTATAGCCAAAATAGGCACGCAGATTCTCTTCAACGTTGTCGACTGTCAAGACAAAGTACCCGTTGCTTCCCCAGCTCCCGCCATAGAGGTGATGGGCTGATTGTTCGCATGGTATGTTGGAGAAAGAACTCCTGCCAATTGATTCGCTTTCTTCGGCCTGGACAGAAAAGTGGCAGAGGGTAGAGTTCGAGCCGTGATCACCAGCAGCGCTCTCTTCAACTATGAAATCATAGATGCAAGAATGTTTGCCGTCCACACAGCTCCACCGAAAGTCACGAGCCGTCCACATATCTGAGCGGGCGGCATTCGCAATGGTTCTAGGCACAGGCATAGGAGCGGCGTAGGCATACTGCTGAACTTGCCAAAGACAGAGGGCCAAGATTGAAATGCAAGAAAACATGATGGCAGTTGGCGGGCGTATTTTTCTTTATCCTGTTAGGTATTGAAATGTGCAGACTGAAAATAATCGCGAGGCAGAACTGTTCGGGCTAAGGCTTGACTTAAATCGGATGCCAAAAATGGTTGACGATAGTAATTGATGGGTTAGACAGAAAACATGAACACTTTTCGAAGAAATTCTCCTCTGGTTGGGGGTTGTAATCAGTTCGGTTGCTTCGTATGGCCGAATGCACTTTCCTCTGTGAAAAATAGTGATATTGTTGCCCATACATCATATGCTCTTTCCATGTCCTATTTCACAGTTGTTCGCTCCTGGCAGAAGCCGTCTCTTTCTGCGTCTAAGGTTGTCCCATCAATCTTTCCATTGCCTGCTGCGGAAAAAACTGCCACCCAAGGCAGGTAAGCACGGCAGCAGCACTTTGTCCGTTTTATGTAAAAGTTTTCGCATTTTCCCAGGCAGTCCTGCAGTCCATACTCATCTAAATAGAAGATTCATCGAGACAGTGAAGTCACAAATTGCATATGCCATTTGCAATTGCACCATTTCTAGACAAAAGACTTCCCAAACTCCCAGCGCATTCGATTTTGCAAAAAGCAGCCAAACGGAATATACTGAAACTGACATTTTGTCTACTCCACAGAAGTTTGATTGGAACGCAAGTACTCAACTTGACAAAACATTCTGTAGCGAGCGTACATGGCTTCAGCTGCCAGATTGCTCCCGGTGAAAACATTGGTGACAGTATCTCTGGCTGGGGTGGTCCTTTCTTTCTCCAACGCGGCAGGGTACATGTCATACGGTTTGGGGGAACAAGTTGGTACTTTATACTGAACACACCTTCCTTCTCCGTCCATTTGTTTGCGCTGTTTCTTCCTATCAGGTCCATTCAACCCCTACTCCAGAAATCACTAGCCCACTTTAGAAGCTTCGCTGGGCGCCTAGATAAAGCACTGTTCACCAATCCCCGGTTTTTACAATGGATCCACCACTTCAATTCTGACAGTGATTGGTTAGAGAGGCCAAGGCCTTGCATCAGTGGCCGGCATAACGCGGCCGGGCATCCTTAAATTCCGCCTTATTTCCCTCCGCTCAGAAGATGACGGGATAGATCCATGCAGCCAATAATCGTACAGACTTTTGGTCTGTTGGCAAGGCCCTTCACAGAGGCCAATCATGTCGCAGCCTTTGCTAGCGAGTAGGCAACTCTGCCGTTGATCCTGCCGTTGGTGATGAGCGCCTAAAATGTCGTATGAGAGCCCCCAAGCAGTCCACCTTAGCTTTCGAGTCTAATATATGGATATGTGCCGCGGCGTACATTTTCAGACAGAATACAAGCGACACTGGTGGGAAAGGTGGGCCTTGTTCCCGCGTCAATTATTACAGGTATTCTACACTTAAGCGAACAGAGTGGTATTTTCTTCCGTCGACGTTGCTTGAAGAAATGCACCCCTCCAAGACTTCAGGCTGAGAGACGGGATAAATATACCCATTGCGCCAGTTCTTTTGGTTTTATTATAACCTAACATAGTCCTGGATTGCCATGTTTGTCTAGACTGTCTGCGAGTCAGTTGTTTGATGATCTTAATCTGATGAGCATCCATATCCTGTCGTCAAAATGATAGCAATAGAAGCCAAACCTATCATCATATCTCTTCTTTTCATAATATCCTCCAACGCACTACAGGTGACCCCAGGCTCACCCTGTGCTGCATTGTGCCTGGATAAGACTGATGGCGACCCCTTCGATCCCGGCGACTCGAACACGACGCCGGCAGATATTGTCTGCAATGACGTTGATTTCTGGTCAAACTCGACCGGGATAAAATTCAGGAACTGTCTCAACTGTCTCCAGAACAGTACTGCAGTTAATGGGACAGAAAGTGACGTCTCCTGGTATTTGTGTAAGGCTTCCTACTCGAGAACTCCGAATTTTTAGACTTTGACTTTTAAACTCTAACATGTTGCTAGACAATCTTCGATATGTCGTGGACGTTTGTCTCTACTCGTTTCCAAACACGAGCAGCGAGGGATCAATTAAATCGCCATGTGCCCTCAGCACAAGTTGCCTACTATTGCAAACATCTTTGGAGGCAGGCGACTTGAATATCAGCAACGAGACAGAATTTGAGTACTGCAGTGTCAACGACGGGGCTTTTGAAGGGTCAAACATAGACGACTGTATCCAATGCTTGCAGTCGACGATTGACCAAAGATACTTTTTCAACTGTGAGCAGTACCATCCTAGAGTTTACATAGGCAGCTTTTCTGATAACATACAATGCAGTCATCACTGCACTTTCAGCCGGATGCCAGCAAAAACCCAGTCCTGGTGTGCTATTGGGCCTGAATGGTGCTCTGTTTACAGACACAACGTTGTCTATCGTATCAACGGCGGGCAACCAGACAACGACCACAACACCCTCGTCCTCTAAATCGACCACCAACATGTCAACTGGGAGCATTGTTGGAATTGTCATCGGCATCATCGTTCTCTTCCTGTGTAGCCTCGCCTTATTTGCCATCTACTTTGAACGCAAGAGAAGCTATAGCGACCTGGAGGCTCCCTGGCGAGCTAACAGCCAGCATCTTTCTCGAATAAACAGAAACTCGTTGTTCAATACCTCTAATGACAGCTCTGTCAGCCAAGATCTACCCTTCCGGATAATGATGTCCGAGCAACGAGGAGGAATCGCAGAACACCCCTTTGAAATAACTCAACTACCAGCAGCTACCTTCCAGAGCCACGACAGCACGGATGAAGGCTCTAAGGATCTTCCCACCCATCCAGCATATGTTCCACATACCTTTATACGCTCAAGCCGCACTTGCGATCTGGACCAGGAGCCATCATCACAAAGATCAGCCAAGTCGAGCACATATAACCCACAGAGCTACTCCAGGGCTGCAGATCTAGTCAGCGATACTGAAAAACAGCCAACGCACACCGACGGCAGATTTATTCCGCCTAATCCTCTTCGTAGCCACGGACTTGTAAGCGTGGTTGCGTCTTATCCAGTGCCATCGGAATCGAGTTCAGAAGCGTCACCGCCGGCTCACTCGGTGGAGTTACCTTCTCCGCCACAAAAAGCATGGAATCGACCGCCGGCACTTGTTTTGCCACCGGCTGCACGCATTGGGGAAGCGAATAGCTGTACACCTCCCAATATAGCCGATTAGGAAGGCCAAATCAGAGGCGAGCACTTCCGCCAATACACGTCTTGATACATGCCTCGATCGTTATTTTGCATGCTTGGTTTAAGAGTCTTTTATGGCTCAGGCGTTGTGTCATGATTGGTGGATGATGTTGAATGGCGTTTTGGAATTTTCTTGAGATGATAACTGCGAAACAAGCTTTCGCATTGTGCTAGCAGACACACGCATAGCAGTTTATGCACTGTAATATCTTTTAAGATCCTGGTCTGAAGATTGGTGAAAGTCTTGCAGAGGATATCGCCACAGGCGAAATCGAGGTGAGCAACAGTGAGGTAACATATGTGGCGTAGGATACCTGACAGGTAGTCCGTAGTGCTCTGGCGAGTGGGATTCTACATGAACACTTCAAGGACAACATTCAACCAATGAAGACAACAGACATGACGGGTAATGCATACAATGTATTATGAGAGTACAAGTACGCTCTAGCCTTAGTCGCCGCCAAGACGCTGTCCTCTTCCCCGTGTTCTCCACGCATCTGGAAGAGGACCTCCACCTCCGCTTGTTGTTGCTGCACCGGTGCCGGCACCACGGATTGCAGTGCCAAAGCTCTGCTGTTGGGTACGTGAGGCCAGGACTAACAGGCGCGAGACAAAAGCAGGCGTGGTTAAATAGTTACGACCGCCCCCGAACTCGGGCCAAATCCGTGTCAGGAAGTCGTACAGATGGGCAGCAGCCAGACCACAAAGCTGAAGCATGATACCGGCCGGGCCGACCATGAGCAATGACGCCAACATCATAGCGTAGGGCACAAGCTGGGCTGGTATGGTGACAAAGAAGAAGTTGGCCTTGATGCCACGCTGATCCTGCGTAACGGTATACGCTAGGGCTAAAATCAGGCCCTGCAGGTAGAAGCCGGAATTGAAGCCGAGAGCTGTATCAAAGATCTAGAGAGACCAGAGTCAGCATTATGCTAGGCAGGTGATCACCTCCATCCATGCTTGGCCGATAGTAAAAACAACACTGAAACATGAACACACAGTGGCACCAGGCAACTGTGATGTAGGGAGCTGTAAAACCGCTCGGAAACCATAGAGTTTTCGAGCCATCCATAAAGACATCCCACCCATATCCAAGACCCCGACCGACCCATTTTGATATTTATATCAGCGAATGACGGGCCGGCCGCAATCCAGGGGGTAATCTCCCTCAATTTCAGGAACCGTGACAGCGGTGAGATCAAACACTGTCCGGGCAGATTATGAGGTGTAAAGGACGCGACAGATATAAATATACAAAAGCACAAAGGCATCAAGATACATGAACGGAAACCACGAAGAGTATAGCTTACCAAAGTAGTAGTAGACACGAATGCCAGATACCATATTAAGTCCTCTTGCTTTGCAAAACGTGGGTTGCCCTTTTCCAGCTGGGAGACATACGAGTAGACTGGAAGCAAAGAGTAAGCATCACTGCTTATTGTTCGAGTGTAGTGGATAGGGCAGTATCGTACGGAAGTATGGGTCCAACAAGATCGACAACTGTGGCTGCGTGACGAAAAAGCTCGTAACAAGCCGCCAGATCCCGGGTGGAATACGGAACAAAAGTGCCTGATGGAAATACAGCCATTGGCCTGGAATAATGCTACTGTATACGCCACAAGACGTGACAAAGACAGCTGTCGCGAGTATCCTGAGTAGGAGACAAGTTAGATGATGTCAAGAGAGAGTGAGAAGGGCAATGAGGATTGGAGCGTACCTTGATACAGGCGGCATCTGAAAGTATGCGTCCATCAGGTCAGACATTTTGGGAATAGAAGGGATGGCGTCCCTTTTGTCGCAATCCAGTTGGGGTCAATCAAGAGGACGCACACAATGACAGTCAAAGACAGCACAGTAAACGTGACAGCCGTGGTGATGAACTGCTTGATATATGCGGGGAGCAAATAGGGCTTCAATCATTCATCGAGGGCAAAAGTACCCAATGCCAGCAGCAGGCTGCCGTGATGACAAAGTTGTCATGCTTGGGGGTCCGGAGAACAGGTGTTATTTTCGTGATTCGGATTGAAAACTGTTCATTTGCTGAGAGATTTTAAGAATTTATAGTGGCATCCCCACTTTTATATGATTGGTCTGCGCCACATTATGGCGGTGCATTTTCGACCCTAAAATCCGAGTTTTTCTGATATGCAAGATACGAATTTTCGGATGGAGTATGCACTTGCTACGGAGCACTCGTAAACATGTTTGTACGTAATGAAGCTCGCTACTTTGTACGTTTCGACAATGGCCACATATATAGTAGTGCCGCGTACGAAAATGCGTTAGTAGCTCGAGCGGCGACGAAGGCCGAAGCTACGACGGATCGAAGCTGCCAGCGTCGCATACGACGCAGGGGGATGCGCCCAGCCAAGTGTGCTCCTTACGAGCGCCCTCCTCTGGCGTTGCCCTGCCTCCCCCGAGACACTTGTCCCTCTCGGCTCAGCTTTTCCCCGTCTGCTCGTGTTCCGTATAGCATCCCACACGTACTCCGTACTCCGCATACGCTCGGCTGGAATGAGCTTTCCGTCTTCTTGTGCCTTGGTTCGCAGCCTTCCAATAGCGACTGGCATCCTACAAGCAATGAGATGAACAGAGGAGCGAAAGCTTGTTTGATTGGCTCACCGCGCTGGCCGTTGCAAAAACTTTTGCCTCATGATGACCCGCTGCATAAAAAGGACTAGGCTATCTAGTGGGGCCGATCACCTCTATGTAACAAGTGGCTGTACGATACTCCGTACTCCGAACGTCGTATTACGATGTGCTGTTATTCTGTAATACGGAGTACCTGCACTAACCCTTTTTGTGCATCTATTTTCACACCCTACTATTAGCACTCGTACTCGTAACCCTTCCGCCCCTCGCTCGCGCGCCCCCACTCTATCGCCCTTCGGTTGGGAAGGACAAAGTCCAGAGCAAGGGGCGTGTAGATAAAATAAATCAAACAAAAGAGAGGATTTACCCCTCGCGCTCCATTCTGAGCCAACGCAAGGGAAGGAGCGGCTCTGCCTCGGATGCCCCGCCTGCCTTATTCGTATAGTTATTTATTTTGCGATTACCGAAAATATGGCTTTTGACTATTCACTTTGTACATATCATGCCTCCCTCCAGCCTGATTATAATCACAGCATACCGCCACACTGCATGGCTGTTTTATGTTTATAGTGTTTTGATTTATATTCCACAAATAGTCAATGGGTATCTGAACACATCCGTAAACAATGCTCCGGTCCTCTGCCGAGTCTGTAATTTTCCAAAATGATCCCGCTAAAATCCCAATATGCTCCGCGAAGAGCTGCGAGCTGTACGGCAAAGCCATATGTAAGTTCCCGTGTAGTTGCACCCATTCCCGTCCCAGCCTTAATACTTTAGAAGGATGCAAAATAAAAGTGAATCCAGTCGTCTTAAAATCGTAACAGTGATAGCTATGCAAAAACATAGTACACACATAGGGTGAAGAAGTAGAAAGAAGAAGGACCGTGTTCATTGGTCCTCGCCCTCGGCATCGTCTTCGTCGTCGTCCTCGTCGTCATTGTCGTCATCATTATCCATGTTCTCGGGCGGCTCCCAGGCGTCCTCCAGCTTAAGTCCCTTGCCTGTCGGCTCAGGGTACTTGTAGCCTGCGCCCATAAGTTGCGCCACGGACGAGCGGTAGCTCTCCAGCGTAATGTCCACCAGCTCCTTGTTCGGAGAGTCGTAGAGACCCATGCCAACAAGAATCTCGCCATCAGACTCATCCTCCTGCAACGGGGCCTCAACCGGGTTGGCGGCGGTCGAGTAGTAGTTGTCTGGAGGCGTTGGGGGTGCTGCACAGCGGCTGAATCCTTGTGAAGCGAGTGTGTTCCAGCTGTTCTCCGGCTCATCGACAAAGGTTAGGTTTTGTGGCTCGGCCTGCTGCTGCATCTGTGGCTGCTGGTAGGTCTGCTCCGAGCTTTGCGAAGGAATCGAGGTCGGGACGAGAGCAGGGCAATCGACCGGCGAAGGCAGCTTGTCAAACATGATGCCATTCGCATTGATGGAGGGCGACACTGCCCAAGGGTTGGGCGAGTAAAATTGACTGGCCGTGTGAGTATCGAACGCGCCGGAATATGGTGAGAAAGAGGTCGAGGGAGACGTTTGGCTAGAGTATGCGGCCGGGCTGAAGGTCATCGACTGCAAGCAAGGAAACGATTCAGGGTCGATTGCGGATGCCATCGCTGGAGTTCCATATGCCTGCATCTGGAACTGTGTTGACATAGAGAGGGCGAACTGGTTGGGGACAGCGAGCGTGCTGCTGGGGTGCCAGCTGACGGGTCGTGCTGGTCTTGAGGTATTGCCAATATCCCGGGTATGTGCGTATTGCTGCTGTGGAGGATAGAAGTAGGCCTGGGGGTCGACCATTGCGGAAGTAACGTGGATTGGCTGTTGGGATGCGACGAAGTTGACATCGTCGGTCACGACAGTCCGTCTCCGTGCTTGAGTCATTGACCGAGGGCTGTTGCTGGCACTGCTGGGCTTCACTATCCGCATCGCCGAACCTGGGGTTCGCTGGCTGGCAGCTGAGCCCCGCGAATGTCTCCTTCGCAGAACTGAGGAAGCATCCACCAGCTGCTTGGACATATCCTCCAGGAAGGCCTCGGACTGGTTGTACATATTCATTTGTGCCGGTTGCGGGTAGGCAGCATAGTTGCTGCTGCTCATGTACGGCATCATCGTGGCGGGCGGTATGGAAGACAAAGAGGGAGGAGAGGAAGAAGGAAAAGGTTGTATGAGAGATCAAACAAGCTGTCAGAAGGAAGAGTTGATGAAGTCGAAGAGATATGTTGGTGTGGTGTGTAGAAGGTGTAAGTGAGAAGAGGCATCAGCTAGTGTTAAGTATATAACCGCCACATCGAAAGGGCTCCACGTATCGATGGGGGCGAGACGAAAGGAGAAAGACGAAGGGAACCCAAGTACGGAAAATTATGGAGTGTTACGAGTGTAAGATGCAAGGCAAGGGAAGAAGGTAATAAAGCAGGGCAAGGCTAGCTCGGGCTCGGTGGTCGTGGCCATACATAGTATTGGCACGGAAGGGAAGAAAATAGTGTCGTGTACGGAGACGAGTACGAGGATTAAACAGGCACGGATCCATGATTAAGTCTGTGATATGCCTGTATGCGCACCGTCTTGTGTTAGTGGCCAACAGGCGGGTGTGTGGATGGGATGGGGTAGACCAGGAGGGACGAGAAGGGGTGGCGACGTGGTAAAGGAAACAGAAGAAATGACGGGCGTGTGTTAGTGAGTGGGTGCATGGGTTTGAATGGAGATGGATGCGAAAGAGGAGCATGCAGATGTGTCTTGGAGAGTGGCACTGCGACGGAGCATGTGCATGCGTCATGGCACCGGCAGGGATCTCAGAACTTTCCCACGGTGGAGGAGAGAAAGGGAGACAGCCTATGGGCGAACCTGGCCAGACGTAGCGTGTTCCGCTGGTTGGGGCGAGAAAGGTGGGTTTTTGCTGTGCTTGGTATCCTACTCGTACATATCGTAAGGTACAGAGAAGGCGGGTTGTTGGTAGTGTTTCTCTAGCCTGCACGGCCGGGGATGTGCAAGTGCGCCACAAAGTACGGAGCACGAGGGAACGAGCGAAATGTGCCAGAGGTGGATCAGGCCGGGTTGGGAAGCTCACGATGTGGATGCGTTGAAGTGACTGGGCGAGCAAGGTGTGGTCTGGTACTCCGTAGCTTGCTCTATAATTTGCGGATGGCGGTCAGGGCCAGGGGGAATGACGGAGACATCCAGATGGGAGGGGAGGGGGTGTGTGTGAGTGAATCTGAGGGGCGTGTCAAAGGGATAAAGGGAGTGTGATCGATCATAGCCCTGGAACAGCCGTGGAAAGGAAAGAAGAAGAAAGGCAAAGGGGCTAAGAGCACAGGAAGCCGGTGAGATGGCCAGAGCCACACGCCCCTTCCTCTTCCAGTCCCACTATCAAGAATCCACACCCCCCCTTTCTCACTTCCCTTTTTTTTGGTTCTTTTGGCGCCTTCTGTGATTTCCACATGCTCTCAGGCGCCTGACGAGGCCACAAACACCATCCCCATGTTTGACAGATCCTTGTCGGTGCTGTGTATCCACCCACCCTTGCCAGCCGCACTAGGCGGGGCGGATGACCATGTCGGGACGGGTGCGAAACATTCGGAGCCAAGAAGCGTGAGCAAGATGCAAGTGAATTGCATGGCCCTATTCCATATGTACACCCTGTACGTATTCTTTGGTACTGGCTAGCCCGACTCGAATAGGACACGGCGTACGGAGTAGACCCGGCAGCAAATCCGGTCATGACCCTCCTTGGCCTGTATACTCGTAGTTGTACATAGTAGCAGCTGGAAAGTGCCGTCGGCAAAACACTCGTGCGAGGGCTAGAGCAAATTGTCGTAAGATGCCCCATATCGCACACAGCTGTGCTAATCCTAGCGGCTGGCTGTGCTGGCACTGGTTCAGGCCTTTCTGCTTGTTCTGCGGCTGCTGTGTTTGAAAAGATTTGGGCCGGCGGATATGTCCCTGTCGGAAGATAGGGGTACGAGCACGCATGGAGCCAGGTGGATGTGTCCTCGTACCGTTCTTCGCCTTTCGCGATAGAGAAGCCCCGTCATCGACGATATCTTACAGGCACGGAGTATGTGCTCTTCCCCATGGCCCCATGCCCCTCTCTTTTTTTCCTTTTTTTTTTACTCCATATCGCAAACTCTGTCGCACACGGGTCACGGCGGAAGATAAAATGTGGAAGGTAGCGATGGGGTAATTCGGCCTACTCGTACGAGTACGGAGTACGGAGTAGCTGTTGCCCTTCTCACCCTTGTCTATATTTGTACTCGTATGCAGGACAGAGTGCTCTGCTCGTTGGGGCCTTGAGCTTTGGCCAGATGCGGCACCGGTGTCCATGTGGATTGGTGTTGATGATGTGTGCTTTGTATCGAGCTAGGGTGGAGGGGTGGAGGATGATAGATGAGATGCAAACGGGTGAGCGGAAGAGGGCGTGCACGTATCGACGTGGAGAGAAGGCTAGAATGCTTGCACAATGAGGACCCAAGAGAACGTGGCAGCGGACACCCCAAATAGGCTGGTAAAGCGGTTTGGCAAATTTGGATTAATCGGAGCTTGAAGTTCAGCTCGCAGAAAACCGGTGTGAAGAAAGGCGCAGTGGTGGGGTGTGCCTAAAGGTCCTGCTACTAATACTCTTATGTATGAACCAGAAAGCACCTAATACGGAGTAATAGCATGGAGACTCCTGCCAAGAGACATACTTCAACGTACATACCGAGAATATGTATGTAAGAACATACGAGCATGGGAATTATCTTGAGCGAAGGGAAGTACCGCTCTGGGCGGGTCCTTCCTTTAGTACTCCGTATACTCCGTACGACGCGTAGTATGTGATTGACTCCTTTTCTTTTCTTTTTTCCTACGATTTATTCTGGCTCCGTATTTTTAGCCCAGGCCAGAGCCAATACTGGGGTGAAGTAGACAAAATACGGAGAATGTCCAAGAGAGTGCTCAGTCGCATTCGCACGTCGTAAGAGCGTCGTAGTGCCGCCGCGCCTTCCCAATCCTGCCAATCACAATGCGCAGAAAATACCTTGCAGAAAGAGGGAAAGAACGAATGGCCCGCAAGTCCTATCTGCACGCGCTCTCCACATTCTTACTGATCAGACCCACGCTAGTCGTCGCAGGAGTGAATTACCTATTACCTGCCTGGCTGTATCTGTGAGCTGAGGCAAGATGAGTACTGTAACTATCGTGTCTGGTAAGACGGTTTACACATATTCTACACGTATTACAAATGCGAGTACTTTTCACGAGTTGTGATCTCGCACTAGCAAAGCCGCAGACACTCGCAATCTGCTCAGTGACAGCTTACAAAGTACATGTAATCTGCGATTGCTGGGCGCCTCCGGGCTTAACTGCCCTCTCCGGTCCTCCTTTTGGTGATGGGACAGCCATGGCGTTTGAAGATGCCTGATCCGAACTGCGCCACGTTTGGTAGCTCGGCGTTGCAGGAGGTCTAGCGGCACCACTTTTTGCCTTGGTTTTTTTCTTCTTCTTCTTCGCTTCGGGGTTGCCATCTCGGGTTCGCTGGCATTTCCGAGTTCCGGATGTCGCCGCCAGATGACTCGTACATAGTACACTCGTGATGCACCTTCTCAACCCCCTTCTTCTCAGTGCGTCAGCGGCATCGCAGTATCGCACTGTTCCCGGCAGCGAATGCGAAATGGAAGAATGTATCACTCATCCCTTCCGGTGTGCGCCGTATTTCGCGCTCGTGATTTGAGGATTCGCACTCGCACATCCAATTCGCTTTCATTTGTCGGTGGGCACTCTGCCGAAATGGATGTCAGACGCGACAGGTCAGAGAAGGCCGCCGGACAGAGGGCAAGTCGACGGTGACTTGGAGCAGCCCGCAGACATGTCGCTTTGACCGACCGCTCCTTGCAGTTCATGCAACCACAGGACGAGCCCTCAGGATTGGTGAGCCGATGGAGCACACGCACACGCACGCACCACCACACCGACTTTGAGACTTGCCTCTCTGGCTCTCGCTCGTAGTAGCGAACACATTCCGTAGGCGCCCATCCGGAACGCCGCAAGGGGGGCTCAGTACGAGGGATCGAGAGAGTATGTAAGCAGGCCTGAGAAAATTTAGCCAGCAGTGGGTATTTTGCTACTACGGGTATGGAGCCTGTACTCGTAAGATACCAGCCATACATAGGGTCGCAATGCCCCGAACCAGCCAGCGGCCGGCTCTACCAGCCAGAATTGGGGCACGATCAGCGCTCCAGTGCGCAGCTGCTGACAGGAGGGGCGGCCAGCCCGGACCCTGCCAGCGCCACGACCGCTTTTTGTAGCGCGCACCACAGTTTATACGCCTTGTTGGTATCTTACATAGTACTCCCTACTGGTCCTTCCTTCTGCAGTGACTGCTACCTCGACAACGCTAAAACACTACCCTGCCCGGCCCCTTCCTGTATACTACTCCCACACGCACGTCTAGTATCTTCTGCACCAACAACCCCCCCTTTCCTTGTGTCAAATGAGGGCCTAAAATAAACCCGTATTTCCTACAGAAGGCTAAGGACAGTCAACAGCCACAAGCAAATCCCTTCCTCCGATGAGGCACCCCTGCAACATGTGCTTAGACTCGTCCGCTGGACAGGCGATGTTGAAACCGCTCTTCCTGCTACATACGTCGTAGGCGCTTGCTTACTCCGTACAGAGAATTGCATTCGATACCACGCGCCATGACAGGTACGGAACTTTTATGCAGCTGATATGCGACGCAGTATCCGCGAGAAATACATAGTGCTTGTACGAGTAAGATACGATACGATGCATACGTGGGTCTTACACAGCCCGTGCTACATACTACGAGTACCAACCAAACCAAATTACTTCTATGTGTGCGCGGCTCTTTTTTTCTTCTTTCTGAAACGGAACTGGCCAGAATGATGTCTTTCACTTTCCGACGCCTTACACCCACCCCTCTTGGGACCGAACATTGATGCGCAGTTGTAAGAGCTATTGACCGGGCTAGAATGAGCGACGATCCAAAATAGATCCGCATAACGACAATAATACAAAATCGCTACGGAGTATACGACGTAGGTCTCATCGATGAGCATGTTTACAACGAGGATCCATACTCTGTAAAAAGGGGCAGCTATGGACTGCTTTTTCTG